GAACCAAATATCTTTTCCATTTCTTCTTTTGTTTTTACCAGTATCTCGGGAGTTATCAGAACCAAGTCTCTGAGCACCTCTGGCAGCTTTAGAATCAAATGCAGCTTTTCTTTTAGTGCTGCATCTGCAGATCCTGCACTTTTAATTTCCTCAGTTTTTGCAGAGATAGTAGACATACTGTTGGCCCACCACTTAAGATCTGTTTGGGTTTCTTCGTATATTTCTCCGAGTGTCTCTGGCTTCATTTCAGATTTAGAGCATATGTTGTTCTTACTTCTGTCTGTGTAGTCGTATGTTGCACTAATGTGATCTATGTCTATATGACTTTCTATGTAGTTTTTCAAGTCCTCTAAAAAGAAGTGACGATAATTAGGATTCTTACTATTATTTTTTTCTGTTTCCATCTTATTGGCTAAGTTGTTGATGCACTCTATCTTTTCAGCCAAGGAGTTATGGCGTGAGTTAGTCAAAAAATGCCAGAACTCGTGTTGATTTCTGTAGTTTTTCTTAATACTACATTCACATTTTGTATTTCCATTATCCATGCTACCTTTAGTAAACAAGTATGAAAAACTGTGGGGTTTATCTCGAGTTGTATTGCTTTGTGCTTCAGATTTGTAGTTCTTGAGGTTCTTATAGGCAGTTTGGTAAGGCATCAATTTAATAGATATTTTAGCACCACCCAAATAAGAATTTCTACTCTCTTCACTTTTTCTTTTCTTGGGACTTAAATTATCGTTTGAACTGGTTGAAGTAGAATCTCTTGGGCGCTTTGGTGTGGTTTCTTTGACTAGATTATCAAGTATGCTTTCTTCCTGGCCACTTTGCGCTCTACTAGATATGTCTTTAGTCCCAAAAGAATAAGGAAGTATGCTACTATCTATAAGAATCTGATTCCCAGATTCATCGTTGTATACATTATACAAGACATGATCTTTATGCACTTGAATCTTAGTTGAGTATATATAAATTCGGTGGCTTTTATATTTCATATAAAATAATTTTCCAAAATCATCTATATAGAATGTAGTAACTATTATGCTTTTTTGTTCTGGAGCAGTTTGATGGTGTGTGCCACTTTCATGATTTTTTGAATTTGGTGCTGTATTTTTTGAGGCTAATGATCCATTGAACGATTCCAACATTCTATTGCATTCTTCATTAGATACACCAGAAGCTAAGTCATTGTTATCTATATTTTCGAGTAATTCTTCAATCTCTACTGTACCAAAATAACTGCATTGGTTGTTTGCAGCATGCGCTCCGAAAATCATCCAGATGCCTACGATGCATAGAACAACAATCGTATGAGCTTTAATGCGGTCATTTGTTTTTGTATAGTATGCCATTAATATGTTTTTTAAAAAAAATTTAAACTCTTTAAATGGCTTGTTTTGTTAATTTGATCTCACCGGCTTAATTAAAACTTTTAACTCTTTCTAACTAATAATCCTTTTAGTCTGCTCTAGCTCTTGCAAACTAACATGGCTATCTCCTAATATCAGAGGAGTTTCCTGCATGCATACGCTAGAACAAGCACTTATTTTACGTTTAGACATAATCACATCAAAAGCATTTCTAGCATGCCTCAGCATACCTCTATGGTCTTGGCTCTATATTTTCTTTTTCTTGAAGGAAGCTTTGTGCATAATAGTGCAAAAACTTAGCTGGGAAATTAGAAGGTTCTCATATTCATCCTAATAAGCCAATAAATGTGTTCTGCCAATTTTTGAAAAGAAACTTTAGTCTTTGTGTATTTAGTCATTCTTGCCTTTCTCTCTACTCTGCTAGCTTTCTGTATATTTATAGCTTAATTTCATAAATAAAATGTAAATTGTCCTACTATTTTTTATAAAAATGTAAAATATCTTTATTGTTTCCTCATAAGTAAACACTTTAATATTATTTCTATTTTTCGAGAAGAAACGCGGAAAATATAAAAAAAGACAAAACTCAAAGACCCCTTAGTGGAAGGGTGCTAAAGTCCTTGAGTTTAGCCATAGGCAATATCTAGCACTACGCAGCACAAAGAGAATAAAATATGGTGCGCATTGGATAAAAATAAGTGTTATTGCGGATAGGACACAGTAGTATATAGTATAATGTGGTCTATCTAGAGGAAGCTTGTTGGTATGTAATTATGCGTTTCTAGTTGTGCTAGATTGGCCATGTTGAATAGTTATTAAAGAGTTTAAACCAACAAAGTCTATTGCATTATTACTTAAAAATACTTTATTTTATTTCTGCTAGAGTTTACCAACACACTCTGTTATATGTATTGGTATGGTTATAAAGTGCTTGAAGGTTAGTATTGAAGCTTTTGGTTGGATTGGTTGTGATCTTGCGTGTAGGTGCTTTTGGTAGTGTGATAATAAGTAGGTGCCAGCTTCTAGCGATTTTATTCTACTCGGTGTAAAAAGCTCTATCTTTAGTCGTTCTAGAAGACTTTCTGACAAACTTTTTAGTAGCTGTCTTTGGTGCTGGTTTTCATGTTAGCACTGTTTCGGGTTTTCGTGTTGCTTCCAATCTGATCGTTGATATTATTACTGGTGTGGATTTATTTTTGTTATGGAAGAGAGCAGCTAGCATGTCATAGTGCATTCCAAGGTTTGCCTGCGTGTAGTTAAAGGTTTTTACTGTGATAAAGACAGAAGTACTCTCTTTTATGTCTTTAATATCAATTCGTGGAGGGAGAATATCACTTTCACAGATTGCATATTTAGACCTAAGCTCACCATCAATGTTCTCACTCAAAAGCCTTCGCATTTTCTCGCACATAATTGGAACCGCAACTTCCTTACCATCTAAAAATCTATGATAGATGCACAAACCGTATGTGACTTTGTCACCCGATGAACTCTCACTCTGCAATATACTCAGAAGTGTCGAGACAGTTGTTTTGTCACATTTGTTTTGGTCTTTTTTCTGAATGTTTTGGTTTGGATCTAAAATAAGCCAGTAGCTTGTATACTCGCTTACACTTTTCTTTATCTGTGTAATCCATTTTATAGATAACTTCGGGGTATTTAGGGATACTTCGTTTGTAGAAAACATACTAAAACATTCTGCTGTGCAGACTTTTTTTTCATATATATTTAGAATGAAAAAGTCGCTGTAGTAGTAGTCAATATAGCTTCTTTCTAGTTGTAATATATTTGTGTTTTTTGTTGCATCAGATGGATTCCGACTGTTTATATCAGTATGAATATTCGCACGAAAAATAGTATTAATCTTTATATTAATAGAGCTAGAGATAAATTGGAGTAAATTAATATAAACTAAGCTATCAGCTATGTATGGCCCCACTGCAGTGTTTACTAGCATGAATTCTGTGAGAAATAGAGGAATTCTTGGCGCTTTCTCGGTTTTTGAAGCGACGGGGCACATAAAATCTACGGGCACAAAAAGTGTTTTATCTATATCCTCTTTAAAGTAGTAGAAGACTACATCATATCCACAATTATTCACTTTATGTATAGTAGTAGTCAGGGATATTTCGTCTGGTATTTCCGCTTTTTCTTTGTTTATGAGTAACCAGGTTTTATCGATTCTATCGTATTTAAATGGATAAACATTAAAATCTGAACTCTTCTCTGGATAGGTCGACCTCAGTATAGATTTTATGTACTCTACTATACATTGAATTGAATGAGTTTGGTCTTTGTGAATCTTAGTAAAAGAAGGATTTATCATTGGAATAGGAATGAGTTTTACTGTGTGGCGTGTGTTGTCAACTAGCTGCACATGATAGTGACCACTGCTTGCTATGTTTAAAAATTCCGTATTAAGCTCTGAATTGAAATACCTAAAATCTGATACAAGTTCACTCATTTGATTTTCCTGCTGATTCGGCATAGGCAACTCTACAGTTTGTATATATCCTTTAATCTGTGCCCTTACAATTGCTCTTTTTCCACGCAGTCTGAAGACACCACTCTTTGGTATGTACGGACAGTAGGACTGAAAAATTCTTTTAGTGCGTGCTTCTTTTTTTTCGGGATTGTCTTCTTCACTTTTAATATCAGCTACACAGGTAAATGGTGCACATTGGTAAAATGAACAAAACACATTATAGACAGCCCTATATACCTCCATAGTAGTGCAGGTACATATAGATTCTTCGTTCACAAATAGCGATTTAACTTCATTATACGCAATATTCATTTTGTCAGCATCATCATTCACTAAGTAGTATAAGTACTCTATAATGCAGAAAACCCTGCTAGTATCTGAACCAAATATCTTTTCCATTTCTTCTTTTGTTTTTACCAGTATCTCGGGAGTTATCAGAACCAAGTCTCTGAGCACCTCTGGCAGCTTTAGAATAAAGTGCAGCTTTTCTTTTAGTGCTGCATCATCTATTGAGCATTCTTTCTTCATCTTCTCAGTTTTTGCATAGATAATAGACATACTGTTAGCCCACCACTTAAGATCTGTTTGGGTCTCCTCATATATTTCTCCAAGTGTCTCTGGCTCTGTTTTAGACACGGAGCATATGTTGTTCTTACTGCTATCTGTGTAGTCGTATTTTGCTCGGATGTGCTCTGTATTTATGTGACTTTCTATGTATTCGTTCAAGCCCTCCAAAAAGGAATAATAATATTCTAATTGCTTATTTATATTTTCTTTTCCTTTTTGATTAATCAATTGTTTAATGCAGTTTATCTTTTGATTTAGGGAGACATGTGTTGATTTAATTATGAAGCGCCATATACCAACTATATTTTTGTTATTCATTGATATAACGCAATTACATTTTGGATTTTCGTTATTTATGGCACTATTATCAAACCAGTATGAAAAACCATTAGGTTTATCTCTGATTAGGTTAGAATGTGCTATATTAATGTACTGTTGGATACTTGTGTATATTTTTTTATGATGTCTGGTTATAATGAATCTATGTTTGGCAGATTTACCATTTTTTTCCTTAATTTTTGTATTTCTGGGATTTTCTACATCCGAATAACTATTTGAACTTGTTGAAGCATAAGTCCTCTTCCGCTCATTCATTGGGAGTGCTCCAGCTGGACTATTTAATGCGTACTGTGCAATACTACTGCCTGTGTATTTGCCACTGGCATAAGGATTGATTGCAATATTTATATAGACCAGGTTGCCCAAAGCGTCAGTATATACTCTATAAAATATTTCGTCGATATTGGCTATATACTCGGTGAAGTGTATGTATATTTTATGATTTGTTCTATTTATATAGAATAGCGTTCCATCGTTATTTAGATAGAATTTGCGAACTACTGTGTATGTTTTCTTTTTAATGCTCAAATCAAGTGGCTCTTCTGGATTATACGCCGTGTCATTTTTATAGATTTCTTGCAATGCACTTGCCTGTTCTGTATTAATTTCTGTACTGTTACTATTATATTCAGTGTTTGCAGCGCGCGCCCTGAAAAACATACAGATGACTACCATACATAGAATACCAATTATGTGAGTTTTGAAAGCTTCACTTGTTCTTACATAAGATACCATAATGCACTTTCTAAAATTTAAACTTTTTAAATAGTTTGTTTTTTTAATTAATCCCAATTCCTTAATTAAAACTTTTGATTTCCTCTAATTGACACCTATTTTAGTATGCTCCAGCCCATACGAATCGTCATAGCCATCCCCTGGCATCAGAAGTATGACACTGCATGCATAGACTAACCCAAGCATATACTTTAAGTGTAGATGCAATCGCATTATAGGTAAATGTGATAAAACTCCTATTCCCCTGGGATTTTCCTTCTATTCCAAAGGATTTCATACTAGAATGTGTGCAATAGGATTGCAGAAAACGCATAGTTGTGTTCTCCAAATAAAACTAGACTTTTTTCTGCAAAGGACACAAAATACCAGAATAGTCAAGACAAACTCTGAACAAGAGCAGAGCTCAAATATATTTTATTAGAAAAGTAAAAGTTCTTTACACAGCATGATATTAAGCTCGCGGGATCATTATTTCTAGACTACATCTCTTCTACCACTATGTTACTATAAGTGGTGGGGTAATGTATGCTTTCTGCTTAGTAACTTTAAATACACATATACCCGGATTTATTTATAGAAATTAGCTCCAGTGTTATAAAGCCATAGAAAAATAAACTAGCATTTATTCATAATAAAAATCCAGTACATTATTTGATTTAAATTAGATGCCATGTGTATATAGAGGCCCATTCAATAAAGTAGATCTTCAAGTTTTAATATGTTTACATTTGGATGTATTTTAAAAAGTATTTTCTATTTGCTGAGCTGGCATATAGAAAAATAGTATAGAGATGATCAATAGTCTATTTAAGTATGCATATTGGATAAATCTACTTGACCATTTAAAAACAGAACTTTTTTAGTTCACTGGATAGCTATCCATGCAAGATACCTATAGAAAGCGCGCCAAAGTGATCTATTTATAAACTGAAATAGCTGACTTTTAAGGAAAATGAAGAATGCAGAACTAAAACAGTTAAGGAAGAAGTCTTTTTCTAATTTGCATATAATGATCCGCAAAATACTTCTGATCCTAGCAATGGCGCGGAGTGTTCTTACAAGAGTTAATATGGAAGATATAAAGGCAGTCAGTGAGACTTTGGTTGGAAAGGCGCAAGACGTAGTGATTAATCCAAATGGGCCATTAAATCTACAACGCGGTTACATTGGGCACCGAAGCAGATACATGTACAATAAGCGGTTTTATTCCTCTGAAATAGACACAGACTATTTGTTGAAGAAGGATAAAATATCTCGTTTTGGCCAGCAAGAGTATACATTTGCAAGAACACCAGTCAATGACAGATCATATAAAGAGTTGGATACAAAGAGTTCTAGAGAAAAGTATCTTAGTACTTATCATACACAGCTCATAAAGATGTTTCCTTCAATAGATGGAGACCTTTCCATTGAGGCAGGGAGGCCAAACGCGCTTACGAACTTCCTAAGAGCAGATCACGTTAAGAAGGATACCAAGTACATTCTTGCTGCGCTGCTGCTTCTCTCAGAGGGCGTTGACATTAAAATAGATATAGATCATACAGGAGACAAAAAAAAGCTTGTCATAAAAAGTAAGAAAAGCAAGGAGAAAGTGTTTGTGAATGTGGAAATGCATACTACAGGTATAGATCCAGTTACCAATGAGCACAGTGAGAGCATCTACCAAAGTGAGGCAGCTGAAATTGTTAACTTCTATAGACGCTGTAGAGATAATCCGCTGCTAAAGAAGGGGGGCGAGTTTGCAATGCCTTCTTGTAAAAAAGAGTTTGAGAGCGGGAATTTTTTAAACAGTGCAGCCTTCCTTATACAGACGTACATCTACGAGTTTATTGACACAGCAGAAGACTACAAGGACTTTGTAGAAGCAGCGCATGAACTAATGGGTGATCAAGTAGTTGAAAAGGAAAACCCCGAGCAGACTAAGAAGAAAGGCAAAAAAGGCAGAATATTCGATGAGCTCTTTCTAGCGAAAGATGCACTTGGCGAAAATATAAAGTACATTGAATCGTTCTGTGATCTTATACAGGCTAAAAATGAAGATGCTAAATTTCCCTTCTGCAATGATAGTCAGCTGCCGCAGTATACTAGAGTGCCACGATACAAGAAGGATAAATCAGGTTTTGAGTTAGATCAGTCCTTTTACTATAGTGACTGCGTAGAAACAGCTCTGCTTGGACTGTTCTGCTGCCTGGCATATAATCCAGAGACTGGAAAGTACGAAACCTGCCACATGGGAAAGGGAGTAAGCAAAGAGTTGAGAGACTTCTTTGAAAAGTATCCAAAGCCAACAGAAGCCACAGACTTTGAAATGCACAAACAGTGGAGCAGAGTTGTTGCTTGTTTGGATAATCATGAAATTGACTACAAGAAAGAGAAAAATGAACTTATAGCTGGGATTGGAAATATATTCCTGGCAATTGCAGAAATAACAGGCCAGAAGGAGGGAATGCTAAAACTAGTTGAGTATATAGAGACTGCATGTAAAGCAGGGGAATTCGATAATATGCAGAAATTTTACATTAAGAATAAGATAGAATCGATTATTAAGTCTCTGTCACTGAATAAGAACGTGAGAGTAGAATGCAACCAGATGGCGCTTGGACAGAGGTCAAATGGAAAAGCAGATCTTTTAGCTGAAATTAAAATTATTTATGTGTTTGATGGAGCAGAGAATGGAATTGTTTTAAAAGTAACAAAAGGGCATGGAATTCTTACTCTTCTTTCATCCTTAGATGCCAATTCTGCATACATTATAGAAAAGTGTGAAGAAGTAAAAAATACTTACAATGGAATTGAGTCCTATATAGAATATATTGTTGTTCGATATATTGATGCTGAGTTGAATGATTTAAGATCTATCAGTTGCATGCCCTCAAATGATCTTATAAAAAGCATAGATCCAATATTACAGGATATGCCTAACAATATCTCTAAAATATTCCTATTCGGAAAGCTTGCTAACACTAGCATTAAGGCGCATATTATAAAGCTTTTTATAGTCTCTACAATCAATAATGAGCTAGACCCAACTAACCCTGCGGCACGCTTTACTGCAAACATTTTAGGAAGTGTTCCGCTCAATGATTCTCTAACCCGCCGGCAAATGATGAAATTCTTCCCAATACATCCAAAATGGCAGGAATACTACCCAAAACTTGGATATAAGCCATCTGAGCATCTACCTGAAACAGAGATTATACATTTGAGCTCATCAGAAATATATTTTTCAAATTTGCTAATATCATGCCCAGTCCCTACTACCATAAAAGCTATAGGCAACTATTTTAAAGCAACTATGGATTACCGCAAAATGCATTATATGGCAAGGTATTTCATGTCCTCAAAGTCTGTATTTAATCATATCGCATCTGAAGGCCTAGACAGCTTAGTGAAAATTCAGTCCATTCTTAATGAAACTAAGGACTTTTACATTTTAAACTTTGTATACACTTCCTGGCTTTTTCACATATGTACAAGCAACTGCGAGTTCACACCGGACCTTATTAAAACAGTTTACAACTTTATACTATTTGATCATCTGCAGGATATAAGTGATTTCAAAGAACTAGGGATATCTAGTGTAGGATTCAGAAAATGTGTAAGTTTTTTGAAAAAAAGAAAGAGTCTTTTGTGCACAAAGAATGACAAAAAAAGTATAAAAAACTATGATAAACTGATATTATACTTTAAGTTTGCCATTAAGCGCAAATCTTTTTTCTGCTTATGGTAAAATTCCCACTTCACAGGAACTTTTTTGCGGCTGCAGAAGGTGCAGAATTAAAGTTTTTGCAATTTAATTGCAGAAAAGGTCCTGGGAATAAACTTGGGCTTACATCTGTAAGACACATAAAATACCAGGATATCCAGCACAAACTATAAATAAGAGCCTGCTTGAATGCACATTTTGCAGCATAAATAAAAGTTCTTTGCTTAACAAGATGCTTTCTCTATTAGTCTACTATTTAAAAGCCATTATGGTTCTTCCTCTATAACCCGAAGAATACATCAGACTTCCTTTTTTCTTCCAAAATATATCCATACACTGCAGCTTATTTAAATATACATATGCGCTTGTATATTCATATAGTAGCCCTTTTGTGGTTATACTTGAATTCCTCTCTACAAATAGAAAAAGCTGTATTGTATAGAATAAACTCATATACTGCAGAATAGTATATTTTCAATAATGGCCTTGGCCTGCAGGTCATGGGAAACCAATAATATAGTAGAAAATTCATTAATTGCAGGCTATAAATAGTTCATCATTTTAGAACAATTACCAGCTTAAGTCAAAATGCATAGCACATTCCATGGATCTGAAGTGCTAAAGAAATAATAATTTCAAGATCACCCCTTAAGGTAGAGAAAAACTTTGTACTTTAGACCAAATGCTTAAGCTGGTAAAACATTCATATATACTTAAATAATTTTATTTCTTCTGCAATGAATGAAAAACTCATCTCTTTCTAACAATAAATATTCGGGCTGTGTATGGTTTATGCAGAATTTTCTTAAATACTTAGAGCGCATTCGGGTTATATTATAAATGAAAGTAAGAATGGGGCAAAGAAAGAGCAGAATGCAAAACCATTACATAGAATATAGAGAACTATATATTGACTATATAATCCAAATTCATATAGATATTCAGAATTAAAAGAGTTGGTTTTCCATGCTTTGGGGTAGAAAACCTTCTTTTGGGTTCAGCAAAGAAAGGCAATAACTATCTATTGACTTCTCAGGGTTTTGGTCGTAGACAAATACACTGCATGGAGTTTTGCTCCCTTTTCAGGCTCACTTTAGTAATTTGGGGTTGTGATCACTTTGTGGCATACTTCTATCGGCATCACGGTACTAGCTCTTTGAGAACCATGGAATTGGTTGACAACCGACTTGAGAACTATAAATATGCAACGATAAGTAAATTAGATGCCAAATGGGAGAACAAGTGTAACATTTCAGAGAAAACTCAGCTAAGAGTGCTCTTTTGCTTAAAACTCCTTACAGTGGTCTTAATATTGAACTATTTTCTATAAAATACAATGCATAATAAATACCATATAGAAAGCATCCAATTATAGAAGAAAAGCCTATTAGTGGAATAGCACAACATACCTCATATGTATTATTAACAAATAGTCTATGGCTTCTTTATTCACACCCAAATATTATTAACAAAAGCATTCTTTAAAGCCGGCATTCTCCCAATACATGCACATATGGAAAGTATCTGCCTGGAAATAGCGCACACATCCTATGCATCTTTACATTATATTCACCCTAAGCACTCGCTGCACGCCAAAAACATGTGCAAACCCTATCTGAAATACTATATTTGTGCTAAAGTATTTATATTGGAAAAGTATAATAAAAAAACACTGCTATATTGCAACCAGAATGGTATTAATTATGGAAATAACCCAAAACCAGGAAGTCTCAAAGTATTTCCTAATATCAGAGGAAAGGCCTTCAAAGAAGGAACCATCTTGTTTAGAGAAGTAGGCCAATGCTAAGTGTGCCACAAATATAAAAACGTGAATGATACAGTAAATAAGAAATGCAGTCTCTATGAATGTTTTATCAAACGGGGAAATTACTATGTACACTGTCTCAAAGGAAATCCAGAGCGTCAACGCGCATATAAGCCCATACACAAAAATTGCAGTTGCCCTAGGAAAGAGTATGTGTGACACTACTAGTGAACAGCTTATGCCTGCGCTGACCAGAATGCACATAAGTATGATCTCTAAAAAAAGAAGAATACCCACAGCGGAACACGCTGCTTTCATTCCTGCTCTTTCATAGATTTCTACGCAGCATAAAAAGATGACTATAAAAACCATGGTATAGACAGAGCCGTGGAGAAGTCCTTTAAGAATTTGAATAATTATCTTGAAATTTGCAGGCAAGCATCTCTGTCTGTGTATAGACAAGCTTTTATCCAGGCCTGCCAACCTCCTCTCACAGATATCTCGTATAATGCTAGTGCTGCTGCTCATCTGGCTAATCACAGCCCATACCGCTATGGTCATAAATGAATATTTCATGAGCTGGCTTACGTTGAAAGTTTCTGCACTGTTTATCACATGCGCTATACTAATTATTAAATCTGATAGAGATGATCCAAAATATTTAAGCACTAGTGAGCTATTTCCAATGCTGTAAGATATATTTTCCATTGTATTTTACCAGCAGTCTTCCGTTTTATACTAGAGTACCACATTTCTAGATAACCAATGAGAAGCAGCATTTTCTACTTATAGTTGCATATAGTGTTTATTGGTTACAGGGTATTTATGCAGCCAGTGCTCTTTTTCTTTGCAAATGCATAGCAATTATTTATATTATAATAGAATCTGCAGCCTGCATTTTTTCTTAATTTTCTGCATACTAGAACTTATATGTATTTTCAATTTACAGACCTTTGAAGCACTATCTTGGGGCCATTGTAACTCATGAATAGAAGTATGCCTCTTTATATTATATATCCGATTCAGCTATAGTTTATGTACTGCTAAATTGGCATAGTTCACCTAGACCTAACAGAGATGATATCCTTACCCCACATGTGCTATAAATGGAATCCTGTAACATCACCTACTGCAATTATCTTTGCCACCACTCTATTCTTATGCGATACACCGGAAAAGACCAAAAACCTATCATTCAAAACATTGAACACCTCATCTGATATGTGCCGCGGCAGCATGTATATTCGCAGGCGAGTTGTTTTTCTGTATATTTCTTCTAACTCCATGACTCTGCATAGTTTAAACAGCTTAGCATCAGAAATCTTTTTGTAATCAATCCCTCCCCACGGGGGCGAGGCCATGAGCACGTCATACCCATTATCTAGATGCTGCAGCAGGGCAGGATCGTACACACTAAAGTGCAGGATCTTGCTGTTCGGGGAGGTAGTGCATTCTCGTATATTGTTCTGTAGGCACCGAATCTTCTTGTAGTCTATTTCAACAGAGTGCACTATGTTTTTGTGTCTAAGAAAGGAAATCGTGTTTCCTCCTACTCCTGAGAAGAGGTCAAGAATCTTTGCAGGCCCTCCAAATTTATTCTTTATTCCAACCGAAATGCGCTCCGCCAAGTCAGCAGGCGTAATTGAAAACCACGACTCTGAATCTAATAGAAAGCTATTGTTCGCAGTCCACGGAAGCAGCGTGCTTGTGTTTTTCATGTACTTATATAGCTCTGGGTGGAAGCTCCCCGTGTAGTCGTACACCGACCACCTGCCTAGCTTTCTTCGTATAACCCGGCACTGGTTGTAAAACATGAGTGCAAATTTTTTATTGCATAAATGTGGGGGACTAGCTCAGAGGTAGAGCGCTCGCTTAGCATGCGAGAGGTGCCGGGATCGATACCCGGGTTCTCCATTTTCTTGTTTGTGCAACCTGCAATGGCGCAAAAATACTATATGAAGGCTTTACTTCATTTTACTGCGCAAGCATCTTTTTCTTTAATCTTTCGTGCACCAACTGCCCTTCCCTGCAGTCGCCTGCCTCCTCTTTTTTTTGCAAAATACACTTGATCCAAATGTTCACTCTGTTTAATAAATATTTTATTTTTATTTCTTCTTTTCTGCGCCTGCGCTTTCCTGCTGCTCTATCAGTAAATTACAATACTTCATTAGCTCTAGACACTGTATTTCGCTCTCCTCTAGCCTTCTTTCTAACGAGTCTATTGTTTGCAGTAGTATCTTTCTTCTTTTTTTCTCATAGTCCAGCTCTGCCTGCGTTTTTATGCTTTCCAAAATTCTTAGCTCTGATGTTTCCTTGTCTTTTTCTCGCTCCTTTAGCCATATCTCGTCTTTCAGTGCAATAATTTTTTTCAGTTTGTTTATCTCATCAACAAAAGTGTTTGTAGTGCTGGCTGCCTCCATTTTATTCTCTAAGGACCCTGTTCTCTTGCTTTCCATGCCCTCCTCCATAGATATGGAGAGCCGGCTCAAGTCCTTCTCAAACTCTTCTTCCTCATCCAGAAGAAAGCTTTCAGACTCCTCTTTTTCCTGGCTGGCAGCTATCTCCTCCAGCTCCACATCCTTGCTCTCTGTCTCTTGCTTTTTCTGCTTGAAAAGCCCACTTATGTTTCCAATCGACGTGTTCAGCATTTGAATTAAACTTGTTTTCTCCTTTCTTTCCATAAATAAAATAAAAAGTAATTGCATTTTACTAAATACCATCTTTCCGGCTGCTTTCTCTACCCACCTAGTGATTTGTGTCTTTTTTGCAGGCGCCTGCATCCTCCCATAATCTACTGCATAAAACTGAACCTGCCTACCTAAAATTATGCAATTATTTGATTTATTTTTAGAAGAAAAATTGCCAAAACAGACTTTTGCGCAATTAAAGCATTTCATCCATCTTCTAATTGGGTGTTTCCCAGAAGGCAGAGATAATTTTGATTGGTGCACACAATGCCCAAAGCAATTTGACGTGTAATAGAAGAAAATAATTTGTCTACGCATTTTCTATTTTAAATACAAATAGCCAATTATATTCCTCGGCTTCCACACAGGCCTGCGCCATATTCTATGTGCGCCCTATACAGCATATAACAATAGCTTCTTTGCGCTCAACATATTGTAGAAGGCACAGATGCCAAAAACGCTCACTATAAATCCTCCTTCACTGTGTACTGTCCATTTGTCGGCTTCTCTGCCTCTTCTTCATTGTGTTGCTCAGTGCCCATGCCCTCGTTAGACTCTTTAGTATTTTCTGAACTCTCTACATGCCCTACACTGAACTTGGCGCTATTGCATCCTTTCCGCGAGCAGGTATTTTCTATCTTCTCCTCTACGCTCTTTTCCTCCTTCTTTTCTTCATCTGAATTCTCTTCTTTTTTCTCGCTTTGAGCTCTGGGCACTGCGCTCAGCACAACATATTTTTCTTTGGTTGCTAGTGCATTGCCACGCACAAGAAACTTATAGCTACATGTTGATGTCTCTACTGGCCCTGATAGCTCAAGCTCTTCTGAATCTGCCATGTAGTGCACGCTTCCTTTCCAGCTCTTGCTCTTGCAAATATCACATACATCGCCTCCTGTATACTCCTGTATTATCCGGTCTTTTTTTACATAGCTTCGACTATAATACCCCACACTCACCTCTCCGTCATCGTTCTGCAGCTTTATGCTTTTAAACGGAATCAAAATAATTTTATTGTTTCTGTCTGAGTGTACTAGCTCTTTCCATGCCAGCCCCAGCAGCTTGTCTATCTTATCTATAAGAGGAATGGCTTTGTTCAGTTCAGTTCTCACTTCATTTTCAACAAACTCAATATTCATATTCAAAAATGATGGAGCACCTGGCTGTGTAGGCATGCCAGGCATAACATTGGTCTTATTCTGTATTGTATAGTATTCTCTGTCTAGATTTTCTATATCAATGCACCTTACAGATAGAATGCACAGTGCTAAGAAAACCACAAAGCGCACCATAGTAGAAAATAAAAATATATATTGCTAATAAAGCATAAAAGAGCTTTAATCTTATGAATAGGTCACATTTTCAATAGGTAATCGCATTCATATGTAGATGGAGAACAAAAAGGCGCTTTTGACTATTTATACAGATATAGAAGAATATAGTAACAGCGAATAAAAGCGTCTATACAGATACTCAATAAGCACATAAATACGCTTAGGCGTGCTATACGTAAAATAGCATGGGCAGTGATGTATATGCATTCTAAAGAAGAAAAGTTTAAATAAGCTCCATACTGAAGTTAGCTAGTATACAGAGATTCTTTTTCTTTGCAGTTCAAACATAATAAAAATTACTTAATAAGATACGTTTGGTAAAGAAAACTCATGAAAATGCACTTTAACATGGGAAGCTGGATCATGAAGATGCAGTAGTATATAAACTCATATTGTTTGTCAAGTCAGAACTATTTTTATATTTAAAACAAGAAAAATCTATTATTCTTGACCTCCATATAATTAAAAAGCTCTTTATGCGGGCATACATGAGACTTTCTTTTTTTACTAATATTCTTTTATATAACTAGAAGTACAGAAAGAATTGCTGCATCTGCCATGCTGCATATCCAGAAGAGTGATATAGCGTCAGTTGAAGCAGTAGAAAAACTATTTTAGCTATAAATAAGCATTTATAATTATAAAAAGCATTCTTATGTGCTACTCTTATTCTATGTTTTCTCTGCACGCATTTCCGCTGCAATCATTAAAGTATACACCATTTAAAGCTAAGTTTTTAACTTTATACTTTAAAGATATTTATCATATCCACTTCTGTTTTACTTTTCTTTGCTATTATTTTATACTTAAGAAATGCAGCAAATTTACACACTATTTTTACATAGTTCTGTGAAATTATTACCTTTCAGGAATATATCTCTAACGCATAGTAATCTTTTAGTCATAGCACCTGCACAGCATATTGCTCATGTAATATACTATTCAAAAGAAACACAAAGATTTATGCTCTAAATAGTGCAGCTTGTAAACGAATTCAGAAAAAAATACACATGCTATAATGGCTTTATACAGCAAACATATTATTTAGAAAATTCTGCTATTAAAGCGAGCTATCGATGCAGTATGCGTGTCAAAGTTTATTTCTGTGGGCGGCTCTGCAGTTTATTCGATATAAAACAAGAAAGTGGCTGTTAAAACATTTCATATTGGATTAAGTCTAAGTGGATTCTTTGTTTTTTAAAGAAATTTCAAGTATGCATTCTTTTTTGTTATTTGGCTCTTTCTTTATATTTGGGAATCTTTTTATTATCTTTATATAGATCTGTGTACATATCCTATTAGTGTTAGCCTTCGCAGATATAGCCCAAATATAATCTGAAAGAAGATAATATTAGAAAATAGACTTTGTGAATGTCTAATAAAAACTCTTATTTCTTCCTGCTATTTATGCGTATATTTCTATATTTTTATTTTTGTATTTTTCGTATAGTTTCAAACTTGTTAACATCTGTATAGATGTGGAGAGGTTTTTTAAATAAAATTGGCAAAGGACAGGGAAAATCAAAAAAAGCACTAAGTTTGAAGACCCTTCAACAAGAGGAGATGGACTGGTGTGGTTATGCTGGTGCACACGAGAGGTCACACGCGCACAAGAAAGATCAAATCCAGGCCAAGCCACATGGATATATGTATATCTTGCATAAAGGAGGGGGTATCCTAGTATTGCATTCACTTTTTAATCTAATTGCCGGGCTTTGGGCCTAACTATTTGTTTGTTTATCACCTAGTGCGTATAATTAGGTTCTATTTGTGATGTGCAGAAAAAATGCTTGCAAAGAAAGACCACTCGAAAGCTCAGAAGAAAAGCACGTCCATTGCAGGGCGTATGAAAAGATTTTTCCTTGGCGCATTCAAAAGCAAAGCAAAGGTTTCTGATGCCGCAGAGAGCCCTTTGCCCTGTGAAGAGACACTTCGCAAGGGAGGACTGTCTAAGACATCTTCTCTCTGCACAGGCACACTCGCTATGCAGGCCACGCAAGAGACAGACATAGTCCAAAGCACAAAAAAGAAGCAGAAGATCACAAAGAGTGCTCTAGAAAGTGCGGTAGACAGGCCTGTATATCCAGAAACATATGGTCTGGATGAGAGGTCTGCGCCTGCAGAGCAGCCTGCACACATAGAGAGCTCATCTGCACAGAGCACCGCTTTAGAGTGCGAGCTGCCGCTAGAGCCTTCTGCTGATGCAAACTCTCCTGCTAATGCTTCTAATGCTGCAAACTCTCTACTAGTGGGAGAGCCGGACACACAGGCAGAAGAAGTACAAATTAAAAAAACACAGGCAGAGAAGGAGCACGCAGAGCTGCACGCGCTTGTGTCCTTTATGCGAGAGATCGAGAAGATTGCACAGGACACAGAGGCAATGGGCGATGTTGCGTATCTTCCTGTAATCCTCTTCTTCACTCTCTCCCAAAAGGGTTTCTCCCTCACAGACGACCTTCTACTCTCCAGCGAGAAGTTCCACAGCATAAGCCAGGGCCATTCAGGGCACCGCGCTCTGATGGACGAAACAGCTGCAAACTGCCTTGTGTCTGAGGCCCTGGCACCTCTTGAGACCATGGCAGAGCGCCTGGCTCTCTGCAGGCCTGCTCTTCTGGCATATGTCTCGCTGTGCAACAGTGTGCAGGCAAGCGTGTTTGTAGAGAACAAAAAGCACACAATGTCAGAAACTGCAATAGGCTTTGTTTGCGAGGTACTGAAGTACATTAAGTACGTCATCGCTGCAGAGCTGCTCCGGATAGACCTCTCTTCTGAGGACACGCCTGCTAAGAGCCCAGCCCCATACGCACACAGTGAAGCGTACTGCGACAGCGCCTTGGAGGACTCCAGTGAGCAGTCGGAGGAGGTCTACCCAGAAAGACAGGCAGCGCCCAAAGAAGAGGCGCTCTCTCTTCCAGGACAGGACGAGTCCTCTTTTGAGTCGCGCAGCCTTTCTTCCGGAGACGAGCTGGCAGACAACGTGCTCTTCAAAAGACAGAAAGAGAAGTACCAGAGCCAGGCCACTCAAGTGGAGCAAGCGGGCGTGCACATCAAGTAGACAGTGGCTGCAAAGACAGCGAGTACATGCACATCTGTCTCTTACTCTGTCCGTGCACCTACAGACACATTTCAGAAATAAACTGTGCATATACTTCTTCTTTTTCTTTGCAGCTCTTTCAGAAGACCCACCAGACTCAATAGCCTGCAGCAGTATAAGATATCCTGCCACACTCTTCAGCCAGGCAAGCCATTTAACTATGCTTCTTCTTTCTATACATAGGATATTCCTTCTATGCAGTACGCAAACACACACACGTGGTCTCCAATGCCAGGGAGCAAAGTAGCAATCTGCAGCGCGGTAGTGTGCGATACAGCACGGGCCGCAGTGACACAGCGCCTTTTTGCGTCCCTGGGAATGGGCGGGCTGAAAACAGTCTCTTTTTATTATTTTTGTGCATAAATACGCGCGAAATATTTTATTTATAGCAGCAGAGAACCTGAAGATCAGCAAAGACCAGAAAAGCGCAAGAGCGAAGGCGAGCACCAAAACAACATCATGGGGAAGGCAGGACACAGAAGAAAGAACAGCTGAGCGCCAGGACCACACAAGAAATGAAGAAAAGAAAGAATAACCTGCATACACACTTCCCCATGAACCTCCTACCATCAGCCCGATCACACAGAAATATCATGTCCAGCAGAAGCCGCCAGGGCACATGCAGTCCGTACACACAGTCCAGAAACAGAAGACCGAGATGAAGCGCACGACGAGACCCACCACAGTATTGTATAGCACGCAGTATGCATAGCAGCATAGCAGAGACATATGAGATGTCTCATAGAACATAGAAAGCGAATATTTTTGTGCGAGCAGAGAGGGAAACTAGAGAGCGGTCCGAGAACAGACAGATCAAGATCGTATTGCATGCGCGCGTTAGAGAGAAGGATAGTGAACAGTCGTACATGCATTTGACACCTATTTCGCAATAAGCAGTATGCCCCTTAGCAGCTGCGCCCGTTCCTGTAGAGGTATATCTAGCCGCTCTGTACTGCACGAGTCCACCACAGATCCGCGGGGATCTCTCTTTTACTGTGTAATTGCCGGGCACACTCTGCTGCAGCACTCGGGAGACAGCAGCCGAGAAAAGATGGCCTGGGCGTCTGTATGCCTTCTTTTCTCTGGAGATGGCCTCTGTCCTGCTCGATTGACAGAGCCCGTCTGCTTGGAGAGAAGGTGATTGCTATAGGCGTCACTGCCTGGCATGACAGCAGAGTCCCAGCCATGCGCTCCTGCCCAGCCCACCAAAAGATGTGCAGTGTTTCTGTGCTGCGTGTCTGAACAGCTGCAGGCCGCGCAGACACCGTGGCGCAGCGGAGGTTCTACACACGGACTTGTGAGCACCTGCTGCCCCGGGCTGCGCACAGCACAGGATGGCTGCATGTTGAATGGTCTGTGGTGTGGGCGTGCTGCTGTGTCCGTCTGAGTGCTTCTTTAGTGTGTGCATGTCCGTCACAAATAAATTTGGTATACCAACGCTTTTCTTTATTTACACATAGCTCTGCATAGACTTCTATTATGACAGTGGGCTGGTACACTGCCTCCCAAAATATGCTGCACTATAAAACTGTAGAATAGTGCTTTATTGCTGCTGCTATTACTGTGGCTCTGGCCTGGTATAAAAAATAGATTAATATAAACAGTTTATGCCATATGTATGGAAGTGACCTGCTTTTTTAATATATTGCGCACTATATTAATTTATATACGATGTAACCAAAAAACTATTGATGATAATTTTCCTATTTATATGGCTTCAAATCATATCATCTTGGGTGTATAAATAGTTTCAGAGAACTTGCAGCCCCTAGATCAAAGATAGACTGTTATTTAATTGTAGAACAGAGTGTGAAAGGCCCAGCACATGCCAACGCCTTACAGTAAAAGAAACCCGCACAAGCACTGCATCACAATACTATAAGACAAAGCAGCTGCATGCTAAGGCAACTCTTTTAATAACCACTCTTTCTCTTTTAGACAACTATTGCCTAGTAGGTGGGAGGATTTTCCTTTTACATCTGTATTTAACAAATTTTCATTATGAAAAGTAGATATATGAATCGAGTTATAGAAGAGAACAGCAATAATGCATTGAGATATTTAGATAGCTACAAGAGCGAGCTCTCAAGGAAAAAGGCTTGCAATACAGGAAAGTGCAGAAAGCAAGAGCACAGCGAAGAAAAAGGTGCTAGAAATAGCTTTGTAGGGCTACTAATAAAAATCCTTTTTGTGCTTGCCCTTCTCGCTGTGCAGCAAGTCTGCGCAATACTAACAAGAAGTGACGCAGAGAAGGTGCATCAAATGGTAGTAAATCCAGGGGAAATAGTCAAAAAGGTGGCCAATATACATGGCCCGCTAAGCCCATTGATGATGTATCTCTGCAACAAAAGAAATGATATTCACAAACTGCGATTCTATTCAAGCTATATATACCCAGGCTATATAGTCTCTAGCAAGGGATATGGCAATACATACAGAAGAAACCCAGATAAAGATAGTGCGCGGCATAAAGACTTAGAGTTAGGTAAAATGGATCATGCAAAATTCTTTTATATTCTAATGCATATGTTTCCTTCTCCTGATGGAGAGTTAAGCATTGATCCAGCAAGATACTCCATCAATTCATTTACAAAATTCCTGAACAGTGAAAATATAAAGAAGCATGCCCATACACTTCTTGCAACGCTTCTGCTAAGGACGGAAGGAATAGAAGTGCCGCTGAAGCTTAATAGATCTAATAAAAAAGTTTCGGCCGTTACACTAAGAAAAGTATGTATAGATGACAAAGAAATGGCGCAGGAAATGGGATGCATTGAGTTAAATCTATATAATCTGCATTATACAAAACAAAACCATACCACTAATCAATTAGAGTATTTTGACCAGGCTCACATCTTGGATGATATTATTTGCTATATTACTAGAACATGCGCAGACTCACAAGTTAATGCCTATAGAAAGGATATAGAGGGGGATTTAAAAAAAGAGTTCTGGGACAAATATTTTATTTCAAGCCCGAATTGGCTTATACAATCGTACATACACCACTATCTGCAAACCAAAGAAGAAGCTGTGCGCTTTAATAGGACTGTATACAAGATGGTGTCTGATCATATGATAGAGTGTAAAAAAGACAATCCGCACAGTCAAAAGCAAACCGCAGAGAGGTTCTTTAGAAGATGCTTTGTACCTAAATATAATATTCATAAAGCGGCCGAATATTGGGAAATGCTAAAGGAATTAGAAGACCTCACTATATGCCCCGAAAAGGCCAGATTATTGCCTCCAGATGATTTTCTAAGGCTTTTCTTTAAAGAAGAAGCTACAATACACATCCATAATAATGCGTATTTAGAAACAAATGTGTTTTTAACTGATGTTGAGTCTACATTGTTGGGAATGTTCTGCTGCTTTGCATATGAGCCAGAAAGCGATACCTACAGTCTTGACCATATACCCAATGCCCCGCAGGAGGCAAAGGATTTCTTTTCTCAGCTGTCATGCAGTATTAAAAAACCTTTCAATGAGTCATCCAAAGTGCAAGAAGATTTAAATAAGAGTGAATTAAATAGCAGAAACTTAAATGGAAAATATCTAAGCAAGAAAATGCTTAGTAGTATTCATATGGCTTGGAGAAAAATAGTTAGAAATATAAAGGATGAGGATGTAGCCATACATTACATGGCTCTGGATAATGGTAGCATAATTATAAAATCCGACATTCTTAATATCCTCACCATAATTTTAAAGCTTGTAGGGAGGTACGAAGAAGAGAAAAAGAAAATAGAATATCTTAAAGTTAAAGTGGCAATAGAACACCCATTTACTCATGAAAATCGACCAAAACATCTTATAAGAATTATAGAACAATATGCATCGAAATTATTTTCTTCTCTTTCCAGGAACTGTGTTCCATGCGCAAACAGACAGGAGTGGCGCGGAATCCAAGAATCAGATATAACCGGAAGACATGTATTTGTGGAAATTATAGCCCACAAATTAGAAAAAGATAGCTATCTGCCTGAGCTATATGGAAACATGGAGATATATTATGCGAATAGGAGCCAAGCACACGCTTTAGTCATGCATGCAATGACCCCTAAAATAAGCTATCTTAAAACTTCTATGCCAGCTATAAATCTAGATAAATCTACAAAAAGAGAAATATCTATCGCGAAGTCTAAAATAGAAAATATGAAAACGGATAGATTTTCCAAGTACATTCTTTTTGACTATGCTCACCATATAGAGGAGCACAGGCTCAAAAGCTATAGGATGCTTTACGCCTGCACAGATGCATATCAGAGCCTGAAAAGTACAAACGTTCTCTCAAATCAACCGTTGTTACAAGTGCTAGAACGTGTAGCTGCAAATACAGACAATCTAATTGGCTATGTTAAAGACTATGTATATACGCTTATAAAAGATAATTGCCCACTCAGCCATTGCATTTGTATTTTACATAACATGGTATTAGATCATGTAGAGGATAATATTGAGCTTCAGCTACTCTTAATTCTCTGCATAGGATACAATGACAAGAATATTAGAATACACTTTGACAACATAAATATTATTAAAGATATGGATCCCATAAAAGAAGATGATATATCACTTTGTGTCATAACAACTTTAATTAGCTGTGCGATGGAAAATAATCAACCACATGGCGTTGCAAATCTAATAGCAATATACGCTCAGATCTACTGGCATAATGACAGACAGTGTATAAGTAAAATAATGAAAATGTTTTATGATGACCAAAGAAGTAAAATAATTGAACATTTGCAGAGATATTGTTCTGTTGTTTTTGGCCCAATATAGGGCTAATCAATAAGTACAATGCATTGTGCGCCACAATTAGAGTCTGATATCCTCTTTGATATTGGACATTGCCAATTCTATGCTGTGCACTTATGGCATAGCATAATTATTTTACTTATAAAACCAATATACCAGGAACAGTCCTACTATTCCTTCTGAGACCTCTAGCAGTGGTGGTAGCACCTACAATAGAGTGGTTGCATATGAGAAGCCAGAAGTAAGCAGGCTATGCCCCGATATAAACAAGATTCCAGGTTTGCAAAGCAAGAATACAACTATAAGGGTTTAAGTCATACCTGCTATACGAGAAGTAGCCACACCACTCCTCATCTGCTCAATAAATGCTCTCTCAGCTAAATATGTTATTTTTATTTATATTCTATTCGGAGTATATCCTTTCCCATTGCACCGCATCAATGTATACAGCATAAATGATAACTACCTTCTTCTTGGTATACTATGAAAGATGTCTTCGCATGTTATGCCTCTAGAAGCTGTCTATTGAAAATGCACTTATGTGTGCTCTTTGCATATATTTTATGGAATGTAAAAGAATTGCTCTTACTATTCCTACAGCTAGAAAATACTACAAATGGCCACTCTTAGCTAGTTAAAGTTAGATATTTATTGAATTGCATTGCGTCTATTGCAGACGACAGACACTACAAGATATAAAACACCTCTAAAGCCCAGAGGCGTTCATACAGCCAGGCTTCTCTGAATGCATAGACAGAAATGCCATTCTCAAATACCCTTCATTCTGAATTCATAGTATGTGCACATAATTGCTGGACAGCATATGTTTTCGCTATATACACACACATAGCCCATACATGTCTTTTCTATGTGCATCTTGCATCATAGCTGTATAAGACATCTTTGGGCACATTTACATTTTTCTTAAGGGGCTTTTCTCTTTTCATTATAGAAGACATTAAGGTCTCTTCAGACACAAAGAGCAAACTAAACATATTTCTTAGTACTGAATGAAAAATTACAAGCTGATGCTTTGGGCAGCATGCACCGTGTGTAGGTTGAATACCAAAGCAACTACAGAGAAGATGAAAAGAATACCTGTGAAAATGGTAGTAGCCGAGACAGGAAGAGACCCTGTGCTTCTGAGCTTCTTTTTGTAGAACGCAGACACTTCATACTCAACCAAGGATACCAGAGCAATTAAAGCAGGGAACACATTAAAGGCCGTGATGAGCGCACTTTCTGGGCAGACATACTTTGCAGCAAAGAAAAACGCGTGGGCAAACAGCATGAACGGGTACTCAGCAGTAGAAGTGAGAATATTTGTGGTGATAAGAGACAGCCATGGGTTGCCGAGAAGCACGCCAGGAATGATCAGAATCAGAGAAAACAGAATGGACACAACTGTGTTCTCAACAGTCCTGAGTTTTCCTTTGTTTTTTCCTTCGCTGTCGTTCCAGGCAACAAAAGTAACTAGAGCAGAAGACAGAATGCAAAGAAGATTCAAAACCCCAGCAATGTCTTTGGAGTGTAGCCTGGATAGAAGGTGGTAGTTGTACAGCATTGCCACAGACAGAGCAGAAATAGAAACTATTAACTTGGTAAAATACACAGCAGTTTCATACAAAGATATTTCCTGTCTGTTCAAAAACTGCCTGTCTACCATGACTTGTTTCTGATTAGCTGTCTCTGCAACATTAGCAATATCATCATAAGTATTGGTTGAAATGTGAATCATTTGTGCTTATTCTCACGCATACCTAATATATACATATAAATAAGTACGCTTAATGACTAATTTAACTATAAAAAGTTCTATTGTCTATTTTCAGAAACTATAGTTTAAGAAAGCATATATTAATATTTACATTCCATATAAAATAGAGTCCTCTTTATCTCTGCTGGCTTTTTCTTAATAAACTACTATTAGCCAAACTAAGTTTTCTCCCTTAATATATTAGACTTATCTATACTCATTCTTGGTAATATTTATTTTCTGCTATTTATAGGCTTCCTCCAAAATAATATTAGATCTAGTCATAGAGCTTCTGGAAACTTCGAGAAGAATATCTTTTATGATATTATCTGAAGATGATCAATTGTTCATTCAATAAAAAATAAAGGGTTAAAAGTCTAAGCTATTCAAGGTCTCTGGTGCGTAAACAAGAAGAGTTCTTTGTAGCGTGCTGGTCTACAGCCAAAATGCTGGGATGGCAATAACTAGCATCAATCTACATTGCTGGGCCAGAGAGAGGACTTCATGCCTTCAAGTCAAGGAAATTCTTGTTTATATTCACTATCTAATCTTATTAATTTTATTCTATGGTCTTGTTCAGGAAAAGTCAGATCTTGTTTTCTGCATATAAATAGTGCTAAAAAGGGATTCAAACGGAGTTTAGCTGGTATTAACACACATACAGACTCTGTTTTATATTACTTATGCGAGCAAAGAACAGTTTCAATGCTAATAAGTGTGTACAAAAAAGTCTTCATACTTACAGGCTATCACAGCACGCAAAAAGAGTCTTTCTAGGTTATTTACATCTGCATTGGTTGCTGGAACTCATCTTATTCCATTGAAAATAGCTCTATGATACGCTGCATCTCCTTCAAACATAAGCACAAAAGAAAGACACTCTTTGGTATACATAATTGTGACTTTCTCGCACCTAGCTAGAAGACCGCTTAGATACTTTAGCGATGCAAAGTGAACAGTCACTCGGTCTGTTCCTTCTTGCAGAATATCTAAGTGGGTTATTTGCATGATGCTTGTATTGCTGGCTTCTTCGCTGTGAAAATACAAAATTCCTGCAGATAGATAAATGGAGGTTTCTATATCCTGTTGTAAAAATATAAACTTTTTAAACGCATCCACTTCCACAATCACTTTTGTATTCCATTGCTCTGGGATCTCATATGTCCAAAGATCCTGCAGCAGGGGCTGTATTGTATTTACAATTTTGTATGTGTCTGTTTCTTGCGTAAATACAAGTGACTCATCTATCTCTTCGATCTTTGTACAATCCGAAATGCCCGCTAATAAAACTTCAGTTGAATAAACGTGCGATACTCCAGACCCAGATGTATTAAAGTCACAAGTGCTTACAGCAGTGATTTTTGGGCTTTCAGAAACAAACTGAATTGAGGATGCTCCCACAGACACTCGGCATATATTCGAAAGCTTTAATGTGTTTAGTATTTCATTAAGCAAAGCAGACATAAATAAAATTTAGAAATTGAAAAGGAGTACTAATGTGCAAAATAGCACAAGCTGGTTCCTGCAGCGCAGGCTCTACACCTGGCCAGTAGAGAAAACAACCAGTCCCAAAGATATGCCATACTAGCAGACGCTGTGCTCTTAAATATTTATCGTTTTCTTAACCGCATGAATTACCGTGCTTATTTTGTCTCTTTATAAGTTTTAGAGGTTGCTTGTGCCTTATTATTGGGTTTTGCTATTTATATAGCAAGGTGGTGAACAAATAAATCAGTAATTTAAGGCGATAGTACAAGTTGGCCTAGATCTAAAAGTATATATATATTTTGCTAAATTTCTAAATAGTAGATAGACTAACTAAGCTCTTACTCAAGATATTTTTTAAAATGTCTTTTTCTCAAAGACTATTTAGTGGGCCTACCTACTCATAGATTCCAAAGCATCTTATACCTTTGCCACATATTTTTTTAGAAGGATTTAAGGAACTAGAAATCAAGAAGCACTATATGGCCAGGATTTTATACTAATACTCCTCGAGTATGTGCCAATTAAAGCTATTCGTGTTATAAAATATGGCAGTCTTTTCTTCCATCACAAAAATACCTTTTACAGATACTGTGCTACAAAAGAACTTCTATGGAACGCAATATTATAGCTAGAGCTCCAAAATAAGAAAAAAAATAGGATAATCCTAAAACTCATTTAAATGCTTCAGTTTATTCAACTGTCACAGACTTGGCTAAGTTTCTTGGCTGGTCAACATTGATTCCAAGACTTGTTGCGGTGTAGTATGCAAGCAGCTGAAGGACAACCACATTTACAATTCCCTGAATGCAATCTGAGACCTCTGGTACAATGATCTTCAGTGCATTTCCAAGCTGTTTAGCAGTGCGCTCTGTACATATCACAATTGGCTTGCCTCCACGTGTGATGACCTGTTCATATGAGTTCTGTGACTTCCCCTCAGATGGGTCAGTTAGAATCATGATGATTCTCTTGTTCTCATCAACTAGAGCAAGAGGTCCATGCTTCAGCTCTCCTGCACCTATCCCTTCGCTGTGGATGTATGTAATCTCCTTGATTTTGAGGGCCCCCTCAAGACTAGTAGCCAGCTGATACCCTCTTCCAAGAAGTAAAATACTCTTCTCAGGCTTTAGCATGGTTTCTGCAATCTCCTTCAGGCCTTCTTCATCCTTGAGAACCGACTTAATTGAGGTAGAAAGGCTCTGCAGATCCTTTATTATCTGCTTTCTTCTTTCAAATGTATGCATGTTGTTCTGCCCTATCTGTATGGCAAGAAGAGCAAGCGCTACAGACTGACTTGTATACGCCTTGGTGCTTGCAACTCCAATCTCAGGCCCTGCATTGATGTGGATACCACAGTCGGTTTCCCTAGAGATTGTGCTTCCAACTACATTTGTAATACCTACGCTGAGCGCGCCTTTCTCCTTAATATACCGAAGTGCAATTAAAGAGTCAGCAGTCTCTCCGCTCTGGCTTACAAAGATGCAGCAGTCTGACCTTGAGATTGGCGGCAGCCTGTCGTTAAAGTCGCTAGCTATCTCAATAGAAGACGGGATTCCTGTAAGCTCCTCGAAAAGAGCTCTCATCTGCAGAGATGCATATGAGCTGGTTCCGCATGCTATGAACACAAACCTTGATGCCTTGCGAAGTGTGTCCAGCCACTCCCCAATTCCTCCTAGCTTCACAAGTGACTCCTCAAAGTTGACACGCCCTCGCATGGTGTTGACAACTGAGTCTGTCTGTTCATGAATCTCCTTAAGCATAAAGTGTGCATAGTTTCCCTTCATTATGTCACAAAGGGTTCCTGTTACTTCCTCAAGAGGACGGAAAGACTTGCCGCCTGGCGCAATCTTGATGATCTCCAACCCTCGTGAGGTCACATGTGCAATGTCTCCATTCTCTAGAGTAAGCAGAGTTTTTGTGTGCTCAATAATAGCAGCTGAATCAGAGCTGAAAAATATCTCTAAAGGCTGTGCATTGTTCTCAGACTCCATGACAAACACCCTGCTCACAGACCTAGACAGCTCTGGAGCCTTCTGGCCTATTTTAGGGGTGCCCACCGGAGTGCTAATTGAAATGCTTGGCTCTTTTGAGGTCATCACATCAATTGAGTCTTGCTGCACAATTGAAGTACCACGCACTCCAACCAGCAAGGGACTTCCTCGCCTGGCAGCCACCACCTCATTAGGGAAGTGCTTGCTCACAACAAGGAATGCAAAGGCTCCATCTAGCTGATGCACTGCTTCATTTACAATTTCTGCAAAGCTCATGGAAATTCCTCGAGCCATACACTTTCTGTATATAAAAAGTATTACCTGTGCAATGCTTTCAGTGTCAGTGTCACTCTTGAAAGGCTGGTCATGCCCTGCAAGAATCTCCTTTAGTGTTTTATAGTTGTTGATAATACCATTGTGCACAACAAAGAACTCATCGTCTTTACTTGGGATGGGGTGGCAGTTTGTCTCAGAAGGCTCTCCATGGGTAGCCCATCTAGTATGGGCAATTCCTACATTTGAATTGCAGGTTTTCTCCTGGATGCTCTTAGTGGACTCTTCAATATGATCAACTAGAGCCTGGACCTTTCCTGTCTTCTTGAATGCCTTGTATTCATTGTCGACTTCTATAGCAACTCCAGCTGAGTCGTATCCTCTATATTCAAGTCTTTTGAGCCCATTGGTTAGCATCTTCAGTATATCGATTTTTTTATCTGTCTTATTGTAGCTACAATATCCAAATATTCCACACATACAAATATGAAAATACTTCTGTATTTATAGTTTTTTAGATATTTTTAAAATGATTCTATTGGCCAGATACCATGGCTTCTATTTGTTTCTTTTTATCTCTTGGAGTGTGTGCGATTTTTTGTATCCATTGGTCTATCAAGTTTCAGAGCTTCTAGATTGTTGCAGCAGAACCTTTTCAAACAATTCTATCCAATGTAACATGCTTTCTACAAGAAAATATTCCATGGCTTCATCTTAGCTCTAAATGAAAAAGTATTATATTATGTGTGTGGTACAGCAACAGTGACACGGTCTAGGTTTGCCTACCTTAGATAGGAGAAACTTTTTTCTCAATCTCCAAAGTGCATAGACAGCTTCTAGTACACTACATGTCTGTACGCCTGGGTGTACTCAAATATATGTGCAAAGTGCACTCTAGGTAGAGAGAAAAGGAATGCACTTTTCTGTAGGTGGCATATAGCTCTGTTTAATATGCCTAAAATGGATATAAGGAAATTAATATATAGAATGTATGGGTAGTCTAAAATATTTACTTGTTTCTGAAAAGTGCAAGACTCTTACATGCTAGATATCCAGGCATATGTGCGAATTTATATAGAGCAAAGAGAAAGCGCATTTATACTATAGTATAGACATCTATTTTCCCTGAAGCCTGCATATTTGCAGAATAATTTTAAATAATCCCAAGTTTCTGTAAGGATCTTCAAATTAGATGGTATAATTCAGCAAATTAATAATACATAGGTCAGTGTGTAGAGAAAAAACACTGAACAATGCTAAAAAAGATATATGTACGGAATGTCCATTTTGACATGTATCAATAGTGTAAATAAACTATTTTTCTATTGATATTTGTATTTAGCTTCTACATTTCAACTAAAGGCGATACGTGCCACTCCTATGTGTTTGCTCTCTATTAAAATGCTTCTTAATTGTGTTTCTGAATTGCGTAATTTTATGAGCATAAACCACTCTTTGGCTCTTTTTGTATGCTTTACCATTAGAAAACACTATACACCCTGGGTAATGCATGCTGCCCTTAAAGAATATCTGCTTTTTGCTGGTCCACTTAAATTTGATTGACTTTTTATTTACATAAAAATAGCCCTTATGAAGTACCTATGGAGTTGAGTTGCATGCAAATATCCCAGCCCAGCCATATATTTAGCTTAAGTTCTTAGAATTTTCTATATTTTGCAAAACTTTTAAGTTTCTAACCTGTTTACATCTGGGATTAATGGCAGAGTGAACAAGTTTTATTTTATGTATATTTAATTATAAACTCATTTAAAAGTAATATTAAAATGCTGATCTTGCACCTATTGGCATATGCCACTAAAACAAAAGAAAGAGTTCAAGTTACCACAGGCAGTATCCTAGCTTTATTAAGTATTACCACGCTCTACCTCTTCTCTAAAATAGCGCTGCAGGAAATACCATGTTATAGCGACCAGCTAATAAAACATGCAGAGTATTCTGTGAAGTGCACTGAGAGTAAAGTAGCTCCTGTGCAAGAGTACAGAGACAGCGAGTACGACGAGTACAACAGCATTCTACTAACCGGAAGCAGTAGCTCAGCAGAGCTTATTGCACGAGTCCACAGAACAGCACAGGAAATGAAAAATAGAACAAAGGGATATGACATTAAAATAGGAAAGTGCTCTCTGGCAGACATGCAGAAATACTTCCTGGTTCTTGAGATAGAAGAGAGTGACAACACACTGCTGTACATTATAAATCAGGGGTGGCAGGTGAACTCGGACATTCTTTCAATCTTCTGTGACAGGCTGTATACAGCCCCTATGACAGGAGTGGCTGAAAGCGCATTGGTAAATCTGACATTTAATAGGCTATTCCTTAAAATCTCGGAAGATGGGCTGGAGAGCGTGCTGGCAATTCTACACAATATACATAACCTGTACAGCCACTCTCTTGGAGTATACTTCTACTGGGTAGTTGATGATAGGGCCATATTTTTGTCTTCAAATGTCTTACTTGTTATTACTATTGCAGTCTTTTTGATCTTTTTAGAGTTTGCTACAATGGGCAGTTTCAGCATACAGCCAGTCCAATTTAAAACAGCAGTGCATGCACTCATGGCACAGCAGCTAGTATTTATGGATATAAGTGAAATATCCTACTTTGAGATGTTTATGGTCTACTCTGTTCTTATACCCCTTAACTTTCCATTGGCGATTCTCCTAGGGAGCTTTAGGATTTTTCTGTTCTTTTGCACAATGATTGGCTGCTTGAGAGACCAAGATGCTTTTCTTGGGACTTTTAGACTCCTATATGAAACAGGCCGTGCAAGGACAGACAGAAAGGTACTTTCAGCATCTTTCACTACCCACAGACACAGTGAAGGAAAGCAGATTCCATAAGGCAGTGAGAACCATTGAGCCGCGCCCATCTTTCTTAAAGCGCATTCTAAAACTAATATGTTCTCCATTTACCAAATACCGCAGAAGAAAGAGATTTTTGTATAGGACTGAAACCACAAATGCGCTTCTACATCTTATAAACACACATGCATACACAAACAAGCAGATCTTTATGCATCCTGTGCTCAACCCCGACATGAAAAAAAGCTTTAAGCAGTTTGAGAGCGTGGACTACAGTAGGCACACGTCTGAAGAGGTATTTGGGTTTATCAAGCTGCACCTAATGAAATCCTCTGGGCCTTTGATTAAAAAGCAAATTCTAAAGAAGATTATCTCTCCAACATATGATAAGACACAGATTCCAATGATTATCAAAGAGATATATGTAAAAAACAACATATATAATGTTAGGAACATCCAAATTCTATTTTGTCTACTAATATATATGTATAGAAGTTTCAAATACAACGCAATCAGCGGCATGTTTTTGATAGGTGTTTTCATTCCTTTGTTCTTTGGCGAAGAAGAAACTGCAAAGCTCAAAAAAAACAACAGCCAAAACTACTTTGTTCTTATAAACAGATGGAATGATATATTGAAGTATCTTCCAAAGGGCAGCACCCAATAAGAAGGCACCTAGCATGCTCGGCTTAAAGATCTTAGTCTGTGAGCAGGGTGAATTGCAAGAAATGTTTTGTAAGCTGCATTAAAGGAATGCTAATATCTAAATAAATATACATAAAAATACTATTTACTCTTGTTATGTGACGGGTTATATCTGTATATAATAGACAGCCGCAAGGCTGGTTTTACTGCAAAGTCTTTATTCGCGGACAATGGATGCAGCACACATTATTTCTGCACTCTAACTTCCCATTTTAAAATAACAATACCATAACAATATAAGCACAGCAGAAACTGAAGCTAGAACACACAAACTTTATTTTGACATTTATCTTACAGATAAGTATGTTTTATAGTGAAGATTGATTTGTTATACCGCTTATCCCGTGACAAAACATTCAAGAAGTCATCCTTGATAATTATTCTAGCATTGTTGGTCTTCTGAGACCTTTCATCAGAGCCCTGGAAGAGATTTAGATACGGAGTAGACCCATCATCTGTGTTCTGTGTGCTGGCTGACATCCAGCTCTTTGGCTGGCTCCCAAGCGCAGCCAAGGCCACATTATTGCTCAGGCGCTTTTTAATGATAAGATCTTCTCGATCCTGGAGAGCCTTTCTCCACTTCTTCTTTCCGTCTGCCTCGTCGCCCTCTTTTTTCTGCCTGTATTTATCCATTTCAAGCTTTTCTTCCTGCTCTAAAAACCACATCTGCCGGCGCCTGTCGTTTTCGATTCGAATTAAATAGTCATTCCTCGAAATGTCCATGCGCACCTTGCTTTGCTGTATCATTTTTTCAAGAAGATCCAGGATTTTTCTCTTAGCAGCCTGGAAAAGAAGATTGGAGGCATCATCGCTCACCCCAATTTCTCGAAGCTTGCTTATTTTTTCTAAAAAGTAGCTATATATTCTTACATCAAACAGAGACTCCATTGCATTTTTGTAATCGTAGACCTTCCCCTTCATGTCATCAAAAGGAAGGCTGTCTTCAGCCTCGTTTGCAATGTGGAGAGCCTCTTCCTTCAGATTAACCCCTGCATAGTGGATTATATCGCTCATATACTCGGGCTTCTGATCGTCCTTTGCAGAGGGCCTTCCTCGTCTAATCTCCTGCGGCTGCTCCTCCTCGTCCTTGCCCTCGCTGTGCTCCATTATCACATCAGTGCAGCATTTTTTGTACTCAGATGCATTAATCTCTCCTTTTTTGTATCTCTCTGCCAGCGATGATAACTCCTTTTTGGCCTCAGATGGTAGCGATTCAATTGTTTCTTTATTGAACATTTTATTGCTGTAAAAAAAATTTACACTCGCTTGCGGTTTTACCACTTCGCATATAAACCTGCATGCAGCACACTACAAAAATGATATTTTCCAGACATCATCGATTAATCTTGATGTTTCCAGCGGCGCATCGTCCGTTCTTTTTCTGTGCCACTTAACAGAAGCCCCAGGCCTAAACTGGCGCAGCATAATAGCACTTGCTAGCTGGGCCTCAATTGAGTGCATTGATGGGATGATCTCTTCTCCAGTTCCCACGCCTGCCACTTTGTCAAGGATCTGAATGACATACTCCAGACTCTTGTGTGGAGAAAGAGACTTAGTCCACTCGGCATATATGGCGGAAAGCACAAGAACTGCAAACGCGCCATCTGGCTTTTTCAGCTCTGGGTGCAGAATATCCCGAATAAATTCATTGTACGTCCAGCACCAGTCCAGCACTTTTGAGTAGAGGCGAATGGAGGTGACTGCATCAAATACTTCAGCTGCCACTTGGCCGTCAATAAAAACAGGCCGTCCTGCATACTTCTCAAGAATGCTAATGCACCTGCTCTTCAGTCCGTCAACTGCTTCCTCTGCAATGCTATAGTAATAAATGGTCTCAAGCACATCGCTTACCTCGCTTCCATCCTTCTCAATTGCATCATGGTATAGAATACTGTACACCAGAGAGTATTTGTCTAGGTCCCGCGAGAAAAGAATAATGTCGTGGAGAATGACATACTTTAAGGAGTTGTCTAAATATGGCAGTAGTTTTAAGAATATCCTTCTTATTTCAGACTGGTCCATTATATTAAACGTGTCGAATATCTCCTTGAGAGCGTCTGGCATGCTGTTCTTTGCCTTATCCTCAATATCCAGCAATTTTATTTCATTGCTGCACTCGTCAAGCCTCCTCTTTCTTTTTTCTTTTGTTTTCTTCCGGATTTCCCCCTCCTCAATACTATCCTGCAGATTTTCTGATCCCCCGCCAACTTTTGTTTCGAGTCTTCGGATTTTATTGTTTAGCAGAGCGACCGTGCTTTTGTATGCTTCAATTCTTTGCTTTATTTTTCTTATAGAAGGCATCACATTGAAAAAAATTTGCGATGAAATATAGCACAGAATCCGGGCGCAGTGGCCAAAAGAAGAAGTTTAATTCAGAGAAGCCTTCTACAGATGATAAAAAAAGAAGAAAAGAAAACACAGATGGGATAAAGGAGATTCAGGAAACTGCAATTCCAATAAAACCGGAAGACTTGCTTCCGCAGCGAGATGTTCCTCTTGGAGACACGTCCTCCAGAGTGGCAATACTAAATGTAGACTGGGAGTCAATTGGTGTGCATGAAATATACAGAGTTATAAATGCATTTGTCCCAAAAGGGCAAATAAAGAAAGTTTCGCTGTACAAGACCAAGCTTGGAAGCAGGGAGATGGCAGTTGAAGGGCACGATGAGCTGGCAATTATGAATCTTAAAATAAATGACGAGACACAGGAAATGGAAATAAGAGAGTACATAAAAAAGAAAATGAAGTATTTCTATGCAGTGGTAGAGGTAGAAAACGAAGAGATAGGAAAAGAGCTCTACACTTCCATTGATGGGCAGGAGATAGAGAACACGCATAACTACATTGATGCTCGGTTTATTCCCAGTGGATTTGTCATTGACGATGAGCTGGTTGAGGAAATCACACAGTCAACAGAGAAAATTGCCAGAATCCCAATGAACCCGCTCTACAGTACAAAGCCGCAGCTAAGATGGGATGAGGACCCAGTGCGGGACAGATACCTAAAGGATCTGTTTGTCAACGAAATTGACCTTGATGTAGCAGACAATCTCATAGATGCGTCAGATGATGAGGAAAAGCAGAAATACTACAAGAAGGCCATGCAAATGGAGATTCCACAGCAAAAGAGCGAGGATGAAGACCAGTTGGAGAGCATAAAAGAGCCTGTGGAAAAGAGCAAGACTCATAATAAGTCTGTGGACGATGAAGACATTGCAATGGAGTCAAGTGGCGATGAGGAGATGGAAGAGAGCAGTGAGGCAGTTCTGGTTGGCGACGACAAGCGGTTTGCAAAGGAAAACAACCCAGACTTTAATATTGATAAAACACATCCTGCATACATCTCCAAACAGAAGAAAAGAAAAGAGCATAAATAAAGCACCAGGAGCATCTTTGATACACTATGAATAGACTATAATTGCGAATAGAGAAAAGAAAATAAATACAGTTAATATTTAAGAATGATTCAATAGTATGTAAGAGGTGCAGATGTTTTGCTTAAGAGTAAAGCAGTTAAGAAGTGCGCTTTGCGTCTTAAAATATTTTATTGAGGGGTTTAATAAGTGTGCTGAAATAATGAGATTTAAGTTGCCAATAGTATAAATAAACGCGCATACAATGCATGCTATATTTCTAGCTAAAATAATAGACTTATAATTAGCTGCAATACTAATCATGCCTTCTAATACAAGAGTTGCGTCTTCATGAGCAATTTTGCATCTCTTGCCTGCTGTACGGTAATGCTTAATAAAAATAATAATTAAAGAGCCATTAGTATTCTTCAGAACTGGGGCAGTGATTATCCAATTTATAAAGCAGCCACATACAGTTTGCAGTCAAGAAAACTTCATGGACTAGTCCATTTGAGTATACGCAAGTGAATGTGCAGGAGGTGTTTAGAAATCAAATGAGGCTGTGCATACTCCTCTGTAAAAAAGCAGTAGGCGTATCTTCCTGTTTTATGCAAAAGAGTATTTACTTCTGCATCTTTTTGAATATTTCTGCGTCTTGGGAGTTAACTGAAAAGTTCAAATTATTTTAATTTTTATAGCCCCAGACATGACCGCCAACAAAGGAGCACTTTTAAAAAGAAGACTAATCAAAGCAAACAGAGTAAACAAGCCAGTGCCAGCATGGAAAAGACTTATTCCAGGAAACAAGCAGCATTACAACACAAAAAGAAGACACTTTTTACGTACTAAATTAAAATACCATGAATAAATAGTATGCTTGTAGTACAATGATTCTTTACTTGCGCTTCAATGGAAGATAATGGATTCTTTAAATAAATGGATAGCAATACGTTACACTTTACCCTCCAATTTAAGCGCAAACAAAATAGAATGAAAAGAGACTATATACAGCATGTGCTAAGAAAAAGACATAAATATGCAAGTGCTCTTCCCTTTAGTGAGGGCTCTGCACGCAGCTATATACTCCCACTACTGCGCATTGAGTGTGTCGCTGTTTCGAATGCGATGCGCTGCACTTTAAAATTAAGTTATTTCTATGCAGCTGCATTCTAAAGTACATGCTGATAAATGCTCTGATATATGGCTGGAAAACAGTGCATTAAGTAGAGCTATGTTCCTATTGATTGCATTGTCAGTTAAATAGCAATAAGAAGCAGGCATTACAGAGCCAAAAGTACATTGGCATTTTAAATAAAAAGAATCATAAGTTCAAATAGCTATAGTTAAGAAGTCTATGCTATACATCTCTATAGAATAAACCTTAGTTACATGGCTCTGCAGTACATGATGCTGCCAAACACATAACTTATTTAGTCTAAGAGGGCGATACCTGTACAAAAAGAATATTTTAGAAAAATTACAGCTATGCAGGCATTCCAAGAAAGTAAAAAGGTTTATCCGCAGTAATGTATAGATCTTGCATAGCCTTTATTGGAGCTTCTTTTAAAGTATATTTAGTGCCTAAATCATTTCTTTTTAATTTCAGGCTATTGAAGTTGTATGACTGCTCTGCTTAAACTGTTAGTTAAGATCCATTTGAGAAAGAGGTTTCTCTTTATTTCCCCCCAGTACCTCTTGATACCCGTGCGATGACAGCCATTCTACAAAATTTGCGCTGTTAAAAAACTCTCTGAAGATTCTTCTTGCTCGTATGCTTGCCCCAAAGTCAGACATGCGACAAAGCCACCTCTCTACGTGGAAGCTTTCTGGACTATCCAAGAAGAACTCCTCCATTTCGCCAAATAGCCTTTCCAAGTCCTCTGTGCATTTTTTCTCTTTATAATAATATCCGCCCTCTGTTGTATTAATTATGTTGTCAAACCTGGCTTGCTTATAAAAGTGCTCATTTGTTACCCCTAAAATTGAGCTTGGCGGCAAGGGGCTATTTACAAAGGAGGATCTGTATGGAAGCACCTTTCCACCATATCGGGTGCCACAGAACATAGAAAGATAGCTTACAGTTAAGGACACCGCAGTAGGCGTGGGGCCTATCACCAAGAAGCTCTTGCACCGCATAAGGTTCTCTATAATAGTGTTTTTGTGCTTTTCCAGGAGAGCATGCACATGCGGTGGAATGTGCTCATGCAGGATGCGCAGCGCCTCTTTATTTGAAGGAAGCTCTAGGGTTTTTAGCGCTTCCAGAGCTATTTCTGGTGTGTACATCTTAGAAGAGCACAGCTTCTGGGACATGATCAGCGGCAGCACAGGAAGATACCGGCAGCACTGAATTGCAATGCTTTTTTGCGTGCACCCGCGCACTTTACTTGGGTCTTCCTCCTGAATAAACGACACATGATACATCTTGTTCTCAAGGTTAAAGACAAAGGACTCTTTGTGCATTTCTTTAGACCGAATATCTGGAAGAGCAGAGAAGGCAAACATACTTTCCTCTAGCGCTGTTAGCTTTTCTTGGCCATTCAGAATTGATGGTCCTGCAGATACGTCAAAATCTACTTCAGTTATGGACTCTACAAGAGCGGGCTGTTTTTCAATCTTTACAATATACTTTGGAATAAATTGGCACATGTCTCTATTCTCTAAATACCAGACTGAGTGCCCCATAACAAACAAAAGAAAATAATGTCCTTTATTTTTCAGACTCCGGAGCAATTGCAGTAAACTCCTTCGCGCCCATCATAGAGAGCCCTTCTGACACTATGCGCAGATATGCATCACGCCCTCCAATAAGCGCCCACTCGTCTTTGTGCGGGCAGGGAAGGGAAATGGACTGCATTTCAATGGAAAGTGGCGTGCATACATATGTTTTTTCCCGCGATATTTCCTCGGAAAAGGACTCATTAAATCTTCTCACGCCATCCTTCACCTCAAGTAGCACCCACCCAAGCCTTTCCTTCATAATACGGCTGGTCTCAATTGCAGAAAAAGAGAGATCCTCCACAGAAAGCTTGTGTTTTGGAAGAAGCACTCCTTCAATCCGGGCGCTCACTGCACTAAGAAACTCTAACGCGCCCAGGAAGGTAACGCACTTAGAAAGGCTCATCAGATCACCAAGCACGCTATAAAACGTCTTGGCAATCTCGCTATCGCTCTTTTTGCCTTGGCTGATGTTCCATCCATGGAGAGTGTCAAGGAAAGACACGCAGTCAGATATGCCCACTGCAGGCAGAGCCTTGAAAGAGGCTGGCAGCTTTATACTCATTGGAGAGTATGGACTCTGCATTCGGTTCAGCACATCACACTGTATAATATATGCAATAGCATAGCGTATGGCCTTCTGCTCTGCAGCTCTTACGCGGGTATACACGGCATCCACTTCCTTCTTTGCCCGCTCCAAGTCTGGAATTTCCTTCTCAAGCATCTCAAATACCTGGTCAATCTGCTCTTTTGTGTGAATAACACTCTGCGAAGCGTGTAGAGCTGCTTTTTCTGCAACCTTCCGTTTGATCTTTCCGCTATTCTTGATAGAGGCTGTGTAGTACTCTATTAAGTATGTCAGCATGGACTTCTCGTCGCACACTCCAGTTGTCAGATCCTCTGCGCTTATTAAAGAAGGCACCTCTAGGTACTCAGTTGCAAGGTCAAGGGCTCTCTGCGATATTTCCTGCGAGGTTCCATCGTCAAATATAAACCCGCCTACATCTGAGTGCACCAGAGCAGAGAGTACCTTTCCATCGTGCCAGCTCTTTCCAAAGTCCTTAACTGACACCCCGTACTTTGCAGTTTTTTTCTGGCACCACTTAAGAATTCTTTCCTGTATGCTTTCTCCACTTTCTCTTACCTCCTGCAAAGAAAATGCCATGATAAATCTCCATATTAAAGCAAGCGTGAGCTTGATGCTTCCTTCCTGGATATCAGCAGCTCCAATATTTATCATCTCAACCTTGTTTTGCTTCAGATAGTCAATAATTCTCTCAATATTTTCTCTCTTGTGTACTACTAATATTGGCTTCGCATTAAATCGCAATATTGATCCTGTGGCTGAATATAATAAAGAATGAAGAACTATTCCATCCTGAAGATCTTTCTTCAGATCCACGACCTTTTTAAACGAGAATGGCACCAGGACAGATTCCTCCTTGTAGCGCGCCTCTCCCTTTTCGAGTTTAGAATTTATCCAATTTACAAATGTTTTTGTCTGCACGGTCTCCCAAGTCTCCTCTCTTTGCATGCCAGGGGCCAATCTATTTTAAAAAATAAACAGGGGAATGTTTGCCAATTATTTGTATCTAGATGGATTCGAGTTATATGCTAAGCAACATAGGAGAAGAAGACAATAAGGAACTGGAAGAAAGCATGACTTGCGCTGCCACAGGGCAAACATGCCAGATAAAGTACTATGCGCACCAAAAAATAGGAAGTGGCACCTTTGGCATGGTCTATAGAATACTAGTCAATGAGTCTGTCAGCTATGCTCTCAAGAGAGTCTTTGAGAAGAGAGAATACTTAAACAGAGAGCTAGATATTCTGTGCTCTCTTTCCCACCCAAACATAATCCGCCTTTTTTGGTACTTTTATGGAGAGAGAAACGAGAAAGGAGTTGTTTTAAACCTAGTCACGGACTACATAAAGAGCGATGCTTTTTTGTGTATCAAAGACCGTCGTTTTTTTAGCAGAGACGAGTTTATCATGTATGCTATCATGCTGATGGAGGGGCTGTCATATATGCATGGCCTTGGCATAGCACACCGGGATATTAAACCATCTAATATATTGATAGACACTGACGCGCAGATATTAAAAATATGCGACCTAGGAAGCGCCAAGAAGATAGTTGGATCCGCCAGTAACATTCTCTATATATGCTCGCGATACTACAGAGCACCTGAGATCCACATGGGGCTTTCGTACGATCTGAGCATAGATGTGTGGGGCGCAGGGTGTGTTTTGTTTGAACTGCTAACACACCATGCGCTGTTTCCAGGCAGAAACTCAGAAGAGTGCTTAGAAGTGATCAAATATTTTATTCTGCAAAATGGCCTTGCGAATGTTATTAAAAATACAGAAAGAAATGATCTTGATGATTGCTTCTCGATACTTAGAAAAATGCTTGCATACGAGCCCTCTAAAAGGATAACTGCGCTTGAGGCGCTAATCTTATTCAAAGGTCTGCAGAACAAGCCCTCTTAGGAAAAGTGACGTGGAATAAAAAGTATTTATTTCTTCATTGGGACTGTGCTTTCCAAGTTCTTTGTTTGCTCTTGTGTACTACCTGCTGTATATTATTAATACACCGAAATTAACACTTTTTGGAAACTTCTTGCACCAATAAAGACATTCAAAATAAAATGATCGCAACAGGGTTTCCAGACTTCAGTAACCATAGCACAAAGACAACAATATGCAACTCTAAGAAGAGAAAGATGCCAAAATATTCCAAATGCGCTAACATAAACAGCAATGAATGGAATATGCAAGAGGCCAATAAACACTCTTCGCTCTAAATAGTTATCTTTATTCGAGTTATATCCAGAGGGCATAGTGCATTCTTTGCAGCCCCACACCAGATGTGCTGAGATGTTTTTTTATTGGCCTCTTTTCCTTCAGACGATTGGTGGCCTTAATATGCGCTTTTAATATATACATCTATGCCTGTTGTAGTACCAGTATGAATTTACATGGTGCCACTTGACTTGAGCTGCATGATATAAAGCGTGTTATTTTTCACTTCTTTGCCTAAACTCGCATTCTGTGGATTTCTGTCTGTTTAAAATATATTTTAAATATACCTATCCAAACAAAGTTAATCCATATTAGAAACAAAATACCAATAGCAATTCTTAGATATTTTGATTTTTTTGAGCTGCCGCCTGTAACACCAGTTGTGCTTTCTGTGCCATACATGTTCTCACTCAAAAACTCAAATGGTGTCGAAATGGCCGCACTTATTCTGCTAATGTAACTTCCGTGCTTATGGCGCACAAAGTTTGTGTTAACGTAGTTTTCTATTGATTCATCTGTTTCTGAGCTGTTTATAATAGTATTTATGCTCTTCATGTACGCAATTACCTTATCCCGTCTACTAGAGCTATGCTCTCCACTGTAGTTCTTTCCCAAAGTGTTGTATAATACCTCTGAAAGTATTTCATGGTTTAAAATCGCCATAAAAAAGCCTTGTTTGCTGACCTTTTCTCTTAGCGCCTCTAAAGCTTCTTTCTTTTGGGCAGCATCTATAGCCTTGCCCTCATTTTTTGTGTCTAGCTCTGGAAATATATTTCGCAAATCCTCCTGCCTAAATATTTTCATAATGTCTGTCTGGCCTGGACCGCTATTATACGATATAATTCTTGCGCAATTCTCAATGCTCTTTATATATTTGGCCTCCTCTTCAAGTGTATTTCTATCTGGAAGCCCAATATTTATAACACTGTTTAGCTCTTTAACCTCATTTTCAAGTGCTTCGCCTATAGCCGCGCACACTTTACTCTTCCAATTTATCCACAGTTGGTCTGCCTCTTTTTTGATTGTATCTTTAGTTATTTTAGGGGTATCAATATTGGCTAGTACTTTTTCCACTTTTTTTAGCGCTTCTTGGTTATTTCTAAGTAAAATTTTACCAAATAGCTGCTTGATTGGACCTTCTACCCTATAAACTGTATTGTTTTCTGTTTCTGTTTCGTTACCGTTAACAACCAGCGCCCCAAGAAGACTGTTATAAAATTTAGCAATCACAGTGCCGGTATAACTCATCTCGTGTTTTTTATTGGGTTTTTTAAGCGAGCTCTTAATATCCACTGCCATCTGATCCAGATTTAACCATATTACTTGCCTTTCTTCGTTTTGTGATGCTTCCATTTTTTACAAATTACAATTTTTTTACTTCCCCTATTTAATATATCTGCAACAGAAAAATAAACAATTGGTACAAAAAATAGTTTAGACTACTCACAGCGGCTCAGCGGTAGCTAAAGCTTAAAATAATGTCAAGAACAGCTTTTTAAAGCTATATATTTGAAAAATACTTTTATTCTATAAATACACGTATAGTAAATTAAACCAAATAACTAAGCTGGCGTATTTATGAGCCATTAATATGACTTAAGCTCTATCAGCATGAGAAGGCATTGAATGTGCATGGCTGTGGCTTTCTTATTACTTCTAGACCGCAGCTGCCGCACTCTTAAGTGAAACAACTTCTTCTTATTTAATTCGCTGCTTTCAAGTCGCACTTTGCTCTGATAGATAGATGAAACTTTCAGAGAGGGCACTGGGGTCTCAATTCCCTCTGTTGCACTGTATAAAGAAACTAAGTATAAAACTATATAAGAAGCATAGACCTTTATTTTCGTACTCGGATAAAGCTATTTTGTTTTGTTGTGGTGTAAGTGTGCGTACTTATACAAATCAAATGCATGCGCGTGCTGGGTTTGAATGTGCGCCATGACTGAATGGTTCATTGCTGGCTCATGCACTAGTACGCTATTTGGCTCAAGAGGAGATTCAGAGAAGTCATTTGCTTCAATGTAAATTGCCTTTTGCTTTCTATACATAGCACTGTTTTTCAGGTCACTGATTAGAGACATGCTATCTTCGTATTGAGCAGGCACTTTTCTATTCTTTTTTGCCGTTATTGTATCAGAATTCATTGGTTCTTTTAGAACTGCGTCCACTTCCTTGGCAGCAGATGCTTCTTTTTTCTTTTCCAAGTTAATTGGTTCCGACACTTTAGCCTTGCGCGCCTGTTCCTCCTCCAGTACAGGGTTTTTTAAGCTCCTAATGCTTCTTATGTACTGCGCAGCCTCTTTGATATGCTCGTCGCTTTGCTCAGGCAGAACTTTTTCAAGCTCGTTTTTCTCCTCCTCTGTAAGATCCACCCCATCTAAAAGCGTGGAAAGAAGTTCTTCTATGTTATTCCTAATTTCCTTTAAAATGGCATAGAAGAATACAATTGCGCGCTTTGTGCTGTTGCAAGATCTGTCTGCCTGCAAGGCCAGGTGGCTAAATCCTTCATGCATATTTGTGTACATCTCTTTGAAAGAAGGGTCTATCCGGGCTGCCAAGTTGACATAGAAATTTGTCCTCATTCCCTCGGACACGAAGCACTGCACTAAACTAGCACTGAGATCCAATGACTCTCCGCATGCAGAGGGCATTCTCTTGTGGAATTCCACTTCATAGTTCGAAAAATTTGAGGAAAGCGGCCAGTTATGCTTTTTTAGATAGAAAAGAAGAAGAATTGATGTGTATGAAATGTCCTTCATTCCTGTTGTGTGGCTGATTACATTTTGTATGTTTTGCATAAATGATTTTGCGTTGGAGATAGTCTTCCTTTTTTTTGAGTTTGCTCCAATCATTTTGTATATGGATATGCATCCTCTGTGCAGGTCTCTATATCTGCCTGTTTTGGAGTCTAAGCTTGACTTTCGCATGGCCATTTTCAGACTGACTCTTCTAAAGAGCTCTGCACCCTCTCCCATACTCATGTCTTCGCTTAATGGATATAAGATGTCGCGTGTTGAGCCCTTTAATTTTTCATCAAGTGCTTTTTTGCATTGGTCGAATGTTTTTGTTTCCGTGCTATCCTTTGTTTTTTCTGAAGAACTCTCGGTCTCAACCTGAATATGCTCATCTTCAGAATCATTAGATGCAGTAGCTCCCCACACACCGTTGAACACGCCTCCAAAGCCGCCTTTTAGAACTTTACCTGTTAATTTGAACGCATTTCTCCAGTTTTTGGATATAGTGCCTAATAATGATCGGTCTGCCTCAGTGTCATTCGATGTCTCTGAATTTCCCATTTTTGTTTATCATAATAAAGAATATTTATGCTTTGCAAATACTTTTGTAAACAATAAATCCAGCATAATGTATTTAAAACGCTTCAGTGCACTCAGCAAGAAGGATGTCAATAGATTTTATTGTGCAAAGCGCATTCAATCTTTAATATAGAATGCGTTATATTAATATATCATATGTTTGTTTGATATTTTTCTATTGCCAGTCTGCCTAGATGAATTTAATATTTGGAATCTAGATCTTTTTGGCCGGGCGTATTATCCATTGATAACAATAAAGAAAATGCAATTTTGTAAATAAGTGTAGCGCTGCGCCAGCATGTAATAAGAGTGCTACAACTGAGGGCACATTACACCATAACCATGCAAACTTGCCTTTTTCTCTAAAATTCATTTTCGTATTGCTGTGGTGTATTCACTGAATAAGACTGCAGGAGGGCTTGGAAGCTATTCGTATATAGCATATATTTGGCGCTAAATAACCTATCATCTACTTTGGTGCACTGTTGAGCGCTATTCTCTTGTACTGCATTTATACATTGCGTGTGTTAAAGCTACGCAATATACATACACGCCCATGGAATGATGCTTACGCATAATTGCATGTATGCATTGTAACTCCTTATATTAAAATAAAATAGGCTCTGGGTGCCTCGCGCAGCCAAGAAATCAGCACACCCCTAGAGGTATGCGTCTACACTGCCTATAACCAACTTAACAAAAAGCCTTCCTAAATAAAAAGAGCATGCTAATCACGATTTATTCTTTATAAAGAGGCTATTTACGCCCTCTATAAATATAATCAAATGAATAGTTATCCAAAATAGAATACCAATGCGCGATTAAAGAATCATCTCTGGTGTATGCTCTGGCTGATGCGTACTCATCCATGTATGGATAGTCTGTCACTAAGGTAAATTGCTCTAGCATTAAGTACTCGTGCCATCTGGCCAAGGCAGATGTTATTGCATGCATCGCTTTTTCAGGAAAGGTGTACTCTCTGTGATTGATCTTCAGCGTGGTTGATGCATACTCAATAATCGCTCCATTTTGTTTCAGTATTGTGCATATGCTATGGGTATTGACAGATGTTTCCACTGTAAACTTGTCATTAAAGTTGGGAAACATAATACTAGTGGCATTTGACAGAGCTTTCTTAATACTTTGAAATGCGGCTGTGTGCTGTGGGTTCCAATAAAATATACGCGAGTGGGATAGTATGTACAAGGGCTTAAGAATCTCTGCAATGTTTTTAATAAACTTGCGATTAATGTGCGCATATGATAAAAAATGTAATAGATCCAACTTACTAACCGGCCTTCCATAGTTAAGAACTTTGCTTATGCTTTCATTGTCAGGCTCCATATACGCCTGCTCAGAGCTGGCATGCACAGTATGAAAGTCAATAGTTTGCATAGCAAACTCTGCTGTTTCCCATATTATCTCTATTCCATACTCCTTCAAGGCAAACAGCACATCAACCACACATTTTCTATGGCCACTTAGAGTTTCAGAATACACAAAAATATCTGTAAAATACGAAATACAGCACACCTGCAGGTATTCCTTCAAAATAAAATCCATTGCTTTCTGGAAGAGTACATGGGAGTTTCCATATCCGATTGGAAGCCTTTTGAACATATAATAACTGCCATTGACCATGAATGTGGTTTTTTTCTGAGATGCTTTTGCAAGCGGGATATTGAAAAACCCATCCTTTATCGAGAACTTTGAAAAGTATTTCATATTTGGTAGATTTAAAATGACTTCTTGTGGACTTGGGATTTTATACTCATATTTAATTCTTTGCTTGTTTAACTTTTTGAAGTCAAGCGTGAGAAATGGCTCTCCTTTTTTTGTTAGCACCATTACAACAGGAATCAGCCACTTGCACTCAACTCCAGTAGTTCTTACAATGTATTTTTTCCTCAAGAGTCTTTTCACCTCACTACATGCGATATCTAATTTACTAGGTGTAACTCCTCTGTAATTCTTTATAATACACTCTTCCTTGATATTTACCGCGTGTATATTTTTATATGGATAGATAATCCCCACAGACTGGCGAATATCTGCAATTGACTCCCTATCAAAAGCAGACATTTCTGATGTATCTAAATGAACATCTGAATCTACATTCAATACCTGCATGGTAAAATATATTTTTAAAGTGTATATATATAGATTGAGAATATCAATTGATATAACTCAGATTTTATTATAATTGTAGAAAATCTTCTGCTTACTAGAAGGTCTGCAGTATTTTCAGAAGTATTTAAAATAAAATATTTGGATCAACTATAGAAACCCACAGAAGAAAGTCAGCGAATGGCAGGTCCTATAATAAATGCTCTTTTCTCCAGAATAATATCCACTTTATGCTACTATTTCAGAGCTATTCCTCCTCTCTCCATAGAACTATCATAATATGCAGTACTCTAGCCAATCGCAGCATTCTATGTCAAAGTAGTCATTTATTTTATGTTCTGTGCGCACTCCTGCTATTATTACAGTCTGGCGTTCCTTGTGTGCCATGCTATTTTCAAAATCGCACATTATTTAACAATATGCTTTTAGTCTGCACTCTGAGCATTTGCACTCCAATTATTTATTTAAATAGCACTATAGACATGCAAAGCTATAGAGAGGAAAATCTATCATACACCCTTTAGCTATACATTATAAGAGCGCCGTGAGTCATGCCAACTGAGATAGCCACAGGTAACCCTAGCTTCTGCTGCCTATTGTATAATATGCATTTTCTGGATATGCATACTCCTCCGCGCTCTCAGGCGCCGTCATAAGATCTATAGAGCATATTGACACTCCTTTGCACATCATGCTGGATGGAGCCTCCTGCATAAGCCCTCCTAAGTCTAGGCTTTTATCCTCCTGCTCTGCAAAAGACGCCATTTTTCCATCCCCCAGGACTATATTTAGCAGCTGGTCATACCCCAATAGACACCCAGTCACTTCTATCCCGCCAAAAAAGCATATTCGCACCTTCTTTCCTACGTACTTTTCCAAGTCAAAGACCTGGTCTCGTTTACTTGCCTTCTCCTCTTCTTGCATATTTTTTTAGTTGGCATGCCGCTTATTTCTAGAAATGTCTTGCTCAAACTCTCGTACAACGGCCAGAACTACCACGGCTTTGCATACCAGCCAGGCCTTCCAACTGTGGAGCACCATTTATTCCTAAGCTTTGTAAAGGCCAAGTTCATCCAGGCAGAGGAAAAGCAGGTCCGCCCAAGCACCTTTGTGTGGCCAAAGGAAATACTCTCAGGCATCGTTGAGAGGAAGTATTACAAGTGCGGCAGAACAGACGCAGGCGTTTCAGCAGCCTCCCAGTTTGTATCGATTTTTCTGCCTGCGCCTGCAGGGAAGGAGTATCCGTACGATCTGATTCTTAACCAGCACCTTCCCGAGGACATCCGAGTGCTTGGATGGATGTTTGTGGATGACCAGTTCAGCGCCCGGTTCTCGTGCATATCCAGGGAGTATGAGTACTACTTTTCTAGGAGAGCAGGCAGCTCTCTATCCATAGAAAAAATGGCAGACGAGTCACAAAAGCTACTGGGCACCCATTGGTTTGGAAGGCTCTGCAAGCAGGAAAAAGAGGCCTCAAAGAAAAAACGCCTTGAGAAAAAGCAAAAAGTGTCCCCAGATGAGGTGTGTGCAGAGGAGGCCGTGCGCACAGTCGACTCAATTGTTTTTGAAAAGGTATCAGAGGACAGCGTCACAGGAGTGGAGGTCTATCTAATGCGCATACGCGCAAAGTCCTTTCTGCACAACCAGGTCAGAAAGATATTCTCGGTTTTGTATATGTTAGGGACAGGCTCTGATATAGAGCTTGCAAACATTCTAGATAAAAACGAGCCGCAGAAAAAAGACATAAAGCTTGCAGATCCCTCCCCTCTTGTGCTGGCGAGCTGCGTGTTTGCAGATACAGATCTAAGCCAGCTCAAATCTGCACAGACAAGGAGCCATCCTCTCATAAAAATATGCGAGAGTGTGCAGGTAAAATCTAAAGTAAACGAGAGAATAACAAAGGAGTTCTTTTTGCATTAAAGCACACAAAGGGAGTTAATTTTAATACTAGTACACTTCTAGATCATAGAGAGTGTAGAGAATGCACCTCCTTGCTAGGCGGTATCCCACACACATTTGCCTCTGCGTCTGCATAGAACGTCTATTTGTGTTTAAGTGTACAATAGCTTTCTTTAAGCATTAGATGTGGATATTATTATATATACGCATGGGCTTTACTATACGAATTCTAACAAAGAATGTGCTTAGTACAGGTAGAGATAGTTATTTAAGAAGAGCCCAAAGGATAGGTAGATCACAATAGGTGGGGCTATATAAATAAAGCAAAGGATAAAGTGGTATCTCTGGTTTTGTAGTGTATTGGTAAATCAAAGTTAAGGTTTCCCAGCATGTTTTCTATCTTTTTATACGATGGCAGGTCTCTCTATTTATTCTATACATTTTTTGGTTTACTCTTTTTCTACTTTCCATATATATGTAAAAAATAAACTCTTCTGTATTTCGTGTGTAAATATTAGATAGAAGGCTTATTTCCTCTAAAAAAAGACGAAAGCACAGGAAAATCAAAAAAACTGCACAATTCAAAGACCCAGCTGGGTGCTGACGCCACACAGAGGAGCTTAATACACAAAACAGGCTATGTATGCCCAGCACATAGAGAACACAACCAGAATGCCGCAGCAGTAATACTATAGATTATACCAAAGGAAGAATACATGTATAGCAGCATGTAAATACATTCATGTAAGCAAACTATAAACAGCACACTCTTGCTCTACAGTCAGGTTACAGCCATAGCAGAGAAGTGCTTGTGCTGTATTGCAATACTGCAGGCCATTCGGAATGTTTATGCATGGTGCAGCACAGTAGCATCATCACAACACACACTCTGCTCTGTAGTAGTAAAGTATACAAGCAGAGGACAGAAGTAGAAAGCAGTGTGCAGAAATAAAATAAAAAAGGAGTAAATGCATGTGTCTTTATTGTTTTTTGTGTTGTTAATATACATATAGAGACAGTTCATTTAGAGGAGTTTAATAGGAGCTTAGAATATTCGGGCCTGTCTGCTGGGTTGTTTTATCTGTTTTGTGCAGGCAGGATGGGCTTATGCGTGTGCCAGGAATACTATGCGAAGAGTTTAAAGTGCTTCTTGCTAGGCCCAGGTTTCAGTGCGGGCCTGTGATGAGTTTAACTTACCTTGATGAATTTAAGTCGTCCGAAGAGATTAAGTTGTCTCAATGAAGTTAAAGGCACCTCGATGAGCTTAAGGTATCTGCCTGTGCGCGAGTGCACACATAGGAGAACTAGCAAGTGATTCCTGTGTTTCCTTTGGAATATTTTTACAGATTTATGCTCTATTTATACTTATATTTTGGAAAATAGACCTTAATTTGCCCGTTCTGGATGCCCCCAATATTCCCAAAAGCGCGCATATACTTTTTAATATACAAGAAGACCCGCTCTAAAGTGAATATAGACCGGTCTATGGGGGCTAGACCCCCAATATGCCCGAGTAAGGGTAAATTGCGCAGGAATTGCGCAGCCTGGCTGTGTGCCTCACACACAGAGAGTATAGCGCAGAGCATAGATACTATACTGTGATATGCAGTACATATGTGGTGAATATAAACAGACAGGCTGGCTTGAATACCTCAGACTGCACTACTAGCCAGAGTACAGACAGAGTTGAAAGATGTAGGCGCACTCTTTTTGTTGCTCTCTTTATGGCATGTGTGAGTTATAGAGAGTAGGGTCCTTTCACAGAACAGTCTGCACTCTCTGCCTCTCGGACACAGCTACCCTTCTAGGAGCTCTGCCGTACACACACATATGCAGAGTGTCTCTGCCCTCGCTGCAGTATGGATGCACACGCCCTTTCTAGGCAGGAGACCCATCTCAAAAAAAACACCTGAGAAAATATTTTTCGCAGGGGCGCTCAGCAGGGCAAAACACGGGAATTTCGGGGAAAATGCCCTCTTCCTTCGGTTTGCAGGGGCAAAAAAGTGCGGAGAGGGAAATTGCTGACGAAAAAGGAAAAAAATAAAATGCGGTCTATAAATACGCGAAAACTCTGTCTTTTATTCGTAGTGCGAGAGACTTCTCAGCCACAGACGCATAACAGTCAGGTCTGGAAACACTCAGTGCTGTGGGTCAGCGCGGATGTAAAGCACCACTAGCGGGCATTTGGGCTGGCAGGGAAGTGGTGTGGGGGCCAGTAGGCCGAGGCCCCCTTATATATTAATCTCTTCATTGACATAAGAACCTTGGGCAGGGCTGGCATATAGGTATATAGTACTTAGAAAAGAACAAGAATGTTGTTAAGGAGAAAGAAAGTACTGTGTGTAGGATGCTTGTAGTATAAAAGAGGAGGCTAGTGGATTTGTATGTGTTAAACTCTGGATGTGCTTGTATTTGGAGAGGAAATAGAGAAAACCTTTATGGATAAAATAACAACCTGAAGATTCTTATTGTTAGGAGAGTTAAACACAGGCACTCTCTAGTAGATATAAAATGTATATGTCATATAACTTATATTGTGTACTATTCTAATGGATGTGTATTGAAGTAAAAGATGTGCATGTATGGGCTGAAGAACTATGATTGCTTTGTAAGTGTGCGCATATAAGACGAGGGAAAGACTAGGCAAAAAAGCCTTCTACTGCTTAAATAGTAGATCTAGTTGGCTTTCCACTAAAGTGTGCTTTTGTCTGCGATATACTATCCTAGTTAGCTATGCGCTCTGCACAAAGAAGAATATTATTTTATACAGCGTTATGGGAATATGCAAGTTGACGGAGCTGCTAAAAGAAAAAGCGCCAAAGGCTATACGAAGCACACAAATAGAAAAATATCGAGGATGGAAAGTGGCAATTGATGCCAGCATGATTTTATACCAGTCGCTCGTAGCAATACGATACGGCATGGACAGCTTAAAAAACAAGAATGGAGAAACAACAGCTCATCTATATGGAATCTTTTATAAGACAATAAATCTAATAGAAAAGGGGATAGTGCCTGTGTATATATTTGACGGGCTGGCGCCAGAGCTGAAGGAAAACATACTAGTTGAAAGAAGAGCCCGTAAAGAGCAGGCCGAAAGAGACTTAGAGCAAGCAGAGACAGAAAGCGAAAAGATGAAGCATGCAAAAAGAACTGTGCGTGCCACAAAGTATCATGTTGAATCTGCGCAAGCTCTACTGAGCGCAATGGGGGTTCCGTATATGACAGCGCCCAATGAGGCAGAAGGTTTCTGTGCAGCATTGAATATTGCAAACGCTGTAAATGGGGTCGTATCAGAGGATATGGACTCTCTAGCATTTGGGGGCAAAGTTCTGCTGCGGAACTTCTTTCCTGCTCTTATGAAAAAGAAAATGGCTGTTATGGAGATATCTCTGGATGAAGTTCTTAAACAAACAGGGCTGGACCAAGCAGAGTTCATTGACATGTGCATACTTCTTGGATGCGACTACTGCCAAAAGCCAAAAGGGCTTGGGCCGAAGAAGGTCTATGATCTGGTGCAGGAGCACCGCTCAATAGAGAAGATTGTAGAAAGCGGAAAGATACAGCCAGGAGAGGAAGACTGGCCGTATGTGGAGGCAAGAGAAATTTTTACATCGCAGGAAGCTGGAAAGCCCCCCGTATTTAGCATGGCTTTGCCGAAAGCAGATGAAATTGTGCAGTTTCTTGTAGAGGAAAATGGATTCGACCGTAAAAAAGTGGATACAGCAGTAGCCCGGCTACAGGCGCACAGCAAAGCAAAAAAGCAGTCCTCTCTCCTGGTCTTTGCTAAAAAAACAGTGTAGTGTTCTGGCAGCAGTAGCTGGGTGCGTTTTTGTTTGCAGATATGTGGATTGACTTAGATAATGGAGTATTATTCGCCTAGCATGGTAATTGCTACGGGCCATAGAGAAAGCAGCTAAACTGCATATCTTTATTTAGCACACTGCTAAAATAACTAGATTTAAAAGATTTGGGTTTAAGCAATAAAGTCTTATTTATGGGCTAAAAGATGCCTAGCTATTCTTAGTATGCCAAGTGCAGTACTTATCTGTTGCATTTATGTTCTTTCTCCATTTGTAGAATCAGAAAAATTGTTTAATAGGAAGCTCCATATGCTGTTATAACCAAAATAGCATGCTAGAAGATGTTATGTCGAGTATAATTATATAATAAGCTATAGCATCTTTATTTCTTAGGCAGATACTTAGTAATAAGCACATTTGCCTCTAAAAAGTGCATCTCCTAGTAAATAAATGCATGTCTTTTCAATATTAGTATTCAGATGGGCAATTTACACTTTTCATCTGTGAATTTCAAGTGTTTATAGCTTACATGTAACAAATAAATTCTGGGCGAAATAAAATAATAGTATAATACAGAAGTGAACATTCCAGCTTTTATGGCCTCCTTCTACATAGCTCAAAAAAAGTTATACTATTCAGTGAATGCACTAAAAGTCCGCTATATTTCTGTATTTCTGTATTCTGGCCTGTACTGTGTCTTATGCTAGCAGAAAAGAAAAACAGACAGTTATGCAGCAGAAAAGCCAGTCTAATTAAAATATAGTTTATTAAGTGCAGGAGCCCGACCCCTTCAAAATTGGTGCAGTGCAGATGGGTTTTAGCGAGTAAAATTGCTAAAATAAAAGACCCAGCGCATAGAACAAAGCACCCGGCTGTTTTTCTATTCCTAATTAAATAGAATTCTATAAAACTATAAATTAAAAAAAATTTGATAAAGACGAGGAGAATCAATGGAAGGGGGGCTAAAACCAAGATATGCGCAAGAAAAATATAAGGTCCGCAAAATGTCTGCACTTTGGGAAGAAAATGCAGAAGGAGACGAAAATGCAGCAGCCCCATCCGTAAATAAAAATAACAAGAGCAGTAAAAAAAATGTAGCAGTTGAGACAGACTATGTACACACTAAAAAGATACAGGAGATAATAGAAAAATTAGAGAAATCAAAAGAAATAAACTTCCAGAGCAGGCAAATAGATGAAAGAAGTGGGTTTCTCCCGTATGCGCAGATCCATAGAAAGAACTCAAAGAGTCCGTTAGATGAAAGCGACGAAATAAGCTGCTGCAGAAAAAATGCAGAAAATAAAATAAAATCCGGATTCAAGATAGAACCTCCACACACTGGTCTTGACCAACAAAGAAATCTACAGAGAGTAGAAACACATAGCTTCAACGAGATGGTAGAGTCCACGCCAGTCATCAATCAAATGAAGAACATATTAGAGAGCATTGCAATGCTACTGAACAGAGCAGCCATGCGAGAGACAATAGAAGACTTGCAGACGCCGGTGCCAGAAAAAGAGCTGAAAGAGAATACTCCAAGAAAAGATATAAAAACGCCAGCACAAAGCTCTACACACATTAAGGCAGCAAAGAGCAAAGATGATCCATTAATCATCAAGAAAAAGCGCGCGCAGGAAAAGGCCCATCTACTACTGCAGAAAATGGCTATATCCGAGAATGAAAAAAGAAAGAGCCAATTTTGCTTCTATAGAATATCTAATATACCGCCCATTTCTTGCGCAGTAGCTAAGATGCATTACATTTGGTCTACAATTGCAAATATTCCATATAAAGACACGGGGCTGATGATCATGCTAAGCAACACAGAGGCGCAGCTTGCAGTTACAAACAAAAGTGCGAGTAAGCTGGAGGCAATTATAGATAGCTACAGAAAATCCAATGTAGACGCAGTTTTATCAGGACCGCTTTCTGACCCACTAGAGCACAGCAAGTATAGCAAGGAGAAGATTTTGGACCTGCTCGTAGAAAAGGCCAAAAAACATCTGGAGCACTTGCCAAAGGAAATGAAAAATGTTTACATGTTATACAACAAAGTAGCGAAAAGCAAGGACGCAAAAGACTTTTATCATAAGATAAAGAGCATGATGCAATGATAAATCGGCATATCCAAAAGGATTTATATAGATCAATAAAATAGAGTGGCGAATAGTTATAAGAATTGGAATGTATTTATTGAAATGGAGCAAATCACAAGAGAAGTTATTGAAGAGATTCTAAGAACGTATCAGATAATAACCATGGATCTTAAAGAAATAAAAAAGGCTCTTTCTTCTGGCCGGGCGGGCAAAAAGGCAAAGACAACTCTTTCACTACTAAATGAATTTTTTGCAGACCTAGAAGGAATTGACAATGCAGGAGGAGAGCTTGAATGCTCTGCTGCAGAGCAGAACGAATAGAAAAGAACTAGCAAGAATAAAGGCGCAGATTGCTATAAAGGAGAAGAGGCTGCAGGAGTTGGCGGCAGAAATAGAAAAAACCCCAAACTCAGTAGAGCTGTCTATTTTCTATTTGCTTCTGAAGCGAGAAATAGAGAGGCTTGTGCGGATTGTTAAAATAAAAGAGCTGGAAAAAAACAGAGCGCTTGAGTTCCAGCTATACGAAGAGAAGGAGAAAACGCCAAGCACAAAAGTCCAGGAAGAAAGCAGAAATCCATACCTCCAAAAGTTTAAGGAAATAACATCCAACTACTACACAAACTTCCCGTTTATAAATTTTATGCATCGGAACGTGCCTGTAGAGTACTACGTGCACGTGCTGGCAAAGAAGGATTGCGGTGTAATCGAGATGGGCGGAAACTTAATAGAAACCAAGAAGGGATCGCTGTACTTTATGAGAAAAAAGGAGGTTGAGTATCTTTTAAGCAATGGGTCAATGGAAATAATAAAAAAATAATGGCTGGGGAGAGAAGTGTTTTTGGGGACAGAAAGGATCACCTAAAGAGAAAAGGGCAGTCTGGGCCAGATTCAAGCACAAAGAGAAACAAAGAGAGACACCCAGCGCAGAGCGCCGAAATAGCGCAGAAGATGCAAAGGCCAGCAAAAAGAACAAAAAGCGAAAGAAATGCTGCAGGAGGCTCCAAACTAAAGAACGCTAATAAAAAAGAAGATCCATCTGTGAGATCAGCGTTTATTGGCAAGAGTGTTACAGTCAAGTACCTAGGAAGAGAAATAAAAGGTGTGTGCGAGATGATTGACACATATTTAAATGTAGTCGTATCGAATGAGCATAACACCTACATTGTGAAGGGGTGTGTTGTGGAGGAAATCGAGGAAAACAAGTAGAGCATGTTTTGAATTTCTTTTAAAGCAGAATTGTTTCAAATCCCATTTGTTATGGAGTGCACCGAGGAAGAACTATACCAGCTGGTTTTGTCACTTGTTGAAGACCTGGAGGATCCAGATATAGTAAAGTATAAGCGAAAAATGATCAATTTGTACATAAAGTTGAGTGTTGAAAAAATATATAGAAAGGACATGTCTCTGGCGTCGCTCTACTCTATTGGCATTTGCATCTATTCCTTTCTGCAGCAAATGGAAGAAAACGAAAAAATCATAAAGAGCGAGGCAAAGGCCAAAATACAAGAAGAAGTTGTAGAGTACATATGTAAAAGAGAGGTGCTAAAAATACGTGCAATAATATTAGATACATTCAAGGGAACATATACCGAGGACAAGAACTATTCTGTGAAGCCTGAAGAGTGGGCTGTGAAAATTATTAAGGAGCTGAGCAGCTTTATAGGAGAGAACAGGCAGAAAACAAAAGACAGCCTTTTTGCAGGGCCACGGAGAGTAATACTAGAGAAAGTAGAAGAGCTACTTGCGCAGGAGATAAAGGAGGCTTTTGTAAGCAAGTCCAAGCTATTTGGAAAGAAAGGAAATCTGCTGGTTTTAAACATTCTCTATATAGAGAAGTACTTTAAAAGGTACACAAAAACAGACTTCATGGAACAGCTAGTGCAGAACATCCACAAAAGCTTTAAAGACCCAGACCTGATAGACAGGGAGATATCTAAGTATGTTAAATAAAGACTATGTTCTCTTAATTCAATGCTTTGGTTTAGTATGCTCTAGATATATGTGTGTGGCTCAGCAAAAATCAATTATGGAAAAGTAGAGAAGGGTCAACAGATATGTCTCTGTATATGCAAGTATAAAGAGTGCATATGCATCAAAGGCGGTGGCATGCTATATCACTCAGAAGTTTTTATATCTATACATTCTATTTAAATGCTATTCTCTCAAATGAAATAAAAAGACTAAAAGTGCATAATACAGGCTACTTTGTCCTGTCAAAGCACCTGCTGGATAATTAAAGCTCTTAAAATATAGTCTATTCCTGATATATATAAAAATAGTTCAAAAAGAAACAAAACTTTGAGTAAGTATGCATAGACAGCGTAATATTTATTTCAAAGAGAATTTACTGCGCATAGATGCAAATGTGCAGCAACTCAACTGCATAAATCGGCATTTAATTAATTTAAAGTATAAAACCAAAAATATTTTTTATTTTAATAATTACAATGCGCATCCTTGACTTTGTAAAACCATTTGTTCCATTTCTACCGGAGGTGCAATCAAGCGACAGAAAAGTGCTATTCCAAGAAAAGCTTCTTTGGACACTTATCGCGATACTTATTTACTTCGTCGCTTCGCAAATACCTCTATTTGGTATCATGATAAATGATAAAGCAGATCCAGTCTACTGGCTCAGAGCTATGATGGCCGGTAACCGAGGAACACTAATGGATCTGGGTCTAGGCCCTATTCTCATGACCAGCTCAATAGTGCAGTTCCTCTCGTTTGTTGACCTTTTAAAAATAGACGAGAACATAAAAGAGGACTCTCTTCTTTTTTCCTCCCTGCAGAAGCTGCTTGCGCTCATAATCACGTTCAGTCAGGCGCTGGTCCAGATATCCACAGGATTCTTCGGATCCCCTTCCAGCTTAGGTCTTTCTGTCTCTGCGCTTATTCTGGTGCAGCTGCTTTTCTCTGGAGTAATTATTATCCTTCTGGATGAACTACTGCAGAAAGGATACGGGCTTGGGTCTGGAGTGAATCTGTTTATTGTAGCCAACATATGCGAGTCAATTGTGTGGAAGGCATTCAGTCCCTCTGTGTACAATACTGGAAAGGGCCCAGAGTTTGAAGGATCATTCCTCAGTCTCTTGCAGCTGCTGAAGATCCGAAAGAACAAGTTTGAGGCTTTATATGAAGCATTTTTCAGAAAGAATCTTCCAAACATTTCATGCCTTCTTACAACAATTGCCATGTTCTCTCTGGTGATCTACCTGTACAACATACGCCTGGACTTGCAGCTGGAGTCAACTCAGATGAAGACCAGATACATAAACTGGGGAATCAAGCTGTTCTATGTGTCCAGCACACCAATCATTATACAGAACCAGATACTCACCAACTACTACAGAATATCAAAGTTCATCTTTGACAAACTGCCAGATAGATGGTACACTAGAATACTTGGAATCTGGGATATAAACGAGAGTATGGTCTATGTGCCAATCAAGGGAATAGCCTATTTCATTTCGCCCCCTGCTAATATTCTGGCGGCCATGAAGAACCCCATCCACTTCCTTATTTACGTGTCATTTATGCTGACCACATCTGGGCTGCTAGCATACTACTGGACAGATATGAACGAAAGCTCTTCTACTGAGGTTGGAAAACAGCTGCAGAAGCAGAAGCTTGTGATAAAGGGGTATTCTGTGCAGGGAACCCAGGACATGTTAGATAGGTACATCCCAATTGCAGCAGTTCTATCTGGGCTTATTGTAGGAGGGATTAGCATCCTGAGTGACTTGCTTGATACAATTGGATCAGGGCAGAATATAATTCTGGCTGTTTCAATAATTGGGCAGTACTTTGAGTTATTCGTAAAGGAGCAGATGAAATATAAAGGAATGCAATAGAATAAATAAAAGGATTATATTGAATTGGGGTGTATTAAAAAGACTTTGCGCACATATTCTTTCTTTCTATATATCTCTATGCACTAGTTGTCTAGAAGCAGGTGCTTACTACTCCTTTGCAGAATACACGCAGGATGGCTAGCTATATTCTTTGAAGTAACTGACCAGTCACTCTTTCACTGCATGGATTGATTATGCTTTGCATAGTCTATTATTGCAGCTCGTCTTCTTATTCTCTTCAAAGTAGAGGCATTCCGTGATACTTTGCTATGTGTGCACACACCGAATACTTTATGCAGAATGAGTTTGTTGGTAGGCTTGCCATAGCGTACGTAGCTACATCCACGGAGACCATCCAGGATATATTGATGCTTGGTTTGAAAGGTCTATGGCTCTTTGAACAAGACACTGCACATGTGCAGGATTGCTCAGTATAAACCCATCTTCTATCCCGTTTAGCTTATCCTTCATTCTTTCTTGTATACTTTTATAGTCCGAAAAAAGAGTGTTTTCCTGGGATACCCTCTGGATTGCACGCCATCTTTGCAAAGGCTCACTTCTTAGAATGGAAACAAAAACAAGCAGGTTTTCCTTTGAGTCCTTTAGCGCAGCCAGAAAGGAGTTCATTGTTTTTTCGTATGACTGCGCGCTATTTGTGAGAATTGCCTGCTGAAAGTTTCTTGTCATCCGGAACGGCACCTTTTCAGAAATAGAAAGTGCCTTTCCCTGGTCAAAGATTAGATTTAGATCAATATTTATCAGCTCTTTTGACTTTCTATCTAGCAGAATGTTCTGTGGGTGTCGGTCTCCAAGCCCAAGAACATATGTTGCAATTGAGAGAATTGAAAAGGAGTTTGTAAAGGACCTCCGCTCCTTGTAATACTCAAAGGGCCCTTTCCCTTCAAACACTCTTTTCAATGCAGGAGAGTACTTGCTTTGCAGATAGGCAAGTGTTTTAGTCTTTACGTCGATTGGTGCATTAATGTATCTCTGCATTATTTCTCTGCACTTCGCACTGCTGATTTCCTTGGGGAAGTGCTTTTTGTGCAGACTCTCAATTACGCTTCCTACTGGCTCAGCCTGGTCTATGAATTCAATTATGCCGAATAGCTTGTCAAGCCCTAGAATTTTATAGGTGCGTACTCTTTCTTTAATATTTTGTGTGTGCACAGACTCCGAAAGCACTGTGTTCATATATGAGAATACCTGCGTGCTAAGAATGTCCTGCTTCAAATCGTCATTTCTTTTAATTATTTCCTTATATACAACGCCATCTGTCCCCAGAATAGATATAAGTATGGGCTTATTGATTCCACTAAGAACTTTGGCATTTCTCTGGACAGATTGGATACATACTACACTGCCTCTGGTTTCCTGCGAAAGAATTGGAGTGTTACTGGGAAATGAGGCATTTATTGGCAGCAGAGACTGCCCTTGCTTGTAAATTGTTTTGTACGTGGATATAGCCGCCTCTGCTTGTGCACGAACACTGTCTGGTATAGCGATTTTTTTGTTCGTGCTTCTTTCTCTTAAAAGAATATCATACACAACAGAAAATGGCTCTGTTAGTATCATCTGGCTGATAATGCTGGATAGGTGGGTGCAAAGACGGTCTTTTTTCTGACAGGAAAGCATGTGGAAGTACTTTGAGATGATCTGCTGCTTTAGCGGGAAAAAAGACTCCACTGGAATACCTACCAAGGATATCTGCTCTATTATGTCCTCTGGCGCGTTTTCTGAGAAAAGCAAGTGGATCAAGGATATTATATGCTGCAGCTTTCTACTCCTCTGCGCTAGTGTAATATACAGATTGATTCCCATGGAATACGAGGCCTCCTCCACCTCAGTGCGCTTCTTGGCCTTGTATTCCTCTATTTCCTGTATAACTGCATGCTCTTTCTGGAGAAGCGCGCTCTGCAGCTTGTTACCAGCAGAAGCCGTGGCTACCTTTGCAGTGCTTCGGGGCGCACTTGTATTTCTATTGAAAATAGTCAAGCATGTTTTTGCAAGCGTCTCCAACACGTATAACTCGTGCTTGCCAAAATACAATCTTTCTGCCGGCCTTACATAGTTATTGAGGATATCAATGGGCATGCTTTCAAACTCATTTAAAACATGCTCTATCTTTGCTGCTACTGCTTTTGAAAGAAGATTTGTGCATACATCTATGTGTCGGGGCATTTTTCTATTTGTTCTTGCTTCAAGCGACCCTTCTGTGATTTCAAACTTTTTCATTTCCTTCTTTAGGTCCTCTTCAAGCTCTGTCAGTAGCAGAAAAGGGTCTTTGAAGGTGTGGATTCCCCTACTTATTTTAAACAAAGAAATTGCCGCAGATAATTTTCTTCTTCTTCTCTTTTTTAATGGATGTGGCAACTCTGATAGAATTGTGTTCTGTAGAGCGTCTATTTTCTTCCCTGTCCGCACATAGTATGATTCAGCAGGCATCTTAAACCACTTGCTCTCAAGCGCCCGCACCATTGCATGCAAGGCGCTTTTTGAAAGAGTTCTTTTTCTATTCAGCGCCTCAGATATGTCTTTAGGACTTCGCGTGCATACATAGAGAATCTCTTCTATTTCATCATTTGCCTCTACAAGTGGATGGCCTGTATGTATTGAGGTGATAAACTGGAATCGGTGCAGGACTTTTTTTGACTGAAGAAAGTCAATATACTCAGAATGCTCCGTGCGGATGGTAGTGTTCAAGAGGAGATAGTCTATTTGGCAGGTTTTGTCTACAGCCTTCGACCACTTGGATAACTTTTCAGCAGCCTCCAGTATTTTCTCTGCTGCCAGAAGATCAAATGTTCTGCGGACCGTACTTGGATGGGATATGAAGCCATCATCTGTTTCTCTATTCATATACATTTGTATTTCTTGGTTTACATGCTGGCTTGCGATGTTTCTACCTGATAAATTCCCCTGTTTGTCTTGCCTAAGAATTTCAGATACTTCTAAATACGGGTAATTGGCAGGAATAGGCAGAGACGTTGATGCATAGTAAAATATCCTTAGAAAGTCTCTTGATGCGCAGCACGATACCATTTTCATTTTTTCTGAAGGTGGCACTGTGCATATGAACACAAGCATGCGCATACTTGCAATAGGAACTATTTCTTTAAAGTAATCTTCTACAACAGCTTCGACATCTGAGTAATTGTATTGCACTGTAAAAAACCTGTTTTGGTACTGAGAAAGAATAATTTTCTCTTTTTCTACAGAAAGCGCCCCGTGTCTCCGCAGTACTAAAGGAAGCTTGCCAGAAGAATTTGCACTTTTTTCTTCTTCCCCATATAGAAGGCTTGTATACATAGCCACCTGGTGCTGCATAAGGATCTGTTCTTGTGTTTCCAAGAGCGAGGTCTCTATTCCAGACTCAGGCCAGACTGTCTTTTCTGAGCCAGGCTCCAAGGCCGTATATTTTTCTTTGTACAGCCTGCTTAGCTCTCTAAATAGCTCTTTGTCGTATGCATATAGGTACTCTAGGCCGTGCACTATCGCATGTTTTTCTAGATAGGAAAGCTCTTTTGCGTTATTTATTGCCTTTGTGAGTATAAAGAACAGAAAGTATTTTTCTGGGTATACTGTGCGCAGCATTCCATCAACTAAGAAGACACATGAATCTTTTAAGATCTTTGTGCTTTCTTCTGGGCGAGTTCTTTCTTTAAACTCCTCCGTGTAATACACATCTACTATCTCTCGTATTTTTGTATTTGCATCGCACACAAGTCTATAGCTCTGCTCGTACACAGAATAGGGGATGCTTTTGTGTATAAAATACTCCTGTATACAGGCTTGCTCTTCTAATAGCAGACAGCTTGTCTGTTGAAACACCAGGCTTTTCATCTTCATCAGCTCAGCCGGACTTATTGCAGGTATCTCGCTGCCATCACTGTATATGTTTGTCTGGGCTATTTCTTGAACGATCTTCTTTGCACTCTCTAGGCAGTCCTCTACATCGCCTATTTTTCTTGCATATTTTTTTGGTTTTTGTTCATTTATGGAGGAAGTAAAAGTCTTCACAAAGTCAGAAAAAGACTGCGAGTTACATCTTTTCTTTTTTTTCAAAAGGTAATTTGCAATATCAGCAGAGATGCTCTTCAAGGGGGTGGATCTGCTAAGAGCCCACAGGGTGGCAATCACATTAGATTTCTCCTCTTCTGTGACGCTAACTTGCTCTTCAAGAACTCGAACTCCTAGTTCAATAATATGCTCTTCTCTTTTTCTGCAGTGCTTCTTGCATATTTTCTGCGATATACCAGGAGATCGGATTAGAACCTGCAAATGAAATTCCTCAACTAAAACAATTGGCACATAGTATATATCCCATAGCACAGCCTCAAGAAAAAGTAGCCAAATAGTTCTTCTTTCAGCATCGTCCTTACTGAACACGTGCTTCAACTCCTCTATTCTCTGTGGAGCAAGCTCTATGGACGGAAGCAGCCGAACACGTTCTGGATATACGAAATACTCGCATACGTCTAGGTGCTTCAGTGTCTGATTGCTCTTAACTGGCACAGAAACCAACGGATATATCTTCTCTAGCAAGACAGCCAGACCATTAACTGTTTTAGAGTTTTTGCGTAAATACGTTCTAATTTCAGCTGCACTTCCTTCTATGATTAAAAGCAGAATACTTCTTTTGCTAGCAGGCGGGGTGCAAAGCGCTCTTTCAAGTGCACACATACTACATATCTGGTGTTGGTATGGCCTTTTATGTCTTCCTTTGCAGGCTGCTTGTCCTTGATCTTCTATTGCTTCCTGTGTTCCTTGAAGGCATGAGCTGCGCTCTCTTTTACTTCTTTTAAATTTCTGGTTATTAGTGATAGACTCTTCATAGCCTTTTTCTAAAGAGAAATATCCTCCACTTTCATTTGTATTTTGCGTGTATTTTTTTCTGCACATCCCACACTGCATAGGTCTATTTCTTACTCTATTCCATTCCACGCCATATCGAGTTAGAATGTAAAAATACTCCAATATCGGGCTGCCACTGGAAGAACCATATTTAAATGACTTTAATATCCTGTCTGCATTAATATTATGTATTGCGTTTGGATACTCTACAAGTACACAGTATACATAGAATAGGCTGCTCGGCTCCTGGGTTTTAATGGCTCCATGTAGGAGAGAATAGTCTATCTTCCTGTAGAAGAGTGCCATCACTGAGCCCATGCTGGTCTGGAGACTAGAAGGGACTTTTATTTCTAGCTGCATATCTCTTGCAATATATAAAAGCGTTCCTAGCATGCACAGGCACTTTGTCTGTCCAAAGACGCTTCTGGCTGTTGCAAGCGATAGAGTATATGCGGAAGTGATGCTCTGATCAATTAGTTTTTGTATAAATTGCTCTAGCACGGTTTTTTTACAGCAGGCGCTAATATATTTGCCTATAAATAGAAGCTGCATAAAATATACCAGATGCTCTGCATTTTCAGCCCACATAATATCTGCTACTTCAATCTCTTTAAATAGCTTTATGAACTGCGAAACAGTGAGTCTTTCCGCATATAAGCAGTATAAGAACAGGCTTGGGCCCCATGCATGGCCATTACATCTTGCATATTTCAATAGAAACACACGGGTTTTCGCAGGAAAGTGCTCAGCGTGTTCGGATATAATCTCAACCCATGCTTTTTTGTCTGAGGAGCTGCACTCTATTCTGTGCAAATCCATAAGTGCAGTTAGAATGATATCTGGATTAGAGTTCTTTAAGCACCGAATGCACAGAAGTAGAGGATCCACAATGTGTGCCTTAAACTCCTGCAATACCTTGATCTGGCTTTGATTATTCATAAGTTCTTTTGCCTCTGTGCATATTCTGCTTGCTATATTTAAAATTGCTTCATTGTCTATTCTTTGGTATTTTCTTGCATATATTTGAATTATTCTACCCAGGCATACTCCTAGTCGGTGTAGGCTAAACCCAGCAAGAGCTCTCTTGCACTCATGCATGTTGTTGCTTCGATATAGTATTCCTTTTCGTTTAGGGGCGCTTTTGCTAGCTCTTCTCTCTTTTTTATCTTTTTCTTGCTCATTTGCACAGAAGTGCCCACTAATCATCTCCCGATATTTTCTGTACGCTTCATCATCCACTTTATTTGGAAGCTGGCGCACTCTGCAGAATATTTCCATAAGAGTATTTAGTGCAAGAAACAGCGCATTTTCCTTGGTAGCGGTGTTAAGTATAGCGAATAGCTTATCTTCCACCTCCATTGCCATGCAGAGAAAACCAAAGCGCATTAAATAGATAGAAGAGATCTCTAAATTATTATACTGTGCACATAATATTGCACTTTAGAGAAATTAATCAGAATTAAAGCACAATAGTATGAGTTTATAAAAACAGCCTCCATACACAACCATTATAAACCCATTAAAACTCCATGCTAGAGGATTGCTGGTGGGTGTTATAGTAAAAGAAATAGAAGCAATTCTATGCATAGCTGTTATTTATACTCTGTATGTTCTTGCGCTACCTATCTGAAAATATTCTTATTTGTATAGTGTTAAGAATATTCTGAAATCTATTTAAAAAGAGTTTTTTGGCATGTATTGTATAGAAGAACATAAGCTATAGTTAGATCTGATAGTTTATGTTATCGCTTGCAGAAAAACCATGCTGTTTTTAGCAAAGCTACTATCAAATCTATGTAAAAACAGTCACTTTAATTCAAAGGGAAAAGAAGAATTTGAGGGGTTTAATCTATGGATGCACTTTCCAACAAACAAATTTAAAGCAGGTGATTATCTCAAGGAGCATGAATAAGTTGCAAATTCAGACAGTAGAGAATATATATTGATCAGTAATAATGTAATTACACACCAACTGCTCTTTCTACTAAAATATTATTTGTGACTTAGAGCAGTGCTTCTACTAGGACATGCCACTATTGTTGCTTTTTGCAGAGATAAAGAAGCCTGCTCAAGTGGCTTTCGCATATTACAGAAGAATATATTTTATTTTATTTACACAGAAATGAATGAAAGCAGTGAGAGAAAGAATTTTCCATCTGAGAAAAGAAAGAAGAAGTTCCATAATCTTTTTAAGTCCATTTCAAAAAATGAAGAGCTGCAGTACTCCTGCCCATCCCTTCTGAGAGACAACTCAAAGTACTTCCAGGGCCGGCTGTATATAAGCACAGAGCATCTTTCCTTCTATTCCAAAAATATCTTTGCAAACACAACAATAATCCTAAAGCTAAAAACAATTTTAGGAATTGAGCTGAAGAAGTCAATTTTTCTTACAGGATCGCTGGATATAATCACATATGACAAAACATACAGCTTCAAATCCCTTTTCTATAAAGAAGAGTTATATCCAATAATCCTTTACAACTGGCAGAAGGTGATGGGTATTTCCAGCCATCACAGCAGCATGAATTATAATCTGAATAGCATATTCAAAATAGACATACCCCGGCCAAGCAAAATAGTAGAAGAAAGAGCGATCTCTGAAGAAGAAAGAGTATTCAATATTGACATGAGAACCCTGCTGAAAAGAATAGTGGACACGGACTTAACTAAGACATTTTACAAAACGTTAACAAATGACAAAATATACATAAACACATACATGAACCGGAGAACCATCCAATTTTACAATGAATACATTGACGAGGTGTATTCTGTTGATGGAAACACTTTGAACATAGAATACCACTCACGAGGCACCCTGTGTAGAATAAAAATTGTTCCATGCAGCAAGCACCAGGTGAAAGTCAAAATAGTAGAGAAGTACAACTACACCACGCTGCATTACTACAAGTACATAGAAGTTCTTTGCGAGCACCAGGTGAATAGCATTTTTAAGATGCTGCCTATATTTGGGGTGTTTCTTGTAATGGTGGTAAAACTCGTCACAGGAATAGGTGCTCGTCTGCGAGGGCTGCATGGAGTAACAAGAAAAGACATACCGCTATTTTAAAGCTGTATGGGGCAGAGGTGTGTATGAAGAGAAAACATAGGGCAATTAATGTGTGCTTCTGTACTATAGATACTTCATACCCAGATTCTATAGACTTTGCAATGAGGCTACAAAATATAAGTGGAAAAAAGTGCAAAAGTATATAGATAGAGCCTATAAAATGAAAGATGGATGTATATATAGTGTGCAATGTATGGCAATTCGAGCTGAAATTAATACTACCCTCCAATATTTCTGTATAATAGAATGAATAATAATGCATAAAGGCTCCTTAAAATTATAGAGGTGCATTTAAATGCCAATATATACATGCTATTACAATTTTACCAGAAGTTCTTAATACAGCAGAAATAAAAGTACAGAAAAAGCATGCTTATGCCAAGTACAGACAAAGTGTGTATGTAGGCCAGCTTAAGAGATAAACACACACTGTGGTGCAGATACTTATCAATGCATGCTAATAGCAGAAGAATCCTTGCTAGTTTCATAAAAATAATGCCAAATATAGCAGTTCATTAGAAGAAAATAGAGAGCTATTGGTAGATTGCCATTTGTAATGATTCATAGGATCTCAAGTCATTTTGTCTGGCTTCTTTTATCTTTCTAGTATAACAAAGCAAAAACATCATATTAAATGTTGGCTGTCTTTGTGTTCAATAAAAACCAGTGAATATTATCTTGTTTCCATGCACTGCAAATATATGAATTTCAATGAAAAGTGATAGTTTAGTTACATCTTTATTTTGGCACATAGCTAATGTCATCTGTATAGTAATACCAAGATTTTTTATACTTATTTATGCAATTATCTAGTGGGCAGTTGATTTTTATCTTGCCTGATGCATTGTCATCTTTATTTTTCTCTTCAGCCTTTTTTTCTTTAGAATTTCCAAATATATACTGTTTAGGATTAGTAATGCATGTAAAGACAGGAATGACGCATTTTGCCATTATGACAGCGGGCCAGGAAGCTTTTTTCAAGCTGTGCGCGCACTTTATGCACACGTAATGCCCACATGAGAGAATCACAAAGTGATATTTATATCGCTCTAGGCTTTTTTTGTACAGATGAATAAGATTATTTCTATAGGGCCCCATGAGAGGCATTTCAATAATCTTATTCTTGCATTGGGGGGCGCAGCAGTATTTGTTCGCTTGTATAAAATCCTTTAGATCTGTATCAGAGCTTCTTGAAGCAATCTGTCTCTTTACATTAATATATCTCTGTCTCTGTTCAGGTATGAAACTTGGAGTGGGGAGACAGGCTAGCTTAGTAGATGGAGCGTTTTCCCAATTAGGAATAGTATTTATCTTAATCCAAGCCCCAAAATAGCGCGCATCCACTATGTACAGAATGTAGTTCGGGTGTTCAATCAGGGACTTCCACTCGTTATTCTCTTTGTTCATAGAGAGCGTATTACACTGCTTTCCCTTTGTGAAGCACCCACTTTCTGCTTTATAGCTAAAGATTGTGTCGTTTGTCAGATTGTTAAACGTGAAAAGTGTTAAACTTTCCATCTGTTTAAGGACTGACACGTCTATTTCGCTCTGCTTAGCAGGAGAGGAAAAGAAGACAGAAAGCATTTTAATGTTCTGGTAGCTAGTGATGATTGATCTAATCAGAGCTGGCAAGAAAAGATTATTCCTTATTTGCTCTGAAAATACCTCAACAGATAAAATCGCAGTGCTCAGTGATCGCGGCAGGATTATTTTAACATTCTTGTCATCTTTGGCAGATTCTGGCACAAATATCTGGATCTTCATCCGGATTACATTTTGTGTAAGATCTGTATCTAGAGAGTTAAATGGCTCGCTTGTTATTTTTAAGCGCAGATAATCTGGCATGATCTTGTTATTACTGTAGACAGCTATCTCCCTTTTGTTTCTTATAAAAAGTGTGGTCTGGTGCCCAAGCTGCTCAAACAAGTGCTCATCAATTACTAGATGAGTTACAGTATATAGCTCATACATAAAGAACCAAGTTGCAATTTTTATGTTTGGGTTTATGCATATCAGAGTCAAATTTCGCAATTTGGGTATGATCCGCGTTATTTGAATGTCAAAATAGCTCAGCTTTGTCTCCCGCATAATTGACAAATCATGCATGTTAGCAATAGCAGAGAATATATCTTCACGGTTAAGAAAGTTCAAGCTGTAAAGACTATTTTCTATTATAGAAAGCTTTTTCACAGAGTGTGTTAACAAAAGAAGCCCAACAATTATGTGCTCTGACTCGCCCTCGATAATTAGCTCAATATCCTGTAGATTCCTGCGTGTATTTATAATGTTTCTTTGCATATTAATAGAATATGTAGCCACCTCGTCAGTACTTATTTTATCATGTAAATTGCAGTGCATAAATGAAAGAGTTTCAAGATGGTTAAAATTATTTAGAAACTCGTAAAGACTTTCAATAAATATACTATCGTTCGGGTTATGGTCATTTAAGAGAGCACAATAAAAAAAAGTTAGACTATTTAAAAATATGTTTTGGGCTAAACTAGTTAGAAGTTCACCATCTAGTAGCAGCCCAGTGAAAATAATGCCTTGATTTTTGCTTGTCTTTATCTTATCTATCAGATCTTTGAGATTTTGATATACCGGGTTGGCTCTGTTCCAAATGGTATTCAGCGGATTATCTATCTGTATATGCAGAGATTTAACAGATGCAATTTTATCAAAGTTGTCAATTATTGTTCGAATGTTTTCGTTGTCTATATAGAGGTTTATCACTGAAATACCAGCTATTTTCATGCCCCAAATAATACTAGGATAGTTTCTTTGTATTTCTGCAACTTTTCTATTTTTATACTGCAGTGCTTCTATAAAATCCGAATATTCCTTTTTTTTGCGCGCAGCCTCTTCTTGTTCTAGAACACTTGGAAGAAGAGGTATGTTACCATGTATATTCTGCTGAATATTTTGATTTTTGACATTCGTGAAGCCATGAAGCATTGATGGAATGGAAAACATACCGGTAGTTGCAGATATACGCATTATGTAGAATATAAAAATAATGATTAGTTTTGTGCTTGCTGCTTTGTGATTGAATGATTTCATTTACGCTTAGAAGGATCTATCTATAAATGTGCCTAACTTTGCCAGGCGCCAATTAAGTTGAGCACTCAGCATCCAATGTATGTAAGCACCAATAAATACAACTAAAAAAGAAACCTGTAGAAATGAAAAAGCAGAGAAAATGTTCATACATGCAATGCAATTCTTTTAGAGAAAGCGCCGTAAAATATGCACACTGCAAAAAAACACTTTCTATGCTTTTGCTCATGCTTATCTCTTTTGGTGCGGCCTCACAGAGTATATTCAGCCCAAGCAAATACGATTGGTTAATTACAGCAGGCACTGAAAGTTTCAAAGTTACTAAGGAAATGACCTTAGAAGAGCTCAATAACTTAATGGACCAGAATGTCGCAATACAGCTCACATCAAAGAATATGTCTAAAGAAAAAAGCCTTGAGCTGCAGTATAGCGCAGAGATAGAGGCAGCCTTGTGCAAATGGCTTTTCAGAGTAGATGAGGTTGTTATAACCAACTTACAGGCCATTTCAGATGGGGCTATTAATGCGCTGCCATATCTTAAAGGCTTAAAAAGCATACAAATAAGAATTGATGAGAAAGATAAATCTACCCTCAATGCACGGCTGTCATGTATATCAAAGTGCAAAGAACTAAAATGCATAGTTTTAGATGTGCCCAATTTAAAAATAACTGAAAAGATCGAGTGGGTTGCTCCAAACCTTAGTACTCTTTTCTTCAGAAATCTGTCTTTCACAGGAGAAATACATTTGCATCAAATGAGCTCTATAGAGCGCATAACTATTTTTGCAGAAAAATTAAATGCCTTTACAATAGACTATGCATCCTTAAAGAAAGTGTCGCAAAAAGTGCATGCAGAGATACATACAAATCACATGGGAAATATTCCGTTTGCAGCTATCGCTAATAAATACTTTTTCCTAAGAATCCTTAGTTTGAATAAAAATCAATTTGCAGCAAAGCAGTACACAACTATTACGGATAAAAAAGGAATTATGCTGGGATACGATGCATATATTCACAGAATTATATCATATTTATTTCTCCAGAGGAAGCAGAAAATATACTGCTGCCACAAAAAACCACTTTCAGACCTGTATACACTGATGAAGCATGTAACACATGCGCACAAGACAAATAGCTTTTCACTTTTTACACAGAACAAAGAAAAAGACACTCACGAAATAGTTATTCCAAGAATGAATGATGCAATCAGCAGCATGGTTATACTATCTCAGGCAGAAAAAGAAGAAATAGCAGAGTTTTTACAGCAGGCCATAATACTTGAGTTGTGGGTGCTAGTCAATGGGATATCTATAAACATAGAATGCCCACTAAACTATCCATTGTCAGCTGAAAAATGGATACTTTATCTGCCAATTTTGCACAAACTATCTTTCATGTACCAGAGTGAGCCTGCTAACATTCCAAGGTGTTTTTATAAGCTGTACACACTTGACTCTCTTATAGTTAGAGACAGCTCTTTGAAGAATCTTTTCGAAATATTAGTATCCATGCCTGGGCTGCGAACAGTAGTAGTTGAAAACTGCCTGTTCAAGTATGCTAGCTCACACATGATGCACAAGTATATTAAGTATAGCAGGGTCTTCGATCAAAAAAAGAGTATTAAAATAAGCGGCAATATTGATGAAGATGAACTCAAATCACTGCGTGTGAAAATAACGATTTTCTGTTTTGTTTTAATAGTATTTCTGATAGCTCTTTATGCTATGTCGCATATTTACTATAAAAGCAAAATGGAAATTCCGCAGAGAGAGAGACAAAGATACAGAAGTCTGCCAGACCTAAGACAAACCAAGAATAGAAACTTAAGGTAGATGCCAGTGCAATAAAACTGGCACATATGCATTGAAATGGTGGATTTCATTATCAAATGAAATATTAGCAAATAAAGCATGCTTTCTGTTCTTAAGCACTAGTTACTAGAAGATTTTCTCTATTAGCACTGCCTGCATGTTCTTTTCTCCCAGCTACATTGCACTGTATAAATTTATTTTTAGGTTTTTATTACAATTAGCATATTTGTAAATATGCATTTAGCACTTTCTGTATCTGAAGCAATGCATTCTGAAACTAATTCGGAACAGCCCGAATTTACAACTTCAGCAAATATAAGTTAGTATTCTCCACCTTATGATATCAGTGGGGTATGGACTATCCAATTATGAGATTGGTGCAATAAAGCTATTGGCTAAAATGATAAATGTCCTATTCTAAACAATACTATCTTTATTAGGGCGCCAGTTCAGACTGCACTACTTTCTGCAATGTGGCACAGCAAAGAAAAAACAGAATTGCACAGTACAGGGAGATTTCTACAAATAGGCGCACTATTAGCAGCCGATTTTCCAAATATTCAAGCCAGATGTATTTAAGCTGTGCCCAGTGCAGGAATAATGAATAGTTCCCTATATTCGGATTATCTCTACACTGCATTCTTCTGCTTTTTTGCTCTCTCTGCATCTCCAAGCGCAGGGGCATGTCTACGCTGTGCGCGGGCCTCTCTCTCCTTCCAGTTATTTCTAATACACTCTGCATTCATCTCTAGCTCTTTATACATTAGGTTTTCTCTAATAGACGCCATAACACTAGCTGCTGTTTTGTAGCCATTCGGCATGTTTTTGTCCCGTCTAACACGCAGAAGAGACCATCTCCCCTGTACTAGGGAGTAGTCGCTTATATCAATTGTGTACTCCCTGCTCTTGTACGCAAACTCCCCTATCTGCCCATCTAGATCATCATAGCTCTCTATCTCGCCGTAGTGGTTGGTCTGTGCAACGCCTTTTCTTGTGCGCTCGTTTTCCTCAAGGTCGCACAGGATAGGATCCTTCCAGTACCAATCAAAAACCACCTCTCGCCCAGGCGCCATTGCAAGAAGAAGGTAGAGCCCATCTGCTGTCCCTGCCTTCTGTATCCGAAAATCAACTGAGTTGAGGTGCGGCGGCTTCCACTTAAAATACGCAGGGCACGTGCCTGCCTTGTACGGATAGTCAACACATGTGAATATAAGCCCATCATTCTCATGCTGCAGAGTGGGAATAATCTGTCTATACACCTCGCAGAGCCCATAGCTTTTGTGCATTCGCTTTATTTGGATATGTATGCTGTGGTGCTCGCTAGATTCTGTTTGTTTTTGCGCCTCCCCCAGAGAGGAAAGCCAGCTTTCTGTCTGCTGAAGATACCGCATGGCAGCTGAAAGTCTTTCTGTGAGTGATCTGCTGCAGATAGAGACGCCCTGATAAATAGCCATATCAAACACCATGTAGATATAGCTTCCTGCCGAGTTTTTGATGATTTCTCCATCGAGAAGAGCAGATCCTATAAGGGGAAATGGCTTTTTTATCCGCACAACAGAGCCATTTCTGTCGGTAAAGAACGCGTATGTCTTGTGCTTTATTTGCTTGATGTACAGGATGGCCCGAAGACCGTCGCTCTTTTCGCAAACAAAGTAGTCCTTTTGCCGGAGATCCTGCAGTGCCTCGCGGTTAAGTGTTACAGGCTGTGCACCTGGAAAGGATGAGGCACCTTCAAATCCACAGATTTCTCCAATCTCCTTTAGCAGGTTTTTGCTATCCCGCAGGTTTACAGTCTGGCCTAGTCCCAGTTTCTCCAGCTCCATTTTAAATAAAACTTTTCCTTGCATAAATGCAGCTTCTCTTTCTAGCCTGCCATACTTGAAAAACCAAGAAAATAAAGTTGGCCTCGTATAAAAACTAGAAGATGCGTCTATTTATTAACCAATATTGACATGTTTAAAAGAGAGCAATGTACCAGTCAGAAAGTAGTAGCCTAAAATAGAAAGTATTTTAGAGAGTTCTATTCATATAACTCAGCAGGTGACTGAGTGCATTTTGGCTTCTAGTTTTTGTACTTGGTGCATTCATATGCGCTTCTTTGATTCATTAATCTACCAGGATTATATTCCTGTCTATCAGGAATATTGTGGCTCTGGAATAAAGAAGTAGAGATTTTATTGCGAATATGCTTTGGCTATCTAATTATTCTTAATAGACTAGAGCCTCCATGATATAAATATCCTTTCCTATTGGCTGAAATATTATCAAATATTCTTATTCAAAAATAGGCCAATAGCCGCCCTTTCTTATATTTATCAAGTAGCAGGGGATATTTTATGGGTGCATTTTTAAGCAAGCCACAGGAAAGAGTAAAGATAGCAGTACGAAAGATAAAGGAAGTAGAGACAGATGTGTTTACTAGAAAGAGCATTGTGCACTTATATCTCTGCAAAGATAACATTGTGGCTGTAAACCGAAATATACAGCTGCTGAGGAACCTTCGGGTTCTTCAAATATGCTGCAACAATCTGGCAGAGCTGCCACCTGAAATTGGGCAGCTGCGGAATCTCTGCATTCTTTTCCTCTCGCGCAACAAGCTGAGGAAGCTTCCAGATGAGGTTGCCCGGCTGAAAAACCTGCATGATTTAAACCTATCAGATAATGAGTTGACAACCCTCCCCGCCAACTTGTGCAATCTGAAGAATCTAAAAATTATTGACATCTCTGGGAATCCCATGCGCGAATTTCCTGCAGTTATTCCCAAGATTCGGTCTTTAGTCTGCATTTCAGTCATGCGCACGGAGCTGAAGTATCTCACTCCAAACCTGCTGCAGCTGCCCTTTCTGACAGAGCTAAACTACAAAGGCGCAGAAACTGAGCACACTCTTGTGCAGCGCAGGCAGCAGTCTCTTCTAGGACTAGTGGCTGAAAGTGTGGTCAATAGAACTGGAGTAATAAAGGAGAAGCTTCCAATTGGCGCTCTAAAGTACATTAGGACAGCAACACAATGCTACGTATGCAGTAAATATATATATAACCCCATGGACATCTATCTGAATATTGTACTTGCATTTAACACAGTACCTGTGAAGTATAGCATATGCAGGAAGCATCCAATAGACTGCAATAACATACAGCAGTCTCTGCAGAGGCTTCTATTTGTAGAGGAAAGAGAGACTGCCATAAGCAACGAGTGTGCAGCCGCAAGCATTCTAGAGGTAGAACGATTAATCGAAAAGCATCGCACATCTATTCATGGAGAGACAGAGAATAAATAAATAAGATGTAAAAGAAAATATAGTTTTATGAGAAGATATATGCATATAATACAAGACTAGACAGATTAGGCCCCGTAGGCAGTCAGAGAAAAGAATGCAAGATAGCACAGCACACACAAAAAGAAAGCATCTTTTTAGACCTGCTAGTATCTTGTATGTTTGCAATGTAGATGGCGGGCCTCTTTGTCTTCTAATAGTAATTCTTAGCTATTTTTCTGGTGCCTACTAAATATGCAGTTCTGCTGTAATAAAGGCTCCAATACTTGCTGCAGAATATTTAATTTTCTTGCCTGCTTCACTGAATCTATGCCCAATAAAAAAGTTTTGTGCTATTTTCCAAAACAATTTTTAGGGAAATATAGAGTAAAAATTTGCTGCCAGGGTTGATTGAAAACTATTTATTTTCGGATTTTAAAATTATTTTATGAAACTACATTTGTGCTTGATGCAAGTGCTGATCGCGCACCAGATATGCGCGAGTATGGGAATCCATTCCATAGAAAAAGTTCTAAAAGCAAAACTAGGCCCGGGGTTTACACTGATCCACCCAGAAGGCCCGCTCAGCCCACTCCCTGCATACATTTCTAGCAGATGCGGATTTGTCTATAACAAAAGGTTCTTTTCCCCTGACATAAATGCATGGTATGAGCTAAAAGAAAAAAAAGAATCTGAAGCAGGCGAAAGCAAGTATATTTACACACGGCAGCCTGATAGAGACAGAGTGCACAGCGCAGACAAAATGCCAACAAGCATGCAAATAGGCATAGAGAACTACCACTCAGTTCTGCTAAAGATGTTCCCTTCCCCACTAGGAGATCTATCTATAAAGACACCTAGAAACAACGCATTCATTGCATTTCTTAGCGATAAAGAGGTCAGCAAGCATGCCTACAGGATTCTAGCCTCACTTTTCCTGCTCTCTGACGGGGTAAACGTGCCCCTGACTCTCTCTAAAACAGATAAAGCAGCAACGCTAACTCTGAAAAACCTAAAGAACAACACAGATCACTTCTCTATTAATATGACTGTGCCTCGCCTGGTGGCTATGAACAAGGGCCTGATTAAAGAAAAGAATGTATTCCAGAATGATGCTGTGTTTATCTTTGAGTACTTTTTGAAAGTAAAGGACAGCACACTGGTGACAGATAAAGAGTACTCCTCTTCAGTATCATACAATGAGTTCAAAAAAGGCCAGTTTTTAAACAGCCCTAAGTGGCTGATGCAGGCATACATATTTGAGTATATAAGCACCCCTGAGAACTACATTGCCTTTTCAATGGTTGTGCATGAAATGCTGTGCGAGTATCTAGAGGCTGCAAGATCCGACCAAAATATGAACATCCAGCATATTGACTCTATATTCTACCGGTACTTTATTTCTGAGGAGGATACAGCCCGCCAGTTCGACTATATAAAGATCATGAAAGAAATACAAGGCATCAAGTCAGAGCATAATATATCTCCATTCAGCGCAGACGTACAGGTACCCTCTGCACAAAGAACTCCAATATACATTCGGGCTAAGAAAGAATTTATAAGTGAAACCTTCAATAACAGCGTAGAGGCATCTTTGCTTGGAGTGTTTTTCTGCCTTCTGTACTGCCCAAACACAGAATCATACAGCACACATCACATACTGCATGCCTCTGAAGAGCTGACAAACTTTTTCTGCAAGTACGACACACCCTTCAAAGCAACTGGAGCAGCTGTCTACAAAGATTGGAGCCGGGTTGTGTCTGGATTATGCAATAACTACATTGTATACACTGGAGCCAACAGAAACCGCCTGGAGCCTGGTATAGTCAACATGCTGTGCGTAATTACAACCATAACTGGAACCTTTGAGACGGAGAAGAAGACACTTGACTATATAATAAGAGAGATAAACCAAGAACACCCTAAAGAAGCTATTTTCAAGACTCTTGAGAAATATGCAACAAATCTGTTTAGGAGTCTGTCTGTGGGCGAGTCCGGCACACTATTAGATGACATAGGGGAGAGCAATAAACACATCTCGTGTTTCTCACTAGGCCACGCGCATGACAACAGTAGGAGTGTTAAAGTGAGCTTGGAAAAGCCACAAATTACTTCTATTGCTGACGAAAGAAAAGACATATACGGGACCATTGTTATAACATATAAAGACAAGAAAGAAAAGGCAGGAGTAGTTCTGACATCTGACACTCAGGATATGAAAATCACAAATTTCCCGGAATTTAATCAAGACTGGCTAAGCCTCTCAAACAAAGTCAACAGACTTCTTTGGGTAAATAAACTGCGCAGAAAAAAGACATTTGCATCCTGCATGGTGCTTCATTATTTAAACCAAAAAATGAAGAAGGCTTTGCCCGAAAGCGACCAAACTGAAAATCTTATAAAGAAGATTACAGATACAAAAGAAGGTACCCATGCGTATCTAGAGAAGTTCCTTCTCATGGATACAATCCAAATGCCTGAGCATAAACTTACTCTTGTATACCGCATGCTCCTGCATAAAATTGGGCATTCTATTTCTCAAAACGACCCCATAGCCCGATTTATATCTAACATAATTGGCAGCGAGTTCCTTGACCAGACAGAAACATTGAACAAGTTTATCTCATGCATTACAATAACAGGAATGAACAGGCAAATATGCCCAAGAATCAACTCTGTGGATGACAAAGTTATAGAATATGACTGCTGTGCTGACATGCTTAAAGAAGGGTTTAAATATTGCATAACAGCGAACAAACCACTATCTGCCCGTGTGCAGTTCATAAAGACTGCGTTAGAACTTGGAGAAACGCATAAGGACTGTGAGTTCCTAAAGATCATGGCATCTGTCTCATCGAAAAAACAAGTTCAGCTGCTTTCTTTCCTAACAGAGAAAGGCAAGACCATTAAGCACTTGGTTAGCATAGCAGAAGTTCTTGAGGCAATGCAGGAAAAGGGAGAGAGCAACCCGGAAATATCTCTTTCAACTAGTACCTTCTGGGCCATTTGGATTAGCATAGCATGCCAGAAAGATAATTTAAAGCGGATTATAATGGACTGCTTCAACCAAATACCACCATACCAAGACAACATCCAAGTAGTTTCTCACAACATAACCCGAGAGAAGGGCACCGGATTTTATGAGAAAGTGGCTGCTACTATGTCTGGTTTGGAAGAAGCCTTGTGCAAAACACAAGAAGATCTGACGAAGTACACCATACTTATAAACATATTCGGATACGAAGCACGGGGTGAAATTCAAACAGTTGATGCGCCCCAGGATGAAACACAGTGATTTTCTATATCATTTGGCCTAAACATGCACTGAGTATATTTGGCTCTGATAAAATATTATTTAAGAATAAAACTTGTGTTTAAGTGGTGTATCATAATTAAAATGCAGTATTTTCATTCCTCTACACTACATTTAGAGGTATACAAAGGGCTCTTTATTCCATTGTAAGCTGAGAAATATTTAGATTTTACATAATTTTCATTATTCAACTTTAGACTTTATGTTACGAGTAGTTCTATATAGTAGTAATTTTAAATAAATTTTCATCTTTAGTTTTCTTAGTGGGCAACAGTATATATTAAAGTTTGTTTACATAATAAAGCAATATTATCAAAGCAGATTGTAATGTAATGCAAAGTATAAACAAGCATAGATTACTATTATTTGATGCGCAAACCAGTAGAGTTCCTTGTAGCAGGTTGACCTGCAGCCAAAACCCAGAAGACAATAACTAGTACCAATCTACATTGCTGACCCGGGAAGAGAAGGGCTGCATGCCCTCATGGCAAGAAAAACCAACATACATTTTCACAATTACTTTCGTTGCATACTTTGCAGTAAAATAATCTTTAAATTTTAAAATTATTTAAATACTACTAGTAAATTTTCAAATATGTGCAAATTGTTTTTCTCTACAGTAAAAAATATATCTTTAGATAGATATAAATATACGAAGAGCTATTCTTCGTCCACAAAACAGGCCCAAGGCGCTTCTACATATGCAGTGCTATCAATTATGCTTTTTACATTGCTCTGCGTGCGTGCCATAATTACTCCAGATATTATCTCAGATATGAGAGATTACAAAGTTAATAATTTGAAAGAAGGCCCATTCAGAATAAACCCTTATGGAGCATTGAATATGATGCATGGCTACGTGTACACCAAGATGGGGCTTATGCACAATAAGCGGTTCTTTTCGCCGGAAATATCCATAAACTATAGAATGTCCTTTATTCTAGAAGATGACAAGCAAAAAATTAAAAATATCATACAAGAGTATGGGAAAGATACAGTGCACGAAACATATAGTATGTCTGAATACAGCAAAGAGTACCATAGCGCGCTAATTAAACTATTTCCCTCCTGTGACGGATACTTAACCATAGAAACAAGCAAAGAGGATTCATTCTTTATGTTCATTAATAGTGCAGCTGCAAGACCTCACGCGCACAAAATTCTTGCTTCTCTGCTTCTTCTTTCTGAGGGAATTGATGTGCCCATAAAATTGGAAAAAACGAAAGACCGTATAGTACTAAGTCTGCAAAAGGCTAACCAAAACATGGTACATTTTAATATTGCCATGCATGGCCCAGATCCATCGTTGAAATATGCAGATGTTGGCCACCATAAGGGCTACTGGGAGGCCATGGAAGTTATTGAGTTTTTCATAAAAAGCAAAAATAATCCTGTGCACAAGAAAAAGGGATACACTCTGCCAAAAACATACAAGGAGTTCAAAACAGGAAAATTCTTGGACAGCACAGAGTTTCTTATACAGTCGTACATATATGAATGCATCACAACGCGTGAAGAGCTGTGTCTCTTTGCACAAACAGTGCACGACCTTCTGTGGGAGCATATAGAAACGTCTTCTGTACCAAAGCGCCTGCTGAACAAAAAGCACATCTCTGCAGTAAATCTTTTCTACAGTTATTTCACTGATTCAGAAGACACCAAATGTGATAGAACTCTCTTATTTACCCTCTTGAGCGCAGACAATTTAAATAATAGAGAAATAACATTTTCATTGGAGCTTGAATCATCTTCTCACACAATTGAGAAACCAAAGTTCCACATGAGAGAGATAAAATCTATAAAGGTCATTTCAGCAAATCTAAGAGATTTGTATATATCAGATAGAACATTCGTAACCATAGACTTTAGTGGAATACAATCCACAGCAAAGTTTATCAACTGTGTTGAAACCTCCTTGCTTTTCATGTTTTGCGCCTTTACATACAACTACAACACGCAGATGTATATGCCTGAGAATATACCACATGTGTCGGAGAACCTAAAGAAGTTCTTCTCCAAGTACAGGCGTGTTTTTCAAAGAGTTACCCGCAGCATGCACGATGAATGGAACAAAGTTGTGGCAGATTTAGACAATGAGGATATCTACTATAGACGAACAAATCTAAACCACGTGGACAATGGGCTGTTGAATATTCTCTGCGTGATTTCCGAAATTGCAGGAATATATAGTGAAGAAAAAGAGAAAATTGATGAAATAAGAGAATTGATTCTAAATGAGGGAGCAATGCTGTCACATGATATACTTGGCCTTGTAAGCACGTGTATTGCCAGCATGATGAATAAAATCTTTCATAACCGGAGGCCATGCGAGGTTGATGTGATTTATTTAAAGAAACTAAAAGTATCTGATAGAATAGAGCTAATTGGAGAAATTAGAATAAGGTGTTGTTTATCACCCGATGAATCAGTTGATATTTATCTGAATTCTAAACAGAATGACACAAATGTAAAACTTGTGCCTTTACGGAATTCTGAAATCTACCATAATAATCATATACAGTATTGTCTAATTATGAAACACCAAATCAAGAGGCCACAGAGTTTTATTGCATTTCTGCTTGAAAGCTACCTGGACTATACAGAAACTATCCACTTATTAGAAACATCCGGTATGGAAGTGTATGATATTGCTTCAAAAGCTCTAAAGGAAGAAAAAGGTGAGGTTTTAAGCATGAACCGATTCTTTCTTTCTCGAAAGATCTTTGGCGACGTCTACAAATCACATATAATCTACTACTTCTTTATAAAGGCTATCGAAATGGATCTTCCTAAAGACAGCTGCATAGTGCGCTTTGTTTCTAATGTTCTTGGAACAGGATCCTTCAAAACTTCCTTACTGAAAAAGGATATTTTTAGGCTGCTTTTTTCCTTCAAAAACAATATTGACTACTTTCCGAATGTGTTTATTGACTTTAATAATGTCAGTTTTGATGCATTCTTTCATCCTTCTATCCTCCAAATATTGAAGCATCTTGCTCACATAGATGCACCTGAGATTATTTACAATGTGTTATGCAGGCATTTGGAAATGTGCAATTCTAACGAAATCGAATCTATAAGCTATCTCTTCTGGATAGCTGATATGGAAAGCGCGAAATATATTCTTTGGCATCTTACCAAAAAAGGCAGTGATGCCTCTTATATCGACTCGCTAGTAAAAAACATAAAGAGTCTTAGCAAATCTAATTCTCAGAATGTTTTAGATACAGCTATTAATACATTGTTGATATCAATTATTACAATAACCTGCACTGATGTCATTGAGTTTGACTATATTATAAAAAAGTGCTGTGACTTACTTATTCTCTATACAGACAGATACTTTCCAATTAGAATTAAGCCCGAATATGCGCTGATTAGACATTCAATGAATACTCTTATTGAAATAAAGAGTGACTTGAAAGATAACCGAAGGCATATTAAAAAACTTAAAAAGAATATGAGTGCTGTAATAGAGCGATATAAGAGTACTCTATCAGAATACACAATCGAAGAAGCATCGCGAAACTCGTTATTTAATGCTTATTATCTGCCTGGAAGTGTGTGACCACTTTTCTTCTAGCTCAATAATATAAATTTCGGGTTATATTCAAATTTAAGTTTTTAGTTTTCTCTAACACACACCATACGAGGCACTGCTGTTTTGTATGCCAAAAATTTAATGGTATAAGCTTTTATGCGTGCTGATCTCGTATAGTCAGCTAGTTATAATTATATACTCCGAAACATCCAGAAATAAATTTTAACGAGTTTAATATGGCTGGTCTAATCTTCAAGGTTAAAGATTTCTTGTTGGGCTTGTGTTGAAGTGCTGGCCATGCAGATACAGATACTTCTACACACCTAACATCTCGCTGTGCTGTTTGAATTTATGCTTTATATTAACGTACTCAAAAATATACTCTAATATACTTCAGCAGGTTAACCAGACATTTTTCTAGAGAATAAAAATAAAAGTGTAAAATTAAAGCTATGGTAGAGTTTCCATTTTATTTCCATAGGAGCAGCACTTAATTAACTTTTAAGAAACCAATTAGTTAAGATAATTTATTTGTTTAAGAATAAGGTTTTAAACAAACAAATCGAGAACAAGTAATCAAGCTAAAGCACAACTCTAGAGCCTGCAAGCTGTGAGCAGAAAATATGCAGTAATCAGCAATAAAAGTAATTTCTGGCAAACTAACCTCTCTTTACTAGAGTATTATTTGTGCCTTAGAGTGGCACTTTCACTAGAGCGCGTCAATAAAAAGTATCATCTGCACTAGATGTTTCTCTTGGCACTATTGGATTTTTTTCGTCATAGTATCCTATTTCTGACTCAATTAAGTCCTTGCTTGGGTTTTTGACATATACGTTATTTAAATCTTCATGGCGGAAATTATAGAAATCGTATATACCTGCATTCTCTGGATTCTCTGGATTCTCTGGATCTTCTTCTTGTTGATTTACTCCGAGCACCGTATACTTCGAGGATATAGAACCACTTTCCATTTCCTCCTTAGAGACTACATAGCTGTTCTCTCTTTTGATACTTGGGGGGTTGAAATGTGCTTCGTCGTTGTCTACTTTATTCTGCAATGCATTTTCATTTGGAATATAATTTGTTGAGACAGCACTTGTTGCTGGAGCTACATAATCCCTTTTTGGCTCCGGCCGCTTGACTGCCTTTGGCAAATCTATATGTTTCTCTGATCTCTGCAAAGGGTAATTTTCCTTTGGCTGGGCCTTTATACCTACTCTGCTTTTCTTTGGCGCCTTTTTAGCATCAGAACTATTCTTGCCCATATCCCCGAATTCTCTAAGAATCTGATTTTGTTCGGATTTTATTATTCTAATTCTACGCCTCAAATTTAGTGCATTCCGGTTTACATGGTTCAACTGCTCATTTAAACTCTCATGTTCTGCATTTAAGTTGGCTTGCTTTTTTATTAGGCTTCCTATTTTTTCGTTTATTAATTTCTTCGCTTGCCAGCTGTCTTTTCCGTAATTAATTTGGGATTGCATATCCAAAGAACTTAAACTTTTTGTAACCTGCGGCATTAGATCTGTTTTTCTAAATCTATACCCATTCTCCTTGTTGTTGATTGTATTAGGACCTAAATCTGTAATTATGCTATTTATCACACTCTCAGTGCCTCTTCTGTTATTTATAGAAAATGCATAGCAAATCATAAGCAGTACGATAAATACTTTTTGTTTAAATATTCTCAACATAAATTATTTTAAACTATTTCTATATATAAGCATTCAGATTGCATCAATATGATATATTTGCAATAATATACAAATGCTGTAAAATATATCTTATTTTTACATGTGCTAGTTTTCCTTGTCTTAAGAGCATACAATTTTCCTTTGGTTTTTGACTGTTAGACAACACTCTACAAGAGCCTCTGCCTGTTTACACAAAGTTATTTTGTGGTATTGACTCTTGACCTTTTATTTGCTTAAGAATAAACAATCAATTGTCTTTAGGTAGAGATAATGCGTGGGCTTCTGGAATTTTCCAGAAGTTTTTTCTAAATACGATATAAGATTAAAAGATCTATAAATAGAGTGAAACAAGTAATATTGAGATCGGTGTAGCTAAGTCTAATATTTCAAAGAAAACTCAACTATATAAAATGCACGCGCACATAGACAAAGTCTTGTTAAAAGTTCTTTTTATTCTATCTGTACACACACGTTTTTACATTTAAGACCACTATGGGCCACATAGCATGATGAAAGCCAAATTTCTTTTGAAGTACTAGACTTAGTAACCATCTCTCTTTAGTTTAAATATTTTCTTTTTGCAGTCCACATACCACACTATTCTGAAATATACTAGAACTTGCAGATTCAACAGAAAGATCTATAACCCTCTGTTCACTTCCCGACGGATACTATAAAGCATTAGACCACAATGTGGTGCTGTGTATAACAAAGCAGAGCTCTTTTAGTACATTGGCTAGAACAGAACAGAGAATATCATGTATTAACTACCTGCATTGCTGTTCTAAGGGTAGAAGAGCGGGTTCTTGGGGCAGAGAGCCCCATCCAGTTTAAATGTAAATACTAAAAGGTCTTTTTATACAAAAAGTGCCTTATCTACCAATCATCATTTTCCCAGGTTCTATTGCTTGAATTTGGCCCTTTCTTTACTTCTTTTCTGATCTGAGCAAGAACTTCTTTTTTCTCGTTTATGTGCTCTTTGTTTTTTCTTTTCCACTCAGCCTCTCTTTCTGCTGACTTCATTTGCTTTTGGTTCTTAATTTTTTTCGACTTTAAAAGCTTCCATTTTCCGTTTTTGATCTCATTTATGTTACTTTCCATGTACTCCACAATAAACCTAAGCGTTGAGATGGTCTCTCTAATTGTTTCCTCCTCTGTGCATCTTCTGCTTAGAATAGGAATGATTTCCTGGATGCCTTCAATTTCAATTCTGCTAATGTTTGTGGTCAAAAGGTGAAGACCCAGTTTATAGTTGATGGTGCATTGTATGTTTAGAAGGAGGATAAGAAGGTTGAACACATTATCAATCTCAATCAACGTCTTCATATGTCTTTTGATGTGCACAGAAATATCACTTGCTGGCACCTCTTTCATTAGCAGCTGTATAAACAGCATTTTATTGTTCGAGCTAAGCACAGCCAATGCATCAAATAGCATCTCAATTATCTGCATCCGCATCTTTTTAAAGCGTGCCATGTTCTTATTCAGGAACAAGAATAGGTCATTTATGTCTGCCATCGACAAATCGTACAAATTCTTGCTGAAGAATACCACCTGGATGTATAATAAAGAAGTGTTGTTTTGCTTTTCTATATTTTTATGCATAGATGTTGCACTAAAGAGAAATATGCTTGATACTATATAGTATAGCGAACTAGTTGCTGTGTCTTCACGCTTTTTGCTCTGGTCTTTGAATAACTGCGTAAGGACAGCATCCACATCCTTGATCTTGTAGTCTTTTTCTTGAAAGTGTGCCAGAAATACTGTCATTATATACTGGATGTAATAGTCTGGGAGCTCCTCTGCATGGCTTGCAAGCATATTGTATATGTCTGCGTATGTCTCCTTCCCCAGCAGAGCATGCAGCGCATTTATCACGTTTGGGGTGTTTTTAACAGTGTTTTTGTCTCTGAATGCAGGAAACACCATAGCTTTTGTACTGCAGTCTGCATCATAGTATATGTCTGCATAGTCAATTCCCTCTAATAGAGCACTGTCACTTGGAGCACTCTGGGACCTTCCCATATTCGTGACAGACTCCAAGATAATACTGTTCTTTTTAATTAGCGAGTCATTGATTATAGAGATGTTCGTTGATATGAACTGGTTGAAGAGTTCGTATTGGTGTTTCTTTGCAGATATTTCTTCTTGGGAGGCAAGTGGCAGTATTCTTGCTGTGATAATATAAAAATAGCTCCCGTGCTTTTGGTACGCAATTACCTCCGGCATGATATGAAGAACATCCTGCACATACTTTAATAACGGATAGGCTTCTTCTACTTTTTTTGCGTAGCCGTTTTTGTATTTAAACACCGTGCAGGGCTTACTTTTGTAGTACCCTAGATACGAGGTGTACACCTCTGTGGAAAGCAGCTCGGTTTCTGTTGTAAAAATCAGACCACTTCCAATACTCTTTATAGTCCGCAGAATATTCATGAAAAACATAAAAAACACAAAAATAAAACCCAAAGCTGGAGACGAAATTTAATTTGCCTGTTGCGGCACTATATGATAGGGCACAGCGCTTCATCGGAGCCTTCTTTTTAATATAGACCAACCGCCTGGGATGGTCTGCTAAGTCAGATTGCTTTGTTTAGTGCTAGCTAAATAGCAAGACAGACATTAACTGATGCTGCTGCATATTTCTGCAATGAGGCTGGCTGATACTCAGTTAATTAACTTGCGGAAAAAGAGAAAGGTGCTGCTAAGGCAATACTCTTATGATTTTTTCAATTGTTTGGAGAGAACTATACAGTGGCTTCAGAATTACTTTGCTTCTAAATTAAAATTCTTCAAAATACATACTCTGAACACTTTGGGTTTGATAAAATCTAAAGAAAACAATAAAGCAGGCAAGTAGCCAATTAATTACACAATACACCAGTGCACAGCACGCTGTAAATAAAAGCACTCCAGAATAAACAAAAACAAAAACCTTTTCTCCAGCAAAGAGCTTGCATGCCCATAGCATAGTTCTTGAATGCACCTTAGTGGCTGCGTGGGCACAGCTCTACTTGCTCTCTACCATGCGCCAAAGCAGATACAATTTCTATGTTTATAAATATTAAAAATAATCCTGCAAATTATGAAGACAACAAAAAGAGAAGTCCTTCCAAAGTACAAGATAGTCTTTCTGGGAGATACCGCTGTAGGAAAGACCACGCTCATAACAAAGTATGTGTTCAGCACAGAAACAAAGGATTACCACCCAACAATTGGAGTAGACTTTTTTGCCCAGAAGACAGAGATAGGAGGAAAAACAGTGAATTTGCAGCTGTGGGACACAGCAGGGCAGGAAAGATTCCGCTCACTTATCCCAAACTACACAAGAGACTCCTTCATGGCCGTAATCATGTTTGACCTCACCAGAAAAGAAACATTTGACAGAGTGGACGGATGGATAACGGATTTTGTGCTGAAGAATAACGACTCAAAACTAAAGATACTAGTTGTGGGTAACAAGCTGGACCTGTTCGAAAAGCAGGAGAACAAGCAGATAACCAAAGAGGAAATAGCCGAGAAAGTACAGAAATACGGAGCAGCATATGTTGAGACATGCTCGCTTACTACAGAGGGAATTAATTCTCTGGTTAATGAAATAACACAAACCATACAAAACTCAGCTGCGCCAGAGCAGACAGTCCCGGAGTTCACAATAGAAACAGATTCCAGTAAGAGATGCATGTGCCTTTAATAAATTTGATTATGTGACCTTGCTTAACATCTATTAATTGTGCGCTGCTTCAGATGTAATGTTTCTTGAAAATCCAAGAAGTTAATGCCCTGCATGCAAAATAAATTTGGAATGCATATCATATGTATAGGGGCATGAATTCTCTACAAACAGCACCTATTTAGACAGATTTCACTGTGCTTCATAATTTTCACTATGTATGCTAATATTCATATTACTTCGTTAATTTAACTATCCTTTAATTTAAACATCCAAGACACTACTATAGAGAATCTCTTGTTATAGTATGCAGGAAGCAGTAGAGCAGATGCTATAAGGAAGAAAGGTAGATCTGATTTGAGCACGGCAGTTCTGCTGTTAAGCTTGTATTAATTGGAAGTACATTTATTGTTTTTGAGGCTATCTCTTCTGAGAGACTTTATTGGTCTATTCTATCTTTGCTACTACTTGCTCTGTTAAGACGTGAACTACTCCAGATGTACATCTGTCTGGTTTAGGATATCTGCACTTTCCAGAGCGTACGCTGCACAGGCTGTTGCCACTGAAGTGGCAATAATAGAGGATGCCCCTCCTCTGCTCCCCAGACTTCCTGCAGCCAGACCGGCCACAATTGGTCTATACGTTTTGCTAAGGTTATATTTTGATATTAGATTGTCAAAGAGAACATAAGATCCTCCAATTATCATAGTATCTGTTATTCGGGAAGAGATTGAAGAATTTCTGCAGAAGCCCTTCTGGAGCACACCAATTCCCAGACCAATTGCAGCGCCTGCCATTGTTCCTACTACAACCTGGCCAAGAAGCTCTCGTGTTCTACTTTTCTCTGCTGGGTGCGGCATAGAATGAAAAGCACAAAAAAGAAAAGAATAAAAGAGCAAAAAATTTGCTTGTAAATGCAGCTGGCAGCCAGAGAAAATACAGCAGATTTATTGCCCAGCCGGGAAGTGTCTGAGAAAAGACAGAATATAGAAGAAAGCAATGAAAATTTGTCTGTGTCATTGAATGCAGAGCTATTGAAAAAGGGGCACGTGGCAGTTGGGATGCCAAGACGGTGCAGAACACTCTCTTTTATGCATGCAGGGTGTGTGTACTTTGCTGTAGGGCGGGCTGTGGTCCGGGTGGAAAATGCTTTGAATGCAGAGAGTGTGCCCAAGTCCACCGAGATGATCACAACTGCAGAAAGCAGCATATCTGCGCTATCCATAGAAAACGAAGTCATTTCAATTGGAACACTTTCTGGAGAGATTATTTTGATGACAACAGATGGCCAGGTTATTTACAAGCAGAAAGTGGATGGCATGGTGCACCACATTCATATCGCGCAGGATTATATATATATCTCTATTTTGTATGCTCTCATAAAAGTTAAATACAAGAACCAGACAGACCTGGCAGAGGGGCAGATACAGAAAGCATCACTGGACAGATACGACACAGTTGCCAGAATGAATGACATTATCATGCATGTCTCAGCTATACAACAGAGCCATGGAGAAGTATTGATGTATGCAAATAGCAACACACTTTTTGTGAACAAAGCAAGTGTAACATACTCTGCAAATGTGGTGTTTGCTAAGTCTCTGCGTCTCTCTGATAGTTGCACGCGAATTATCACAGGGCTAACAAATAGAAAGGTGTATATATATGAATATAAGGAAGACAAACTGACTTTATTGCAGATTATATACGCACAGGGCCTTATTTACGACGGAATTATAGTTAACTCGCATGTAATTGTGCTATCCCTAAGCAACTCCATTAATATTTACAACTGCAGAAAGACAGCAGAGTGTGTTGGAATGATTGGCCCATACGATGAAGAAATAATTAAAGTATATGCGAATAGACAAAAAATTACCGAAGCACTGGATGGATTGGATGAGTCTACTGAGGAGATTGCACACATCATAATGAGCCATCTATATATAGCACTCAACACAGGCGGTATGTTTAAATATGCAACAGACACACCAGCTATTACAAACAAAATAGACGAAAAGGAATCCTTTAATAGTGAAAACGATCAAAGAATACACCAAGAGTCTAATAGAGATTTGGAAAAGAAGCAGAATAATCTCCTTGGAGTATCCCCACTCTGCAACACACCTGGAAATATCATCTCTGGCTGCCTTGAAAAAATAACACATCTTTCAATTGTGCATGACTGCATAATTGCAGCAAGCGGCCCAGTTGTTAGAATATTCTGTGTGGAGAATGAGTCTATACGGGAAATATTTAGGCCTGTTGTTGATGGGTTTCCAATAAATTCTGTTATTGCAGGATGGCAACCAGAAGATGCATCAGCTGCAGCACAGGATTTTACGCTAATTACAAACAGCAATAATATTCTGAAAGTATTTAAGCCCACAAGGCTCTTTAACCTTGTGAGTGCGCACACCAAGCTGAAAGAGATTTCCCAAAGACTTGCAGAACACCAGGCATCCCATCTGAGCGCTGAAGGAGCACAATTAGATGGAGTTGAATGTCTTTCAGACAAAGCTCTTTCTTTGCAAAGTCACATTAAAAACCAAGAAGAAGCAGGGGCATCCGCAAATACGCCATACACAGCCACAAAGCAAGAACTTTCTTTGACCACACTTGCCTTCGCACATCCTTCTTCATCTGAAAGAGAGTACATTGAGGCATCGATTGGAACCGATCCTGGCCTTGCTGCAAACCACTTTATAGAAGTAGACAAGATATTCGGGTTCCCATTTGAAATTTCCACATTCATAAAACACTCTGACTCTATGGTAGTTCTCGCATGTAAGTCTTCACAGAAAGCATTTGCAAACCTCTTTGTTCTGAACTCCCGCCTGGAGACAGTGCAGAAGATATTTTCGCACACAAAAACCATTACACACATTCTGTCCTCGCATGATAAGGTGTTTTCCATTGGTAAAGACCGTCAGCTGTGCACGTACAGAGTGTCCCTGGGAAGAAGTACTTTGCCACAGGATGAACTTACGCCTGCCTTCCAGGAGAGTGACCTGGGGCTTGAGCTCTACAGCAGAAGAACAGACCACAAAAAAGAAGTCCTGGCAGCGAGCGTGTGCGGCACAGAACTACTCACATCCTCAAGAGACAAAACACTCAACACATACGATATACAAGATAACGATACCGTTTTGGTTAAAACACAGACATTTGATGAGCCAGTGTCTGCAATCTGCATATTTACGTTGGATGGCTGCAAATATACCGTACTAGGAAATACTACAGGATATTTAACGATAAATGAAAAGACGCAAAAACTGCATAATTCACCTATCACACATATACATCAATATCACCATCATATCATTACAGCCACAGAAGAAGGCCTCCTTAGAATAACCCAGATCACAGACCTGCTGTAATACAGCGTCAGAGCATGTTGCAAATAAACTTGAAACGCGACCTTGAATGTTTCATTTCTACTATTTATTTTATTTCTAGAAAACAAAACATGAATTACAGCCAGAAGAATCAAGACGACTTTGAAGATATTCTTCGTAATCTAGTGCCATATGATGAAGCAGAAGAGCATGCCCAGCAGACACCCCAGGAAGAAGAACTTGAAATCTTTGACATGGATGCCTGGGAGAATGATCTGTCAGAGGACTTGACTTCAGACAACTTCTTCATAACCCGCCCAACAAAGAAAGAAAAGGAAGAACAAGTAGCCACTCCACGTGAAAGAGAAGATGCACAGTTAATCGCAGAAAAGACTCCAGAAAGCGAAGTTGTGCAGAGCACTACAGAGACATCTTCACTTGAGATGACACCAAAGCAGGTGGAAATAGAGCCAAGTCAGATTGTAGAGCGCATTGGGGAACCTGAAGAATCCAATTCACCGGCCGATCTAGAAGCAAGTCCAAATGACACTCTGGAGTTTACACCAGAGTTCAGTCCAGAACCACTGCCAAACTGCAGCCCAATACAGCACCTAGGGGCATCCCCATGGCATGCGTATGAAAGTAACCAAGAGGACCAAGATATTACTAGTCCATGCACCGAAGCAGTACAGCCCGCTGAGCCAGAGCCAATAGGAAACATTGAAGTGCCCGAGCAAGAAACCGCAATGCCATATGAGTACACCAACAGTGCCCCCTCTATTAATGCAGAGCAGAACAATGGATGCACATTTACACCCATACCAGATGTCTTTGACATGCCACAGGATAATTCCTGGTCACTTGAGGAGTACTTTGGCGATTCCCATGAGGATGCGTCTCCAGAGGGCGACTTATACGTTGCGGATGAGTCCAACTCAGGCTATATGTCCACAGATAACTCATTGCCATACCAGGACACAACTCACATTCAAAACAATCCTGAATGTATTCCATCTGGGTATACGCCAGAAGATGTAGAGTCGCCTGAGGAGCAATTACCTGAAGAATTTGAAGAGCCAGTGCAAGAAGCTTTCTCAGTTGACGAGCTATTTAAAGACTGCCCGCCCATTGACCCAAGCCTCTTCTGCTATGGATCTGCAGCACAACAAGACTCTGCATTCAATAGTAATTTCCCGGCTAACAATCCACCTACACAGCAAGAAGGAATTCTATTCAATAACTTCCCAGCTAATGATGCACCTACACAGCAAGAAGGAATTTTATTCAATAACTTCCCAGCCAATGATGCACATGTAGAGCAGGAAGACTTTTCATTCAGCGATAACTATTTTGCTAATGACGCGGCTGCAGAACAGGAAGATATTGCTTTTGATGAATACCCAGCTTACAATAGTGAAATGAGTGGAAACAATGAGAGCAGACAGCAGCAGGTCCGGCCTAACTTCATACCATCGTCTCCTTTCCCACAAAGCACACAGCCAAGCATGGAAAATCCATACATTCTTCCAAGCACAGACGATGTACCAGTTATGCTGGAAACAGTAGAAGAACCTATCTCTTCACACCCTACTTCTGACGTACAGATGCTTTTCTGCGGAAGCAAGCTGCTTCTTTCCTCTGCGATGCCAAGCATTACTAATTCTGCCAAGCTTCTGCCACAGCCACTAAAGCTGCACTCGCTACAAGCTGAAATACACACGAGCAACATTCGGCAGAAGTCTACTGAGGAGCTGGTCGGTCTTCTCATTAAGGCATATCCTTTGTCTTTCTCTGAGAAAGAGCACCCACTGAACTTCCTTATTACAAAGAATGCAGAAACACTGTGCGCCGCAGAGGTTAGAAGAACTGAAGCCCGCCCCATTCTGGAATGCAACCCCGCGCTGCCTCAGGAGATAAACAAAGCACTATTGCAGAATAACTGGGCAGAAGGCCTCTTCCTGGCAACGAAGAATGCAGAGCATCTGGAATCTGTGCGATCCATGTATGCAGAACATACAACAAACACACAGACCGACCAGATAAGAACTCTTCTGTCGACTGGATGCTCTGTGCCATTGGAGCTTGTGCAAACACAGAATGTTCGAGAGAACTATCTTGCAGTATTGAAAAGCGCTGTGCAATCAAGAAGTGCGCCAGTAGCAAATGCCCTAGTTGATACACTTCTGCACAATGGCCAAGCACATGCAAGCATTGTCTGTGCAGTTATCTCTGGCCATATGGAAAAGTGCCTTCCTTGGGTGTTTGACATAAACACCTTGCTTATATGCAGCAAGCTGAAAGATAAGGAAGAAGGAATTCGAGTGCGCACAAAGGAAGTACTAAAGAACTTGCGGGTTTTGAACAAGAAAAGAGCGCAGGAGATATACAGAGAGAACAAAGACATTTTCACTCGCTCAGAGAAAAATGAAATTGAAGAGTGTCTAGGAATAGAGGCTAGCTCCTGGGGTCTTCAGGGAATTATAAATGCAGTAGACAAAGGCATCACCCGCATGGTTAGCACACCAACTCCAACACCAGCTCCAGCTCCAACGCCAAAGCCAGAGTTGCCTATAAGCAGTGGAATATCGCTAGGCAGTGGTGTGTCTGTTCCAGCAGGAAGAATTGTGAAAAAGAAGATTGCAAGCAGACCAATAATTCCTATGGGCAAGCCCACCTCACCAGTAGCAAACAGCACTAGCATTCCAATGCCAGGAATGAATGAATCTAGTATACCAATGCCTACTAAGCCCAGTATGCCTTTCATGACAATGCCTACTGAGACCAAAATAAGTGAACCTGCAATTCCAATGCCTGCAACAAACAGCACTAGCATTCCAATGCCAGGAATGAATGAATCTAGTATACCAATGCCTACTAAGCCCAGTATGCCTTTCATGACAATGCCTACTGAGACCAAAATAAGTGAACCTGCAATTCCAATGCCTGCAACAAACAGCACTAGCATTCCAATGCCTGTCAGACCAAGTATGCCTTTCAAACCCAGCATGCCAATGCCAGTTAAGCCAGCAGAAACAGCTATTCCAATGCCTGCTAAGCCAGAAATGAGTAAGCCTGCAATTCCTATGCCAATGCCAGTCAAGCCAGCAGAAACATCTATGCCAATGCCCGCTAGACCAAGTATGACAATGCCAGTCAAGCCAGCAGAAACATCTATGCCAATGCCTGCCAGACCAAACATGCCAATGCCTTCCAGACCAAGTATGCCAATGCCAGCTAAGCCTGCAGAAACATCTATGCCAATTACTGCCAAACCAAGTATGCCAATGCCTGCCAGACCAAGCATGTCAATGCCGGCTGCACCAACTATTTCTAGCACACCAAGCATGGCAGGGTCACCAAGTACTTCACATAGTATTTCTCAAGAGGCTACAGGCGCATCTGCATCCACTAACTCATCTGGAAATTCAAGCGGCACACAGAATAGCCCCCAGAACAGCTTTATAAGTGCACCTTCTGCACCAATGCCTGCTCCAGCACCTGCTCAGAGCAATGATAAGACAGACACTTCTGATTCTGCAGCAGAGGACAACATCGATTACAAGAAGCTCTACTCAGACAAATCAAGATATCAGATTGTTGACGATAAACCACAGAAAGGATCTTGGTTGGGATACATCCCAGGGGTTGGCGCATTGACAGGAATGGTTAAGAAGCTAGCAGGCCAGAATATTCCGGTAATTGAGCTCTCACAGGATACTATCTTCATACTGGATAAAAAGCTGAATAAGTGGATTACAGTGGACTCAAAGACATTCAAGCCAATTAAGATCTGCGCATCCCAGGAGTCAATGGGGAGTAGCGTAGAACAAGCACCAAAGCCCATTCCGCTGCCTGTTATTACTGGAAAAATGCCAAAGCGGGGGCCTGATGGCAAAGTTGACTTTGGACCGATTGGAACCAGCTTAGAAGCTAGATATGGAAAGCCAATGATTCAGTCCATAATTGATACGTCAGTCCAGGAAGCTCCAGTAGCCTTCCCTACATCGCAAAACATGTACTCCACAAAGAATGCAAAGGTTTTCATTCCTAAATTTCCAGTAGAGGATACTACACCGCAATAAACCATAATCACATTAACTACATCACACGTCTTAATCTTAATGTTCTTTCCATTTCTAAGAATGTACACAAATATCCGAGCAACATCGGCAAATTATGAAAATACTCATGCTTTCACATACCAAAAAAACCAATAATTATTTTACTAACAAACCAGCTGCTTTGTCCTATGCGTATACCCCCTTTGCCATATATCCTAAACCATTATATAGCAAGAGACACCAGACAGCTGGAATAGAAAAATAATCTTTTTACATGCAAATACCAATTAAATAAATATACCTCTTCAAGCATAAAGCTTGCAATAATACTAAATATATGCTTTTTCGTGTTATGTACTTGTTCTTTTACAGTCTGCGGCATACTTAATGATTTATCCTTCAACGAAACACTGATGTGGGAAAAATTTATTCTTGTCCAAAAATGAACATGAGGCAGCTTCAAGGCCTGCTTGAAAAACAGCCACAAAGAAAACGAGTAAATAAGTCCACGCGAATACATGACCTGCTGTACGGAACACTTCTAGACCATGCCTGCGAAAACACTCTTCTAGTGCAGAAAGAGTATAAAGAATATTTAAAACCTGTAAAGACCGCAAGACACACTAAAACACTGAATAAGAGCCAGGAGATAATTAAAGAGTGGGAAGAGTCTCTAGTCCTTAAGGACATAATCGGTGCATATAAAGAGGAAATCATTATGGCGCTCAGAGAAAGCAAGGCAGTTGTTATAAAAGGAGGAACTGGAGCTGGAAAAACAACACAAATCCCAAAGATTCTGCTGGAAATAACACCAGAAGACAAGATCATTGGGTGCACACAGCCAAGAAGAACAGCTGCAGTTTCTGTTGCAGAGAGAATGCAGAAAGAAATGAACAAAAAGGAAATAGGATACTCAGTTAGGTTTAATGCAAAGAAAGGAGAAAGAATAAAGTACATGACTGAGGGCGTGCTTCTTCGAGAAATAGTTCAGGACAGAGAGCTGAAAAGATACTCTGTGATAATTCTGGATGAAATACATGAAAGAACAATTGAGTCTCTGATTCTTCTTAAGTACTTGCTACTTCTGATCCGCACCAGAACAGACTTAAAGCTTGTTTTAATGAGCGCAACTTTAGAAGAAAGTGTTTTCCAAGAGATAGGCCCCTTTCCTGTTGTGCATATCAAAAGCACACGCCATTCTGTTGCAATCCACTATCTAAAAGAGCCTACGTCCGACTATATCAAAAGCATTACTGAGAAAGTCCTTGAGCTGTCAAATGAATCTGTTGGCATTCTTGTCTTTCTAACTGGTATGGACGATATAAAAATTGTATACAACCTTTTGTTGGAGAAGATTAAAGGAATGAAGGTGGTCATTCTGCATGCAAAGCTTCCTATTGCAGAACAGATGGCAGCTGTGGAGATGGAGGGGCCAAAATGCATTCTTTCCACAAATATATCTGAAACATCAATCACGATTCCAAGAATAAAATACGTCATTGACTGTGGCATGTACAAAAGCATGGTCTATGACTCTGTCAGGAATGTAAAGGTCATGAGAGTCATTCCTGTCCAGAAGGTGCAGGCCATTCAGAGAGCAGGCCGCACAGGAAGAACACTTAATGGAGACTGCTTTAGAATGTATACGAAAGAAGCATTTGATTCGCTGCATGAAACAGGAGTGAGTAAAATTGAACTGGAAGACCTGGAGCATTTCATCTTTATGTGCATTCAGTTGAATCTGCCAATTGCACCACATGAAAATGTTCAGGCCGCCATATCTCGCATGGAGAAACTGCAGGTCATAAAGAACTTTAGACTAACTCCGCTGGGGCGAGAGGTTCAGAGACTTCCTCTCTCTGTGGTGCATTCAGTATTCCTCCTTGAAGCATGTAAAAACAAATGCGGCCAGGAAGCAGCAGTTATTTTAGGAATGCTTGAAGTCCTTTCTTCGCAAAATGCCAAGCTGAATGAGTTGTTTTCAGAGAAAGAAATCCAGAGCATGAAAAATAGCGATCATCTAGCTCTCTTACACCTGTATAATAAAATAAAAAGAAAAAACACTGTGGGTCTAAACCTGCAGAACGTGGACAAAATAGTTAGCCAGCTATGCAAGCTCATGAATATTCCCATTCACAATATGCATGCCACCGATTATTCAGATATAGATAGGCGTGTGCTTGATTCACTGTTTTATTCGCATAGATACAATATCTGCATTAGGTCTGGGGATCGATACAGGGAAATTCTAACCGGCGTTGAGTGCTTTATTTCTCTTTCTTCCATTGCAAAAGATTCGTCTGAGCCTTTTGATTATATTGTGTATAATGAGATTGTAGAAATTGGAAAGCCTGTTCTGAGCATTGCATCTAAACTTTCATCTGAAAAATTTAAAAGCCTTCAAGAGTTTTGCATTGCATGAAGACAAAAGGATTTACTTAAAAGCAGAATACAGAATAAACCATATAAAAGAAAAAAACTCGAATTATTTTATTAAATTTACACAAGTTATACATATCTAGCCTTTGTGTAAGAGTATAATCTTGTCTGTAAATTTCTATGGAAGAAGCAATATAGTACTCAATTTATGCTTAAATAATATGATAAGATTTAGTGAAGTGCCAAGGATTTAAGCTGTATTATATATAGAGACATATGATATTTAATAAAGTCATTTTTCCAAATCAAGCGTATAAAATGAATTGCATTCTGGTTATCAAAGCATCTAGGTGCGCTGTTCTTCGTTTTTCCCTCTGTTATTTATTTTACTTAAGAATACATGCTATATATTTTATATTTTTTTTACTTTCCATATATATGTAAAAAATAAACTCTTCTGTATTTTGTGTGTAAATATTAGATAGAAGGCTTATTTCCTCTAAAAAAAGACGAAAGCACAGGAAAATCAAAAAAACTGCACAATTCAAAGACCCAGCCGGGCGCTGACACCACACAGAGGAGCTTAATGCACAAAGCAGGCTATGTATGCCCAGCACATAGAGAACACAACCAGAGTGTCACAGCAGCAATACTATAGGTTATACCAAAGGAAGAATACACGTATAGCAACATGTAAATACATTCATGTATATACACTATAAACAGCATAATCTTGCTCCACAGTCAACTTACAGCCATAGCAGATGAGTGCTTGTGCAATGATAAATCACTGCAGGTCATTCGGGCTGTTTATGCATGGTGCAGCACAGTAGCATCATCACAACACATACTCTGCTCTGTAGTAGTAAAGTATACAAGTAGAGGACAGAGGTAGAAAGCAGTGCGCAGAAATAAAATAAAAAAGGAGTAAATGCATGTGTCTTTATTGTTTTTTGTGTTGTTAATATACATATAGAGACAGTTCATTTAGAGGAGTTTAATAGGAGCTTAGAATATTCGGGCCTGTCTGCTGGGTTGTTTTATCTGTTTTGTGCAGGCAGGATGGACTTATGTGTGTGCCAGGAATACTATGCGAAGAGTTTAAAGTGCTTCTTGCTAGGCCCAGGTTTCAGTGCAGGCCGTGATGAGTTTAACTTACCTTGATGAATTTAAGTTGTCCGAAGAGTTTAAGTTGTCTCGATGAAGTTAAAGGCACCTCGAAGAGCTTAAGGTATCTGCCTGTGCGCGAGTGCACACAGAGGAGAACTAGCAAATGATTCCTGTGTTTCCTTTGGAATATTTTTACAGATTTATGCTCTATTTATACTTATATTTTGGAAAATAGACCTTAATTTACCCATTCTGGGTGCCCCCAATATCGCTCAAAGCGCGCATATACTTTTTAATATGCAAGAAGACCCGCTCTAAAGTGAATATAGACCGGTCTATGGGGGCTAGACCCCCAATATAGCCGAGTAAGGGTAAATTGCGCAGGAATTGCGCAGCATGGCTGTGTGCCTCACACACAGAGGGTATAGCGCAGAGCACAGGTGCTATACTGTGATATGCAGTACATATGCAGTGGATATAAACAGACAGGCTGGCTTGAATACCTCAGACTGCACTACTAGCCAGAGTACAGACAGAGTTGAAAGATGTAGGCGCACTCTTTTTGTTGCTCTCTTTATGGCATGTGTGAGTTATAGAGAGTAGGGTCCTTTCACAGAACAGTCTGCACTCTCTGCCTCTCGGACACAGCTACCCTTCTAGGAGCTCTGCCGTACACACACATATGCAGAGTGTCTCTGCCCTCGCTGCAGTATGGATGCGCACGCCCTTTCTGGGCAGGAGACCCATCTCAAAAAAAACACCTGAGAAAATATTTTTTGCAGGGGCGCTCAGCAGGGCAAAACACAGGAATTTCAGGGAAAATGCCCCCCTCCTTCGGTTTGCAGGGGCAAAAAAGTGCGGAGAGGGAAATTGCTGACGAAAAAGGAAAAAAATAAAATGCGGTCTATAAATACGCGAAAACTCTGTCTTTTATTCGCAGTGCGAGAGACTTCTCAGCCACAGACGCATAACAGTCGGGTATGGAAACACTCAGTGCTGTGGATCAGTGCGGATGTAAAGCGCCACTAGTGGGCATTTGGGCTGGCAGGGAAGTGGTGTGGGGGCAGTAGGCCGAGGCCCCCTTATATATTAATCTCTTCATTGACACAAGAACCTTGGGCAGGGCTGGCATATAGGTATATAGTACTTAGAAAAGAACAAGAATGTTGTTAAGGAGAAAGAAAGTACTGTGTAGAATGCTTGTAGTATAAAAGAGGGAACTAGTGGGTTAGAGCGTATACCTTAAGAAACACTTTATATGTAGTGCATTTACAAAAAAGCTGAGTTTTCCTTAATTAGAATTAGTTGACATCTAAGCGTAGTGGCAGTTCACTTTTCATTGTATACATATGCCTGTATGATATAACAAAATATCTTTTAATTATCTTTAAACCTACTTAGTGCATAACCCGAAGAAAATTACCACTTCTTCATAAACCTCTTGTTATTATAGAGAGTTCTAAAATAAAGTAGTTACAATAGAAATATTATACTAACTTTGCAAACAGCCCTCGAATATAACTAAATATAATTTTACAAGGAATACAAAATACCAGAATAGTTTAGACAAATTCGGGCAAAGAACATATGGCAAGAATATGTTTGCTAAAGTAATAAAAGTTCTTCATACAACAAGATTTTGTTCCTTTTGAGCTACCTTTAGGCCATGTAAATTCTACTTCTATGCGATTGTCAAACCAATTTTCAAATAACCACAAGAAAATACTTGAGAGAGTATGTAATACACTAGAGTGTTAATTTAGGTTATATTGCAGGAATAGTAGAATAATACATTCGCAAACAGAAAGAGATGTGCAAAAGGCTCATATAGTTGGTGTAAAGTGTTTTATGTCAATTAGCTTGTTTATAGTGCTATCCTAAGAGAATTAAAGATGTTTTCAAAGCAGTTTTATTTTTACATTTATCCTGAATTGGCTAAAATAATATGCGCTTTAATTATTTAGCCATTAAAAAAGTACATGAATATTTGCACATATTTATTCTTGTAGCCTTGCAATTAAAAAAGTGCAGGCCAAGATATTCTTGAGAAAATGCAGCATACAAATAGTAAAGAGCTAATTGTTTAGAATAAGTGTGTCTTAAGATGTTTAGAATAAGTTAAAGAGAGCGTTATGTGATATTATGTTTATTACAAGATGATGTATTGTGATAGCTAAAGTTGGCATCTAGAATAGTCAGATTTTTCTGATCGGTGCATTACGAGAGTAGATTGTGTTTACTCTTTTGCTTTAGAAAAAGAGGACTCGCTTCTAAATCATTAATGAGGGGATCTGCTGTAGATTGTGTTTCCTCTTCATTTGACTCTTCCAAACTAGTAGTGGGCTCTTCCGCAAGCTGAAATTCTGTAATTGTGGCATTTTCGTTCTTCTCAGATTCTCCTACAGCCTCTTCTAGCATACTTTCTTGTGGGTACAAAGCAAGAGCAGGCGTGCTTGGGGTGCAGGCATTCTCTACAGAAGAATTGGCAGGCAAAGGCTGCTCTGATGTGGGGGTGGATACATCTTTGCTTTCTTCTACCTCTTCGCTCTTTTGTGTAGTGTTTGAAAGAACTTCAGATGGTTCTTCCTTTTCTAAATCTGCCATGGAACTGTCTTTATTCTTGGGTTTTGGGTCAGTGTGCTCTACTATTTTTTCCTCCAACACACTTTCTAGAGCTACTTGCGGCTTGACTGTATTCTCTGGGCGTATTACAGATTCTATAACACGATTTGGATGTCTAATTTGCAAATACTCTTTTACATGAGGTCGGCGCATCAATTTCTCAATCAGCTCTGTAAACATTGTATCTTCCACAAAATCCGCATCTCTTTCTTCATGCATCTCGGCCAGGGCATATGACACAATATTTCTTACACACATAAGTACTTCTTTATAAAAAACAAGCATCTTTTCACTTCTTGTATTTGCCTTGTTAGTTTCCAAAAGTGTGCTAACAACTGCCTTGTACAGAGAAGAGTAGGAGTTCTCCAAGTCCACCTTGTATGCCATCCAGTAGTTAATGCATATGGTAGGCTCCAGCCCATCTGCCACCAAGTATGTGACCACATCAGAGTGCAGGTCCTCTTCGGGGGCTGTGTCTACTGCATGGAAGGCCACTTCAGCAAGCTGCAGATCGCGAGAGATATTATAATTCTCTTGCTTAAGATAAAAGAGCAGTAGAACGGGAGCATATGATGCATCTTTCATTGGGCTAGCATGGTTTACTATACTCTCTATAGTAGAGATAAACTTGACCACATGTTCCAGAACAGCTTCATTGTTTTTGACTGCTTTGGAGTAGGGCACAGGCTCTACTTTGGCTGCAACGACCTTTTCTGCTTTCTTTTCCTCTGCAATAATTGGAGAGTCATCAGAGAAGGTCACCTTCTTCTTCTTTTCCTCAACCACGGGCTCAGAGGCTTTGATAGTGTCGGGCACGGGAGCTTTCTCTTCCTTTACAGGAACAATCTCATCTGCGGCTGGGCTGCTTACTTGGATCGGCTCTGTAGGAGAAGGGTGTGTCTTGATTGTTTCAGCTGCGGGCGAGGCGACTTCTACTTCATCGCATACATCCTTCACAACAGATGGCGTAATTTGTTCCTTAATGTGCATCTCCTCAGATTTAGGAACTGGCAACAGATATATTCTATCGTTTCTCGGTTCAAGCTCTTCTTCTTGATCTTCTTCAGCCTCTTCTATGTTTACAAATGTATCACCTCTGCAAGTGATAAACCCCATAAACTTTGAGAACCCACTTGCTACTTTTTTTCGTATACCCACAAATGCCTTTGCATATCGCCTTCTGCCTTGAGGGGATTCAGTCTGGAATGTTTCCATGTCTCTGGTCTTCAATTCTGCTGTCATTTATTTTGTTTACTCAGAGGAATGTGTTATTTATACTTTAGAATTAATTGCCGGGCTATTCTAGACAATTAAGGCGGTTCTAATTAGATACATTAGGGCTTGGAAATCTGTTTCTATTACTCTGTTATTTTCTGCCTCTGCCGCTTCCTCTTAGGACATTGCTATCGTTGTTTGTTTGCATACTATGTACAAATGCATTTCACTTTAAGATCAATATATCAAATAGTTTGGTGTATATTTTATATATACTAGACGCTTTTTAATTATGTATGCGCTGGAATAATTGGAATTTCAATAATTACTGGATAAAAAGAAGGGTCTAGAAGGCTAGTGAAAACATGCCGGATAATTTAACTATTTTTAGGGATATGAAGAAATTCTTGAGAAGTAAGCAAGGTTATAGCGCAAGGCTTTCTTGCTAGTTATATTTATTGAGTTGTGTATCTAAATGTATGAATCCGTTCTTTTAGATCAGGCATGTGTGGGTCTGTATTGACTTTGCATATAGTAATTATTCTCAGATGGTTATAGTTTATGTATTTCCAGCAAGAATTAAGTAAAGAATAGCTAGAAAGATGCGCGTATTTAAAGTCTATAGAAAAACAAGTCATAGCTGGTCATTTTCTCTGTAGAGTAGCATTTTCTGTTTAGGCAAGTATTAGCAGGGATGCTGGAAGAAAGTTATAGTGCACATAGTATTCACTATAATACGTGTCTGCATGGTATACAATAGAGCAGCGAAAGAACTTAATTAAAAAAGCATAGCACCAAGGAAGAGCAGGCTCTTTTGCAACTAAACATATAGTATATGGCGGCAAGTTCTTTCAATAGTCTTTGCCCCTCTAAGTATGCTAAAATGCAAAGTATCTAGTTTCATGCGAAGTAAATTCATATAAAAATTACTCCATTTTCAATGTGTAGTAACATATTTCTATGCGTGGGAAATCGCGGACTTTCTTTATAAATGGGCAAATCCGTTAAGGATAATTCAGCGTATTATGATTGTAAATAATTCAAAGTATATCAAGCCAACACCCATAATAAAATACAACAAGAAGTTCTATCCAAAGCTATTTTTCTATACAACCTTTGCACTCTTCCAGTTTCATAAGAGTTTATTTACTGCCATAATGTCTTAAAACACTTATGATTTCTATAAATAAACATCTTACTTATCTTTTTGAGAAGAATTAATTTATTCTATAGAGTTTTTGCCATATTATTCCTTAAAACTGTATTCTCACTATTTTTGACCATGTTATGTATGTTATTCTGATTTTTATTTTTTTATATACTCACTTGGTAGACAAATAAGCATATCAGCGTGTATTTGATGCATGCTTCTGTCATAGTTAATTCTATCCCACTTAGTGGGGAAACGAGAAGGGTTTTTTTTAATTTGCAGAAAGAGAGCTTTGAATGAGTATCTATTATTGGATATGTCATCAAGGACCTTTCCTATCCAGGTTATCCAGTTTCCTTGGCAGTTATCAAGCGTGGGAAGCTTATACGTCCTTTCTACATTACATTTTGTTATAACATGCAATAAGAATTTTTCAACATCCTTCCACTCAATAACAATGCCAAACTTCTCCATTACTATGAGACTTCTGCTGTATTCTACTAGTTCTGCTCGTAAACATGCAAGATCCGGTCTAGAATTCAGATCTATGCTTGCTGCTATCAGGCCAACCTTAAACGAGGCTGCCTGTGCAGCTAGATCTTCTGTCTGCTTAAAGATAAAACCTAGATTGTCAATCATCGGTACAGGCATATGTAAGAGTTTTATCTCTTTAGCTATTGCTTTGATTACTTTTTGAACTTCTTCTCTATATCCTATATCTTTAATCCAAAAAGAATTTTCCTCAGTATTCCAGTGTGCCTTAAGCCTCTGATCCTCAGCAGTACTTTTATTTTTTTCGTCTGAATCTATACCGAAGAACAAGTTTTTAGCTTCTGGTTTAGTGGGAGTGCTTAAAGAAGCTATTCTATCTGTATACATCAAAGATAGTTTACGCTCTGCACGAAAAACATCTGAAGTATCTGTGCATGGATCACTGGCTATTGTTGTTTTTGGATTTGTGAAAGTGAATGGTGTGTCTTTCTTCATTGGAGAGTGTGCAAAATATTATAAATTCAGGCTATTTCAAAAGACCTTAAATAGACATTAACCAATTAATGCTCTAAAAGGACATTAAGGGCTATAGGATCTTTCGCAAATAAAGCATTTACAACGTATTCAAATAACAGACTGCATGTGTTCTAATATAAATATCTTTCAAAAACAGAAATAGACGACTATTCTGATTTAGCTTAAAATGTAGACTCATAAAATATAACGATATGCAAAATTTTCCATTATACAGGAGCAAGGGGTATAACCAAGAGAGCGGCTTTGAGGTCTCTAGTCAGAAAGAAACCACAGAAAACACCATGTTGCAAGGGGAAAAACAACATACTTCAAGTGTTTTCCCGATTATGGAAGATCAGAAAAATGAGCTTTCCCCCAAGGATTATATAGAAAAGTTAAAGATAGTAGAAAGAAATAAAGAAAAAATGGACAAAATGACTTGTCCAAAGTGTGGTTTGAAAACTCTTGAAAAAAGTGGAGAGACTCTGATAGATGGCGTCAAGATGTGCAAATTTATTTGTAAAACGGAGTGCTTTAGTAGTAAGCGCCCCCTTGTTAGGAATGCCAACAGGCCACTTACTCACATGGTCAGGCAGACTTGCAAAAGTGACTGTACGCCTGATATAGCCACGACTGTTCAACACCCAACACAGCAGAGTGTGGAGCTGAAGACATCTCCTTTTGAAATAATGAGCTGTGAAACCACAGAACATGCAAAAACCGAACACACTGAGTTCACAAACCGAAGTAGCACAAGCCCTCAGCATAATACTAAAGAGGAAAAGCCATTGATTAATAATGACCAGAAATTGAAGTCAATGCCCATGGGGCACACATTAGATATTTCAAGCACCTGTGAACCCGCGATAAACAAAATTGTGGAAACCAGCGAACCTACAGAAGGAATCTACCCCACCATTAGCAAGAAATCTTGTAATCCTTTAAAGGAAATATATGCTAAGGACAAGACTTTCAACAAAGGAAGAGTGTCTCCTATTAGTAAGTGTGCGCCGACAGAAGCAAAGGTTGAGGAAGGCGCGCAGACGACAGCTGATGCAAACGCTCTGTTAAATCACTTTATCAAGGGAGATGGATCATTGAATGACTCTGCAAAAAAGCGCCTTGAGGCGCGGGAGAAGGCACTGCACTGTGGGGTGCAGAGGAAGCCGTGCATAAAAAACAGAAGCAAAATACTACGCAGTGACCCACCCATCAATATTATCGAGTTAATAGAGGACATTAATAAACTTCCTAAAGGAAAAGCCTCTGGTATCTCAGGAATCAGCAACGAACTTATCCAGCATTTACCACCCTGCGCAGTAGAAAAACTTGTCGATGCATTCCAGCTCATCTGGGACCAAGGTTGCATTCCAGACAACTGGAAGAGAGCAAGAATTATCCCTATTCCAATGGAGGGGGATTTATCATTGTCAGAGAATAATAGGCCGATCATGTTGCATGAGTGCATGCGAAAGCTCTTTGAAGGAACAGTCTTAAAGCGGATAAAGAAGAACATTAAGCTGAGCGAATACCAATGCAGCTTTAAAAAAAGGCCTGGAAGAAAAGAAAAGATGCACAATCTGAATGATATTCTTGCAAGCCAACCGAGGACTGCAAGAAACGTGTGTTTTATTGACATAAAGCAGGCATACAACTCGATTGACAGAGAGCTTCTGTACGAGAAAATTAAGAAAGAACAGCCGGATGTAAGCGACAAAACACTGAACATAATTCAAGAACTGTTTGATCACCAGAATGTGTATGTGAAGACAGCGCAGGGAAGATCAGCCTGGAAGCATCCCCAGCTTGGAGTGGGCGAAGGGTCTCGGTTGAGCCCGTTGCTAATTGGTATCTTTATCAATAGCTTGCCCGAATGGATAACAGAGGTCTTGGGCCAGGAAAAGATTCTGCTCTACATAGATGGCATTGCAATTATTGGAAAAGACCAGGAAGAGTTGCAGCTTCTGTATGACATGTGCAATGAGTGGTTTGTAGCAAATAAGATGGATATTGGTCCAAATGAAAGTGTATTTGCAAGTCCAAACAAGAACTTAGTCTTAAAACACTGTGATGTAGTGATTAAAAAAGTACAGACACATCCATACCTGAAAGATAGATTACGACTTTAATGAAAACAATATGATGTGAATGGTAGACATAGAGCTGCAATATTTTAACCTAGACAAAGTCGCCGTTAAGGCTAGCCTATCCGGCAAATTGGTCGGACCCACTAACAGATTTTGCATGTAATTAGTTCCATTTAAACTTAAAACATGCAAATACAGCAAGCAAATACGGTGAGTGCATGCCCAAATGACCTATTAGCATGGTATACTGCCTCAGATTGCAGAGTAGAATCTCTGGAATCTCTGTTTGTTTTATTTCTGGTGTGCATATATGTCTTAACCCCTCTAGCCTTATGCATTAGAGGAGGAACTTAGAGAACCTTTTAGCTCTGACATCCGGAACCCGAAAACATCCCTCACAATACACTCACTTTAAAGTAATAGTGTGTAACCACAGGAGGTTGAATTTTGAGAGTGTTTGGCTTTTAAAACTGCCTAGAAGTTATGTATACATTATATAGGCACCCTTAAGTTATCCAGCAGTATTCTTTTGAATACTATATGGGTATTTATTGTTTTGTGATGGTTTCACCGAAATCTCGCTATTATTATAGCTGGCTCAGCAATTGACCCAGAAAATATGGTTAGTATTGGTTTTGTAAGAATTTACTTTTGCAACTGGATAGAGTCTTATAAAAAGAAAAAGACACTTTTGTTTTCTTTTTTATCCACTTCTAAAGAATTTTCTAAAACTTACCAAGAACACAGGATTTTAACTATTAGTAGACAAGAACATTCAAAAAATATAATATTATAAAAATGCAGCCATATTCAAATACACTCAATTAAAACAGCAGTGCTTTTGGTTTCACATATAAAAGACAGGTCTTTTCTTATAAAAAGTGTCCATAGATTACTAATACCTGGCGAGTGCATAGAAAGAGATCTAAAAAGGATTGTATCCTCAAAACAAACATAGAATATAGAAGATTATTAGCAACAGCAGCCTGCAAGGCCTTGAAAGTGAGCTGCAAATAGTATAAATTTTATTATCATATTTAAGTCTGGTAAAGCTAGAATATATCCCAAAGAACTAAAAGTGTACAGTTTTGTGTACAATTATAAAATAGAAGAAAAACTCTGCTATTCTTAACCCATATTTAGTAAAAAAATACATGCATGTTGTAAATAACTAGAATGCAGTATTTTCTACAACTGCAATGCTCTTACTCATGCGATATTTCAGAAGAAACTCTAAATATAAATGCATGTGAAATGTTATTCTAGCCGTAAAAATGTGCACGATCCAAGGCTGAATAGATAGAGACCTAGAAGGAGTATTTCCTTCTTTGTATGATATGTGAATACTGGTGGAAGGCGCAGATCATTATCCATTAGAACAAGAACAAGAGAAAGCATGCAAATAGGAAACAATATTATAGTTCTGATGGACAGGCTCTCTTGAAGAGAATTGCATGTAATTTTTAGAATAATGGAAAAAGTAAGCACACAAACAATTGCAAGAAGATCGATAAAGTATGAAATAGCCCGCTTCACTCTTAGGGATTGTGAATATATTATAATCGAATTGATTTGAGCAAAGTAAGCTGAGGCATATATCATTCCGGTCTTCAGAAGAAGGTATACAAGAAGTAAAACCCGCTCATATTTTACAAGGTCTGTTAAAGAAGAGAATAACCCAGCAGCAAGTGAGTTGATATCCTTTATGCTGCTTAGAATAAGCATGAAAATCATAGCATACCCAGACAGCTTATGAAAGAATGGAAGTATAATGTATCTTGCCTTGGAGTAATTTGTATTAAGCAGCGCTCTAGGTGTAATTAGTCCATCTTTGCTGTTTATGTTGACGAGTGATTTCCTACACTTCTGAAATGCATATACATTCAGAATAATCTGCCTATTTACATATACATCCATAGCGGAAAGCAGCTGGTTCATTCTGTGCGTAGACTTAATCTGCCCGTTTTTTTCAAATACCTCGTAGAAAAGGAAAAGTAGGTCCTGAGAGCCATATCCATAGGCCCCATAGGAGACATATGCCAATTCACCGTAGTATAGGGCAAAGCCCTTGAGGGCTTTTATGTCGCCTTTGCATATCTCCGTATGGTTTAAAATGCATGTAAATATCCTGTCGGTAACTTTCTGAACCTCTGTGTAGAAGTCGCAGGCACGCGCCATCTTAACAAGTTCGGCCTTTTGCACATGAGACTTGGTGTACTCCTCATTGCACTTCTCCAGCATGCGAGAAAGAGTGATTACAATTGACAAAAAGTGCTTGTATCTTCTGTGAAACTCCCAGATCTTTTCAAGTATCTTGCAGTAGTTGAATATTCTTTTTTTGTCATGAAGTATCTCCATGTTATACACATTTTTATAGAGATTGAATCTGCTAATCAGGCTATTCCTGGATGCATCCAGCAGCTTTAAACAGTGCAGCCCTGTTGCCTTTACTCTGGACAGTTGCTCCAGAAGTTGCATAACCCGAAACCGAGGACTTTTTATCTCATGCTCTAAAATGAGGGCTGTGGCTTTCTGTAGCGTTTGATCATGTGCGCCGAACAGGCAGACTGTTCTCTCCATTCTAAGACGGTCTATAAAATATGTGTATGCATGTGTTATTTTGTCTGAAACTAAATATGCATTGCATGACTTGAAAAGTATTTGCTGAATGTCTTTTTCAACCTCAATACGTTCTCTTTTGCTTGTTTTAGGCACTGGGTTCGTGTGGATGGTGAGTAGGTATCGTTTCATAGCAGTCTTTACTTTTTGTTAAACAAGATTTTTATTTTGGTATTTTTAATTTCATGTATATTTACTTTAAACTGCTTCTTATGTTTTTATTTAGCTCCAATGGTGATCATTTGGAATACAGATATATTTGTGTTTGAAAAGAGCATTCTGTGCATGCGCCGCTATTTATACCACAAAACAGTGCTGCTTGGAGGCCAATTGTGCACAGCCTGTGCATGAAATGTAATTTTAATTATTTAATTTATACTGTCATATTCGCAAGAAGTATAAATATAACCAGAAGTTTATTTTGCAATAAACCGTGTATATTAAAAGTATAAAAGAACGAATTATAATTAACTTCTAGATAAATTGCATGCCGAAGTGTGCAGTTGCCAAGCCCTTATAATATTTAACCAGTGCAGCTTTATATTTTCAAAAGCGCAGCACTTTAATGCACTCAGTTATGCAAGATTTGTCTTTTTTGCTGCCAAGATAGACAAGGATACATTTAGACTCGGATTTGAAGGAATATTTATTTTAAAGTACTTCTGTTTGGTGTCTAAATTGCTTTTCTGCTCTTCCAAAAGGGATTCCAAAATATAGCCCAAGCAAATAGTCTGCTTTTTAAGTCATTGGTTCTAATTTGCAGCTTGGAAGCTACTACAGAATAAAAGTATGTAAAGTTTTCTGTTTCTTCGGGAAAAAGTCTAAGGCTGCAGAGGACTGAATGTTACAATGCTCTTTGCAATCTATTGAGCATTCCCTGAGTTATCACATTCATTAAAGAACTTCTTAAATAAAAAGGAAATCAGGTGCCTGCTCTCTTTTACAACAGACTTTTTAGCCTCGAATATCCTATCCTGTGGGACTGTAATAACCTCTTTCGTGTCCACGTTGTATAGCTTCCAGTGGCCATAGGCCTCTTCTGCTTGTTTGATGATCCAGTACCGGCCTGGAAGGAACTCAATCTTTGAAGGGTCCATGTTCCGCGCCCACAAGTGAGTTCTTTCAGGAGGGTCAATTGGCCAATCATTCTCCTTTGCGTACTTCAGTATTTTGGGCGGCTCTATACATTCAGCCGGCACTGGCTCCTTGCTGACAGACCCTGGTGTGGCAACGCAGACTAGCTTTCCTTTTTGGTGATCACCTCCACTGTGCTCTAAGAAATGTGAGTACCCATTGGGTGCCTCCAGCCTAGAGTTTTCTCTGTGGCTTGGGTCGTAGAGTGTTAGGTGCTCCCGTATATCTGCAGATGGCCGGGTTTCTGCTTCTATTTCTCTGTCACTCTTAATTCTTTTTCTATTCTGGTGCGAGGAAGTACTATTGTCTTTTTTGTCCTGTTGTCTCTTGGATTTTGTCTCTACAGGGTCTTCTGGCAGGAGATCAATGAGTGAAGGAAGGTCTGCCCGAAGTATTTTGTATTTTTTTATTGTGCTTCTGGGCCTTCGGTTAATATTATTAACAATCCGCCGGAAAAATACATTTGCTGGGGCTCTGTTTCCTTTGATCTTCTTTCCTCCCTTTTCGCATGATGTGAAGTTCTGTGTGTATATGATTTCTTTTAGTGCTGCATGTGGCGAAGTATTTGGCATCTTGCCCATTTCAACGAGAAGCCACGAGACCTGCATCTTTGGTGCCTCCGTGGTCTCTGAGATAAAGTGCTCTGGATGCTCTTCTGAGTTCACTACCTGCACTCTGTGCGTCTCTTGAAAGAAGTTAATTATCTCTGGGATATTCAGCTCCTTTCCTGGGAGTTTTGCTATCTCAGGCACACCGTACGTCATGAACAGGCTGTACATATACTCCTGTATTACGTCAGTATCAAAATATGGCAGCTCTTTGAAAAGTGTAAACCTAGAATATATATCCATGACAAAAAGAATATACCCTCCTTTTGCTGGAACTAAGTCACTCCAGGGCACAAGATACACACAGATTGCAAACCATGGCTCCCGAATAACCTTCACTACGTCTTGAACTACCTTCTGGTACTTTGCATGGATTATTACGTTTCTGCAGGCTGGGCACATATGCAGCCACGGTGTGACAGCCTTAAAGGGTATTCCATAGTACTTTTTTTGTATGAACTTGAATATTTCTATTGTAGGCCGGTGCATTTCGCCGTGGTACTTCCAGAATAAGTCGCGTATTGTGTTTAGGTCTTCGCACGATACAACAATCAAAGGGTCGCCTTGGAGATTTTTAATGAACAAAGTATCCCCCTCTGTGTACACCTTTGGTGCCAGATGTTTAATTCTTTCGCGCTGGGAGTAGCTTGCTCCTACTGGGTAGAGCCCACCTGTGTTGTGGTAGAAAATTAGACCTGCCACATCCTCATTAGAAAACTTAATATACAGGTCAGTCTTTTTTGTGGCTTGCCCTGCAGTCTTATTTTTCTCGGCGGGGGGCCCTCTCGGGGGTGAGCCAGGGGCTTCTTCTAATTCATTGTATGAGGAATTCATTGTGTGTAAATTTTTTCATTATGGATAAAACCACGTATGCAAAGCTAAGTGCAGGAGATCCAAGCTCGCGGCACAGCAACATATACATACACACCATTCTGACTGCAATTAAAAAGTGCAACAGGCCACTGTCCTTCAAGGAGATTGAGCTGGAGACAGGCATAAATATAGAGAGTACGCCTGGGCTGTTTGACCTATTAGTGAAGAATCAAAGACTTGTCATAGAAGGAAAGACTCTTCGGTTCATCCCTCTGCATAAAATTGAGAGCGAAGAAGAGTTGCTAGAAATACTTAAAAAAACAAATTCAGAGCACGGAATTCCTGTGGAGGAGCTGCTTGATAGAAGCAACGACATCACGCCATTCATAGACAGCCTGGTCCAGAAAAACCAAGCAATTGTTCTGAAGGACATTGATGGCTCATCAACTATTTTCTACAACTCAATGAATATAAAAAACGTGGACCCAGTAATCATAAAGCTATATGAGGAGGTAAGTGTTCCAGAGCCACGGGAGCTTGCCAAAAAGCTAATGAATGCAGGAATGACCATGAACATTTCACAAGAGAAGCCTGCAAGAAAGGCGATTCCCATCCAGAAGAAGAAAAAGTACCACAGAAAGATAAAAATCACCAATACGCATCTTAACAACCGAGAGCTGGGGATATAGAAAAGAAAAGCACAAGGTTTCTGGGCTATGCTTTGTTTTATCCGCGTATTTACACACTGAAAGATTTAAATGATTTTCCTTTTTCAGAACCAAATCTGTATACTAGCATAAATATGCATAATAAAAAGATACGCTTTAAAAATCAGTGATCATGCAAAAATATAAAAAATGCAGAAAGTGCAGAAAGAAAAAATCAGCAAAACAACCATTCAAAACAGAGGAAGTACGCACAGCAGGATTTAGATAGATGCATGCGGTGTATATTCTAGAAGAATTATGTAAATGCGCTCTCCTGCATGGCATATTACCGTGTGTCTGCTTTTATGTGTTTATTATTTATGTAGAAATGCCTTTGCAATTAGTCTTCAATAAACTACTGTAGAGAATAGATTAGTGTGTATAAAAGGATTTTGGCATGTAACTTATTCTATTGTTTAAACAGTTCTATAAGAAGAGAATAGCTGACAGATAAGCCGCCTAGTATATTTTAAGCATATATTATTCAAGCATATCTAAAAGAAGTGTTATGCATAGGCATATGGCTGTAGCCTGCTAAGAGGATTGTGAAGATGATTTTATACACTGCGTATTTGGAGTATATAGGTCTCTTCATTTAATAAGTATAGGCAGCTTCTTTGCTAGCTAGTGCGTAGAAAAGGCTCCATGTCTCTATGCTGGATGATTCTAATAAAGACACATTTAAATACACTAGTGTGCTAGAGCTTCCAGCTGACTATTATTCTAGTACTTTAATTAAAAATGCACAGCATAGCTTAGTACATCAAGATACATATAGATTCTACCATGGCATTATATAGACAAGGTAGAGTGCACATAGAGGTATATTAGTAATTTAACACTGCACAATATTTAATTAGCAGTATCTGCAAGTAGTAATATTTCTATGAATATTATGTGCATATATGTGCTAGTTTATGTAGAAATTGTGCAGTGCTAGGCATACGTGTTTGTTGCATGCCTTTTATGTACTGTACAATTGGAGTGTATCTATATTCAGTGCAGGGCCAGAAATAAGCACTAGCTCAAATTTCATTTATAGAAAACATTTCTATAACGTGCCCCTTAGATGCATCATATATAAGGCTACAGACAATGAGAAAAGCTAGCGTATGCACTTAAAATACTATTGATATAGAATGTGCATTATTTACCTGCTGGTGCATAAGATACAAGATGCATCGTACCCTGGAAATGTGTCTTTATTACAGTATTTAGTAAAATAAAATTGCAAATGTTTTTACTAGGATGGCTGCAATAACAGCAGGGCTCCAAAAGATAATGGCGCAGCAAAAAAAGAAAATGGAGCTGGGAGAGAAAAGATTGGAGGAAAGACACCAGAAACTCACAGATGCTCTTATATCAAACGACACTACGTTGTGCAACTCAAAGGAGGATGATGATACAAAAAGAGTTAGGAGAAGAAGCCACTCCGACAAACCTTTTAGAGGATGCACTGAAGAAGAGGCTGAAAGTGATCTAGCTGAAATATTTGGAGTCAAATCAGATAAATACATACACATCCTTCCGGATGGCAAGACCATGGTTGTCATTAAGAAGCAGGTGATAGTAGAAGGAGATACAGTGAGAATAGAAAAGGGAGAGCTGTTTGAGATAGGCGTAGTAAAGCATCTGCATAAAGGAGCCCTGATATTAGGCAGTAAAGACAGAGAGAAGAAGTATCCACTAAACAAACTACTTTCCTCAAGATATTTTATATCACTACAAACAAGTAGAAGAAAGGACTCTTCTAGCAATTCTTCAATATAACCCAAGTGAAGAAATTTCACGCGGGTAAAGGTGCTCTTTGCCAATGCGGAAGACTGAACATAACGCATAAAGAATAAATATATAGTTAATCTACAAATAACCAGCCCTGCCTGCACACATAGGTTAAATTTATAATAGCTTCTCAAGTGTTTTTCTGCAGCCTGGATATCCTAGGGCAGCAGCGACTTTTATAATATCTTGTGAATTTCACTAGAAAAATAATATGGCTGAGTATAAAAAAGAACCAGCACTTACAAAATGAGGAATATGGTTTATTCGTAAATATCATGGAAATACATATATTTAGTCTCTATAGATGTAAATAGGCACATTAAGCGATAGACCACTTCTTTAAATTGTGCAAATGGTCATGGAGACAGAACTTCAGATTGAAGTGTTATGAAGAATGCTCTTAAAGGCGCTCTACCCTACTTTATACAACTATTAGAAGGTATGTAATGAATTATTTCTATTCTTATACTGATGTATATATTTGCTGGATTAATTAGAATAGAATAATACATCTGGGCTGTCTTATATAACAGATACTAGAGTATGCATATGTTTCTGTGAGGCCACATAATATACACAGAACATTGCAGAAATAGCAAAAAGTGTGATGCCAGTTATACTGTATTTTCGAATGGAACTTTGTTTTGTAGTTACGCAATTCGCATATGCATGCACAATCGAGCAAGAAATAATTAAAAAGGCAATTAAAACATCGCACACACGCACTGCATTCTGGAATATGCGTAAATTCAATGGCTCTAGGCCCACAAGGAAGCACATCAATATATACCCTATTAGAACTAGACAGTAGAGAGCTAGAGACAGGTAGATGTCTTTTGGTGCTACTTCATAGAAATAGTATGCACACAGGATAAAATTAGTTACAAAAGCACTTGCAAATAAAGTGAATGTTTCAATGTACATATCCATGAAATGCATATACAGCGCATACTGCATATCATATATGCATATGCCATAAGTTAGTGTCCAATATGCAGCACTTCCTCCAAAAATTACAAGAAAGCACACAAGAAGGACAGATGCCACATTTTTCAGAGTAATCCATATTTTTCTATTGTACTCGCCAAGCACCTCCTGATAGGCATAGTTTACTGCATGCAGTGTGTCATTTATACAAGATATTCTGCCTCTATTCGCCACTTCATTAGAAATAGATTGTTCTCTTTCTAAGGGTTTCTGTGCATGGATATTTCCTTGTACGCCTAGAAGAGTTTCTTTATATCTGGACAGCCACTGAAGCAGAGTTTTGCTCTCAGAGAAAGAATTTTTCTGCTTTCTTTGCTGAAGAATGGGCAGAATTTCATGCATTATCTCTATGCTATTCAAGAACATAATGTTCTCTGATATAAAGGGGAAATCATCCCATCTCTGCAGAAGAAGCCTAACCTTTGCAATATTCCCCATATAGTACTTCTTTCTAAGAGAGTTCTCATCAATTGGGCTTGTACATATCCTCTTGCAGTATCCATCCAGCTCATTAAGCATTTGTATCACAGTTACTTTGCACTGCAGCACATTTGTAAAGTCTTCTTCATTAGCTGCTGGAATATTCTCAAAATCCGTGCAGTTTTTAAACTTATTTTCCAGCAAAGCAAGAGTATCCTCCCAGTATGCTTTTTTAAATATAGTCAGAGTATTTACATATAGTATGGATGCCTTCTCAAGTAATAGCCCATGTATATTCAATGCATGCTCATTTGAAGATATTTTCCCGTTGTATAAGCATAAATCAGCTAAGTAACTGACTTTTTCGGAAAGTGTCTTTACCAAGTATGAATATCTTCTATTAGGAGGAAGAGCACATATGCTGCTCAGCTTTGAAGAGTCTATTATATCTTGCAGAATAATTTTCATATTGAAGGAAACAATATTTGCCAGATAAAATGATTCTTCTGTTTCCATGTCCTCCAATGCAAGTATTAAAGATTGAATGCATTTTTCAATAATGATGGTCACTTCTTTAAAGTCCAGTCTTATTCTGTCTGGGTTGCTGCTGGATAGAATACGCACTATTTGTTTTTCTGTCTCTCCAATATCTGTATTTCTGTTTGTTATATTCATCCAAGCATGTTTGAATATGCGGTCCCATTGATTATAACTGATTTTCATTTAATATGAAAAAAATATGATGATTTATAGTGCATGATAATTTTTTCATCCAATGCACAATATATTACTAATTATTGGGCATTCTAATATACTTTAAAATCACTTTATGCATGTTTTATAGTTTGAAGCACATGAAAGTGACTAATTAGAGTTTAAAAAGTCTCATTCTATATTTAAATTCAGGTTATATCACTATGGGCTGCTAGCTATTTGTTCACTGCAATGTGAAATTAAATGATTTTTTAATATAGAGCAGCCATAAGTGTTTTAGCTATTTATGGTAAATTGCACATTTAATTAGCTTAATTAAATTCTAACTAAACTAACTGACCTGCCTGAAAGAGGGCAGTATTCCAGTAAGGAGATAGTAGTCTGAATAGATAAAGTAGTTGTCAAAGGAGTGTGAGTTATGTTAAACAGAGATTTGAATATATTCGATCTGCCTGTATATTATCTATGTCTTGTTCTATGTGTGTTAATTCATTATAAATGTGACTTTTGAATCTACACGTAGTTTAAATATTGCTCATAGTAGAGTCCATAGGAAATAAAAAGTTAATTGGGCTTCTATTATATGGACAGAAGGATTTCCATAAAAATATCATAAATGAAAGAAGTGAAATATGCACATATAAATCTATAGAATAGCACTTTTAATAAATCTATGCAGACTTCTCCTTGCAAAGAAAGATGTCTTTTATGAATATATTCATTTACTACCCAAGCATATAACACTTTATATTCTATCTATGCTGCTGCATATATTCTAAAATTTAAGAACATTCCATCTAGCACTTTATTTATAAGATCTTAATCACAGAGTGCATTTACTCTGAATATATTTCTATTCTACACTATACAGACTTTAAGATACTTTGTATGGCTACATAGTACTCCTAGAATACTGCAGACCCATTAAAAAACACACACAACAGGTATGCTAATTAGACAAAAAACTGCTTATGCTGAAATATATTTGCTCTTTAGATGTCTTCTCTAGTATATGAATCGCATCACTTATGATCACATGCAATAAATAAAGAGCAAATCTTCTCTCCAAGCATGCACGAAGAAGAAGCCATGAATGAGGAGCAAATAGATGCCCGCTTGAGCACACTTCTAAGACCACTTCCATCTTACACTAAGGACAAGAGTCTTCTTGAGCACTTCACCACGCACAAACTCACAGGACCAAAAATTCATTTTTTTACGTCGGATATTTAGCGTGCCAGCACGAGAATAAATCTATAGCTGTATTTTCTTGAATATATTCTGCATTACTTGTTTATTGAACGCATATTTACTTCTAAGGAGGTCCTTGCGTACTTCTTCGCCTATTCTTGCTGTATACCCATACGAGTACCCGTCATAAGTAAATGCCTTTATTAAGGCGGCATTGAATGCGACACTCTCCTCCTCTGATGCGCTGCACAAATAAAAGAGCCTATACACCAATCTTGCTGTGCGCTCATGTATTTCCTCTAGATGGACTGCAATATACCCGTATGCAGCTGGCTCAGGAAACACCTTTTCTACTCCCAAAATATAATGCGCTATTAGATCATGCAGAGTCTGCAAAATATCTATCAATGGCTCCTTTCTTCTAAGAGATGCATCTATTTCTCTGTATAGCACAGGCTTCTCAAGAGTGCAGTATGCCTGCACAGCAGCTGAAATACTTTTCCTTTTAAGTGCCTGCAGAAGACTACTTTCTTTCCACTTTCCTCTTTTATGCGCCTCTTCTATTTTCTGGAGAAGATTTTCTATTGAGGGGTCTGCAGTCTGCACTTGCCCAATTTGCAAGAGAAAGTCAGCATATGCCTCTTTGTCAGCATCATCTGCCTTATTATTTGCATCTTTATCTGATATGCTTCTATCACGAGGTGTGCTTTTCTGTGAGTTTGTGCCGTGTATCTTATTGAGTAGATGCTTTAGCGTATTTTCTGCTTTTGTAATTTCAAGACGAATAGGGGGCAGTGTAATAGCAAGAATATCTTCTTCAATGCGACACTGTATTTCTTTAATAAGAAGTGCATTGTACATCTCCCATCCGTCATTTGTCTTTATTCCCACTATAAGAATATCTGCACATACAAGAAGCACCCCCTCATATGACACTCTGTCTATAGTAACAGTCACGTGCTCTTTATGCTTTAGAAAGCGGCCCTCTGAAATAGATGCATCCCCATGGAGTGCCTGCACCTCACTTTCAAGCGCAGAGTGCATTTCATCTTTGTGCGGGTCTTCTGTTGCAAGAAGTGGAAGAAAGAGTTCTGGGAGCTCAAGTGATATACGGCGGGCCTCTTCTGTTAGAGCCGCTAAGGTGCATAGTCCTTCTCTAATTTCCTGTTTTTTATTTCGCATATCGCAAGAAAGTGCCTCTGCATGGTGCGACAGCATACGCACATGTTGGTCCTTAAGGCGCGCGCACTCCCCAGAGGCATCTGCTAGTATCTTGCTAAGATACTCATCCAGCGAGAACTCTGTTCGCATAAACTCATCTTCCGGCATAAATTTTTTCTCCTTGTATTATTATAAGTACATTGCTGTAGTAAATGCATTCTAGCAATGAAATTTAGCACATTTAAGCTTATTCTAAGTACAGTGGTATATAAGCATATAGTGATATTTAAACAATACAGATGCCCATATACTGCGTATTATACATATATTACATGCATTATGTATATCTTTTTGGTTATTTCTTGGATTATTACTAGCTAGATTTTTGATGTATCCAGTGACAAGTACATAAAATAGTACTGCTTCTGATGTTTATGCATAGCCATATGCATTGCATATATTTTGTCTCCTGAAGAAAGATAGTTTTACTGTAAATGGAATAATCTGAGTTAACACGTGGGTTTATTATAAACTTAGACATCTAGCTTCAAATATACTTGAATGATAGTCTATTAGTATTATTGCCTTTATAGTGCATAGTCTTTATAAAGACATATTTATCACATTTTATCATTTAATGCGCACTTTCGTGGTTTAGTTACAGGATAACCCTAAGAGAGTGCACACATTGACTAACTCATTTGACAGGCCTGTCTGCTTTTAATTTCACTTTAATTAACCAGCTAATTGCAATTATGTTAATTAATTAGCAAATAACAGAAATGCATGAAATTAAACCACTATACATGCAGTAATTCATGTGCAATTTAGTGGTTTATCGCATGAGGTGCTTCCAATGGTATATTCTGCATCTGCGTGAGTTACAAAAGTAAATTGGCATATGGGAGTATTAGTTTATTTTGGGCCTGCTTTTTCCATTATCTCTTGGGCTGCAGTTATCTGTGCACAATATGTCTGCTAGCACTGCAGTAATACCACTATCATACTGCCTCTATATATTCAATATCCTACAAATAGACACTTACAATATCACTTGGAGTGCAGGTTGTGCCACATAGTGGACATGTCTTCTGCCGGCTTGCCATGCGACTATCAATGCAGCTTCTGCACAATAGATGCATGCACCTTTTAAGTGCTACATCTTTTATGTTTGTGCAGCACACACTGCATCTAATCATGCGCTGGTACAGCTCTATGTCTGTTTCCGAAGAAAACACTGTCTTTGTGCTATTCTGAAGTATTTGAAGTCTATCATGGAGGGCCTTATTTGCTGCCTCCAAAGACGCAGCAGTCTTTTTCGCTAGTGCAAGATCGGCCTCGTACTGAACAGCCTTTCTTTTATGATAGTGCGCGGAGGCCTTCCTTTCAAGATAGTCCACCTGGCTTCTTTCAAGTTCTCTTCGCAGGGCATGCATCTCTTCCTCGATTTTCTGTGTGTCTGGCACAGCAGTCTTTTCGGTGCACTCTGCTGTCGGCCGGTCCCTTTCTAATTTAAGTTCATTTTGTACTTCTGCTAGCTCAAGAAGAAGAGAGTCATTCTTTTTTCCTGTGTCAATGTATTTTCGCACAAGAAATGCAACCTCTTCAAGTCTATCTATTTCTTTATCCTGCAGCTCTTTTATTTTCAGATGGCAGTCATTCACACAGTCTATCTTGTTATCTACTGTATTCTCTAGATCCCTTGCTCTATCCACAATCGTAGAGTTAAGTGTCTCTAGAGCCAGATACAGCTCATCTACTCGTTTTTGAAGAATAATCTTCTCGTCTGCAGACTGCTTGCTCTCTTTCTGGAGCACGCGCTGTTTGGCCTCTGCTGCTTCAGACGCACTCACCATGCTCTGCTGCATCTCCTGCATTTCTTGCCGCACACTCTGCTCTTTCTGCAGGAGACTTTCTATTTTCTTTGTTAGCTCTTCAATGCTTAAAAATAGCTCCTTGTTCTCTTGCTCAAGTGTTTTCGCTAGCTTTGTATAGTTTGGTGGGCATTTGCTGATAAGCGCGTGCACTTGATTCTCTAATGCATCCACCCGCTCAATATATCCTGTTATTTCGTCTTTCGAAATCGACGGCTTCTCTTTCTGCGGAATCTCCTTCATCTGCGCCGCTCGTTTTCTGAGCTGTGAGATTGTAAAAAGATGCTCCCGGCAGTTAAGAACTGCAGTCTTGACCATTTCGCACGCATCCGAGGCACCCACCTCTGTGCCCTGTACGGACGACAGAAGTTCATCTATTTTTATCTCTTGTATTCTTTGCTTTTCGTTTACAGCTTCTTCAGCCACTTTCTTGTACTCTTCCATTTGGGAAAATATTGCATCTACTTTTCTTTGTTCGATTGCTGCAGTCTCTGCCTCGTCCCACCAGTTACTTTCTCCCGATGCGGTTGCGTCGTATGCTATTTTCTTCAAAGGGGGCACACCAGCTCTTCTTTTTTCCATTAAAAAAAATTCGGTGCTAAATGTATTTATGATCTAATGATGGCATACTAAGCATACACGCAAGACAATTATTGAAGAAATCTTCTTTAACTTAAAAAAGACACACAAAAGCATTCAAATCATATCAGTATGCATCGATACAAAAGCAATAATCTCTATTCATATTCGTAAAAATATGGGACTTTTACAGTATATCATGCATTATACTCTCCCTACCGCGGGTTTCTTTCTTCTAATGTATATACTAAATTCCCGCGGAGACAAGAAAAAATAAATTAAATTCACAATTTCTTGAATCTGAATTTATTTCAGTTCATATTCTATTATAATAGATAGATACCTGTATAAGACCATGAACAATTCATGCGAGAATATGCCATGAATGCACATCCACTTGGTTTTACTTCTTGTTGCAGTAGTTACATTTTCACTTGAATTATTATGCTGTATTCCGCATATGTGCAACTGTGCACTCTATTTAAGTGCAAGTTTAAATATCTTTTTGTTCTTATTCTGGGCGATTTTACTATTTTTAGCTCTTCTAGTATGCTAATATATGTATTTTGCTGCTCATGAAGGCATAGTCTATTTTAATATAGCAACTAAATAATTTTATTGGGTTATATTGCATGCTTCTATGGATATTTCTTTTATTCTACGATTCTTCTATTTTAAAGCATGCTTAAGCGTATGCTCATTTATTTTCTCTTTCAAGCTAGAAGTAGCAGCTGCATTGTGTTTTCTTTGGGTGATCTATAATGACCAAATAATTCTGCAAGAAAGCACTGAAGGGGACAAGAATATTTATGCAGTAGTAATTACGAAGGAAGACAGAAATAATGAAAAGTAGAGAATAAGATCTGCTGTTTATATAATTACCGTCAATGAATAGACTCACTTTTGGCTCTTCGCCTTTTTGTTGCTGCTAACTTGTGCTTTTGTTTTTTGCTGCAGCGTGGCTCTCTTGTTGAAAATACTTCTGTACCATGGGAATGTTCTCTGCACTGAGGTCTGGACCTTCTGGGTAAGTGCCTTCCCTAGCTTAGTGATTTCTGAGATCTGTCCGTTGTATAGCAGTGTGGCTGCGCTGATCCTTTGGAACTCACTTTCAAAATGCGTTATATTCTTATAATAGTTGCTTTCTGCTCGTTCTTTGATCAAAGACAAGGTCATTGGTTCTTTCACCACTGCATAGTACTGCGGATATTCCTCTCTATTCACTCTATCGTAAAACACGCTGTACTCGCCTGTCTCAATAATCTGCTGAATAATCATGGAGAGTGCGTCCTTTAGTGTGCATGTCTCTGTGTACCCGACAGTTGCATTTTTGACGATCTTCTGGACTGCACTTTGCACGAAAAGTGCTTCTCTGTATATCTCTGAATCTTTCAAATTATATGTCAGGCAGTTTACGAAAACCTGGATAATATCAAATAGCACACACTCCACCATAAAATAGTCTCCTTCCTCTACTCTGCTCCTAATTGTCTGCAGGTCGAGCGGCCGGCGCACTATTTCCTGGTATTTATACTCCCGCAGAAGATCTGTGTCAATGGGCGTGGAAAATATTCCATGCCGATCTGCGTGAATTGCTTGGTCAATTATGCTGAGCAAGTGTTCTCTTCCATCTTTTTCCTTGCAAGGCGCATCCACTTTATGGAAGGATCCACTTGTTGTCTGGAAGAATGCAAAGTACTCTCTCTCAAAGTGCGCCTGGAAGTACTTAATAGTGCTGTATGAAGACGTGTCGTACTGCGCAGACTTAAAGTACTCCCTGAATATATACGCGGCCTTCGAATAAATTTCATACATTGGGTACTCGTCGCACGTATTGAATAAGCACTTCATCTCATTGTTCAGGTGTGCATTTTCATCTTTATGGGATATTTCTATCTCCATGGCATCTGGGCCCGCCATGTCATTGTGAATATCTGTGCTTTGCTTTCTGTTCTTTTGAGATTTATTTTGGCTGCCTTTCTCTATGGGTGCACTATTCTGTGCTGGACTCTTAGTAATCTCATCCTCTTCAGAAGCCTGCCTTGTCTTAATAGTTATATCGTCAAAAGTGGGCACGTGCATTTTCTCTGAAATTTCGTTCTTTTTTGCCATCTGTGTGATGTGTGAGCTGGCCTTGCTTGCCTTAATACGCTCGACCATTCTGCATGCACCCTCTGCCTGCGGCTTATCCAGGCAGTATGTCTCTGCTTGCACATCATTCTCATAGAGTGCATCTACGTCAATTCCTTCCGATATATGCTCCTCTATTTCTTCTTCTTTTTCATGCTCAGTCTCCTGCTGTGTGCTGCTGGTATTTTTTTCTGTTAGCATGCCCTTGGTGGACAGCCGTATGACAACTGGCTTAAATAGTTTTATCACCAGGCGGGGCAGTTTCCTGTCCTCTTCATCACTGCTCATGTCGTGCATGATGGCTTCCTCAACTGCATCAGACACAAGCTCTGTTGGGCCGCCCAGAAGGCCTTCAATTTCAGCGAACAAGGCATCTGCCTCTCCATCTCCTGCAAACATCTCTTGGATGCGCTGGAGGGATGGAAGGTGCTCCTGAAGTTTCCCAAATATAGGCAGAGCTGCGCAGACCGCAGAGTCCCTGATTGTGCGCAGTATTTTTATGCGGACAGGTCTCTCTTCATTCACAAACAGTTCTAGGATTGTGCCAATTTTATCTGCGTGCAAGAGAATGAGGCATTCATATGCTGCCATGCGCACCTTATAAAAGTTACCTGGGGCTACGTACTGAAGCATGCCTTTGAAGGAGACTTGCACATATCCTTGCACCCCAAGTCTTGCAAATGCCTTTATGGCTGCACACGTGACAATGTTCTGGTGGCTAGGGAAAAGAAGGTCTTTCTGCCGGAGTCTTTCCATCTCAACAATAAAAGGGGCTGGGTCTAGATGGGCATCTGAGCACAGCGCAACTGCAAGCGCAGTTATAATATCTGCCAGGTAGAAGGCATCCTCAAAGGAATTTCCTGTGTTGTCGTTGTACCGCATCAGATTCAGAAGAAAAGCAGAGACCACATTCTTTGCGCGTATTGCACGGCCTCCTAGGGACTTTGTTGAGTCCAGCTGGCAGAGGGACATTGAAGACGCAATATTCTTCTGCATAAAATACATTCTGTGCTGTGAGAAGTCATTTGTTCTGACGATTGTTGTGTTCTGTATGCAGTACGTGTTGATGAAGAACTGGACAACTCTTTGGAACCCGAAATATCCTGACTCTTCATTTACGCTTTTTGCCAAAAGAATGCCTGCTGCAATGCTTACCTTGTAGAATACGCCTGGGTCTCCCATGACTCTTTCCAGGATACTGCATATAGTTTCGCTTGGGTTCTTTTGCACGCCCACCAAGGCCTCCATTTGGCCGTATACGTCCTTCTCACTGACCAGCTGCTCTGCAAACATGTAGTCAGCCTGCTCAACAGCCGCCACCTTCATCCACTCAATTCCTGGGTCAATTCGCACCCACAGAAGAGACACGTTTTCCTCCTTCTGCTTCCTTCTGTGGTTTCTTTGCGAGCACACAAGCTCGTGCGTTATGGGCGCACTTCCCAGGAAGAGAATGTGGTCAAGCACTGAGTCCGTTTCATATACGCGCACACATATATTTCCTGCCATGTGCCTATTCGCATCCGGGTGGACAGAATGGATTTTCTGTCTGAGAACCAAAGAAAATCCACCTGCCCGGCTATTCTGCTCTACCTGTGCTGTAACCGTGGGTATTCCCGTTCTGTACACGTACGCATCAAAGAGTGCGCGCACATCCTTGCCTGTGATCCCTTTGATCACTCTTATCAGATCCTGCGTGTTCATTGTGCGTGCTTCCAAGACCTCTTTCATGATTTTCTGCATAAAAGCACGCGTCAAGTTATTCTCAAGGATTTTTACAAACGCCCCCGCTTTTTTAACAAAGAAAGGAGAGTGGAATGTACTTCTGTGCCTGGAGGGAGAAGACAGCGGCGGCTCCTCAATGTCGTGCTTATGAATGTAGTCTATGTTCCTGTTTAGTTCATACTTTGCCTCGTTTACTCCTAGGAACAGTTCTGCAAGGTACATTGAAACGTACTCGGAAAGGCCCGTGTACATCCACGTGTCTAGGTCTGATGTGGGGTGGGCAAGGATCCCAAAGTACTGATTTGCTGTGATCTTGCTGATCAGCCGGATACTTGCAAAGCACTGATCAATTGCCTCTGGCACAATTATCTGGGATATATTAAACACTGCGCAGTTTCTTCCAATTGATCCAGTTACGTTGCACATTGAGAAGACAACAGATATTTTGTAGAAGGGCAGCTTGCACTCGAGTGCCTGCTGTGCAGCCACTATTGAAGACTTAAGGGCCTCAAGAGTCTCCTTCCCTCCTGCTTCAAATCTTGATGCAACTGCCTCTGGGATAAACACAGCAGCCCGGGCAGCATGGATCTCTTCGTACATACCGCCTGCAAACAGCACATCCTGCGGCCGTGCATAATCCATCTTGTAGTGGAAGGTTTTTGTGGTTCCTCCGTCGTATATTCCGCTGAGTGTGCCGCTAGAAATCACCTGAAATCCCTTCTCAATCGATACGATGTACACCATTTCCAGGCTGCACGGGCGGGTGGAAAGAAGCGGGAAAAGAGTCTGCGCCTGCCCATTGATTGGCTCTCCAGTGAATTCTGTGCATTTGTTGTCTGGCCCTGTGTAGAAGGAGATCCCAGGATTGTTCTTTTTTGTTTCGAAAAGAATTCTTACTTTCTCTGTTTTGACAGGAAGAACCACAGTGCTTTCTATCTTCACACTCTTCCATGCATTTTCACTGAATATCTCTACTTTTAGAATGTTCAGTTGAATCTGGAGTATTTCAAGTCTTTCCTCTTTCTGTACATCCACGTAGAAGATGCTTGTTCCTGTGCACCGCCTTTCTGCCATGCTTAAGTGCAGAATATTCTTCTGGTGAGTTACATTCATGGAATAAAAAATTATTTTGTACAATATGCATGTTTAATGCAAGAAAGCCAATCCATGAGAGCTTTTATCTTCAGCACAGCCCTTTCTTAGGTGGCTGACTCTGCTGTGGCACTCACTAGAACCTGCATAACTTATTTTCAGGACAGTTTTCCACTTCTGCGCCTGAAATAAAATCATCCCCCAGAAGCATAATACAGCAAGCCAGATGACATCCTAGACATGGCAGGCTCTTAATAAAATACCTTTCATATTACACCTTATGCGCACAATTCATAAAATAGCACCTTTTCTTATATCTCTTATCAAAAACCTTAAAATCTTAAAACTCAAAATAAACCTGTCTCTTTTCCAAAACATAAAGACCCCTTTACTTCAACCAGTACTCCATTGCGCAATGCACATATATTCTGTGCACAGATCTATCCCGGCTTTCATCTTTCAATTAATACACCAGCCTTACTTCTGCATTATAAATAATTCATGAGAAATACATTCAAATTAATTAAGCCCCTCTTCCTGGCCATATAATATGCTTAATAATCGCATCCTTTTATTAATTTATTTATTCGATAGTATCGACATAAGCACTCAAATTATATGCATCTGCAGGAATTAAGTATCCAAGAGTACACACCCATGGAATACTCTATATTTAACCATATATCCTATTACACTATAACCCACAGATAATTTAATGTAAATTCCATATTATTTATTATCCTTCAGTGCTTCTTGTATGGTTTCTTCAACTATCCGGGCTGTTTCAATATACTTCTGCACAACCCCTTCTACTTCTCCTCCTGTGCGCCCAGATTTATTTACAGCCGCAAATACTCCTCGTAGCAGCAAAGACATAAAATTCCAGCAAAAGTTTTCACTATGGATGCAATTGGCATATACAGAGCACAAATAAGAGAATTCTTTGAAAGAGCCAGAGGAGAGAAAAAATACAAATCACTTCTTCTTTCTTCTCCGCCCCCAAAGAGAATTATTATTGACATCCAAGATATTCGCAGGTTTAACAAAGATCTTGCACTTGCACTCCAGGAGCATGCAATTTCACTTCTTCCTGCATTTGAGGAAATAGCCCAGGAATACGCACAGCATCCAATAAATATTGGTATCACGGGAGTGCTTTCCGGGGAGAAGATATCTCCAAGAACTCTTTTCTCCAAGTACATAGGGCATCTTGTCTCTATTGAAGGCATTGTCACAAGCACTTCTATTATTCGTCCAAAAATTAAAAAGAGCGTACACTTCATTAAGCAAACGAACTCCTTTGTATACAAGGAGTACAGAGACATGCACACTATGTCCACACTTCCCCCTACCACAACAGCAATCCCGAAGCAGTCCCTGGACGGAAACCCACTTGACCTAGAGTACGGTCTCTCTGAATATATTTCGCACCAGACGGTGACTCTCCAGGAAATGCCAGAACTCTCACAGCCTGGGCAGATGCCGCGCGCTATAACTATTGTTCTGGAGAATGACCTAGCAGGGGAGATTAAGCCAGGTGACAGGGTCCGGATATACGGTGCATACAAGTGCACGTCCACGCTTAAGGCCACGCAGGATACTCTTCGCACAACTATTGTAGGAAACAACGTGGAAATACTTGGAAGAAAAGAGGCACAAGCAGGGAACACAGACTCAATCGCAGAAATTGTCCAGATGGAAGGGACTCTTTCCCTCGGAAAGTACATTGCCCCATCTATATACGGGCACAATGCCATTAAGAAGGCAATTCTTCTTATGCTGTTAGGTGGACAAAGTGTCCATACTTCAACAGGAGGTCGCATTCGTGGGGACATAAATATCCTTCTTGTTGGTGACCCAGGAATTGCAAAAAGTCAGTTGCTGCGGTATGTCTTGGATATGGCTCCGTTGGCCATTGGGACTACTGGACGTGGTGCCACTGGAGTAGGTCTGACTGCTGCACTTGTGGCAGACGCAGATACGGGTGCACGGCGTATTGAGGCTGGTGCTATGGTTCTGGCAGACACTGGAATTGTGTGCATTGATGAGTTTGACAAGATGGATGAAACAGAGAGGGCTGCCATACACGAAGCAATGGAGCAGCAGACAGTCACCATCACAAAGGGTGGAATTCACACGACCCTAAACGCCCGGTGCAGTGTTCTTGCAGCTGCCAACCCAATTTCAGGGAAGTACAGGACTAATTTGTCGCCTCGAGAGAATATTCGCCTGCCTGAGTCAATTCTCACACGATTTGATCTAATATATATTCTGGAGGACACGCTGGACCACGATGCAGAAATAGCAGAGCACGTTCTGGAGAGAAGAGTCGGCAAAAAGGCACCAGGTAGTGATATCCTGCAGAGTGATCTGGCCAAGTACATTCAGATGGCAAAGGAAGTGCAGCCCGACTTATCTGACGAAGCTGAAGAGTACATTGGTGCAGAGTATGTGCGCATACGTGCAGAAGGAGAGGAAAACAGAACAAGCTTGTGCAGAAGTATTACAGCTAGATTGCTGGAAAGCATGGTTAGGCTGGCAACAGCGCATGCAAAGGGAAGGCTCTCTTCTGTTATTGAAATTGAAGATGCAGCTGCTGCAGTTGAAATCCTGGAGAATACGCTCTGGAGGAAGAGTGTGCGAAGAAGAGGAAGAAAGGAGCAGTCCCAGGAGACACTGCACAATATCCTGTACTCTTACAGGGAGAATAATCCAAACGACAGAATTGTTTCTGTGGAGAAGATTGTCTCACTGTGCAATGCATCCAGAGAGTCTGTTCTTGAAGGTCTCCAGGAATTTGAGAAGGAAGAAATCATTAAAATATCGAATGGAATGATCATATTCCCGTAGTACGACAAATTGGTAAGTATTCAGTAAACTATTAATAAATGACTTATTTTATGCCAGATCACATGTAGCTTGTTTCAATTTATTTTAAATATTTTCATATTTTATAGTGTAGTAAAGCGTACACAGTCCTTATGAAGGGTTTTATTTTTATAAAAATGAAATAAATACTTCTTAGCCTGCTGCATATTCAGATAAACCAAAGCGTACAAAAATATAAGTACTTCAATAATCTGAAAAAGTGGAAAGATCTTTCTAGACAAACTATTGCATTTATTTCTTAAACGTACACGCATTTGCATACTTTGCCTGCTCTCTTTCATGGAGATGTGATATTCCAGTTATTTGATTCATTTTGCGCAGGCCTGCTGTCAGGTCACTTGTAGAGTCTATCTTTAATATTCTGCACCTCTCAATCAAATGCTCCTCTCCTGTTAATATATCTCTTATTTTCACTGCATCATGGATATCCTCCAAGGTAGAGCAAATAATTACATACGGAAGGTATGGCCTTGGAAGGATACGTGCAAGCACTATGTCACCTTCTTTCAGTGTGTAGACAGAAAGTGTTTCTTCTATCCGGCGTGTCTCTATGCCAATGAAGGAGTCATGCCCGTTGTATGCATATGCATTGCTAATAAGAAGCTCAACATCTTTGACAACCTCCCCGAATGACTTGTACTTCAGCCTGTCAATTTTCTTCTGGATGAGACTGAAAGAAATAGGCACTTTAACTATGGAGGAGTACCCAGGGGCAATACTGTCTGTAATTTGATCCATGAACAGACTGTGTCTGTCCATTCTTTCAAGTGCATCCAGTAGTATTTGCATCTGTCCGTATCCATCAATCATCCGGGAGATCAAGTTCACGTGGTTCTTTTGCATTTCTGCAATACCCTTGTGTATATTGTGTGCTGTCCTTTCTGCAGTTTCTGTGAGTTTTTGCATTTTATACGAAGCTACTGCATATACCTCGTACATATACTTTTCTGCGCTTGGAAGAACAATCTCCTGCGGCATCTTGAACATGTCCAGTATGTGGGTCTCCCTCTGAATTATTTCTATTTTTGGGAGAACCCGCGTGCCCCATTTTTTAAACCCATCAGCAGGCGAGTCTAGCCGAAGTCTCTTTATAATGGGTCTTTCCTTTTTTCGTGTCTGCCACACGGCGTACATATCCCGAATGAACATATGCGCATTTTTGTGTGCAGAAAGATCTCTCTCTGCAATTCTATTAATCACATAGTCACATACCTGGGCAGGCACACTTTCAATTCCTGCGTGCACACGTCGCTGCGGTTTCCACAGCGGAACCAGACTGTGTATTACAGGCGTATTCTCCAGAACGGGATAGTTTCCATCTGGAGACCGTGTCAGAAGTCCCTCTGCCTTTCTTTTTGGATCGTGATCAAGGCAGAATAGAATCCCATTTGCCACATCAATGTATCTTTCGCTCTTTACTGCGCACGTTGCATGGTAGTATCTGCGACACCCGTAGTATGCACACGGGGCTACCCCTCCTTTTTTGAACCCGCATGCACTGCATTGGTGCTGGCTTCTGTATACGTCTTCTATGTCAACGGGCTCAACCAGAGAGAGATTTTCAAACCGAGCACCCGGAACAAGAAGACCACACAGCACGTGGCACCATGCCCCATTTCTGGTTCTCTTGTACGCCCCGCCAGAAGCAGAGCACAAGACGCAGCTGATCTGCTTATTCGGGGAGAGCAAGCACGGACGGCAGAGCCAGCTGCCCTCTGGAATATGGGGCACTCCATAGCAAGACTGGTGCACTGCAATATTGCAGCTATCGCAGAAAATAAGAAAGTTATCGTCTTCTGTCTCCATGCCCCCGCATATATTGCACTCCTCTGCAAGTTCGTCGCACTCTGAGATTTTTGTCACTGCGATTCTCTGCAGAAAGTGGTGCTCTTTTTCGAGTCTGTCAATCACTAGCTCATATATTTCCTCAGTGACCATTGGGTGCCTCTCTTGCAAATACAGCATGATCTCTTTGTCTGCCTCATCCATGCAATATTCCACGTCATATACGGAGGGTTTTGGCCTGCCCTCCAAAGACTCCAAAATAGCGTGTATCTTGTTTCTTACGGCCATAAAAATAAAATGCAAAAACGGCTGTGCTGCTTTAAAATTAGCAAAAGACATTTATTCCTGGAGAGAGCCAGAGAGAGAAGCCATTGCCTTTGCAATTAGCATTTTCACCTGGGATGCTTGTAGTTTTAGTTCCTTTGAAACTGTCTCTATTGACTTGTGCTGCAGCCCCATCCCAAGGAGGATGATTTTCTGTGTGGTGGAGACTGTCTGTCCTTGTGTCTTTAGGACCTCCTTAGCGAGTTGTGGGAGAAGGTCAGCAACTAGGCGCAGGTCTAAATTGCACCGTGAGAATTGCTCCATGCGCTTAATTTGTGCCTCTTTGAACGTCTTCATGGAGTCCTGCAGAGGGGTTATAATCTGAAGGGCAACAAGTGCAGAGACAGTGCTAAAGCACCCAGGGAGCAGCTCAAGGAATCTTTCAGTAAATTCCCGGCGATACGCCTCAATCTTGGCCTGGGCTGTTTCATTGAGGCCGCGCATCATAATTAAAGAGTGCTCTCCTGTTGTCTTGCAGAGAGTGTGCTTTAAGTAGACGGCGTGCATCCCCAGACGCATCCAGAAAGGAAGAAGTCTTTCCGTGACACCAAATGATACTCCTACATAGTCCATCTGTGGAAGACGGACAGCAGAGAAAAGAACTGCTTGTTTTTCAGCTGCGCTTTCTGCTGTCTCTTCCCCCTTCTGTGCAGCACTAATGATCTGCTGCATGAGGTGTGAGCCGTATCCCATGGACTGTGCATCTGGGTGCACTGCCATTCTGATCACGCGCAGGCCTGCCTGCTTGAATATCTCCATGTCCAGGAAGTACTGGGAAAGTGACCATGGAATGAGATGGCCCATTTCCTGCCTCTTTTCGTTGTACATTTTCTGGGTTTCATGCAAGGCAGATCTACTTCCTTCTTTAACGCACTGCGCCAGAGCAAGCACTCTTCCGTCCTCTGTGAGAAGCACAATTAAAGTATGGTGTTCGTCATCAGCAAGAATCTGCAGGTCATTTGGACTGTTTTTGTAGTGCCCTGAAAGGAGGATACTTGCAAGTGCCCTAAGAATTCTTTCTGTTTCTGGGTTTCCAGAGAAAAGAAGGGCTTTGTTTACGCTGTACATCTGGCATTTGTTTTGTGGTGGGAAAGTGATCATCTTTGGGATCTCTGGGGAAAGAGAAAGCGCATTGTTCAGCCACGCCTCAACTGGGTCCTTCTTGCTGTAACGTATCGGCTCTTCAAGATGGATGATCTCTGGGCGCAGGGTCTTAAATAGCTTCAAGGAAAGAGCCTGTCCTGTTCCTTCATATCCAGCCGTTGTCGAGGATATCATGACAGGGTACACACCAAGCATCCCCCGAAGAATTGGCAGGGGAATCGCAGCTGCTTCATCCACAACAAGCATGGAAGGCGCGTGCGAGAGTATCTGTGGGGTGATAAACCGAATCGTCTGGTAGTGCGTCTTTGAGATGGATATTTTCTCAATGGATTTCTTGTATGCCTTTGAGTACTCCACAAAAAAGTCAAATTGTTCTCTGTACCCATTCTCTGTAAGGCCTACCACAATAAACTCAAAAAGAGTTTGGACGTTTGAAAGATGCGGTGCAGAAATAAGGATATCATTCATTCCCTTCACAACCGCGTGTGCAACGGAAAGACCAAGAGCTGCAGACTTACCACGCCCTCTGTCTGCTGTAATGGCCACTAAGGACCTTTTATCTATTGCCTCAGAGAGAGATAAAACTGCCTCTGCCTGGTCCTGTGTTTTGCACTGCTTCATGAGGCGGGCTGTGCTGTTCGCACTCATCACGCTAAGTGGATTAAGAATATTTGCTGCTTCTTTAACTTGCTGGATTCTTCCTTCCATTTGGTTCACTACGTTTGCATCATTCTCTGCAGAGCACACTCCCTGGGTGGTGCTTGCCTCGTGTATTACATTTAGCTGCGTATCCAGGATGGCATAGTTGTCTGCGGACTGCAGAAGATGGTATAGCCTTTTTGTGTATATGCTGTCTGTTTCTTCAATGGGCAGAAGGATAAGACCCCCACCTCTGACACTTTCCACAACACTTGCTAAGGCATTTGCCTTTATTTTGGAGAAGTCTTGCAGAACACAAAAATCAGTGCTAGTTCCAAGCACTTTCTCTGCTTCACTGTGGAATACATAGTTTATCTCTGTGTTTACAACAAAAGACTCAAAGTTAGAGAGAGCCGCCTCCCCTGCATTCTTCCGTTTTTTGGCTTGGCCTATTTTGTGCGTCTTTGCTTCAAGCTCTTTTTCGTACACCCACAGAACAGTAGGCCGCACGGTATATCTGGAGAGAAGAGAGTGTATGTGGTGCACTACGTCCTTCACCTTACCGCTCACGCCAATAATGGATCTGTGCTTCATTTTTACACTATTCTCCAACAAGCTGAGTATTCTTTTGTCTACTCGTTCTTTATGCGTTGTCATATTTTTTACTGTCTGCAATTTTTTTGTCTCTTATGTGTGCAGTAACTGCTAAATTATTCACTAACAATAAGAAGTGCAGAAATATACATGAAAGATGTGCATCTTTAGTGTACACTATAAGCACCAGAAATAACAGGCTTGAATGCAGATGAGGTCTTCCATAAAATGAAAGAATATCCGACTGCAATAAGACATCTATTCTATCTGCATGTGCACATGGATATAATTGGCATAGAGAAGTATATGGTGTCTCCAGCAAGAAGTAGATGGATACTGTATATAAGGAGGGCACATTTCTTTATTCTTTAAGTATTTCTATAAGTATGTATTTTATTCTCTTCATATATTAATTGAGTGACTGCTTACTGTAGTGAATTATTCTTTTTCCTTTATGCAGTGCATATTCTTGCTAAAACAGTCTACTCAGACACTTTCATTGAATACTTCTAATTTCAAGGAGAGGGAGTATTTTCATGCATAAAACACTTCTTGCGCAAAGACTTTCAACTTCCCAGGTGACAGATCAAAGAGGAAGGCATGCTAAAACCACAGGATATACCACTAACTACTGCAGGCATAACAAAAACCACCAGAATCTATGCAGCACTAAGCCATTTATAATGAACTTCAACTTAATCCGGCAGTTATATCCCTGCCGCAGTGCATGCTTCATGAATCCCGCGCAACCCGAACAGTGACCCTTTCATCAGCAGTGCACTCTACGTGCAGCTCCATGCTTCCTGTGCACGCGGGAATAACATGCGTGCTGCATATGTTATCAGGTCTTGCAGACAAGCATGTTGGAAATATATACATATCCGGGGAGTATGCCCACAGGAAGGCATTAAACACTGAGTAGTCAACAGGAACATCCTGCGGTATAAAAGGAAGGAATGTGCTTTGGTATACGCTGTGCACTAAAATATCATCCATCCTTTCCCCTCTGTTCCTGCTAACCTCTTTCCGGGATATCCCCAGCAGCACATCCAAGGTAGTCAGTGCTAGCAGCACCCCATTGAAGCAGACCATGCTTGGGTTCTGCAGCTCAGCAAAAAAGCAGCTGCTCACATCGTACAAATTAGGCATCCACTCCTGATTCTCAGATGCAGGCATATTATATCCTGCTGCCTTGCTTGTGTACTCTGTAGGATACGCCATGGAAGACTCAATTCCATCTATGTACGGTACGCATAAAATTCTTGTTCTTTTTGCAGTTGCAATTTCCTTGCACACTTTTCGTGCCTCACAAGACAAGTCCCCAAAGATCACCACAAGATCTGACTGACTGCCCCTCACTATATCCAGGATGTGCGCATATTCATCTATCCCCTCAGAGGCCAGAGGCTGTGCACTCTGCACCCTCTTTTCGTCAATTACAGTAAGCGTAAACTTCCCTTCTTTTGGGGCTATTTCCAGGTTTTGGAATATCCTGTTGTACAGGACAGAGTCTGCAACAATTTCATCTCCAATTATATTCGTGCCAGACACTTCAATTATCTGCCCTGGGTAGATCGTGTACTCTGGAAGCTCAGACATATCCAGCTGCATGAGCACTGTGGAGTGGTCTGGCTGCACGCCCAGCAGATAGTATGCATTTTGTGCCTGCATGACCATCCCGCAGTATGTTTGCTTGTGCACGCACTCTAACGCATTAATTGCATATTCCTGCGAATCGCACATCATCTCTATCCTTCTCCTGAGATATGCATAGAAATTGTGTCCCAGGTCAGGCAGAAACTTATTCTTGCTGATGAGCGCAGACTGCACCTGCAGTGTTGTCTCCACTCCTGCCCTGCCGCTGTGCACCAGCCTTCTGCTAATTTCCTCTGCCCTGTCCATAAAAAATTTGCAGCTTCTTCTTCTATGCTTTATACAGAAGGGCCTGCCCGAGAAGACCCCTCCGCGTGCTCGGTTAGTGTCTCCTGATAGCTCAGTGGTAGAGCATGCGACTGTAGAAATGGTTTCCCATTGGGGTTATCGCGAGGTCGGTGGTTCGACTCCATCTCAGGAGATTTTTTATAAATTTTTGCTATTTTTTATGGCCATGTTTCCGGAAGTAATAAACCGCGTGGAGCCCCCACAGATGGAGTGCATTTTGACTAACGAGCAGACAGGAAATATGTCCCCTGTGGAGTGCGCGCGCATTGCAGCAAGGGCACACAAGATGGTGCGACAGAACATCCAATCAGTCATCCAGCCAGGCATGACTTTACTGGAAATTGCAGAGTTCATTGAAAATGGAACAAGAACTGTTTTGGGGCAGGGGTACAACAAAGGGATAGGATTCCCAACAGGCCTCTCCTTGAACAGCTGTGCAGCTCATGACAGCCCAAACCCAAAGTCACAGCCTGTTGTTCTAACAGCAAATGATGTTCTAAAGGTAGACTTTGGTACGCACGTAAATGGGTACATTATTGACTCTGCATTTACTGTGTGCTTCAACCCAGATTACAATAACCTGCTGCTTGCAGCCCGTGAATCTGTCTATGAGTGCTTGAAGATAGCAGGACCAGACGCACAGATCCGGGAGATTGGGGAAAAGGCAGAAGAGATTATTCGCAGCTATGAAATAGAAATTGGTGGGAGACCTGTTCCCATCAGGCCAGTGACCAACTTAAACGGACACTCCATCAACCAGTATAAAATACACGGTGGAAAGTACGTCCCAATTATTAAGAACTCCGGTAACAAGTCAAGAATGCAGCCGGGCGAGTTCTTTGCAATTGAGACCTTTGCAACCACAGGAAGTGGATATGTGAATGAGAAGGGCGACTGCTCTCATTATATGATTAACAACCCGCATGCGCACTCTGCACTTGAGGGGGGCAAATCCCTGATGAAGTACATTCAGAACACTTTTACAACCCTTCCCTTCTGCAAGAGATATATTGACCAAGTAGAAAATAAGTCATCCGACACATACATCAAGTATCTTACTAAAATAGGGGCCATAGAAGACTATCCCCCTTTGTATGACTCGCCTGGTTCTTTAGTTGCCCAGTTTGAGCACACTCTGTTTGTGAACGAGTCAGGCATTGAAGTACTCTCACGTGGTGATGATTATTAATAAATAGTCTAGTAGTTCATTTTTGTCTTTTTTCTAGGCCTGCCTCATAGAATAATTAAAAACAAGACAGAGCCACCAAAGATATCCACATAGTAAATATAAAAATAACACTCCTGTGACAACTAACTCTATACGGCTATAGGCTCCTGCCTCCTCGCTGGAATGTCGCCTTCTTGTGGGCATGCCAGTTAGGCTCATATTATTGAAGATGGAAGTAGGAAGTTTCTGTTTATTTTCAGGATTATTTGGGTCTTAAGAAAGAGGGCATCTTTTACTGCAAGATATACAGTATGATACACTTCTTTATGAGCGCGAATGCCCTAAACATCAGAACATCCTGTTGAATTAGGCCCTACTTAATAAGGCAGTGAATTACAAGACAAAAATGCAATTGTATGCTATGCATGCCAGGCATAAGATTAATAGCGCATGAAAGATAGATTTTTGTCTTTTTCTGGGGGCCATGTTCTTGCTTGCATGAATATTGTCAGTAAATTACCAATCTTCCCAGTGTCCTGCTCTGCTGCTGGCATCACTTCTTTCTTCTTTTTAAGAATATTAAGAACTGTTGTGTACTTGTCCTTTGACATGCTGCATTTCAAAAAAATGGAAGACCCCCAATTTGGAAGCAAATCGTACACGGCTGAAATTAGGCCTGGTATCTCACCTTTCTCTTCGCACACATAGACATAAAGTGCATACAGGATCTTTTTGGTCATGATTTTATCAAGACCCCAAGAACTCTCTAAATATCTTTTAATCACAGCTGCATTCTGTGTTGAATTGTTTGCAAAAAGTTGCGTGAATATTCTTTTTAGCACTCCCCGCATCTCATTTGAGGCGTACGCAAATGAGTATGAATTTGGGATTGTTATAAGGATCTTCAGACACCTCATTAGTACTGTATCTGAGCCTGTGTCAAGGACATGTGTCAGAATATTTATGTGTTCTGTGGTGGAATCTGCAATTGACTCGTAGTCCTCAATTTTTAGCTGTATGTATGGGTATAGGTCCCTTTGGGCTCCTATGTATATCAGGCTTGGGAGCATAATGCTTTGGATCTTCTTGTCCCCAAGCAAAACACTTCCAAGGATGTTTGTGATAAAGCGGGGTGATATATCCTCAGAAGTTAACGGAAGTTCAACTCCATTTATTGCAGTGCATGCAACCAGTTTGCTCTTATATTTTGTGTCCTGGATCTTTCTGTGCATGAATATCCGGGTGATCCCTTCTCTTTCATTATTAATCAGCTGCTTTATTGCACTGTCTGGAATACTTTCTTCTGATTGATTGTATATTTCCTCAACTGTCTTGGTTATGTAGTGTATGACTAGGTAGTCTATGAACGTGGATGCTTTGCTTTTTATTCTGTCTATGTCCAGGGCTGCTACTATTCTTTCAACTGTAGGCCCTATAGTTAGTCTGCTTCCTGGGACATAGCTTACATTAGTGTGGCCCTTGTCAAACCATATTGTTAATTGGTCCTCACCACTGCACCCTTTGTACCTTAAAATAATTTCTCCGAATACATCTTGCACTTTATCTGTTCTTTCCCTGCATGATAGATTTCTGCAGGAAATCTGAACGTCTTTGTTCAGTGACAGCTGCATAAGCATGTTTTCTGTAAATTCACTCACGTCGCTTAAGAAGTTTTTTCGCAGGACTGGCGAATCTGCTATTTCCTGCAAAAACCTAGAAATAGCATGCCTGTCAATATAAGTCCTTCCTGTAACTGCAGAAACTGCAAGCAAAAAGTTTAGAATTCCGCTTATGATTTCATGTCCTCCATGCTTATATGCAACTCCACTTTCATTCAGAAAAGTGACAACGCTGGACCACTCCATATGCACTTTTAAATCTGAGCCATTGAAGGGCGTGCTGTATATGGCAAAGAAGTTTTCTAATGCGCTCGGCAGGTCTCTAATGTGCTTGGTCTCGTACGTCTGCGTGTTTTGATCGTATGTAAGGCAGCATAATAGCACAAGCATGCCTGTCTCAGCGCAGTCACTATATGTTTGGAATAGCCGATTTCTATTTGCATTTGTATCTATTGCAGGCAGCTGTATGCGCATGTTAATGGGCAGCTCCTCTGCATCGAGAAATGGGCATACTTTATACTTTTCAATTGTACTTTGCAGAATTTGCACTGTGTTAATGGGTCTTCCTGCTTCAAAAGAAATATCCACTGGTGCAAAGCACTTTGCAAATACAGCTTCTGCTATCCTGTTTTCTTCTTTAGTGCCTGCTTTTTTGTCATATGATATCTGGTCACACAGCAATGCTTCCGCAGCTCTAATTAGATTAAATGCATCTTCCACCTCATGTATAACTTCAAATATGTATGTTTGCACTAGAAATTGCATTCCATACAGAAATGTTCCTGTCTCCAGCTGCTCCAGACTGTCTGGCAGAGTGAACTCTTTGTATTCTTTCTGGCGCGCCATGTCCACGTTCTTTGTAAAGAATCTTACTATTTCGGCAGCCTCACTTTGATAGCTGTACTCAACTATTCCTTTCTCCATGTTGTACTTTTCAATTGTCATGTTAATTCTGAAATACGTCTTGCTCCCGCTCTTGTTTTTTAGAACGAGCATTCTGTGTGTATCTACTTTCTCCAGCTGCAGCTGCACATCTACGCCCTCTGCCAAAAGACATAAGGCAGCCAGGATATATGGAGCATGCTGTTTTACAGACTCATGGCGAATTAGCCTTATGAAGCTGTCTTCTCTTCCCGTCTCAATTGACAGAGTCCCATGAGTTGATGGAAACATCAGAATAATTCTCTTGTGATATTCACTAAGATATTTTTCTTTTTTTGTGCTGCTATTTGTCTGGTATGCTTTGTCCTTGACTAGTTCTCTTTTGAAAATATACATGTTCCCGTTTACATCCTTTTTTTCATTTGCTGTTAGTTCATAACTAACTTTGATTCCAGGAGAAAAAAATCGCATATTATTCATAAGCCCCAGCCTCTTGTATATATAGCCCCTGAGAAGGTTAAGGGGCCCGTTCGGGTTAATAATTACAACACCACCAAATCCGCTGTACACACCTCTGCTTTGGATAGACTTCAAGTCAGACAGGCTAAGCTTTGCCATGGTGCAGCAAATATGCATCAGTACTGCTACAACAGATCCAGCCCTCATATAGAATAAAAAAATTGATGCTAAAATCACAAAAGTGCAAAATCCTGACTTTCTAAATGAAGTGTGTATATGTGAAATTCAATGAGAATAGAATGTTTATCCGGTGCGGTTTTTGCAAATATTTCAGCATTCTTCTTATAACGTGTTTTCCTAATGAAAAACCTTAAGCTTAGTATTTATTTGAAAACACAGCTCTTTAAATAACCTGTCTGTAATTCTATTTTCAAAGATCACCTCAAATGAAAAACCCAATTGATTTTTTGGTGCACCAATAAGCACTATTGCTTGGTGTTACTAAAGCTAAGTTTTCTTTCTTGAAGTATTAGGCTTGGTCCTACTAAATTAAATAAAATTTATTTCCTATGCTCTATTCTAAATCTTCTCCTAGGTGATATTATATCTAGACAAAAGCTTCCAGGAACTTCCAGAAAGCGTCTTTATATTCTTATTTGTAGATGATTAATTATTCGCTCAAGAACGAATAAAAGATCAAGGAAATAAGACATCCAAAATGGCTTGCGGATAAACAAGCTTACCCCTCGTATTGTGTTGGCTTACAGCCAAAACTAAAAGGAGTGAACAACACAATTCTACATTGAAGAGCTGGAAAGAAGGTTTCACCCCACAAGGTAGAGAAACCAACACCTATCAACAACCAACAGAGCGTTCGGCCAGTATAGAATCTAGCTTAGTTTTTGGCATAGAGCCTATAAATAGCTTAACTTCTAATAAGCACATTCTAGAGTTCTTTTTTTTTACTAGGATTGCCCGTAGCTGGATTAGTTTCATTTGTATTTCTTTCAGCGTCACATATAAGTTGAGACCATTCATCATCTGCATCTTTGCTATAATGCACTACATTCGCATCTTCATTTTCATAGCCCAGTTTTCTTTTAGTAGTTTTAAATAAGTCTGTGAATTTTGTATATATACGCGAAAAAACTCCGGGGGAATTATCTTGAGTTCTGAATGTATGTAATGACTCCAAGGAACTGAACCCGTTTGGGTTGTTTATTTCGTGCATTGCTTGAATGTAATAAATGTGTAGTAGTACCAGGATAAATCCACAATTCATGTATAAATATAAAAATAATTCTCTATTTATCTTAAATTTTCAATCTAAATCATAAAATCTATCTATCAGTATCAAGAGTGTTTCTTCCAGAATTTTCTTTTTTTTGCAAAAATCCCAAATAAAGTTATAGCAATAGAAAAGACTTTTCATGTAAAGAGGCCTGGTGTATAAGCATAATTTTGGTTGTTGGCTTTTTCTGCCTTTTGGGTGAAACCCTCTTTCTGGGCAAGCAATGTAGATTAGTGTTGTATATTGACTTATGGGGATTTTAGCTGTTAACCAAGATTCTACAAGAAGCTCTACTTGTTTATGCGTTGAGTTTGTAGTAATCATACTTCGGGTTATAATAATGTTTTCTCGATAATTACTCTATCTATTTTATACTACTATCTCCTCGCTGAAATGTTTTCTTCTTTTTAGCATGTCACTAATAAAATTCTGGAAGAGACACAAAATTCAAGACAAACTCAGAGCAAGAGAATTTTTCATGAATATTCCTACCACAATAATAAAAGTTCTTCATTTAATGTTTAGAATACATTGGACTGATATTTCCAAAATCTGAATCTTCTGTCTTTGTATCATGTTAAATTGCATTTTGAACTTTCTGCTTTAATTTCTTCTATTTTTTATTCTGTTTTTTGTATTCTCTTCATGCAAAATCCTTTCACTATGCAAATTTATATTTAGCAGAAATATATCTTTTTTTCAGACAAGGCATAGGAAAATAGGAAAATCTGCAAATTTTAAAGAACCCATCAACAACAAGTAAAGGCATCTAGCATAACATTTATGCGTGCAATAAAACAGCCCGAAATCAATAAGATACGCGAATCCAGATATAACCAGAGAATGCGGCTTTAGCTTGCATAGAAAGTTAAAGATAGAAAATTAAAGATATAACCCAGAAAATAGAACATAATGAGAGTATTATTTGGAATATGACACTGATAAATATACCATAAGAGCAAATGGCTTTAAAAGCTTACAGTTTAGATACTCTAGTGGGCTCTTATATATTTTTTGCAGATGTCTTTCATCTATATAGTATACAGAATTAAAAGTAAATAGAAAGTTTATTTTCGAGCAGGAGAAGAAGTCTTACTCTATACACCTCCTGCTTGAGAAGGCCGCGTGTTGGTCTATTTTACTATCTCTAGTGCAGATGCCTTTGATCTGCCTAGCTTACACATCTGCAGCCTGTTGCAGAATCGTAGGGCGGTAATTGTTTCGTCAATTGATGACCCAGGGTCCACATTAATTATAAAGGCAGTTTTAGCGCCTGCTCCGAGGGTGCTTTTCAGCAAAGACGTGAGCGTTGAGTTTCGATATGGGATATGAGCTGTGTTGTTGGAGATAGCATGCACCACATCGCCAAGAGCTGTTAGACTTTTGTTGATCTCAACAGCCTCCTTCATTCGCTCACCCTCCGCCTTTGAGTGGTTTAGCCTCTCTGACCCAGCCAGATCAACAATGCACAGACTCCCATCAATGTACTCTACACGAGAGTTTACCTCTCTCTGCAGATGCACACTAATTCTGAGTATTAAATGGCTTCTGCTGCTCCTCTGATTGCACGCAGTGCTGCTGATCCTTCTGTCGCTAGAGACTTTCTTAAAGACCTCCTCAATTTTATCTATTCCCTGCTGCTCCACAGACTTTATCACTTTGTCATTGTACAGTTCAACCCCGGAGACTTTAACTATGTGCGTGTACCCAAGCAGCTCCATTCTTTCCAGCTCCATTCTGAGAACATCAGTGCTTCTATAGACTACTCCTTTTCCAGCGCATGGCTCGCACATACACTGCGCAGTAAACCCAGCGTAGGCCACGCACGAAGAGCGGCTCCTACGGCTGCTTTCTGCAGTGACGCACTCTGCATCAGAAGCCCCTTCCATGGTGTATGTTTTGCCGCTTCCAGTGGGGCCATATGCCAGAATGCTTACCTTAAACCCCTTTGTAACAGAATGCACAAGATCTTCAATCTCAGAGAACACTTCTTTCTGTGTGGTCTTTGGAGGGAGCACTCGGGTGCACTGGCTAGCAAATGACCTCTGCGGAACTTCAATTGTGTCTTCAGTAAACAAAACCTGCTCCTTTGAGGAAAATGGTTTGATTCGGGTCACAACTCTAATTGCACCCTTCAGCTCCAGTATGTCAACAAGCTGCGCCTTTATCTTTGCCTCAGCCCATTCTTTGTACCGCCCATGCTCTTTCTTTGCCTTTTCCAGTTGCTGCTTTAATTCCTCAATTTCATGCTGTGCTGCGTTGTTGCTTGCTAGGATGTTTTCTGCAGTGCTTTTTGCCCCTAGAGCATTTTCATTTATATTTTCATTTCTTCGTAAATTGCAGCGCAAGTTTTCTCTTTCTTTTTCCCATGCAAGTGCTCTTTCCTTAAGAACACGGACCTCGTTACGAAGCATTTCTATCTCCTGGTTGGTGTCTTTCTTCAGAATTTCAGAGACGTTGTTCCTTATTGCGTATTTTAAGTTGGAGGTGTTCTCTTCCATGTTTGACAGAATGTTCGAGAGTCTGTCTGTGTTGAATGCCATGCAGGATGTGTCGATAAAAATAAAGCAGAATAAAAAGACACAGGCGACGGGACTCGAACCCGCAATCTTCTGATCCGAAGTCAGACGCGTTACCATTACGCCACGCCTGTTAATTATCATACGGCCCCAGCTGTCAACATTAAATAGGATGTGTCCATCAAATAGCTTGCGCACGGGCTGCGCACTATTATATGCAAATGGGTAAAAATATAAAATATGCAGTATGCGGATGCATGCAATGGCAAGAGTGCAGTATTCTGGCCAATTACTGAGCATGCATCTATTCAATAGGCTTTATGCATTAAGAAGGCTTTTTTATTATAACCCAAAATACTCTAAATTTAAAATAAATTATGTAGTTCTTTATGCATTCCTTCAGAGTACTGTCCTGGGGTGTTTTATAAAATTTAAATTTCTTAAGAAGCACCAGAAATTAGAGCTAGTAAATTATTTGCTGCCAAGAATTTATTTATTCCTTCAAACCTCTACAAAATGGGTGCTTAGCATTTCTGTAGCTCAAATTTTAATTTCTCACTTCCATGCAAAAATAGTTGAGCTCCCATACTACATCAGTATAAAAGTAAGACTTAAAATTTAAAAAAGAGATTTGCTTCTTACTGCCTTGCGTTATAGAATTACTTAGTAACTTCTTCTGGGGATGCTACTTTTGGCTGTGTGATATGCCAAATTTAAGAATTTAAATTAATAGTTTCCATTAAGAAATTTTTAATATAAAAATGCAATTAAGCACAAAAATAACATTAAAATAAACAATTTTTACAAATTTTTAAATGAAGATAAAAACAAAAAGAGAGAAACAGATTATAAAAATAGTAATATTATGGATTGTGTGCTGTGGAAGGACAGACAGCAGCCCCTTTGCAGAGTTTTGGAGAAACGCGAATGATTACAGCAGTAAGACAATATGCGATTTTGAGAACCTTGCTAAAAACACAAATGGAAACAGCAATGCATATGTATTGGATGTGAATATGTGGGATCATGTAGAGAAGTATCTGGATTGCCCGAATGAAAATCCTGCGTATAGAATACACCCAAATATATTTATTACGGTAAGCATGGAAGATGATAAAGAGGTGAATGTAGGCCCATTGCAGCTAGAAAAAGTTATTAGAAAAATAATGGTGCAGAGAGCAAAAGCAGTGCACTTTTATAAATTGACACTTGGAGCGGACAAGGAAGGCGTGCGCTCGTATGCATATGATACTCTATACAAGAAAATAACAAAAAGCCTGAATGATGAGGCCAAAGAAGAAGAAGAGGCAATTAGAGAATGGAGAAATCTTATGATGGTAAGAAAATTGTATGCAGATAGACTTAATGCAAAGACTGAGCAATTCAAGAGACTTTTAGTATGTGACTATAAATGTCGAAGTGACAGAGAGGTATCCAAGGTTGACAAAAAGTATAATGATTTGTATGCTACGAAGGCATGGAGCATTGTAATACAGAATAAGAAATTGCTCCCAAAAACAAACCAAATATTCTCAAAGAGTGTGGAGGAGGCAAGAAATATATTAAGGATTGAACATATTGCTAAAGAGAAAGAAAAAAGGCAGAAAAGAAGAGAGGAAACACCGCTGCTCAAGAGGTTGTTCATATATATGTGCAAGAAAAGACTAAAGAATAAAGATTCGAATGCAGAACAGCCTGCTGAGAGCGAGAACAATATTTATTGGACACCAGTTCCAGTAAACAACAGAAGTATGCTAATAGAAGTAGAAAATGAAAATGAAAAAATAAGTAAAGTTGGTAATCTTGAGAGACCAGAAGGGGATATATTATCTAGGGTGTTTATGAAGTCAGTGGTCCATGAAAAGACACTTGATAACATAGGACCACATGAGGAGCCGCTTTTGATAAGAAATGTCTCCGATGGCGAAACCATGGGAAATGATATGAATATGCTATATAATGCCAAAGAGGGTTGCTTGCACCATACATGCATAGATATAGTTGACAGAGCATATGGACAAATGTTAGAAAATAATTCGTGTATGTCTAAGATAGTAGAAAAAATGAGAGAATTGGATGCGGATAGTAGAGTGGTCAAGCTAATACTTCGTACATTTTATCAAGATATTAAGGATTTTGACAGAGTTTCGAAAGATATTCGGGTTATTATTGCTGCACTTAATCCAATACTTACTTCTGAGCGTATGGCAGGCTTTAAAAAATGTAAACTTTTTAAGCTAATTGAGGATCTAATAGTGCTGGAAGTGAAGCATAACCAGTATATGGTGCAGATTCTAGAAAGAGTTAAGTATGTAAGTTCTACCCAGAGTGAAGAGTTGGAAAATGAAATAACCCAAATATTTGAGCCACTCTATGCTGTAGTGGAAAAGATACATGCAAGAAGAATATCTAGTTATTCTGATGCAAAGCAGAAAACTAGTGTTAGTGTGCTAGATATACAAGGGTTGCCTATAGAACAAGAAGCGTCGCTGCCCAAAAAGGATATAACCCAAATTACTTTGTTCATGAAGATAGTGGTGGAATTAAAGAATGATTTTATGAGTATGTACCCAGAGTTTCACATAGATCACATCACCAATAAGAAAGATCCGATGGAGCCTAAAAGAAAAAAGTATTTGCCAATTATGTTTGACGATTCTTTTAGTCAGATACTTAGGCAAAAAGACATAAGTGGACAGATTCCCAGGCCCATTGCTCATATGGGCATTAAAATGCCTGAGTACGAGTCAGTCTACCTGCATACGGATTTTGTCTTTTGGAATTGCTCGGCCGAGGCAATTAGGCTTATTTGTAGTGTGCTGCAAGAATACTATACAACAGTAAATTGCATTAGTCTCAAATACTGCAAAGTAGGGCTTGATGGAAAAGAACTGAGCACTTTGGATATCCTCCACAGAACCAAAAAACTGTTTATTATATCAGATGAAATAGTTAATAATATGAGTAGCATCACAAATACATTCTTAAACCTAGAGGTGGTTGGTGTCAAGGATGGTGTTGTACCCCATGAAAAGCTACCAGGACCGTGGATGCCAGGTCATCTATACGTCAGGGACATTAAAACATACAAAAATATATCCTCTGCTAAAGAAATTATAATAGAGGAAGAAAGTGAAAATGTGCACGTTTCCTCAACAGATGAGGTGTTAGAAGAGAGCTTTTCAGGAATGCCTGATGGATTGGTGCAAGAGGGGAATATAAACCCAGATATGTACACTGAAATCCATTTTAACATATCAGAGATAGACTCCATTAATGAAGAAACTACCTCTTTACAAGAGACTGCCCCTTTACAAGAAACTGCAGACTATGAGGAGCTGCCAAATAGTGTGATTGAAAGCGTTCTTTCAACAATTCAGAAAGAATATCCAAAGAAGTTTGGCCATAATAGAAGCAAAGCTGTTTATAGTGAGATACTAAGTAATATTGCGAATTTGAAAAAAGCAGACGACTCTAGAAGAAACACCATAAAGAACAAAAGAAAAAATATTGAAAAATATGCCCTGGACAATTTAGATTCCAAACAAGCTTTAAAGTATCTAAATGACCTATTAAAGCTTTTAGTTGAAATAGTTACTGAATGGGGTGATGAATTTATCTGTTCCGATAGCAAGATAATGGATATGTACAAACTGCGTATGCAGGCATTGAGCTTGATTTACTCAAAGAAAAGCGCAATGAAGTACATGATTCTAGACTATAGCGCATTTAGAGAAAGTCTAAAAAAGATAAATATATGCAGGATTGGAAAGAACTACACGAAAATGCAAGTGGACATGGGCCCTGCTATAAAAAACCAAACTGATGAATGCAGCAAGAAGGAAGAGAAATGCATGGATGATTTAATGAATATCTTAAATAGCTGGATACACATCCATAAACTAAAGGCAGAGGTTAAAGTAGAGGTTTACAATTCGATTAAAGGCGGAATAGAGAAACTGCAACGCATAAAAAAGCGTGTAGATCTAAAAAAGAAAAAAATAACACCCTCTAGTGAAGAAGGTGATGTTTACCCAACATCTAGTGTACAAAAAGAAGCAGTCTTCATAGATTTCCAAGTTGAATTTATTGACTACCATTTGAAGGTTCTAAATATAGTGCATGATTATTACAGCAATGACCGCATAATTAGTCAATTGAAGTCTAGAAACCGAGATAATAGTTCGATTAAGGCTCGTGGTCTCACAATAGAGTTTTTGTTCCCAAGAGAGAAAGATATAACACAGGATTTCCTGCTCCAGCTCCATAATATGCTGGCATCTACTGTTAAGGAGAATTTGGATGAGTTACATTTGATTATTACAGTAAATGAAGTAGAAGACCCAGAAAACTACAAAGAATATCTAAAAGAAATAGCCACTTTCTTTGAGAATAATAATCAGTGCAGGGAAAAAGAATATTTCCCGAATATATACATGTTTATAAATGCAGTAGATATAGATTTGTGCTACCAAGTCATGCAGGGCAGCAGAATGGAAATTAAGAATGAAAGCATGGGTATAATAGAAAACGTGGCAAATAGCTTTTCAAAAATTAGAAAGCTGAAAGACCAGAGCTGGGCAGTGCCCAGAGTGATCATTCGGAATAGCACGCTTAGAAAGTATCTTTATGGGCGGCTAATTGCAGGAGAGGCAGACACGTACAAAGTAGACAAAAAGCCGAGCCTAAGGCAGATTTATATGAGGCTGCTTGCTCTGAATGGAGTAAAGCTTCCTCTGCAGGCTGTGCAGGAGGACCAGATTGAGGGTTCGTACAAGTGCACTGTATGCCAGGAAAAACTGTTAAACGACTCGTCTGAAATGTCCACCCAGCAGGTAGAGAATCTTAAAATTGCGCTGCAGAGGCTAAACAAGTACTTGCCGAACAGCCCCGAAAGACGGGCCTCTAAGAAACTAGCTGAAAAGAAGATAGACCAAGCAAAGGAGTACGCAGCAGTAGTAATTGATATCCAGAATGTTTTGCAAAGAATAGAGCAAAATGATTTCGTCAATATACTGAATCTGGCGAGGGAAATAGTAGAAAGTGAAGGTAGTAGTGCTATAGTAAAAAAGCTAAATCGCGAGTTAGAAGAAGAAACACCGGGAATTGATTCTTATAATAGAGCATTAAAACGAATTAGAGATAAAGAAAATAGGCTGTACTCCAGAAGAGAAAACTACACAATGAAGCTTTCAAATACCCAGGATTCATTAGACAGCGCAATGCTCAAGAACATAGAGCTTTCTGTTGATGAAAAGTGGGAAATAGCATGGCTTCTTTCTGATGTGCTGGATAGGAAGCACTTGAAGAACTGGCAGCATTACACTGAGGAGCAAGTAAACTACATTCTACGAGAGAAGGCATTGGTACATGTGAAGGAGGTGCTCAGCTGTCATGATATGAATAGACAGCTGCCTAGCTTGGAGAGCTGGATTGGGGAGCTGCCTGACATAGGAAGCGATGTTGCGTTCTTTGCCGTACGAAAGCTGCTGCAGTTTATTGAAGAAGCAGAAAATGGAAGCGTGCTGTACCCATATAGCATTGATCAGAAGAATGCACTCTTTGCAGATGTGTTTGTACATCCGCTAAATAAGGTTGTGCAAGATGTTTTGAAGAACTGTCCAGAGGAAAGAGAAGCATGTATGCTCAGCATATCTTCAGTAGACACAGATAAAAGCAAGTACAGAATACTCATGATAAATCTATACATTAACTGGGTAAGCAACATTGTATCTGGGAAATACCCAATAGAGAATAGAAACACGGATATGTGCATTTTTGACATCCGCAAAAGCACGGAATCTGTGTACCCAGCAGTTATTATAGCAGTTATCAAATGGGCAGAAAAGCAGCATCTTAAGGATATACTGCGGCTTGCAGATAGTGAGAAGCTGATTGTGCCCTCTATTGATGACATAGACAAGAAAAATAAGGAATTTAAAAACCTGATTCCTGATATATTCACAAAAGAGCTGCTCAATTCAACAGACATGCTAGAGTATCCACTTAGTCTGTTGATGCCAAGAGTTAATAATTCTGAACAGCAGATAGAAAATGCAGTTTGCACAAACACCCCTGCCAATCGCACACGTCTGCCAATTATTTGTCACAACAGAATCAATCAGAAAGTGCTGGAAGCTGTATCTTCTGATGAGGTTTCTAGAAATCTTGGTTCTACACAGGCTAGTGTAGCTATTCAAGAAGATATCCCCATTTTAGAAGAAGAGGAGGCGGAATTACATGAACTCTATGAAGAACCCATGTCTATTGACAACCCAGTGAATACGATGTCCGAAGAGATGCTGAATATTCTAAAACAGCTAGAATCGTATCTAAATACTCCCACTCCAAAAATAGAAGATATATATGATAAAGGTGTTTATTACGAAATTGCTCCTGAATCCATACCCAGACATCTAACTGCTATAGATATGCTAATGAAGAGAATTATCAGGACATTTGAGAATGTGCAATCGTATGAAGATATTATTGCAAAAAGGATGCAACTTGAATATATCGATCTCATATACTATAACAACAGAGCTATAGAGCTTTTGCATAAGATGTACGATGCTATTAAAAACAATGATTCTAAAGCACTGAATGAGTGCATCCTTGGAAACTACAAGGAAATCTACCAAATAGACATTAACGTAAACACTCAAATATATAATCTGAAGATGCCCTTATACAAACTAATGAATACTTGCGTAAAGAAGCACAAGTTATCGAGGTTATACAAGAGGCTGCGGGATGAAAAGATAGTCTTTAAACTTGCAAAGACACTGCAAGAAGGGAGTGATAATGCATGGAAAATAGCCTGCGAGAAAGTGCTTAATAAAAAGCAGGCACAAAAGAAAGAAAAGCCTGCTGAGAGCCCACAGGAGGATCCTTGTACTACTTCGAAAAAGACATATACATTATACAGAAATTCACTGAATGAAAAAGACACAGAAAAATGGATGGAAAATTGTCATGGGGAAGTGCAAGACATTATCGATAATATTCTTGAGAAGGATATTGCAGATGGAGGGCTTCAAAGCACATCAGGATTTGGAGAGAAGAAAATAGGCAAGGATAGGGAGAAAACCTCGCATGGAACAAAGCTGCTTGTTATTCTTCCATGCAGCCATATTTTCTGCTATATGTGTGCAGTGCATGGCCAAACCAATATGACAATGGCTATGCATAATAACGATGTAATACATAATACTCGTAGATATCCATCTCTAAAGAAGAATGCTGCCTGCCCACTCTGCAAGGTAACTACAAAATATCCACAGCACATGGCTATACTAGAGGATGACTATGACCTAGCAGTAAAAAATAAGCAGAAGTATGTACTCTGGAATGGAGTGCACAAATATACTGGCCACATGCCTGTAGAGGAAATGGATGAAGAGACGCTCAGATCTAAAAAAGTCGAGTATATGATTCGTAAACGAATGTTTGTCTATGTGGACGGAAGGCAGCTCTCAGAGAACAGTAAAAAGAGAAAAGACATTGCATCTCAAAAAATCAAAATCGAGATCTTCCTATACAATAGACCGGCTGCTACTAAATCAAACTTAAATTTCAACTATGATGATTATCCATTGGAAATCAGCACAGATAGAAGCAATAGAGATCAGGAGGCTCTTATGCAGTTGCTGGATAAAGAAATAGAAGATGAGCAGGAAGTGCCACCCTTTGATCCTAGCAGTAAATATGCACGCAATGAATGGTTTAAACTTTTAGTTTCCAGGTTCAAGTGGAAGGGGAGAGAAAAGAATGACTTGGTTTTAATAGAGATACCAACATACAGCAATATTCCACCAGTTGAAGTTATACCATATAACCTCAAAAAACCAGAATATGCCATAGAAGATGGAATAGTTCCAAAAGTGGCGCCTTTAAAGGAAAATGGAAGCTCAAAGATTCCCTCGCTTATTACCTTGTTAATGGAAAGATCGCGAGAAGATACTAATGAAGAGAGCTGTGAAATAAGTAGTAGTTATAGTTATGGGGGCCAAGAAAGCTCCTGTGACTCAGAACACGAGAGAAGAAAGGAGGAGGAGGAAAAAGCATACGAAGATAAGCAGGCGCTCATCTTTAAAAATCTGCGCTTTGAAGACTGCAGCACGGACTCACTAATAGGCCCAGATGAAGAAGTGAAAGAGTACTTGCATATCCTGGGAAGTACACAAAGTGAGAAAATTCAGACAGATAAAGAAAGCGAGAGGAATTCTGCCCTAAATGAAGAGAAGAAACCGCATGTATTGGATGATATACTTCTGTACACGCTGGGAGAGTACGTACAGAGAAAATATAATAATTCATTTGTTGAACTAGAAGAATTATATATGAGCATAGCAGAAACACTTGCTAAGATATCTTACATAATGCATGATATTACAATTTTTGACATTTTCAGTGCATGCAATTCAAATGATAAAGAGGGCCAAGCGCTTAGTGAAAGAAACAAAAAAATAGAAGAATTCCTAAATGGTCAGATAAGTTTCCTTAAAAGACAGAATAACTTTTACTTGTTTTACTCTCTATTCAATTGCCCTCGACCTAATGTGGATTACACAGAGATAAACAAGAAGATTGGTTTGGACAAATACAGGAGTGAAAAGCACGAAGCAAGTTTAAAGAAACATAAATATTTAAATTTGCACAGAAATAGTATAGTAGAGAAAATCAAGGAAATCAAGAAAATCAAGGAAATCAAGAAAATCAAGAAAATCAAGAAAATCAAGGAAAAATTAGGAGAAAACAATCTAGATGTGAATGAAATTCTATTTTCAGATGCTTTCATTTATGAAGATAATATAGATGATGTTTATAAAACTAACCCGCCCAGTTTATGGTCAAAAGTAGTCGTAATGTCTAAGCACAGCGACAAAGTAGCATCAGACAAAGTCATATTATCAGACAGCGGAGAAAAAAATAGAAATATTGAATTGTTAGTAATAGATGATAGCAATCTTATAAATATGAATGAAGACAGGATAGAATTACTTAAACGTAACATTAATATCTACCATTTCACAAATTCTTCTATCCCAAGAATATTCAAATCTTCTAATATATTTGAAAGTCACGTTTTAAATAGAATGCTTTGTCTTCTAACCCGTTTGGGTAATCCCAACACTAAAGAAGAACACACAGATCCAAACATGTCAAATGTAGAGGAGAACACTAGCCTCATAACGCTATTAGAATCTAATATGAGTGATGAAGATATAACCAAAATCTTTCAAATATTGAATGAAACTAAACAAGATGCAGATATTGGCAAACATCTGAATTTGCAAATTAGAGCGATAATAACATCTAATGCAAGAAGCAAATTGGTTTTATATGGACGTAATCTTGTAAGATTTGTCAATAATGAATGTTTGCTGGAGATAAATACCCTCAAAAGATATACTGGTATAGCGAAAAAGGCGCTTGAAGAGATCAAAGATACTAATATGGTTTCCGAAAAAACTAAGAGAGAATACCGCACTGTATTTTCTTTACTTGAAAAGCAAACATGCATTCTAGAAGACAAAGATTTTTCTTCTTCGCTGGAAAATTTTAAATCAGTAATGCATCTTATAGATGTTGCAACTAGTCGGATAAAAGAGCTTGAAGATGATTGGAATGATATAATTACATCGACCCCTCTCTGGATTAGGAAAGATGTGAAAACATACATACTAAAGACGCGCTAACTATTTGATTGAATCATCCAGAACATGTAGTATAAAAATAGTAAGCATATCCTGCCCTGCTATAATTGACTCTTGTTCTTTCTTTTGCACGATTTTAACAAGAATGCACTAATGCATTTTTGCCCAAATCCAGCAGCTTTAACAAATCTGCACCCACCCGCATTCAGCCCTATATGACTGCACAGAGCTAGGCCTAGTTCTGCAGAAATACTTATATTTAATTTGTTTACCATAGAGTAGTTTAAGTGCACTTCAATGCATTTTAAATAATCTATTCAACAGTATATGTAAGTACATGTCTTTCTATGAGTATGTTTATCCTATTCATGCAATCTACTGCTAGCATGCTAACTACTGATATATTTACGAATAAATCAATATTAAAAATGTTTCTACCATAAGCACACGCTTTATTGTACCTTTCACTGCCTTAAGTCTGCTATATGCACATGTAGTGCTATAAATACACCACTACTTGCAGTTCAATACGGCTGGAATAATCGACAATGGATACAAAATAAATAGGATTTATTTCTTTGGAGCTAACTTGTACTAAGCAAGCCAGCAGATCTACTATGCAAACAACTACATATAATCGAAATATCCCAAAAAGAAAATAATGCATTCTATGCAGACTTTTCTATTAATAATTGCACTATCCAAACAATATATTCACTGCATTCCTGAAGAGCCTATCCAGAGATGACTCAGGAGGCGGCGAAGCTATATTGCGCATAGCATCATAATACGAAACTCTCTTTTCTTTAAAAAGAGAAAATGCAACTTCTTTTCCTCCCATAATTATTGGAAGCACCTCAAGCAGGCCGTATTCTACCTGCACGACAAATGTGAGAGCCAGCCCAGTGGCTACACTAAGGCATGTTATCCCCAGGACAGAAATATCTGCAGCAATCCACTTATCACTTTTTAGCTGCGTAGGCATCTTCTCGTATGCACATCCTATATAGAAAAATATGCTTGAGAACATTCCAATGTTGCACCCCATAAAAATGCCGAGTAACTCAGGGCTTCCAAGAACATACGAAAAAGGGACTAAAAACGAGGCTGTTATGCTTAGTACATAGCACATGTACTTCACTAAGTTAGATATACTGTACTTTCTTCCATACACATATCTTCTGACTTTTGTAAAATATGTTAATAAAATGCCCAGCACAGAGACTCCACCAAGTATACTGTACGCAACTTTAATTATTTGCAGATAGTCAGTTAGATCACTTGCCCTCCAAAAGATATCACAGAAGTACACAAGCATGGCGAGGCATATTCCAGAACTAATAATATTAAATGCAAGTATTACAGATTTTGTTTCAAGACCCACCCGAATCACTGCAGCCCTAAGAATACCGCACGTGCCAATTATTATTGGGAATATTGTAAAAAAAAGAGAGCCATCATTAATTAGTATGGCGGCTTGTGCACAGCACACACCAACTGCAGATACAATTGGAAACCACAGCCACTTACTTGCAGTTAGCCTATTCTGCAGGAAGTCATGCAGGGACTGCTTCTCTCTGCTCCCGGGAGCACCAATAATATCGAACACCTCTCGGTTCATTGCGGCTGATGGGTCTGCATTCATGCTAAGCCCCGTGAAGTGCACCTTGCAGCACGGATGCACATACTTTTCTATCAGAATGCTTGCCTCGTTAAGAAGACACGGGTCAATGATCATGTTTATCTCTTGTGCATTGCAAAAGTCGCACGCATCTTTGTATGTCATTTGATCTGTGCGGTATACTACGCTGTCTGCATCTTCGTACCCTATTTCAACTATGCACACATTTCTTCTTTCTTCCACATAGTCGTTTGACGAGTAAACCATTCGCATTGGAATGGTCTTTTCCTTCAGTATGTGTAGGAGTGGGTGCAGATCCATTAGCAGCCTGCTTTCTTTTGATGCATGGTTAGAGTCGTGCACGCTCATGCACTGGTGTATTCTGCTGTATATGCCTCCGCTGTATTTCCAGGAGTATGCATTCTTTTCTGTGTTTTCGTTGTCTGGAACTATAAGCTGCGCATCCGCATAGTATCCGTACTCTAGGAAAGAAGTATTCAGTTTATCCAATTTAGCGCATATTGCAAAAATATCCTCTTGGCTTGTTATGCTAGAAATAAACCCGTGCAGCTGGTAGAAAAGTACTTTTGTCCTCCAGTCTGACTCTGCTGCATTTCCTGAGCTTAGAATCAGATGAACATTCAAAATGTCATAGAAATGGTTTAAAAATTCATCCATGGTTAGCCAGCAGGGCTCTTTGTCGTTGTACAGTCTGTACATAATTGCTAAAACATCATCCAGCCTATCATCATCCAAGATTTCGTCCATCTGCAAAAGAGACAGAAATCCTCTGTCCATGGCCATGCATAGTCTATTCTCACTCCATACGTCTGTTTTGTAGCTTCTTATGATATCTATAAAGTTCTTTGTTTTTCGTCTGTAATCTACTTTCGCACAGGAGTAGTTGTATATTAGCAGGCTTCTTAGTTTTTTCTCTATCTCAGGCAAGGCTGCATCTATCTCCTTAACTGACTTGCCGTAGAATATATCCACAACTTCATTCAGCAAGAAAGCCTTGCTTCTTTGAAGAGAGAGCAAGTGCCTGTTCTTGTAGAGCAGATGGTGCTGTTTCGTTAATTTTCTGGGAACTTTTCTTTTTGGTGGTTTCTGATCATATTTCTGGCTGAATACCCTCTCTTTCAGCTTTTCTGTATGTTCTCTAACTATTCTTAGAAGGTTTTCTGCAGTTCTGACTTTTACCATTTTCTCCTCAAGAAGCTTGTTCTTTTCATCCATTTCTTCGTTGAGCAAGTCTCTAATAGTCTGCACCTCTTGGTAGACTTCTTCTATTCTTCTGGCGTCTGAGTAAGCAGTTCCATGGGAAGGAGCCTCAGAAGCAAGTGCACCCGATCCTTCCCTAGCAATTATTCCTGCGTACCATGTTTCTATGGTTTTTCTTTTTTTCTGCTCTTCTTCTATATCTGAAATGACTTTTGCTAGTTCCTGCAGCTTATTTATGTGCTGTGTGATTCGGGTGTCATTTTGGGTCATTTTTTCCTTTAGGTCCTGAAGGCCACTTGATACAGTGATTATCCTTTTATTTTTACGCGGCATGTCAATGTCTTCTCTGTGCTTTGCAAGTTTTCCATTCACTGCGAGCATCTTCATTCTGTTACGCTCAAGCTGTTTGGATATTTGGTCAATGTCTGTTCGTGCTATAACTTCATCGCTTATGTAGCCGTGCACTATAGTACTGCGGTCTTCTGGGCCTGCATAGTCAAGCACCTGCTGTGCAGATAGCACTGTAGATATACCAAGTACAAACATTATCTTCATACGCATGCGCATTTTCTGTACCAGAAAAGACTCTACTTAAATAGTCTTATCCGCTAATTAGAATATTAATTTACCGAATACTAAATATATATACCCAAATTCAGCCTGATATCAGTATCTGTTTAAAGCCCTTTATAATTTTGCAATTACGTGGTTTAAATCGTGAAACCACTCTTTTTCAAACTGCTATTTTTATAATGAGTTTATTTTGATGTTTGTCGTAGAGGATTTTTATGAAAATATGTTTGAACCCGAAAAACAGCTTAATAGAGAGACCAATCACACATTAATGGAGAAGTTAATTAAATGCAAATATGCACGTATATGAGTGCAAGTGGGTGATTTGCTTTTTATTCTAAATTTCCCTGTATTTATGTGTAACTTTAGTGTATAATAATCTGTAAGTTACAATGTTGTCTTCTGTGAATTCAAGATGCATTAATCCAAAATGAAATAACTCTCAAGTGCACCTGACTAGCATATGGTAATTTGCAGAAAGAATCTCTTTAAAATAAAAAAGAATAGAATAAGTCCTATAAAAAGTGCAGTTAAGAAAGCTACATTCCTTAATGTATCCTAAGCACATCCATTGCGCATACCAATAGAATAACTCGCTTTCTGTGTGCTGCATACAAGATATCTGATAAAACCCAAGAAAAGTGATTTTTGCTGTTTTATTAACTAGAATTACTGTAGGTAGTAGAACTTGTCTGTTTCAGCTGGAGCAGAGCCATCTTTGTGCTCTGGCCCGGATGCAGCAAACTCATCCTGCTTGTAGCCTGGTGAGTCTGTTTGTGTAAAGTTGACCAGTGAAATGCCAGAATGTGACTCCTCTGCAATTAGGGTTTTCCAATGCTCGTAGGTCTCTTTGATAATTTCAATGGCCTCCTGTGCAGTGTAGTACTTCTCGTCATTTGCAAACTCGTTCTTGCTTCCTGAGTTTCCTTCTTTGTCTGCTACTTTGTAGTTCCTGAACCACTCTCTTGTCTGGTCAAGCAGGCCTGGCTTATACTTGTCAACATCCTCTAATGAGCTGATCTTTCCAAACATCTCATCTTCTGTGTTTATAACCAGGATCTTCCAGTCGCACTCACCCCCATCTATCATGGCAATGGCTCCTAGTACTTTTGCTTTGTAGACCTCGCCAGAGCCAATAATCCTGTCTCCTATCTCAATAGCATCAATTGGGTCATTGTCTCCTTTGATTCCGGTTCTGCTGTCTGGCACCTCTGTGCTCTCCCATGTCTGTGGGATTGCACCGTAGTTCCAGATGTACCCCTTCATTGGATACATGTTCTTCACAAACCTGACATTTCCATTCTTTACATCCTGCTTAATTGGGTTGCACTCGAGCTCCTTGTTTATCTCCTTCTTTGCATTGCTGAACCTGGGAATCTCATTGACAACATTCACCAGCTTAAACCCATCCTCTGACACAGGAATATCATGGAAGGGGGAAATTATCCTGTCCCCCTTCGTTATATATGTTGTGTGCTCTAAGGTATACTCTGCGCCAAACTTCCTTACTCCGTACATTTTACATAAAATAATTCAGATTTTTTATTTAACAGCAGTAGAAGAACTTAAAACCCTTCTGATACGATGTCTCCTTTTGGTGTTTTATGATGTAGTTGCCTATTTCCTCAAACGTTTCTTTGATGTTTTTTTGCGTAAGGGCGGAGCACTCTGAGAAATAGCTTGCCCCGATCTTCTGTGCAAGCTCCTTGCCTTCCTCTGTGCTTACATACTTCTCTGTCTGCGAGGGAGATGCATTGTCTCGTATATCTGACTTTAGACCAATTAAAAAGTACGGAACGTTCTTACAAAGATTCTGTATTTCTGTAAGCCACTTTTCCTCTATATTCCCAAGCCTGTCCTTCTTTTCAATAGAATAGCATATGATGATAAGATTTGCATTGCTGTATGAAAGAGGCCTCAGCGCGTCGTATTCGTCCTGACCTGACGTATCCCATAGAGTAAGCACGACTTCTCCTGCGGTTAGCTCTTCTTTCATGACAAAGTTATCAACGATTGTAGGAACATAATCTTCTGGAAATATGCCTGACTTATACACTTCCAGCATGCATGTTTTCCCACATGCTCCATCCCCGATTACTACAATCTTTGCTCTGTATGTATCCTTCTTATTTGCCATAAAATTTCTCCTGTTTTCTTGAATATACGGGAATCGAATTGACCCACCAATCAGATTTCTTGCCCCACAAAGAAATAAACAAGCGTGAACCAATTAGAAGGTCAAAATAAAGGCATAAAAGTATGCCACTTTATCTACGGGGCTGGCCTTGTGATTTGCAGATCTTCTACTTAAAGGAAAAAACGTACATACAATAATCAAACCTATTTCTAAGAATATGCAAATTATTTATTACAGTATAACCGCGCACTACTTCATTGGCAGCATGCAGGAAGGTTATTAGGAAATGCATCTGCCAAAAATATCTATGCACACCTCAGTCGCTTCAGGCAGGCATGCTACTATGCAGATACTAATGCGCCTTGTGCCCTTCAGAGAATAAGTATTTGAACAGTGCTATGGATTCTTGAGTCTCCGCTTCTGCCTGCAGATTACTCACTGCACCCTCTTAGAACAGCATATAACCCGAATAAATAATTGCATTAATTTGATCTTTTCTATAAAGAAATTTTATGCATAATCTTCTTACATTCCCTCTACACCATATATTTATACCTTTATTGTATTATTGGTGCCACTGAAAAAGACTATTTGGTCCTTTTTACTGCAGGCCCCTGGTAATGCGCCCTGGATTATATGCTCTTGTTATATAAACACTATTCTCTTGTCATCTCATGCATATTTCAATGTGAATACTGTTAGCTAAAAACTCTTATTTATTATGCCTTTTTAAGATTTAAACAGATTTGCTTCATATTTTCATAACTAAGGTCGTCATACTGGTTGATTTGCACAAGCTTAACAGCTGTTTTTAACCTTCCTATGAATTGCTGAAGGTGGAAGGAGTAAAGGAACTTTTCTTTTACATTAAAGCCATCTGGAATTAAGGTAAACAGAAACAAGACCGACCTAGGGCTTCCGTCCTGGTGGTGCGCCTCAAAGTCAAACAGCGCATAGCAGCACCCATACTCCTTCACCTGTGCCTTAAATAGCTCAAACTGCTCCTGCAGGTCATTCTCTTTTTTTAGAGTAAATTTATCTAAGGCTGTTGGGTTGCCTTTCAGCTCCTTTATCTCGTACTTAGATGTGTCTGCACCCTGGAATCTAAAGACCATGTATAATAGCTCCTTTGTTCTTACTCTTTCTATGTTCTCCAATACTGTGTTGAAATTCTCTCCTAGCTCTGCCATTTGTTTGTGAAAAGAAAAAAAGAGTGCTCCTAAATAGTTACAGAAAACAATTGGACTGCAATTTAAGATTTTGTTTCATCGTGTAATATACACTGGAATAGGATAAGACCTGGCTATTGTGCTAGTAACCAATGGTATGCTGTATATTCCCTCTTTTTCCTGCACACACATCCTTATAGAGCTAAGACTGCCTTACCATATCCCGAAAATCCTATACTTTATCTATTCCATAACTAATCTGCTGCTTCTCTTATATAGCTACTTAGTGCTCTATAACAAAAGGTTTTCAACCCGTGCTAAAATAGACCTAACAAATCTTCTTGCAAAAACCCACTCTAAGGGCACCTGCACTTCTTTTTCAAAATCCTGCAATATTTCATATGTATGCAGCCTGGCAGATGCTTTAATGCGTATACAATGAGTATAATGCATTTAAGTGCATAGATAAATTATTTCTTCTGGCTGCATAATTTCTACAGCATACGTGCCTATAGATATATTATATATTTATGTTATATGTGATCTAACAACCATTAAGGCTATTCTGTGGCTCTGATACAATTGTTGTGGCTTTAATTGTACCTACATTAAGTGCTAGATATTTATTCATTTAATGCATTCTCTGTGCCTGCGTCTTTATAAGCTTTATGGGCATATTGCATCTGCACGAAAAAAGAAAGAATTTTCTGCCCAAAAGATGCTTTGTGCTTTTTCTCATAATAAGACGCCTAAGACAAGTGCTTTATGCGCTGGTATTAACAGCACTTCTAATTTATGTAGTAGAATACTTAACAACCAAAATATCTTTAAAATTCATTCCTGTGCAAGCCTATGTTTTTGTAAATACTTCTAATATTCACTTTAGCTGTATTTAAGCACATATTCGCTAACATATGCTAAGATGTTCTAATTCTTTATTTATACTGTCAGATTGCCTCAGTCACATATATATGGCAATCTCCTAATACTTTAGTCTTTTAAGGCCAGAGCGTATGTAACTCTGCATTTCCTAGAATATGCATATATCTCTTATATTTGCATTCCTATTATATATTCCTGTTCCTTTTGCATTACTTAATAATATCTTCTAAGAGGTAGAATACATGTATCTGTTTCTTATACATTTTGTGCTAATTATAACCAGATATTTTAAGTGCTTCATCCATAAATAATCTTCTTTTGTTTTTCTGTTGTTTTTAGTGTATATGCACGTTCTCTCTTCTGTTTTTATTTATTTTACCCAAAAATATAAATACTCTACAAATGTACTCCATGCAATGCAGACTTTTATTTTTCAGAGCCCACCAGATATAAAAGAGAATATATTCCAAGACAAAATATCACCATGTATAATTCCTAAGTAGGAGTAAAATATGCAAAAGTGCTTTAAGTTAGAATCATATTACAACAGGCCCTGATTACAGCCAAGAAATTAGACAGCAAGCAGACCAAACAGTTACATAGTAAATGTATCACAAACACAAAGCTTATTTTCATACATAATTGTATCTAGTATATGCCAAACCCCTATATAAGTATCTTTGCATAATTATTTATAACTTAAGATATTCTTGGCATATGGCACTTTCCTTGAATATATTCATGCTTATTCCTGCCATTTATTTGCAAACTGCATGTGTCAATTTGGATGCGATGATTATTGCATTTTCTTGTTGAACACTGCAGTATATTCTAGTATGTAGCTTAAACTCGCAGTATCTATTGCTGTAGGAATACTATAATTAGTGTTCACACGCAATGATCAGAATATTTCCAAAATCGCTTTCATGCAGTCTTCAAATAAAGCATGAAAATACATGAGCATCCAAGAAGTGGTACATATACGCACTCCATGAAATAGGAAAATATTCCTGTAATCTGCCTCAAACAGTATCCGGATGGGAAATAATAGAAATTATAGGATAGTCTGCCCAAGCACTTCTAATAGATCTATTTATTTATATAAAAATACTTTAACAGGGTGACATCTGCATACTGAGGTGATGTGCATGATGCTTATTGCACTGCAAGTAGTGCAGAGTGAAGACTAACCAAACTTTCTCTTCTTTTTCATGGCATTTATCTTTTCCTGCTTGGTTTCCCTCTTCTTCTTTATGTGTATGCCTTGTTCACGAAGACTCTCTCTCATATTTATTTCACTTGTCTTCTCCCGAACTCGTTCTACTTTTTGGTGTCTGTATGGAGTGTTTCGTTTTTTTTCCTTTAGACCAACCTCCTTCAGAGAGTCTCTTAAGCACCGAATTGTTTCGCTCCCTCCTACTCTCTGGGCTGCATACTTTCTTAGCTCCGGAACTATTTCCTTTATTCTTTCATTTGTGTGCTTACTATTGGCAGTTCTATATATTCTTTCCATAAAAATATTTGCAAATGGATAAGTCTAATAACAGTGTGGCGGATCATTATAACAAGATAAAGAGCATTTCTCTGTGCAATAGAGAGGTTTCTCAGATTATTGGGGTCCGTGAGGTGAATAATTTCTTGAAGCAGAGGCTAATACAGAAATTTATCCAGCAAAACAGTGTTGTGCTAGATCTGGGCTGTGGAAAAGGAGGTGATTTATCCAAGCTAAAGCACTGCCCAGTCAGAACATATTATGGGTGCGACATTGCACAGGACTCATTAAAGGAGGCACTCAGCAGGTCAATTGGTCTGAAATTTAAAACGCATTTTTTAAATGCCAACTTTGCAAGTGATAAAATCACAATAGAAGAGAAGGCAGACCTGGTGATGTCCCAATTCAGTTTTCATTATGCATTCTCATCAGAGATATCAATGAAAAAGGCAGCAATGAATGTCTTCAATAATCTGAAAGAAGGAGGCGTATTCATACTAACCATCCCAGACACAAATGTAATTCTGCGCAGGTCAGAGCGCAATGCAGTGGATGGGTCATTCGGAAATAGGCTCTACAAGGTTGTTCCAAGTCCTTCTTTCTACACAGAAAAATCATTCGGAAGGGGCTACAAGTTCTACCTGCAGGAGGCTCTGACAGGATGTGAGGAATATCTTACTAACATGGAGTATTTAACTGAATTCTTCAAGAGTAAAGGCATGGTGAAGATATTTGACACCGACTTTTTGTCATTTATTAATACAGAAATGTTCGCAGATAAGGAGATGTATTCAAGAATGGTAAAACGAGTTCTAACACAGGAAGAACTCCCAATAATTGAGCTGTATAGAGCTATAGCATATAAAAAGAATTAAACCCGCAGTTGCTAAAATTTTATTAATTTTCTTTTTTTCCATCCCATGCGAGGATTATACTGTGGAGGATTACTTAAGAAGAGAGGCCACTTGAACAGAAAGGCAGACAGCAAGTACAAAGCAAGATTATTCGGAACAAACATTCTGAGTGACCCAATCGGTGGGGCACCTCAGGCAAAGGGAATTGTCTTGGAGAAGATTGGTCTTGGAGCAAAGCAGCCTAACTCTGCCGTAAGAAAGGCCGTCCGTATCCAGCTCATCAAGAACGGAAAGAAGATCACTGCATATGTCCCAAAGGACGGTATGCTTAACAGCATAGAGATCAACGATACCGTGACAGTAGAGGGATTCGGTAACAAGGGAAGATCCAAGGGAGATATTCCGGGAATCTCCTTCAAAGTCAGCAAGATTGGAGATGTGTCTTTACTCGCAATCTACCTAGGAAAGAAGGAAAAGTCTTCAAGATAATCAATAAAATACTATTTTAACAAGATCCTGCATAGATTCATGTCAGCCCATGACTGTTCACTTACGCACTGCCAAGTGCTTCTGTTTTGAATATCCAGAGCACTTTTACTGCGCACGAAATTGGAACAGACAAAAGTCCATAATCCACAGGATATGTATTGTTTTAGTGCACGCCCTTTGCTTGAGATATGTATGCGGGTGGGGATGTATTTACTTGCCTGCAGATTCTTATCAAGAGTGCCCTGGGATTAGTAATTTCTTAATTGGATCTGTGGTACTTTGCAGATTCTCCTTTAGTCATGTTTTTGTTCCTGAGTTGTCACAGTATGGTGTACCTGGGGTTTAGTGTGCTTGTTCTGCCTGATTATTTATTTCTTGCATATAAACAATGCACTCGCAGTCTTGCTTCATTTAGTTGTATACGGATGTTCTAACGTAAAGTAAATGCGTCTTATAGTAAACAGTAAAGAGTGAGTTTATTATTCATGTGCACTGGATGGGGTTGCTGCATCCTCTAAGGATCTGCGAATGGCCAGCTCTAGCTCTGGATCTATCTCCTCAATTGTCTCCCTAAGGGCAGCTGACACGCCCTCCATGAATGACTGGCTTGGCTCCACTGGAATACATGCAAAATCACTTGACTCTTCTATGGTGCCTTTGAGGACTGCGTAGTGATCTAAGGCCTCCCCAAATAAAACAACCCCCACAGACACATTGTTATTCAAGGTCTCTTCAATTGACTCAATTGTCAGCATAAGATTATCATCATCCAAGGGGCTTCCCATAAACAGAAGAACACTTTGCCTTGTGTTTGTCCTATACTTTAAGGCCATCCTGGAGATAAGAATTGCATTCCCGCCATGAATATCCTCATCTCTGTTAATTGAGTGCAGGTAGGAGTATATTGCATTTTTGTTTGTGGTGGGTGACACTATTTTAATTGTAGCACTCCTTCCCAGTGTCATGACACCAACTGTTGATTCGCTTGACTCGTTCAGCCTTTGCTCAGTTATGGTCTTAATTGCATCTATTTGCATCTGCAGTCTCTCCACGGTGTAGTCTTTGTTTATGCTGTACATGGAATTATCCACAATAACCATTAAGTCGCTCTTCATACAGTGCAAATAAAAGACAAATAAAAAGTGCATAACATTAGAAAAAAAGACCCCTCGCTGAAATGAAAAAGACAATTGAAAATCTTCTTCAGAAGTACAAGTCATTTGGGATTGAGAAAAAAAGAACAGAAGGCGTGCCCAGGTATTCAGATAAGTACAAAAAGGATACAGATGGAACCATTAATATTATAGGAGCCATATACAGCAGATCGCAGGAATACCCAAATGAATTAGTGGAGAGTGGATTTGGCCATGGGATAAAGTACAAAACAGCAGGTGCCTCAGAGGAGCACATATTTACAACAAACATAGACAGTGAGGTAGAAGAAAGTGAAGAGAGTGAGAACAAAGAGCCATCTGAGAATGATGAAATGGACAACGATTACATGGAGAACTATTATGATGACGATGACCAAGAGACAGATGATAATGATGAAGATGTTATGTAGAGGGGTTTATAAAGGCCTTTCAGGTAATATGAGTCTATGCATTGCCTTAAATTGGGTTTATCAGATTTGTCAATAGAGAGGGAAAATTAAATAATAAGAAGAGTAGTATACGCAGAGTATTTAAGGGAGCCTAACTGAAAATAAACAGAATTTAAGTACTTTTAATAACTTGGAATATATTTAAGTCTTAGCATACTTTATACTGTGCATCTTTGGATTATGCTTAGTTCAGTTTACATGCCAAGAATAAAATATATGCACTCTTACTGGATAGAATGAGAAGCATGAGAAGTATGAGAAGATTCAGATTATTCTACCTTAACCCGAAAATAGCTTAAGTCTACAGAAATACCAGAATTTCAAAATGAAATAACTCATAATATATCTGTTTAGGGATAATATAACCTGAACACTCAAACTATTTTTGGGCTATATGGGGTAATAAGCCAAGGAGCGCTGGTAATGGTATAAATACATGTCTACAATCCGTTATAACCCGATAATATCCCTAAAGTACAATTTGTAAACTATAAATATTCCATTTATTTTTTAAAAAAATTCATGTCGTACGCGCATAATACTCCAGTTCTCATCCTTAAGGAAGAAACCGACACCAGGTTTGGCAAAAACCAGATAATAAGGAATATAGAGATGTGTGAGAAAATAGCAGACATTCTTAAGACAACCCTAGGACCAAACGGGCTAGATAAGATGTTCTTTAATGAGAAAAGCATGCTAATAACAAATGATGGTGCCACAATAATGAAGAGTCTAGAGATAGTGGACCCAGCAGCACAGGTATTGCTGAATATATCCGAGGCGCAGGATAGAGACATAGGAGATGGCACTACAAGTGTGGTCTTATTTGCCTCAGCAATTCTTAAGAAGCTTAAGCCACTGATCAAGGAGAACACGAATATATGCTTGATAATAAATGAGCTAACCCGGATAGCCCAGCTGATCCCGTCAATCTCAAAGGATTTGCTTGCCAACTTCAGCCATGACTCCCTGCAGATGCTGGCAGAGACAAGCTTAAACTCAAAGATACTGAACAACCACAAGAGGCACTTTAGTAAGATAGTGCTGGAGACTTTGTCAACAGAAGACAAAAACATTTCGATAAAGAAAGTAAGCGGGGCCTCAATTGACAGCAGTTTTATCATAAATGGAGTGGCCTTTGAGAAGTGCTTCACATACGCAGGGTATGAACAGCAGCCAAAGAGGATTGCGAACCCAAAGATTGCTCTGCTGAAGATGGAGTTGGAATGGAAAAGTGAAATAGAGAATAGCGAGATGCGTATATCTGGGGCCTCAGAGTATTCCAAGGTGGTTTCAACTGAGTGGAAATTAATCACAGACAGATTGGACAAGATAATTGAATCTGGCGCAAATGTAGTTCTAAGTACGCTGTCAATTGGCGATTATGCAACGCAGTACTTCGCAAAGTATGGAATATTTTCAGCTGGAAGAGTGCCAGAGGATGAAATAGCCCGAATGACAAACTCCTTTGGAGGGCGTGTTCTCAGCACAGTCTCCTTAATAAGTGAGAAGACTTTGGGAAAGGCTGTATTGTTTGAAGAGAAGGAAATTGGACGCACCCGATACAATATATTCCATAACAGCAATAAGAACAGCAGCACAATCATTCTGCGGGGGCCAGGCATGGAAATATTAGCAGAGGTAGAGAGAAGTCTGAATGACTCAATGGCTGTCACCAGAAGAACCGCCCTAACTAAGGAAATCGTCCCAGGAGGAGGCGCATACGAGATGGAGGTAAGCAGAAGGCTAAGGCAGATGGCCAGTGACTCCAATAAGACAGAAAGATTCGTTATAAAGGCAGTTTCAGAGGCATTTGAAGTGATTCCCTTCCAACTAGCAAAGAACTTTGGGCACGATGCTATAAACACAGTGCAGGTCCTAAGGAAGGCGCATGAAGAGGGTCTGATTAATTATGGTGTATCTGAGGGAGGAGTAGAAGACTCTTTATCTGCATATGTTGTAGAGCCGTACGAAGTTAAAAGGCACATGGGAGTAGCTGCACTTATGGCAGCAGCAAGCATCCTTTCAATTGATGCCACAATCGTCTCTGGGAAACAGTAAACCCAGCCAGATGCGGTAAATTATTCTTTTTGTCGTTCTTTCTGCGACATAAGAAAACACATCTTGTTTACTCCGCAATTTACGTTTAATATTCAGAAGCTTAGTGTGAATTAGAATTATCCCAGGACAACCCAAATTCTACCCGTTAGCTGCATAAGAATGAAATATAAATTAAAGCATTGCCGCATAGACAATGAATTTTCAATAAAATATTCAGAAATAGTATGAATAAGTAGTCATTCATGAAAAAATCCCCCTTTCATATTATCTCTGTTATAGATAGTTGTTCTTGCATATGCGATTTTGACAATTATCTTGTTTCCACACCAAATCCTGATGAATATTTATGCAGAAGAAAGAAACTTATTTTATATACGCAGCTCATATTTTTACAGTTTATGAAAATTAAAATCTATTTATGGCTAGTAGCCTTGCATTTTATAAAAGATTTTTTTACCCCTATAGAAAATGACTATATCATTAAGAAGCATTGAAGAAAGAAACCTGACTGAAGGGAATCAAAACTTAGATAGTTCTACTAGCAAACGAAGTGATCCGCACATACTATTAAATCTTTCTGAATTACCTAATGAACAGCCTGCTGGCACAGAACTTAAATTAAGCTTTAGAGTTGATGAAGTACTAAACAAGATTAAAGTAGACGAATTTGACTGCAAAAATATAATGACCTTGAATGCTTCCATGGAAAAGCATTTTATTGCAGCAGAGCGGCTGAGAAATTCAATATATTTCTCAAATAAAATTCCACATGAGACAAAGGAATATCTAAGCATTATAGCATACGATTTAGCACTGAAATCACTTAGATCAAACTCTATCCTAGCCCAATTATATAATATATTAACAGCCCATAGTATAACAAAAGAGGAGGAAGAATACATAAAGGTGCACATGACCGAGCTCTTTATTGAAGATGTTCATACAAAAGAAAGCATGCCTACCTTGAAGAATCTACTTTTACAAAAGATAAACACTATTTATCCATATTTTTCTAGTATCACAGATACACTAATGCCTGACTTTCTTAGGATGCACGCAATCTACACAGAGCTAGCAGTAAACACAGAATTACTCCGCGAAAAGAATACTTTATCCGCAGATCTGAATATAATCATAGCAGCCGATAAATTATTCAATAGTAAGCCAAGCCTGAAAAACGGTATAAATCGGCATACCAGCGATGATGACATAGATAGCCTGTTCCCAGAGTATTGGGAGCGAATATATAACTCACCAGGCTATGAGTTTACAGAGGATAATATGTATGACCTAGAAACCAATTCAACGGCATTGGCTGAGTATTGTGTGAACTATGCTGCAAATAATCCCGACCATTTAAACAAAATGGCAACTGCCTTGTTGAATAGCTCAAATGAACCAGCAGTGAAGAAGCATATATTTGATATTCATAAACAAGTTGATTTAAGTCTGATTAGAGCCCTGCATCGGCATAAAAAAGCAATTTTCAACGGGAATACTGTTTTAGTTAGTATTATTGATGCTATTCATTCCCTTCTGCACTATTCAGTGAATGAAGTAATAATGAAGGAAAAAAATAATAGCACATTTAAATGTGAGTATGCCAGGTATAACGAAAAGATAACCACTGGATTATACAACTACTTATATAATTTAGAATCAATCCTTAAAACTATCTATGCAAGCGACTTGCCAAAAAGAGCCCTGGATAACTCTAACCACATACGCAGACTACAAGAAATCACAGAGCAATGCTTGAAAATGCTAAAAGACAGTTCTGCAGAGCTCTTAGAAGAGATATATTCTGCGGGGCACAGGATGACTTCAGAGGAAATGGAAGAAATAGAAGACAATTATACGTACTATCCTGGCTTAATAAGAGATCTAATAGCAATAGTAGACAGAGAGCTGGAAACTCTGAGCAAGGCACAAATAAAATACATAGCCCGAACAGTTAATCCCTATACAATGGCCTTAGAAAAATCAATGGAAAGATCAATAGACTCTTTAAGTAAAAATGAGCAGATTCCAAAGGAGAGCGCGAATAATGCAGGAACAAGTATATTTAGATCAGTTAGTCTAGGAGGTTTGGGGGCTTTGTCGCTTCTAATTTCAACTGTGAGTCTAATAAATATAACAAAAACAAATTGACCCAGAATAGCAATCAGCTATTTTAGCTGAGATATGCATTTATAATAAAGCTCCCACTTTTTATTTCAAAGCCACAATATTTCTAGTAGACAAGGAAATAATCCCAAAAAACTAACAAAATCAAGAAGTGCTATATTAATACACCAAGAACAAAGACAAGAAGTCACAATACACTTAGCCATGTGCAGAGCTATATAGTACGAACTCCATAAAAACACTTTATATTTTATACTAGAATTTTCTGGCTAGAACATTACCCCCTTTTATGCATGCTAATATTGCCATAATACGACTTACTTTCGAATACCATAGAATTAAGCAGCTTCTAAGATATTTTCAATATAATAAATCAGAATTTATAATACAATACCAGAGAATTTGAATGAAGCAACATAGAATAATAGAAAGAAGTTAAAATTAATTCGAGCATAGAACACGGGGTAACTGCGCAGAGTTTAATTGTATAATAAACTGGACTCTAAGACTAGCACCCAGCATGTGATTAATTGCTGCTTTAGACTTTGAGAAGAATTTCTACTATCATAGAATTCTTGCAATGTCAGAAAAATTGATCTGGAAAAAACTTATTTAGAAGTTCTAAAAAATTATAAATCGTTAACTATATATGGGTTAAAAATTTTAATCACATGAATTTTAATGAAATTCAGCTGAAGACTCTTTTAAGACGGAACATTGGTTCATATGTATCTGATGTGAATGTTCAAAAAAACATGCAGTTGCTATTGAGAACAATATTTACTGCCTGCCCAAGAGGATCCATGGTGCTCAATAAGTATGAATCATTGAATACACTGTCATACAATACATTTATGGTCATGGTGCTGCGAAATCTTAAAGCTATGCCAAAGTACTCAGAGGTAAAAGTAGAAGAGGCAGTGAGCTTAGCAATCATTGAAACTAAAGGATTAATGGGGGAGCTTGAGAAGATAGCAAGCAGAATGACAACAAACGATGCTAGAAACACCTTCTATCATATGATGAATAAAAATCATCTGGCTGTTATGTTACTGCATTCTGAGCTAAATGAGTACATACTGACAGATCTCAAGCAGGCAATGCAGGCCCACTTTGATCAGAATAAACAAGCTGTCACATATACTGCAGAGAATATGTTTGAGCTAACACATTCTGGAAGAGAGATGATAATAGAGAGAGCAATGGTGTTGCTACAGAAGCATGGTGGCCAGCTATCTAAGTATGACGAAAAAGGTGAAGTTATGTCAAATCTAAACGCACTTGGATTGGACTACTGCAATGACATTTTGTCACTGCACAAGCTTGTAAATGGCCCTTATAAAAACTTGAATGCTCTATTTACCATGATGGACTTCTTGACTGTTATTAAAAAGACAATAGAGCCGCCTCATACGCCAATGCCACTCTTATACAATATTTTCTTTTTCTTATCCCCAAAATACAACAAAAATACTACTCCACCACTTAGCCAAGTATTTGAGGCCATTTTGAATAGCGCGCAGAAAAAAGAGAACTTTTTGACTCTTAGAGAACAGGTAGCTAAATTTAAGCTTCTTGTATCTCCTGATCTGCTAAATAAACATATTCTGGGTAGATTAGTTTCGTATAGTGATTACATTCGAATCAACATACATACGATATATGCAAATCTTACTATGTCAGAACTGCCTGCTCTCCCCACCAAAAAAGGAAAAAAAGAAGTCGTGAAGAAAGAGAAGATGAAGAAAGAAAAGGAAAATGAACATATAAGTTATTTACCAGCTGATTCAATGGACTCTAAAACACAACAAAAGTCAAATAATGCTCCTCCAAGACCCATGACCCAAATGGAAGTTCTTGAATTGCAAAAGCGCACTCCATCTAAAATAGATCTTGTAGTGGGAGTTATTATAGTCACAGGTTTGGTTATATTGAGTGCATACATAGTAACTAAAGCAGTGGTAAAGGGTGTGCAAATTTTATATTAACACAGCAGGATGCTATCAAAAAGCTCTTCCTATATGAAATATTTTATATTTTTATGTAGCTTATACTTATAAGTTTTTTATCTTGCTATTATTAGAAACAGATCTGCACTACAAAAGCTATAGCAAGATTTTAGTACAACCATGCTGCTTTCAAAGTCTTCTCGATTCTGCAGAGAGATTAAAAATAAAATGATTAAAAGTTTACTGTAATCTTATCAAAATCAAGTCTAAGTATAATCCGGAAAAGAAACATAATTTATCACGACATTTGAGATAATCCACAGCAAGAGCGTCTATCAAAGATATTTTTACTACAATAATAAAAGTTCTTCACTTAGTAAGATGGTTTCTCTACTGGACTGCTATTTTTAGGATATGCCATTTCTGTCTGAATGATGTGCTATTAATAATACTCTGCTGAGCATAACACACTCTATTTTAGACATGAGCTTCTATAGATGAAATATAGCCTGTTTTTGAATGTGTTAGTAGCTTAAATATGGATATGCACGCTTTTATTAGGTGATACTCAGTAAAAATATTGATCAAAATTCAATTATCCAATGTGAAAATAACTTACAGCCCCCTATATATATATCCGTTATTATATATTGAAAAATGATTTGTTTTATTTCTAAAAGTGTGGTGTTTTGTTATTTGGATCAAGACAGTTGCTTTAATGGGTGTTGCACTCATAAACATATGCAGAGTATATATATCACTAGGCGAAGTGGAGCCTACTCTGCGATTTGAAATTACAGCAGGTGCATCGCATATAACAATAAACCAAAAGGATTCTCTTAACTTTCTGTGTGGGTTGATTTATCAAATAATGGACTGCATGTACAACAAAAGATTCTTTTTTCTAAATTATTTTCAGAGAGCTTTAGTTAAATTATTCTTCACTTACATATTTTAGGGCTTTATGCACATGTGTCTGCATGCCTCAGCATACCTCTATGTTTTGTGATTCTATATTTTCTTTCTCTTGAAGAAAGCAGCTTTGTACCGAGTAATGCAAGAACTCAGCTGGAAAATTAGAAGGTTCTCATATTCATCCTAATAAGCAAATAAATGTGTTCTGACAATTTATAGAAAGATATTTGAGTCTTTGTGTATTTAGTCCTTCCTTACTTTTTTCTCTACTGTGCTAGCTTCCCATAGTATATTTATAGCTCAACTCCACAAATAAAATGTAAAGTGTCCTACTATTTTTTTATAAAAATGCGAAATATTCTCTCTATTTCCTCATAAGTATACACTTTAATATTATTTCTATTTTTCGAGAAGGAGCATGGAAAATACAAAAAAATGCAAAACTCAAAGACCCCTTAATGGAAGAGTTCTACTGCCCCTGAGTTTAGCCGTAGGCAATAGCTAGTGCTACGCAGCACAAAGAGAGCAAAATATAGTGCGCATTGGATAAAAATAAGTGTTATTCCGGATAGGACACAGTAGTATATAGTATAATGTAGTCTATTTAAAAGAAGGTTACTTAAAAACACTTTATTTTATTTCTGCTAGAGTTTACTAACACACTCTGTGTTATGTATTTGTGAGAGAACAAAGTGCTTAAAAAGTTATTATTGAAGCTTTTTGGAGAGAGTGTTCATAAATTTGTGTGTAGATGTTTTGAGCTGTGAAGTAGCAATAATAGCATACCAGCTTCTAGCGACTTCATTCTAATTGCTGCAGGCAGCTTTATTTTTAGTCTTTTTAGAAGACTTTTTAGTAGCCGTCTTTGATCATAGTTTTCTTTTTGTTGCTGGTGTTAGTGCTGATGCGAAATCATTATTGTTATTGTGGTAAAATTACCATCCCTTCGGAAATTTCTTATATCGAAAGGAGGTTTAAGAATAAAAAGATAGCGATCGCAACATCTTCACTATCTCAAAATCAGAAACCTACTATAAATACAGATGCAATTCTGGAAAGAGAGAAAGAGCAAGGGCAAGAAATACATGACAGAGAAAGTAACCAAAACATCAAAGCAAAATAAAAAGCAACTACCCCAGCAACATACGCAGGACATGAATAAAAGTTCTTCTTTAAATAAGATATTGTTCTTATTGGGTTATTACTTCCTGGCTATGACGCTTCCGCCATTGTGGCACATCATATATAGACAAGAATAAATAAATTTTATGACGACTAAGAAAACCAAGTCTAATATTTCAGAAAAAACTCAGCTTTTTATATAACTGCCAAGCGTATAAATTAAGAAAAAATTAATTTTTCCATGAATTTAATTGATAATAACGAGAGAAATATGATTGCCGGTCCATCGAATGGATCTGACATGAAAGTAAGAGTAGAAAATCCACAGGAACTAGCAGAACAGCAGAATGATCTAAAGAATGACCTTCCAACAACCTCTGCGGGTGCAAATGACTGGAGGATGGAGATTTCGGATGAAACTGAAGGAATGCATGCGGGCACAGAAGAAATAGATTTTAACAATGAATCTGTGTTGACTAAAACCATGGATGTCTTAAAAGACAAAGCAGGTGAAGCATACAGCACACTTAACGATATTGAGAAAGCATGTGCGAAGAAGGTTGCTGAGACAATGAATGCAGTAGGCCTCTCACTTGCTGGAGAAGCACATGAATATACTGAGCTCGTGCCTATGGGAGTATCAGTTGTTGAAGAAGATTTGCAGCACGTGGATAATGATAAGAAAGGAACTGTGTATGTTGAAAGTAACTCTGGAGAAAACAACTCGCCGCCATTAAGAAATGCGCGCGTGAGTTATTTAAATCCCGCAATTGGTTGGATAAGAACAAACATTACACAGAATTCTCCTCTGAAGATAGTCTATACTGTGCCGTTTTTTATACTTGCCTCTATTCTGTTAGGAATGATAGTTTATTCTATGGTTATGATATTTGGTTTGTTTCTTAAAGATTTTGATTTTTCATTCAAATCAGTTGTATTCGCACTGTCCTCGCTTATGGTTGACTTATTCGGGATTTTTGTAGTCAAATGTACTCTGTCTATTTTTGGAATACTTATTAGGGATCTATGGAATAGAAAAACCAAAGGAAATATCATCTCCATACTAGGGATTATATTATGCACTGTTTTGGCCTTTGTAGTTGGCTTCATCTATCCTTTTTCAGGAGAGGTGCACGAGATAGAAGCAAGCTTATCTTGGCTGTTGCTCTTTCTTTTTACAATTTTTGCGTTCTTTGCATATACATTCTGCTTTGGCGAAAAAATAAAGAAGGAGATGCATAATCAGGAGAATGTACCTAAGCTAGATGAGGCTATTTCAGCATTAGGTATGCTTTCTATATTAATGACTGTTTCCATTGTATTAATATATTTTACTCAGCCAATAACCCCAAATAATTTGTTTGTTTGATTCAATGGGTTCTAATAGAAATAAAGAAATTCCATTACAAGCTTATTGCTGAAATATAATTGCATCAAACTGGCTGAATGCACATATGTATTTTGAATTTGTTTTTTGGTTATTCTGGATATAAAACATAAAAGAATTGCAGGCGTATTTGCATGTTTTATTTTCTTTTTTGCTGCTCACACTGCATATTTTAATCCTTTACAGTACTGTGTAGTCTTTAATACAAAAAGAAGAAAAAACTTACTTGAAGACTTTTTTGTATGGTGTGCTGCAGGATAGAAAGAGTATGGTCTAGAAATAGTAGCCCAATAAGAGCAATATTTGTTGCCAGTGGCCTGTATAGTAGTAATTTTAAATGAATTTCTATCTTTAGTTTTCTTAGTTGGAAACATTCTTTATTTATAGACCACTCCAAGAGCATAAGATAAGGTCTCTGATATAACCCGAATAACCCGAATATATAAATTAGAAGAATACCATCTACTCGTGCAAGAATATTAAAAAAGAAAAAATGATAAAGACAAAGAATACCTAAAATACAAAGAATAAACGGATTCTGTACATCCAGGAATGTGCATATGTATAACAACAAAACTTTCTTAAAATATCTGTTGGTTTTCCTTGCCTTATAGGCATAAAATCCTCTTCCTGGATTAGCAATGTAGCTTGATGTTGGTCTTTGCCTTCCGGGTTTTGGCTGTAGGCCAGTAAACCACAAGAATTTCTACTTATTTACAGGATAGTGACTTAGTCCTTTGGGTTTGTTAACGCTTGCTATCACTAGAAACTGTTGCTAACTAAGAAAACTAAAGATAAAAATTTGTTTAAAATTACTACTATATATATATAGAGCCACTAGCAACACTATTTCTATTTTTCGAGAAGGAGCATGGAAAATACAAAAAAAGACAAAACTCAAAGGCCCCTTAGTGGAAGAGTGCCACAGCCCCTGAGTTTAGCTATAGGCAATATCTAGTACTATGCAGCACAAAGAGAGCAAAATATAGTGCGCATTGGATAAAGACAATAGTATTATAGCTAGGAGACAATAGCGTATAGTATAATGTGGTCTATTTAAAAGAAAGTTGCTTAAAAACACTTTATTTTACTTCTACTAGAGTTTACCAATACACTCTGTGTTATGTATTGGTGAGAACATAAATTGCTTGAAGGTTATTATTGAAGCTTTTTGGAGAGAGTGTTCATAAACTTGTGTGTAGATACTTTTGGCAGTGTTATAATAAGAAGGTGCTAGGTTCTAGCGAATTTTTTCTACTCGGTGTAAACAACTCTAGCTCTAGTCGCTCTAGGAGACTTTCTAGTAGCGGTCTTTGGTTCTGGTGTTATTAGTTTTTTGAGTGCTGGTGCGGGTTCTAATGTTAGTGCTGGTGCGGGTTCTGATGTTAGTGCTGATGCGGAATTATTGTTATGAAAGAGAGCAGCTAGCATGTCATAGTGCATTCCAAGGTTTGCCTGCGTGTAGCTAAAGGTTTTTACCGTGATAAAAACAGAAGCATCCTCTTTTATATCTTTAACATCAACTCGTGGAGGAAGAATGTTACTTTCCCAATTTGCATGCCTGGACTTAAGGTCATCATCAATGTTAGCGCCCAAAAGCCTTCGCATTTTCTCACACATAATTGGAACAGCAACTTCCTTGCCACTCGAAGATGTATAGATGCACAGACCGTATGTGACTTTGTCGCCAGATAAATTCTCGCGCTGCAATAGATTCAGGAATTTTGAGACCACTTTTTTTTTAGATTGTGACTGATTATCGCTCTGAATGTTCTGAGCTGTACTTATACTAAAACAGTATTTTGTATACTCACGCACGCTTCTCTTTATCTGTGTATACCAAACTGTAGATAGCAGACCGGTTTTTTCTGATAAATTAAGTGAGATATCTGTAACAAAGCATTCTGCAGTGCAAAATCTGTAGTCATCTATACCTTGAACCAAAAAGTCACTGTAGTAGTAATTAATGTAGCTTCTTTTGGATTGAGGTTCATTGTTGCTTGGTGATGCGGAAGATGGGCTCTGGCTGGTTGCAGCTGTATCGATAGTCATTTTAGTAGGTTCAATACTTTTTTTCTCAGTAGCATAATTTTTAATTATTTCGGTTTTAATACATGTTTCATTAAAAAATATATACGGACTAATTATAGCACTTACTAGCATAAAGTTTGTAAGAAATAAAGGAATTCGAGGAGTTTCAAGACTTGAGCCAACTGAGATTTGGAAATCTATACATTTAAAATGATTTTTGGTTATATTATCTTCAAAGTAGTAAAAGACTACATCATAGTTATAGCTATTCACTGCACTTAGATCTAGCTCTAATTCTCTATTCCTATACCAATTGCAATTCCCATCTATTAATGCCCATACTCGACTCTTTCTACTATACCTAAATGGGTATACATTAAACTCTGAATTCTTTTCTGGATAGGCTAACTTCAGTACAGATTTTATGTACTCTACTATATATCGAATTGAATGAGTTTTCCTTTGTATAGATCCATCTTTAGAACTGTAATCTTTACAATAGGGATATGGAATAGGAACAAGTTTTACTGTGTGGCGTATGTTGTCAACTAGCTGCACATGGTAGTGTTCTTTGAAATACTGGTGTGGTAGATTTAAAAATAGTGGATTTTGTTGTTCTATGTTAGTTGGTTTGGAGCCATTGCTAGTTGAATTTGTAGTCTTACTGAGATTGTATTTTCCGAGAGTTGGCTTTACAATTGCTCTTTTTCCATGCAGTCTGAAGACTCCATTCTGCGGTATGTGCGGGCAGTGGGAATGAAAAATACTTTTAATGCATGCTTCTTTTTTTTCTGCTTTGCTTTCTTCACTTTTAACATCCGCCACACAGGTAGATGGCGCACATTGGTAGAACGAACAAAACACATCATAGACAAGACTATACACCACCATAGTACTCTGGTCATTTATAGGTTCTCCGTTCACAGATAGCGCTTTAACTTCATTATACGCAATATTCATTTTGTCTGTATGATTGTTTACTAAGTAGTATAAGTACTCTATAATGCAGAAAGTCTTTCTAACTTCAGTAATAGTAAGTGTTTTTTCCATTTCTCTTTTTGTCTTTAACAATATCTCGGGGGTTATCAGAACCAAGTCTCTGAGCACCTCTGGCAGCTTTAGAATAAAGTGCAGCTTTTCTTTTAGTTCTGCATCTGCAGATCCTGCACTCTTAATTTCCTCAGTTTTTTCAGTGATAATCGACATACTGTTAACCCACCACTTAAGATCTGTTTGGGTTTCCTCATATATTTCTCCGAGTGTCTCTGGCTTCATTTCAGATTTAGAGCATATATTGTTCTTACTTCTGTCTGTGTGGTCGTATGTTGCACTAATATGCGCTATGTCTATATGAGCTTCTATGTATTTTTTTAAGTGCTCTAAAAAGAGATAATAACAATGACCATTCCTCATGGTATCTTTTACTTCTTTTGCTTTCATCTCATTAGCTAAGTTGTTGATGCACTCTATCTTTTCAGCCAAGGAGTTATGGCGTGAACTAGTTAAAAATTGCCATAATTGGTATTTGTTTTCATAGTTCTTCTCAATACTACATTCACATTTTGTATTTTCACTATCCATGCCATCTTTAGTAAACAAGTATGAAAAACTGTGGGGTTTATCTCGGGTTATATCGCTTTGTGCTTGAGATTTGTAGGGCTTGAGGTTACTAAAGGCATTTTGGTACCTCATTGATTTAATGGATATTGTAGTTCTATGAATAGAATCTATGTCCTTTCTACTCTCTTTACTTTTTCTTTTCTTGGCACTTAAATTATCGTCTGAACTGGTTGAAGTAGAATCTCTCGGGCGCTTTGGTGTGGTTACTTTGACTGGATTATCAAGTATGCTTTCTTCCTGGCTGCTGTGTGCTCTACTAGATATATCTTCAATATTAAAAGCAGAAGGGTGCATGCTACTATCTATAAGAATCTGATTCCCAAATGCATCGTTATATATATTATACAAGAGGTCACCTTCAACTACTATGTCTTTGGTTAAGTACATATAAATACTGCATCCTTTATCATCTATATAGAATCGATTTCCAGAATCATCTACATAGAATGTAGAAATTATTATGCTTGTTTGATTTGGAGTGCTTAATTCGAGTGAATCCTTCTGATAGTGGGCGTCACTTGTATGATTTTCAGAATTCAATGCTGTGTCATTTAAACCCAATAATTTATCAAACTGTTCCAATATTATATCGCATTCTTCATCAGTCATGGCAGGAGCATTATTATTATTTATATTCTCAAGCCATTCTTTAAGCTCTGCTGTATTCAAATCGTCGTATTCGTTGTTTGCAGCACACACTCCAAAAAGCATCCAGATGCCTATGGTCATGCATAGAATAAAAATTGTATGTACTTTAATGAATTCACTTGTTTTGGTATAGTATGTCATTAATGTGCTTTTTAAAATTTCAAACTTTTTAAATAGCTTTTTTAAATTCAATCTAAATCACTTGATTATAGTGGACCCCCATATCTAATGTTTTTTTAATATTTTTAGCTTTTGCAAATTATTATGACAGCAGATTTTTTCTTCTTGAAATATTAGACTTGGCTATAATATAATATGTGGAGCTCTATTTGTTCGTGCATTTTGATTTTGATGTTTTGAGCTAGTTAACATTAAATGTCACTATTATATTAGTTGTCATTGTAGATGTGTCTAGAATTATAGTACTAATATTGACACCCAAACAAGCAGACCCCACTTGCTATATTGACCAATAATCAATTTCAGAGAGGAAATAGCCAATTCATATTCTCTACATTGCAGATCTGGGGAAATAATTTCATTCGCTTAATGCAAAGCACCATGAGCATCTCCTAATATCAGGGGAACCCCCTATATGCATATGCTAAAACAAGCACTTATTTTACGTTTAGACATAATCACATCAAAAGCATTTCTAACACAACTCAGTATGCCTCTATGTTTTGTGATTCTATGTTTTCTTTTTCTTGAAGGAAGCTTTGTGCAGAATAGTGCAAGAACTTAGCTGGGAAATTTTAAAAGAATTAACAAAATAGTATAACAATCCAATAAATTTATCCTCATTCGTATAGTTCTGTTTCTACTTAATTACTATTTTATGTTTCATGCGGGTTCCTTCAATTTTTGAAAAGATATTTGAGTCTTTGTGTATTTAGTCCTTCCTTACTTTTCTCTCTACTCTGCTAGCTTTCTATAGTATATTTATAGCTCAACCCCACAAATAAAATATAAATTGTCCTACTATTTTTTATAAAAATGTAAAATATCTTTACTGTTTCCTCATAAGTAAACACTTTAATATTATTTCTATTTTTCGAGAAGGAGCATGGAAAATACAAAAAAAGACAAAACTCAAAGACCCCTTAGTGGAAGAGTTCTACTGCCCCTGAGTTTAGCTATAGGCAATATCTAGTACTATGCAGCACAAAGAGAGCAAAATATGGTGCGCATTGGATAAAGACAATAGTATATAGTAGAATGTGGTCTATCTAGAGATGGCTTTTTGGCATGTAATTATGCGTGTCTATTTGTGCAATGTAAAATAGTTATTAAGGAGTTTAAACCAATAAAGTCTATTGCATTATTACTTAAAAATACTTTATTTTATTTCTACTAGAATTTTCCAATACATTCTGTGTTATGTATTGGTGAGAGCATAAAGTGCTTAAAAAGTTAGTATTGAAGCTTTTGATTGGATTGGTTATGATCTTGCGTGTAGGTTCTTTTGGCAGTGTTATAATAAGGAGGTGCCGGGTTTTAGCGAATTCTTTCTAATTAATGCCAACAGCTTTGTTTTTAGCCTTTGTGGAAGACTTTGGCTTTGGTGCAGGTGCGGAATCATCATTATTATGGAAGAGCGCAGCTATAATGTCATAGTGTATTCCAAGGTTTGCCTGCATATAGTTAAAGGTTTTTACCGTGATAAAGACAGGAGTATCCTCTTTTATATCTTCAATATCAATGCATGGAGGAAGAATATCAGAATTAATCTCACTATGAATGTTCTCACTTAAAAGCCTTCGCATTTTCTCGCACATAATTGGAACGGCAACTTCCTTGCCACTCGAAGATGTATATATGCACAGCCCATATGTAACTTTATCGTCTGTTGAACTCTCACTCTGCAATATATCCAGAAGTGTTAGGGCTACCTCATTTTTTTCATGCAGCAGCCTTTTTTTCCGAAGTTTCTGAGCTGTACTTATACTAAAACAGTAGTTTGTATACTCACGTATGCTTCTCTTTATCTGTGTATACCAGCCTGTAGATAGCTCACCTGTTATTTCTGACAATTCAAGTAAAATACCTGTACTAAAGCATTCTGCAGCAAAAAATGCGCAGTCTTTTATATTCCGAACCAAAAAATCGCTGTAGTAGTAATTAATATAACTTCTTTCTGGTTGAGATTCATTGTCACTTGATGATATAGCAGATGGCTTATGGCTGGTTACAGCTGTACTTTTATCCATCTGAAAAGAGTTAATAGCCTCATTCTTTTCATTAGCATAATTTAAAATGTGCTGGTTTCCAATAGAATCTGTGCTACTCACTGCATACGGGCTAACTATAGCACTTACCAGCATAAAGTTTGTAAGGAATAAAGGAATTCGGGGTGTTTCGGAATTCGAGTCAGCAGAGATTTGAAAATCTATACATTTAAAGTAATCTGTATATATATCCTCTTCAAAGTAGTAGAATAACACATCATATCCATTGTCATTCATTTCATCTAGAGTTATATCTAATTCTAGCTGAATACTAGATTTGAAATTCTCATCTATGAACGCCCATTTTCTATCCTTTCTATTATACTTAAATGGATAGACATTAAACTCTGAATCCTTTTCTGGATAGGTCGAATTCAGTATAGATTTTATGTACTCTACTATATCCCAAATTGAATGAGTTTTCCTTTGTATAGATCCATCTATAGAATTGTAATATGGAATAGGAATAAGTTTTACTGTGTGGTACATGTTATCAACTAGCTGCACATGGTAGTGATCTTCTGAATGGTGGTGTGATAGGTTTAAAAATGACTCATCTTGCTGTTCTATCTCCGTTGGTTTGGGGACTTCGATCTCTTCTACACTTTTTCTAGTTGAATTTGTAGTCTTACTGGGATTGTATTCGCTGAGTGCTAGCTCTACAATTGCTCTTTTTCCACGCAGTCTGAAGACACCACTCTTTGGTATGTGCGGGCAGTGGGAATGAAAAATACTTTTAATGCGTGCTTCTTTTTTTTCGGGATTGTCTTCTTCACTCTTAATATCAGCTACACAGGTAAATGGTGCACATTGGTAGAACAAACAGAATGCATCATAGATAAGTATGTAAACCACCATAGTACTCTGGTCATTTATAGGTTCTCCGTTCACAGATAGCGCTTTGACTTCATTATACGCAATATTCATTTTTTCTGCATCATCGTTCACTAAGTAGTATAGGTACTCTATAATGCAGAAAGCTCTGCTAGCCTCTAAGTTAGAGTGGTTTTCCATTTCTCTTTTTGTCTTTAACAATATCTCGGGAGTTATCAGAACCAAGTCTCTGAGCACCTCTGGCAGCTTTAGAATCAAATGCAGCTTTTCTTTTAGTGCTGCATCTGCAGATCCTGCACTCTTAATTTCCTCAGTTTTTGCAGAGATAACAGACATACTGTTAGCCCACCACTTAAGATCTGTTTGGGTCTCTTCGTATATCTCTCCAAGTGTCTCTGGCTCTGTTTTAGACATAGAGCATATATTGTTCTTACAGCTGTCTGTGTAGTCGTATTTTGCACTAATATGCGCTATGTCTATATGAGTTTCTATGTATTTTTTAAAGTCCTCTAAAAAGAAATAATAATAATAACCATTCTTCGTGGGATTATTTGCTTGTTCCTTTTTTATCTGATTAGCTAAGCTTTTAATGCACTCTATCTTTTCAGCCAAGGAGTTATGGTGTGAGCTAGTTAAAAGGTGCCATAATTTGGGTATATTTTTGCAATTCTTCTCAATACTACATTCACATTTTGTATTTTCATTATCCATGCCACCCTTAACAAAGCAATATGAAAAAACACGGGGCTCATCTATTTTTAAATTGCTTTGTGCTTGAGATTTGTAGATATTGAGGTTCTTATAGGCATTTTCATACTTATTGGTTTCAATGAATACTTTAGTGCGGCCAAAACAAGAATCCATATCCTCTATACTCTCTGCACTTTTTCTTTTCTTGGTACTTAAATTATCATCTGAACTAGTTGAAATAGACTCTCTTTGGCGCTTTGATGTGATTTCTTCAACTGGATTATTAAGTATACTTTCTTTCTGGTTTCTGCATGCTTCGATATATTCGTTTTCAACATCAAAAAGATAAGAGACGAGTTCGCTATCTGAAAATATAGAAGACGTGCTGTTTTCCTGCTTTTCATTATTTAACTTGGGCAAATTTTCTTGATGCTCTGGTGGGTTACTTATCTGGGCTGGTTGTATTGCACTTTCTGAATCTGGGAATAGATTTTCCGAAGTCGATAATGTATTTTCTGAATAAAATGCCACATCATGCAGTTCCAATAGTATACTATAGTCTTCCTTAGACATAGCAGGAAATAAATCGCTTTTATCTATATTTGCCAATAAGTCTCGAATCTCGGTTGTCTCAAAACAACTGTATCCATTACTTGCAGAACATACTCTCAAGATTATACAAGTATATATGGTGCATACCATACTAACTATACGAATTTTAATACGTTCACTTCTTTTTATATAATATACCATAAATGCGTTTTTTAAAAATTTAAAAACTTTATATAGTTTTTTTAAAATTTAATTCCAATCGCTTAATTACAGTGACTTCTATAATTAATAGCTGATTTTTCCTCCTCGAAATGTTAGATTCACTCGTACTGATTTAGATATAATTTATTTCTCGCTGTCTATGTATAGATCACCAGGAGAAGCCTATTAAAGTGGTGTCATGAAAATATAATACTATTAGATAACTTAGAGAAAATGGCAATATATGCCATTTATCGAATCGCATGATTGTAGATGCATAAACCAGTAGAGCCCCTTGTAGCGTGTTGGCCTACAGTCAAAACAGGAGGGCAATGACCAACATCAATCTACATTGCTGACCTGGAGAGAAGGTTTCAATGCCCTTGAGGCAAGGAAAACCAACAATATTACTTAAAAATACTTTATTTTATTTCTGCTAGAGTTTACTAATATATTCTATTTTATATATTTATAAGAAAATAAACTGCTTGAAAAATTAGTATTAAAGCTTTTTGGAGGAGGTGTTCATAAACTTGCATGCAGCTACTTTAGGAGCTTTGTTAATAAGGATGCGCAGTGTTCCAGCAAATTCTTTCTATTCAGTGCAAACAGCTTTGTTTTTAGTCTTTGTGAAAGGCTTTCTAGTAACTGTCTTTGATATTGGTGTTTGTTTCGGTGTTAGTTTTTTTTCGGTGTCGGTGCTAGTGCGGAATTATTGTTGTTATAGAAGAGAGCAGCTATAATGTCATAGTGTATTCCAAGGTTTGCCTGCATATAGTTAAAGGTTTTTACCGTGATAAAGACAGGAGTATCCTCTTTTATGTGTTTAATATAGATGCGCGGAGGAAGAATGTCACTTTCCAAATTTGCATGCTTGGACTTAATCTCACCGTTGATGTTCTCACTCAAAAGTTTTCGCATCTTCTCGCACATAATTGGAACGGCAACTTCCTTGCCATCCAAAGATCTCTGATAGATGCACAGACCGTATGTAACTTTGTCACTAGATGAACTCTCGCGCTGCAATATATCCAGAAAGGCCAAGGCCACTTTTTCTTCGCACTGCAGCAAACTATCGCTCTGAATGTTCTGAGATGCACTTATATGAAAGCAGTAGTTTGTATACTCACGCACGCTTCTCTTTATCTGTGTACACCAAACTTTAGATAGCTGAAAGATACTTATATGGTTGTCTGTGGCAAACATACTAAAGCATTCTGCAGTGCAAAATGTGCAGTCTTTTATATTCCGAATCAAAAAGTCACTGTAATAGTAGTCGGTGTAGCTTCTTTTTGGTTGAGGTTCATTGCCACTCGATGATATGGCAGATGAGTTCTGGCTATTTATGTATTTATGAGAATTCACATAAAAAATCTTAGTAGTCTTAATATTTTTATAGCAGCTAGAATATTTGGGTTTACTGAAAACATCTAAGCCACTTATTTTATATGGCCCCACTAAAGTGCTATCCACCATAAAATTTGTAAGAAATAAAGGAATTCTTGCCACCTTGCTGTCTTTTAAGACAATTGGGTCTATAAACTCTATTAATGCAAATTTTGTTGTGCGTATATCCTTTTCAAAGTAGTAGAAGACTATATCATGACAGCTCTTATTCATGCCATATATAGTGGCATCTTTATTTTTCTGTGGGTAAGCCACATCTTCTACACATTTATCAAGAATTGTCCAACTTTTATTCTTTCTGCTATACTTAAATGGGTAGACATTAAAATCTGAACTCTTCTCTGGATAGGTTGACTTCAGTATAGATTTTATATAGTCTACTATATCCCAAATTGAATGGGTTCGGTCTTTATGAGATTTAGTAAAAGGAGGATTTATCATTGGAATAGGAATAAGTTTTACCGTATGGCGGGCGTTATCAACTAGCTGCACATGATAGTGATCACTGCCTGCTATCTTTAAAAATTCTGTATTTTCTATAAGTTCTGAATCAAAATACCTCAAATCTGATACAAGTTCACTGGTTTGATTTTCCTGCTGATTCGGCATAGATCTCCCTACAGTTTGTATATATCCTTTAATCTTTGGCCTTACAATTGCTCTTTTCCCATGCAGTCTAAAGACTCCATTCTGCGGTATGTGTGGGTAGTGGGTCTGAAAAATGCTTTTAATATAGGGCTCTTTTTTAAGAAAATTATTTTTTTTACTCCTAATATCAGCTACACAGGTAAATGGTGCACACTGGTAGAACAAACAGAATGCATCATAGACAATTCTGTACACCACCATAGTACTGAAGGCGTATATAGGTTTTTCATCCTTAATTAGTTCATATACTTTCTTATAACTTCTATTCATTTTTTCTTTATGATTGTTTACTAAGTAGTATAAGTACTCTATAATGCAGAAAAACTTGCTAGTTTTTTTATCAACCGTTTTTTCAATTTCTCTTTTTGTCTTTAGCAGTATCTCGGGTGTTATCAGAACCAAGTCTCTAAGTATCTCTGGTAGCTTTAGAATCAAATGCAGCTTTTCTTTTAGTGCTGCATCTGCAGATCCTGCACTCTTAATTTCCTCAGTTTTTGCAGAGATAATCGACATACTGTTGGCCCACCACTTAAGATCTGCTTGGGTCTCCTCATATATTTCTCCTAGTGTTTCTGTCTTCATTTCAGATTTAGAGCATATGTTGTTCTTACTTCTGTCTGTGTAGTCGTACCTTGCAGTAATATGATCTATATCTATATGAGTTTCTATATATTTGTTCAAGTCCTCCAAAAAGAGATAATGATAGAATGCATAGATGTTAGGAGCATTCTTTAAATCTTTGCTTACATTATTTAAACTACTAATGCAATCTATTTTTTCAGTTAAAGAGTTATGATGTGCACTAGTGGCAAGGTGCCAAAAGGCAGTTCCAATTTCGTAGTTGCTCTCGATTTTACATTTGCATGGTATATTTTCATTATTTATGCTACTGTTAGGAAACCAGTATGAAAACCCATGGGGGTTGTCTCTTATTGAGTTATCACATGCCATAAAGTTGTATGAGTACAGTCTACTAGTTATATTTGGTGCTATTACATTCAGTGTTTTGTTCTTAACGTCCTTATGACTTTCTTCCACAAATTCTGTATTTTTGCATTTTTTCGCACTTGGATTATCATCTGAACCACTTGAAGTAGACTCTGCTAGACGCTTTAACGGAGCTTCTTTAGTTAGACTATTAAATAAGATTTCTCCTTGGTTGCTTGATTCATCTTTAGATGTATTTTCAATGTTAAAAGTAGAAGGGCGTACAGAACTATTTATATAGACAAGATTGTTCAAACTATCTCTATATACTATATAAAATATATCTTCGATATAGGCTATATCTCCAGTTGGGTATATGTATATTTTGCACTCTGCACTATTTATATAGAATGTGTGTCCATCGATATCTTTATAGAATATATAAACTATGTTATCTTTTTGATTTCCATTATTCGAATTGGGTGAGCACACTGTGTAATATCCACCATCTGTGTTCTCTGATTCTGGGATGCCTTCTAAAAGGCCTAAATTTTCTGCTTGGTTTGTAGTATCCATGTTAAATAGATCACATGGATAGTAGGAGTTGCTTGTATTGTCTAATTCTGGGATTCCTTCTAAAGGATACAAGTCATCTAGATCTCCCAGATCATACATATCACTTGTGTATTCTAGTTGGACTGCACTGTTGTAATGCTCGGTAGGTATAGCACCGTACAGATCTTTTATATCTATATTTCTCATCCACTCTTCATCCATTACTTCATTGGGACTATTGTATTCATTACTTGCGCAAAGCATACTAGAATTCATGCAGCTGCATACCATGCAGAGCACAATGGCTTTATAGATTGCAATATGGTCTGTCATTTGTATAATTTTTTTATAAATATTTAAATACATATATATAAAAATAGAATTTTATAAGTGTGGTAAAAGCTCTCATCATTATCCTGTGGCTACAAGAGCCCATCAATGATATTTATACTTTTTAGAAAATTATTTATATGTCAGAAGGACACTATATAATCGTATGAAAATATTAAAACGTGCGGCAATTTCAACAATAAGAAATACATCCAACACGAATAAGAAAGGCCACAGTCACCAAAGACATCGACCAAGTGATAAAAATAAAACCCCCTTGACATCAACACTATCTATCTTAGACTATCATATCCTGGCAGGAATGATGCCTCCTTTTAGACAGGTCAATAAGTTTATTAACTATTTCACATTTAGTGCCTGCACTGCCAATCAGGAGTATATTCTATAGGGCGATTTATATTTGCAAAAAGAACATGTGGGGTCGTATTATATGCACAAATTATAGTGTGCTAAATGCCCATACGCTATCTGTCAATACGAATCAAGCTGCAGTGGCAATGCCATTGCAGCAGCCACTATATAAAGCATTATTGGATGAAATGTAACCCAAATATATGCGAGCTATAAAAATGACATATTCCCATATCGGTCTGCATTATAAACTCAAATTAAAATTCAAGTAAATTGAGTGGTATAGTCTTACAGAGAAAAATTACTCAAAGTATTTTAAAGAAAAAAGTTAGAAATCCGCTTTCAGAGCTACATCACATAAAAGCATATAGTAGGATCTACCTGTTTCTATATATAGATAGTGCTGTAAAAGCGCATAAATACATACAAAGGTATGTTTAAACTCTAAAATGCAATGGATGAATTTCTGCACAGGGTGTTCTAAATATTTAGTGTCACACTGGGTGCTGTTCATATTGATGCTGTCTTATCCACAGTTATATGGTAGTTAATTTGTCTGCAGTGAAATCTGCTCGTTGCATGGTCTTCTAAAAGTGCATGAATTCTGATTTTCGTGTGCTTTTGATAAAAATTAGAAGAATCAAACCTTTCATAAAATTCTATGCACCTACATATGGGTTATACTTTCATATTCTATAGAAGAAGGAAAAAATAAAAAAAACATATGTAGACACAGCGCAGTATTTCTGTGAACTTAATGCAGAAAAATAAATTGCAGTGGGATATAGGAGTAAAACGGCATAATAACTAAGCATTTGTGTATACGCTTATTAATATGTACAAAAGAGGGCAATATTTCATCTAGAAGACAGTAGTATAAATTATAGAATATTTATAAAGGTGTTTTATTATCTTTTTTCTTTTATAGATATTCTTACGATCTATTCTTATACTTGGTGTCTTATTCACTGTTTATATGCTTCTTCTATATTTTTTTGCAATTATATAGCATCCTTCAAGTCTATAATTCCATAGGTCCTTCTAGAAATATTTGCACTTCAAAGGTTTGGTAGCTTCTTGTCACACAAGTGGAAGTTTTACCATAGCATAAGACTGGCCCACCTATAAAAACTACTTACAAAAATAAACTATTTTCACCATATTTTTCACATATTTATTGCAGCTTGCAAGGCATCTTTCTGATTACCATCTGAAGTGTAGGCAGGCTTTAGGGCTTCAGAGTATCTTTTTCTATTATTCCTTTCGTTGATATACCCAGATACATAAGAAAACATTAAGAATATTAGAATACACAGAGCAATTCCTGCACAAGTAGAAATTAGTGCAATTTGAACCCATCTTATACTAAAGAAGTCAGAAATAAAGTCAGAAATGGACTTTGATGGCTTTTGTTCTGACGCTGCATCGGAGTATTCATCCTCTGCCTTTGCTTTAATTACTTCATCATCGGACTCTGTTATAGCTTTTTGTTTCTTACCACCTTTCTTGTCTTTTGCAGTTTCCTTGTCTTTCTTATCTTTTTTACCTTTTTTACTGGGCTTTTCTGGGTTTTCAATTGGTTTACTTATACTAACCACCAATCCTGTGCTAACCCCATCAGAACTCGCCATTTCTTCACTAAACCGACTTTTCTCACTATTTTTTGCTTGCTTTCGTACACTATGCGACTTAATATACATGCTAGAATAGCCTCCATTAACACAAATTAGCACAATAAGCACTTGCAGCAAGAATATACTTCTACACATATACATATTATTTGTTTGTAATGCATGCATATTATATAGTTGTTTATTTGTGTTGTAGCTAGTGTATCTTGTAGTATAGACTAAGCCTGTTGTAAAGTAGACTAAGAATGGGTACTTCTTATCCACTCGCTCTACAAACAGATATAGCCCGAATTATTATATAAAAGCAGTATATACCTGCTGTAATTAGCCTATAATATAATATTCTGCTATAATTGATCTTTATTCTTAATTTACGGGCAGACTTAGCCTAGACCCGTTGTATTCAACTGCACTCTATTGTGCATAGTCTATACTATGCTTTAATTAGTCTATCATTAGCAAATCCTGCTGTAATTGCTCTGCTATATACATATATAACGTATATTAACAATATGATGTACAATATATTTATATTTTTAGCATACGATACACACTTATAATAAATAATATCACCATAGCATGACTTAATAAATACATGAAGTAATAGTAAAATATTAAAAAATACAAGGGGTGTGCACACAAACCACCTTTCGGCATACAATATAAACGTATTCTGATAGCATATCTGTGCATAAAGTAAATACATGAATATGCAAAATATTGATAATATTTTAACTATATCATTGACAATTAGTCTCTCTGTTGTGCTAAATCTGAAGTACTCAATGATTATTGAACTTATAGTATAACCAGAAAAAAGCAATGAAATATTTAAAAAAATAGCAGGATCCATGCCTTCTTTACGAAGTGTAGAGAATAATAAAAGTATTTGGACAAAAGACACGCTGCAAAGTGCCATAAGCTGTGTTCGCCTAATTAAGTAATTTGTTATATCACTGCAATAGAATGTTAATTTGAATGCCCACATAAAGGATAGGAAGAATATCCAGAACGCATCGTATGTTGCTGTAGAAGGTGTAATAGTCTTTGTATTTGGCGAAATCATCAAGAGTATCAGGTTTATGGCCAGGATGTATTCCCGAATGGAGTTATTAGGGGAACTAATTGACTTAAAGTGCTTTAAGAAGGTCCCAGCAGAAAATAACCCAAAAAATGATAGAATGACCAGATATTTTGATATTTCTGGCACAAAAGACAGATATGCATAGCTAGATGATAAGTGAATCGGGACTTTGATTAAGAATGTGATAAAGAACAGTATAACACACTTCATAATGAACTGAATAATGAATTTTGACGATTTAAGGTGCGAAAAAACAGGTGCGTACGAGATATCGTGTTGTACATGGCGTGGAATAAACTCTGGCTGTTCTGGGATTCGTGGTCTACTATATACAGTGTAATAAGTCCTGTCCATGTGCTTCTATTTTTATTCTGCTTAAATAATTATGATAATTAGAAAAGCAATAATTTTATTAGGAAAATGGCATAACTTATTACAATATGTATAAAAAGTCCTGCATTAATATATGACTAATTACAATGTAAAACATGCCATAACTTAATGTACATGGTGCAATAAGTCGTGTTCTCTTACATACTTCTACGACACACGGTGAACTTTCATGTTCTTTGTTCTCTCCGGATATAAACTTAAAATACTTTTTTTTATAATGAGGGAGTTCACAGTTCCAAGGGTGTTCTTACCAATTCCCCCCATAAAAAGTTCATTACATATTACACATAGGGTAATAGATCTTGATCCAAGGGAAAGAACCTACCCCACAAATTCGAACTATTTTTCAACAATCACAAGACTTTGCAGATTCATGTCGCAAGCAATTCTTGCATGGGGAATCAACAAAGTCACGGCATCCCAGGGATCTGCTCTTTTTCAGCATGCATTCTCGTCAAATGGCGCAGTTATCATGAAATTCGGGCAATTCTTGTCAACCCGGCAGGATATTCTACCTCACGAAATTATAAAACGACTAAATGCACTGCAGGACAGCGTGGAGCACCATACTACAATCACAGACCCATTGAAGATATTTCAAAATGAAACCGGAGTTGCGCTTAATCAAGAATCACTGCAGGGCAGAATAGGCGCAGGATGCATAGCAGAAGTGTTTAAGCTAAAGATAAATGATAAATACTATGCATTAAAAATAATCAACCCAACAGTATACGCAAATATCCATAAAGAAACAAGAATTATGGCACTTATGGCAAGAATTTTCAATGTAACCCGATTCTACAACGAATTTCAGGATAATTTACTGAAGCAGTTTGACTTAAGGAATGAGTTCCAGAACACAATCCAATTTAGACGCAATTTCAAGGATTTCCAAGTGCCCACAAAATTGCCATTTGGCATCTCCAAGGTAGCAACCTTGCTGCGCGGCATATCATATATATTCCCAAAGCCAATAATAGCCACAGACAAGATATTGTTGACAGAATATCATGAAGGCGATAGGGTTAGGCAGGGATCACCCCTGATAGGAAAGAGTGCCTTAATACTCTTCATGAAAATGGTGTTTACAGACGGGTTTGTCCACTCAGACTTACATCCAGGAAACCTTTCCATAATTCATGGCCTGCAGGATGGATCACTCACTTCGAAACTGTTTAAAAATCACAAAACCGTTATAATTTACGATTCAGGTCTAGCACAGAGTTTCACAAAGACCCAAGTCAAGAATTTAAAGGACTTAATTAAGGAACTACTTCTAAAAAACAAAAACAGTGCAATTTCATTAATAATTAACCGAAATAAAATGAATAATTTAACGGAAAATGAAAAGAAAATATTCATTAGAAAGACGCTAAAACTATGGAATAACTTCGAAACGAACAATTTTGACTTGAAAAGTGCTTTAAATACGTTATTTAATATTTTTGTTTTAAGTGGATCCAAAGTATATCTAGATGCATCATATACTAATGCAGTGCTTTCTTCTATTTATGTAAAAAGCCTTGTCACTAATTTTGGCAGAATTAATTCTGCAGTGGCCATGAGTTCTGGCTGTATGCTGGATTATATGGATATTCTTATACGGGGATGGCTAAAGCAACAGAACCTATGATACATAGTGTAATAAGTTATGAGCAAATTAATTAGTAGATATATACAGGAAAACATGCAGGACTTAATACACATAGTATAATAAGTTATGAAGAATATTTGTGCAAGACTTAATCCACAATGACAGGACTTAATCCACTTTGTCAAGACATATTGCTCACTAGACAATTAAAATAAAAATAATTATATTAACTGTAAATCGCATAAAACCTCAATGAAATACGATATTTTTACTTCTTTTTTGGGGTAATCGCAGATATAACATCATTTGCCCTAATGACTTTATCTGTGATAATTAAAATCTTTTCATCTGGGTATTCCTCTGCAAAAAAGATCTTTAGCGCCCGAAACTCAATAAAACTGATCCCTCCATGCATGAAGAGAAGTGTAGTTTTTTTCTCGCCTGGCACTCTTCTTATAACAGGGAACTCTTTCTTGCTTAGCCGCTTTTTCTTCAATTCTCCCACAATTCTGACTACTTCTGGGATATATTCTAGCTTACGGCTCATGTCCTTCTTAAAGGACGGCCTTCTTATGGATATATTCGGGTTTACGAATTTATTAGAAAACTCTTCAATTTCATTTTTGTACGAATTATTTAAGTGAACAGGTTTTTTCTGATTCTTCCACATAGCCATGAAGATATTTTTCGAGGTAGTCAAAGTGCATAAATATTCAATTATAGAAATCCTTAGTCTCTGCGAGTCCGATGGATCCTCCAAAGGAGACACGTCTACTCCTTCAATTAAGTCGTAAATCATCTCTGATACATCCGAATTCTCTGGGCACATATTTGAAATTTGGGTTATTGCCTTAAGGTGCATGGTAAGTCGGTTGCTTTCCTTGGCCCTGTGTCTAACATTCGATATAAACTCACCAACTGATTCTCTAGATATTTTAACCATTTTAAAGGACTCCTTCAGTCTTTCCGTTGCATACAAAATATCCATGAATTTGCACTCCTCAAAAAACCTGTCATCCTGCGAGGTGCACAAGTTATAATCGCCCCAGGATATCATGCCCGCCTTGTATTCCAAATATTCGTCAGCCATGGCTTGGTACGTCCATGCATACTGCAGCGGCGTAAATAAGTCAATCGATCTTTCCATGATAAGTAAGTCAGCAGGCCTCTCAGACCCAAGATGAACCTGGTTTATGAAGTCAGCACACTTGTAGGACACTTCAGACCCGAATAGATACCTGATTTCCAACGACAAATTAAGACCTTTAATCAAGCAACAAAATGAATGAATTATTTCCAGTGGAGTACTCCCATTTAAAATAATAAAATCATTATCGAATGGCACCCCAGGGAAGTACAGCTCCTGAAGCTCCTTAATTACGCCATTAGAATCATTACTTGCGATCTTTTCAATTTCAGCATCACTCAATTCATCCGTTATAAATATATAATATTCCCGGTACGTCTGCCTCTGTATCTCACTAATCAGCATATCCACACTAGACTTACTCAAAATAGCCACGCAAGAGACATCAATAGGCTGCCTAGTATTCTTAATTATTTCAAACAAGAAAAAGTCGCAAGAAAGTAATTCAGCATGCGAGATAATCGGGCTAATAGAATCACGCGTAAATTCATCCAGAAGGAGCGCCTTTATCCCATTCCCCCGGGACAAGGCACTTCTTATGTCAGCCAGCAAGGTGTCCATATAAACAAACAAAGGAAAGGAAAAGAAATAAGTGAGTTTAGTATGGGCGTATAGAAGAGAAAGATAAAAGAGAGATAAATTAGATAAAGAGAAAAGGAAATAGATAAGAAAGAAATAAATTAGATAAGAAAGAGACAGAGATAACTGTAAAAAGAAGATAATAAGAAGATAATAAGAGATAATAAAGTAATAGAAATACTCTATAATAAATAGATTTATTTACCCTCCTATAATAAGATAATGAACCTGTACATATATACACTTATTTGATCTATATGTATATAAATATACTACATATAAAAATAAAAAAAACAAAGGTATATTTACGTATACATATATAAATAAGAAAAGAAAAAAAGAAAAAGAGAGAAAGGGAAGAAAAAGAGGAGAAGAGAGGGAGGGAAGAAAAAAGACTAATATTCACGTATATAAATAAGACTACTAAGCCTACTACGTATACAAATACATCTACGTACTATTTATTTACGTATACAAGTAACCCTACTCACTTACGTATACAAGTAACCCTACTGTATATATAAACAAACAAATAAGACAAATATTCACGTATACAAACAAGACTAATATACTCACTCTCACATAACTATATATACCTAGAATAATTTATTCATAATAACATATTACAGTAGTAATAACATATACACCATATACTGACTAACCTTGGTGTGCTGGGAATGTACTCCTCCAGGGGGCACTGTCCCATGACTCTGAGAAGCTCTTTCCCTTTAATTTTGGGTTATTAATATTTGCCCATATGAGTTTATCACAGAACAAGGGTTCTTCATATCTCCATGAGAAGTACCTGGACATGGAATTTGGGTTAGACCAAATTTCAGTTGTAATTCTGTCACCTGGCATTATTTCATTGCTTGCAACCACGAATTTACTGCCAATCTTGTAAATTACGTTATGATTTGGTCTATCCACTAGATAATACTTTACATCAACAGGCTCCTTACAGAATACCTCCATACAGGATAGACTAAACCTGTAATTATCACAGGAAAGTGCATGGAAATCAAAGAAAGAGAGGGAGTACCAGGAACCGTGCACAATTAAAGGCGCTTCCCCTGCCAGGTCCATGACATCCTTGTACATCTTATATAAAGACTCTTTGTTCTTTGTGGGTGTCCTGATGATCACATTATTACCTGATTCTGTCGCACTTTCAAATTTAATGTAGACCCCGTTCTTCTTCATTAATCTTTGTATTGATTTTCCTCCGTATCCTATTATCCTTTTATGGTGTCTTTCGTGCAAGTAAAACCCGAATTCAGTGGGAATTTCATCTTCGATCATTTTCAGCCCAAATTCAGCATTAGATGAGTTTCCTTCAATCAGAATTGCCAGTAATTTATCACGCTGTATGGAAAGTGCACAGTCACTCTCTCTGGATACTTTGTGTAATTTACCATTTTTCTTGCCGCATATGAATTCTTCAATTGTCTCCGGGATGTACACGGATATCTCGCAGGATGCATCAATATCTCGAAGGATCTTCTTGATTTCTGACGATCTCCCGATTACCCGGGTCTCATGTGGTCCCGTGAACAAGAACACTTTTGCATCGCAGAATCTGTCAATCCCAGATATTTTCATAGTGACAATGGAGATGAAAAGAATTTCCAGCTGAATAATTGCTTCATTCAAGGATTTCTTGCAGAAACCAGAGACTTGCAAGATGGATGTTCCATCAGAATGGGATATTTCCATGATGTATGACTCATTCCTGACCAGAATATCTTCTAAGTCAGTTCTTAAATGGGTTAGTGCATAGAACAGTGATATTTTATCAACAGTCAATAACTTATCATATAATTTATCAGATAAACTAGAAGCACTAACATATTCTGATGAAGGGTATGCTATAATTGCCTTTGTACTTAGTATTTTACTCTCAAAGTACACATGTGCCCCAGTTTTCAGCAGATTTCCCCCATGGACAGGTGCATTTATGGAGACAGGTGTCCTGTTAAGGGTTTTCTCCATTAGTCTAAATATATCTGTGCGTATATTAAAGGCATTCTTGTAATTATCTGATATATTAACGGATAAATATGATTTTAGTACGGAATATTCCAGTGACCCAGAATGTACCCTGGATATCTTGTCTAATTCGCACAGGAAAGTGTCTTCATCAGAGAGTAAGTATGGGGGTACGTGTATATACAGTGAAATAAATGATATATCTGCAATGTCAGTTAATATATCTGTTATAACTGTATTTTTAAGTAATTTAACGGACACTTTTGTAGTATATTCCTTAATATGCGTATAAGACACAGATGCCTTCTGGAATAGTTTTCGTTCCAGGAGGTTAATCAGCTTAGTAGGATATGTATCTGGGGAGGAAGAGAAAAGGAAGAAGTGAAGGGTACTACTGTTGTAGTTAGTCGTATTATTGTTATTTAGGGTAGTACTTCCGTTGTAATTAGTCATATTACTGTTGTAATTAGTCGTACTCTTGCTATTTTTATTTAACAAGGCACTTTCACTGTTGTAACTACTACTAATATTACTGTTATAGCTAGTACTAATATTACTGTTGTAATTAGTACTAGTACTGCTGTCCTTGTTATTTTTATTTAACAAGGCACTTTCCCCGTTGTAATTAGTACTCCCGTTATAATTAGTCGTGTCCTTGCCCCTGTTGTACTTAGTCATGCTGGGTGTATTACTGTTGTAACTAGTCGTGTCCTTATTCATATCAAAAGAGCTGTGCATCTGGTGCATGGCGTGGGGTGTATAAGAGGGGCATATGAAACAAGGTGCAGGATGCACGAATGGGTTGGGGGTGTGTGACCAATTAGCAAAAATGACAAGGGGGGGATTCGAACCCCCGCCTTCATACGAAGACTAGGACCTAAACCTAGCGCCTTAGACCGCTCGGCCACCTTGCCTGTGGTTATAGCATAAATAGGTTTGTTGTTTATTTTTATTTATGAAGTATGTGGAGGGAATGCCCTTGACTAGTGTGGTCTGTTCGAACGGGTCTGTGGTAATAGGGGGAGGAGGTGGAAATCCATTATTTGGTTTCCCAAATAGGATTATTCTATTAGACTCTGCGTGCAATGAGATTATGCACCTTACAGTGCGGGACATTATTTTGAGTCTTCGGGCTGTCCCTGGTGCAGTTCTTGTGGAATATTTTAATTTTTTTGAGGTATTTTTAATAAAAGACGGGGTGATTGATGGGCCTGTATGGGGAGAAGAGGGTGTTACATCTGCTGTCCTTGGGTCAGATGGAGTCTACTACGTGAAGAATGGCCTTGTGAGATTAAATATCTGGGAGGCCATGAAAAAGACAAAACTTAATACACATAGTGTAGAAAGTAATGGTAAAGAGCCAGAAAAAAGTGCAGAACTTAATACACATAGTGTAGAAAGTAATGGTGATGAGTCAGAAAAAAGTACAGAACTTAGTACACATAGTGTAGAAAGTAATGGTAAAGAGCCAGAAAAAAGTACAGAACTTAATACACATAGTGTAGAAAGTAATGGTGAGGAACAGGGGAATAATCCAGAACTTGTTACACTACATGCAAAAAGTCCTGTCACTGAGGGTGAAAATATTCCAAGACTTCTTACACTACATGGAAAAAGTAATGAATATTTAATTTATTCAGAAAAGACAGACGGAATAGTCTCTTTATACGAAAATGCCGAGGAAACAGTCTTACCAGGCCCTATAAGCAGGTATAAGATGCAGGACAAGGCGTATTCTTACATAGTACAGTTAAAGGACGACTATTCCCTGGTTACAATGCAGTATGATGGCAAAATATATCATGTTTTGGAGAAAATGTGTATTTCTGTGGCTGTCTCAGAGGGTGTCTTCTACGTGGGAACAGGCCGGGGTGAAGTAATTGCGTATAAGAAGGGGCGTGTGTTATGGAGGAAAAAGATATTCACGTCGCCCGTGACGGATCTGTGGCTCAATGGGAGAGATATTTGGTGTACGTGCATAAATGGGAGGGTGATCAAGGGTTCGATCGACGGGGACTTTAATAGTTTCTTGAAGTTCGGGATACTTTCTGTTTTTATGGCTGGGTGCATGTTTGCTGTTAAGTCTTGGGTTTTTGGAAAATAAAAAAAAGGAAACTCTCTCACAGGGAATCGAACCCTGGTCCCCCGCGTGACAAGCGAGAATGATAACCACTACACCATGAGAGATCCGTAAGTAAGTAGTGAAGATTATAGTTATTGGGGTAATAAAGATGATTCATTTTATTGTAGGGAGTATATGGCAAGACTTTTTAATTTTTGGGCAGAACTTAATCCACTTAGTACAAGACTTTTTACATTTAGTACAGGATTTATTATACTTAGTACAAGACTTAATCCGCACTGACAAGACTTAGTCCATAATGACAGGACTTAATCCACTCTGACAGGACTTAATCCACAATGACAAAACTTAATCCACATTGTCACAACTTATGCCCACAATGACAAGACTTAATCCACTTAACCACAATTTATGCCCTATATAATTAGTCACAAATAAGGCATGATCTCCTCGGCCCACAGTGACTCTGACAGACCAAGCCGTCTCTTCTGTACTCCCCCCTTGAGGATGTCATTCACAACAGAATCCAAGTCAGACACAAATATATCACTAGATATACTATCACAATATTCCACCTGATGATTATTAATTAATTCCTTATTGGGTATTACTATAAATGGAATATTTCCTAATAAGGAAGTATTTCCCAATAAGGAAATAACAGTCCCAGTACCACCATGCGTTATAATTAAATCTGCACCCATCACAAACTCATTTATATCAGAATAATAACGTACTTTATGTATTCTAACAGGAATCCCATCCAAGCACAAATTCTTCAATGATTCTGGTTCTTTCATACCGTACTGTATATATATCTCGTTATATTGTAGACTAATTATGTCAATTGACAATATAATACGATCTATTAACTGATTAAAGCCAAATGATCCTGTTGTAATAACTAGTCTCATTAATTAATTATAAAAATATATATAATATATAGACTAATTGTAGTGGGATATTATGGGTATAGACTAAGTACAGCGGGATATGACTAAGTATAGTGGGAATAGACTAAGTACAACGGGATATTACTAATTACAACAGGAGTATACTAACTACAACAAAACAACAGTATAGGCTAAGTGTAACAGAACAACAGTATATACTAAGTGTAACAGTATAGACCAATTACAACAGGATATATAAGTTAGTTATAAATACAACAGTATATACTAATTACAACAGGAGTATACTAACTACAACAGAAAAACAGTATATAACCAGAAATATAACAGTATACACTAAATATAACAGTACAACAGTATATATAAGTTAGTCATAAATACAACAATAATTCACTTATAGTCCAACTTATCCCACTCCACTAAGTAACCCAATACTCCCCCATTGTATCCATATAATATAAAATAACACAATACTCCCCCCTTACAACCCCTAAATATCCCACTGTATTTTACTAAATATAAATATAAGAATAGAATATTTTTGCACCAAACAATAAAATGTTTCGAAGTGAAGATGTAAGCATGGTAAGACTCTACATCTCACCAGATATAGCCAGGAATGTAATAGAAGAACTAGGACAAAGGGATATCCTGCACTTAATTGAGACAAAACAAAAACCCACAGAGAAGTCACAGCACGCCCTCGATATGGAAAGAATCCTAGCCAGAATCGCATTTCTCTCAAATAAACTCACAGAAAGCAAAGTCACATACATAAAGGGCACTAATATACCACCCTTAAGCACAACCATAGAAGCACTTTCAAAGTCAATTGAGAAGCACTATTACAGAATAGCACAATTATCACAGATCATGAAAGACACAAAAGAATCAATTGAGAAATTAGAAGAAGACGTATTAGTACTACAAGATATAAATAGACTAACAACAGAAGGATTTAAAGACCTGGAATTTGAATCAAATAAGATCAGAGTAGGCCTAGAATACGTAGCAGGCGTAATCTCAAAAGACCAAATATTCACATTAGAAGCCTTCTTATGGAAATCACTCCATGGGAACTTGTGCTTTGTCTCAGTGGAAATGACTGATCCACATAAAATGGGTTTTATTTGCTTCACTCATGGGGAAAGAGCAATTGAAAGAGTCAGAAATATTTGCACTAGAATTAGTGCCAGAATCATAACATACGACAGCCCAGGGACACAGCAGAAACAGAATGACCTATTAAATGTATCTGAGAACCTGTCACACCTGACTAAACTCCATAAAATCAACGAAGATGCATTTTCAACGGAAATTAAAACAGTCTCCAGATCAATTGTAGAGTGGAAATATTACATAATCAGGGAGATAGAGATAGAAATAGCCTTATCCAAACTATCCATAACACAAGATAAAGCATATCTAACAGGAGAAGGCTTCATTCTCACAAGAAATGAGATAAGATTTGGACAACTCATAAAGAAGATCAGTGAAACACATGGAGATGCTGCAGCAGAGATAATCTCAGATGAAAATACAATTAAACCCACATACTTTGATACTAACCCAATCACACAGTGCTTTCAAGACCTGACTAACGTATACAGTACACCTGCCTATAAGGAAATTAACCCAACAATCCTCTCAATCACCACATTCCCATTCTTATTTGGGGCAATGTTTGGTGATGTAGGACACGGTATAATATTCATGGGAATTGGAATATTCTTTATACGTTGGAATAAAACCAGTAATATGCCAGATATGATTAGTCTATTATACAATGCCAGATACGTTCTTGTTATAATGGGCATATGGGCCGTATACTTTGGCTTCTTATATGGGGACTGCATGGGATATGCATTTGGTCAGGAATTATCAGCATATAAGGGGAGTACTAAGATGGGTAACTGTATCTTTGGAATTGATCACAGCTGGCACCTGGCCAGTAATAGTTCTGTCTTCATAAATTCCCTCAAGATGAAAATGAGCATAGTCCTGGGGTTTATACATATTACAGCAGGAATGTGCCTAGGTCTAATTAACTCCATATATAAACAGGATAATATTTCCATTATATGCACCCGTATACCACAGTTCGTTATATTTATGGGACTAATTGGATATATGGTATTCCTGATTATTTTGAAATGGTGCACAGGTGGTGATCATTGGCCTGGTATTATTTCGATACTAATTGATATGTCTTCATTTAAGGCACCTGCTGTACCCGTGTACATGTACCAGAATATTATTGAGAAATTCATTATGATTAGTGTATTTATATCTGGGCCTATTATGCTACTGGGTGAACCCGTATACAGGACCATTTATAAAAATATTCCGAAGGGAAGTACGTTGGCTGATGTCTGGTTGCACTCATTAATTGAAGGAATTGAATTTACAATGGGTTTGATATCAAATATATCATCATATCTGCGGTTATGGGCTGTCTCATTGGCACATGCTGAACTTAGTGCTATTTTATACAGTAAGACACTCGGTAACACAGATCTAGGTATAATTGCATGGTGCCTTGGGAGTGTAATATGGGGATGTGCCACAATTATGCTGCTAATTGGCTTGGAGGGACTTAGTGCCACACTGCACAGCCTCAGGCTGCACTGGGTAGAATTTGGATCAAAGTTCTTCAAGGGAGACGGCGTATTATTCACGCCCTTCACGTTCAGGCCAGGAACACTCCTAAACCCAGACAGAGTACCAGGTGGTGAGGAGTAACCAGAATATAACCCGAGAGAGAAGAATAAGAGAAGAGTAAGAGAAGAGTAAGAGAATAAAGGATATATTTTATATAGTGGATATTTTATGTTGTATTTGTGACTAACTTATTTTTCTGGGTGTTTATAGTGAGTATCTTCTGTTGTGACTATGACTAACTGTACTAGAGTATATTTTATACAGTGAGTAGAGGGTATTCTCTGTTGTGACTATGACTAATTTATTTTTATATTTTTTAGAAGAGAATATTTCTGTTATAAATATAGCTAGTAGTAGAGTATTTTATATTTGGGTATTTCCTGTTGTATTTATGACTAAACATGACTAAACATGACCAGAATATGTATATACGTTATAAATATGACTAACTCTACTAAAGTATTTTAAGAGTATATTGTATATTGTAAATATGACTAAATATGACTAACTATAACACAAGTATATTTTATAACCTATATCCCCTGTTGTATTTATGACTAAATACTACTAAATATGACTATCTATTATACCCCCTGTTGTAAATACTACTAAACACCTATATATCTCTCTAGTCTGGTTATATATTCACGATACAAAAGTATTTATAGATTTGTTTTTTTTATTTTTATGAAGATTGAAAGACCAACGCAAAGACGATTCTCACAGCCTCCTGAGCAAATCTCAAATATCATAGAAAGACTAATAGATATATCAGAAGAAGAGATTTCTGGATATTTAAGGAATATTTCTGAATGGAAATACACTAAGAGTGACCTTATATACTGGATGGACGTACTAGACAGATTTGATGGTATTTTATCCAGTATTGTAGCAGAATATAATCTAAATCAGTACCAAAATAAACCAATGCATGAATCTCACATAGAAATAGTCCATGCAATCGTACGGTTCCAGAAATTGTTAGTTGAAAATAGTTCAAATAAGAGTATTTTCAGTTCATTTGACGTAATAGAACCATTTATCTATTCATTTGAGTTATCTCTGGCCATAGAAGCACTCTATTTGGTCTCTTTCTTTGCGTCAAAGGTGCACATTCAGAGATCAATAAAGACAAGCATGCTATTGATGAAGATGGACTCACTAAAGGTACTCATAGACAGAGTAAAGGATAAGCCACAGAGTATATACACGTATTATGATGAGACCACAAATACGTGCAAGAGAGTGAATATTAAAAAGACGTTAAAAAAGGGAATTTATACAGCACTTGATAAGATAGTCCCAAAGCATGAACTAAAAAGGTTCATACATGCGATCAGACTGCATGAACAGACTGAACAAATGGATAAACTAAAGATCATAAGGATGCTTGCATTTAGTGCACTAGTGTATTACAGTTACACAGACCTCCCTATAGACTCAGAGTTCATCAGCAGAGACCTTCCTGAGACACTAGCAATCATAAACTCAGAAGGATACCACATGAGAGAGGCAGCTGTCACAATGATAGATGCGATATTCAGGATGCGAATAAGACACTCTTCCGTTATAGCTGCCATGAATGCACAGTCACATGAAGGCATGATTATGACACTTTTAAAGAAGGTCGTAAATGAAGACGTACCAGAACACTTTGCCATTGCATTCTTCAACTTCCTGAGTTCTTGCTTTGCATCTGCGCCTTGTGTCTCTGCCTTGTTCTCTGCAGGAATTGTGCAGTACGTCTGCAATACACTCAGAAGTAGACCAGATATTTCGTACAGAAAGAGAATGCGTCTGGTAATGGGTGCTAACACATTCCTGTTCACTCTTCCTGTCCCATTCACATGGTTTATATCTGAGAATGGAATAAGAATTCTCTCTAAGGAATTATTGCAGGCAGTGGAAAGTGCTTTGGGACAAGTCAAGGACCATGACCTACTGATGTACATTAATTCGATCATGAAAATAATCTCGCAGTTATTCAAGAATGCAGGGACAAGTGAGGCCATGCGAGGATTCTTAGAGGGTGAATTCCCCAGGGCAATTAACCTAGTGCTATTTCACTCAGAGGAATTTACGCCTTCTATTCTAGCATACTTATTCTCTGCTGTCTCAGACTACATACATAATGAACCATCTAATCTGCCATTTATAATTGAAGCAGGCATATTTGATGGATTTGTAGTGTGCATGCAGAAGGACGTGCCTGTCTCAGCTGACTTGCTCATGGAACTCCCAAATCTCATCGAAGCATTCTTCTTGAACTCGGACTTAATACAGAAGATACAGGCAGAGAATATCCTGGATAAAATATTCACGTGCTTTGAGGTCCCTGGGATGTGCAACGTAATTATGTCTTATGATATTGCTAGGACGTACGGAATATTCCTGGAGAACTTAGTGCGTCATTATCCTGTGATTTCTTCAACTGTGAAAGAGAAGATATACAATACAATGAAGACCCTGGAGGGACAGATATCCCAGACAGAGCCAGACCTGATGCTTCTCCTGCTGGAGAATCTATTCCGTATGGTGCACAGGGCAGTCTACAGGAAAACAACAAATAACCAGCTTATAACGGACAAAGGCCTCCTTAATAATAGAATCATAAGCATGCTCATGCTCATAGAAATACCCGTTGAAACAGACTTGTACACTGACGTAATGAGTATACTCATGGAAGTATTTGAGGAAGACCAAGCGTACGTCATTTCTTACATTGCAAAGGTCATAGACAGAACCATGAAGAATAAGACTACACCAGAGAATGTGGAGAAGGTTAAAAGGATCCTTCTGATTGCAAACTACCTTGTCTTTAAGACAGATGAGACAAGCAAGGAGTTCGTGAAGCACTGTACATCAAAGGGTTTCCTGCAGATAATCAAGAAGATTAGTCAGTACTTTGACAGAGTTAGAAGGGAAAGTACTCTAGGCATATCTGTGTCTACGTGTGAATCTCTGACTAATTTGTACTACTCCTTCACTCTGGGCATACTCAGGAACATATACACGACAAAGGACTCTGCTAAACACTATCTGAAAATGTTTAGTATCCTGATGGAAGACCTTTTAGAGAAAGCACAGGAAGTAGACCAAATATACTATACACAGCATATGCACGGTCTGAAGAACTATTTGCTCCTGGATAAAGACACTAAGACATATCCCCATATGAACTATTTCATTGTCACGCATGACTACTTGATTGGATTGAATTTAAGCGGAATATTAATGCAGCACGGGAAAACTGCCATATTACAACTGAAGAATGAAGAGATACAGATGGGTGCACTGAAGAAGGTGGTTATTTCCATTTTGGAAGTACTCTCCATATATACACGCGGAATAAAGAACCTTTTCATTCCTGTGAAGGAGTCAAAGAAGAAGGTCTCTGAGATTGAGGAGCACGTGCTCATAATAATTGAGCTTCTGATGGAGTACATTGACAAAGGCAGCATAGACCACTTACTAAGCATTATTAAGACAGCCTTTTATATTACACTCAAGAAGCAAGTGACAAAAGAATTGGAGAGAGAGCATGAAGGAAGCCCAGAGCACAAGAGAAGATCTATCCTTGGGTCATTCTTTATCTCTGTATTTTTAGGTCTCCCAAAGGAAGAGACTGAAAGTGTCTTGAACTCAGACATATTCACGATCCTGGTGAAGAATAAAAAGACCTTTAAGCAAGTCTACAACAGAGGATGCTTCGATCTTCTGAGGTATGCAGCCATAAAGGAGAGCAGGGTATTTGCGCACTTAGTGGGTTCCATCCCGAAAATGACTGAAATAATCGGGTCATCCAAAGACCCTGCACTCCTTAGGTTATACGCCATGGGACTTGTCTTTGTGGCTATGCGGGATACATTAAAGAAGACATCCGTCCTCTCTAAGTTCACAGGAAGAATTTCCTTTGAAGAGACAGAAGACCCAGAATTAATCGAGGCCCAGGGCGTTGTCATTCTGGCTGTCACAAAGATAAGGATAGAGTACAATCTAAATATACAGATGGATGACCCTCTTGTTTATCTTAATAGAATGTACAGTGCAGTAGAAAGGACAGAAACAAAAGATGGAATTATCATGCTCATAAACCTGCTCATCAGAAGGATCATAGAAAGTAAAGAAGCCGTGAAGGAAACAGTAGATACAATCATAAAAAGCAAACACTTAGGGAAGTACAGGATGTACACCACGCATACAACCTGTAGTAACCTAAGAAGCACAATATTCTACTCAGTTTCTTCATTTTTATCCTACATATTGGAGAACTTTGAGTGCATCAGTGCAGGCTGGGAGGATATCAGGCATAAAATACCAGAAGAAACAAAGCCAGCCCCAAGCCCAGGCCAAATATCAGAGGCTGCCCTGGAGACACTCTCTGATGGACTGTTCACAAAGAAGACAAAAATATATTCGGACTTAAATACAGATATATTCAGGACACTTTTCATGCACAGGGCACCCGGGAAGATAGAACAGATCATTAGAATACACTCTTTGTGCCTGCTGGTTACTACATTCCCGCAGTTACTTACGACACTCCTGCCAGGTGACTACGAATACTTCTTGTACTTCATACAGAATCACGCAGTGTATGCTAAGTCACTCAAGCAGAGTGCAGTGCCCCAGGAGGACAAAACCCTGGCGTACTGGTCAGGCTACATTATCATGCTTATTTTCAACCACTCCACGTGCCTTGATATTAAGAGGTATATCATGCAGAATATCCTGCTGGCACTTCCTGCCTCTGTGAATTCTACCGTTATATTCTCGGAATTAATCCAGGAGACACTTACCATGAGGTTTAGCAAGAATGCTTTCGATGAGAATATATCACTCGTCAAGGAGATGAAGTGTCTGGAGACTATGATACGCGGTGCAATGGAAATAGACAGCAGAAGGAAGGACTACGGGAATATCATGGAAATACTCACAAAACCACTGGAGTACATCACAAGAATACTTGCAGTAGATGAGAAAGAAGCATTCTATGAAGAAGTCACGCAGTCAGAAGAAGAAGTGTACTTTGAGGATATAGATGAAGGATTCATGGAGGACTTTGATACCGATGAGACCATGGACAGTGACCAAGTCGTGTACGAAGACACAGAAGAACACTCGCATGAGGCAGGTGAGATGTGCAGTGAAGATGACTCCCTTACAGTCTACACCTCAGAGTCAAATAATTACGAGAACTACATCTCAGACGAGACAAGTGAGGCAGAGACAGAGAAGGAGCACTCTTCAGCAGAACAATCTGAGAAGACAGAATTCCTTAAGACACTCTGCATGCCTTCTGTGTCAAAGCTGCTTGCTGAAGAGATGGAAATATTCTTGGGTGGAGAGAAGATGTCTTTCCTTCAGAAGATACTTGAAGGCATGATTATCTCTGCCCTACAAGAGAAAGAGCCTTCTTCCACGGAGGAGGGCCCTGGAGCTAGTGAAAACCTGCAGGGTGGACATATCTTAGGGACAGAGGCAACAGAGATATCAATTGAGTACAGCTATGACCCGAATGACCATGATTACTCATCGGACGAGAATGACTACGAATACGACGATGACTCGCACTATGAGTACGATGAAAATGGGTCTGCAGAGGATGAATATGATGACGAAGAGAGTTTTGCCACTGGAGAAGAAATAGTCATAGGGGATGAAAATGGAGAAATACCAGAGCTGGATGAAGAAGTCTTGAATAATCTGCCTGCTTCCATCTTGGAGGATACGGTTGCGCAGTTCTACCAAGACAGAATATCATCCAGCACGGAGTATCGGCCTATTAGCCTGCACTTCCTGAACCGTCTCCGGGAAGAAGTCAGAAGCGTATTTGAAGAACATGAAACACGGTATATGGAGACATTTGCTGGGGAAATAGTTCCCAGGAGAGAAGAAAAAAAGAAGAAACCGCAAGAAATACCTTTTATTGCAGAAAGAGAAGCAGAAGCATCTGTGCCCATGGAAATCGTACTGGAATTCATCCATACGATCATTCAGTGCGGAAACAGAAGGAATCTTTACAGGATTATCAATAATATATCTGCAAACAAAGAGATAAGAATATTTGCTGTAGAGACACTTGCCAAGATAATTCACCAAATGGCCCTGGAGTCAACAGGAAATTCAAATGGTGGGAATTCTTTTGTAAGTGCAAGTATCTCTTCACCTGCACACACAGAAGCAGTCTCGCCTGAAGTGATTGTAAAGAGGGGTTTTGAAGCACTGACGTATCTGTGCACTAAATCTTCTGATTTTACAACGGCATTTAGCTATGACACATCACTGATCAATAAGATCCTGCATGCAACGAATAAAAGAACCATTGCAGAAAGTGTTAAGCTACTGAGTACAGTGGGTGACTGCTTCAATAGTGACAGAGTCCTAGCAGCAGATGGGATTGAAGCAGAAAGGTACATTGGCTTCTTAGAGTACGATATGACAGACGACAGTTTCAGGTACTTCTGCGAATTTGTCCGGAAAACAGACAGATTCTACAGGGCAGAGTACCTGGTGTACTTGATGGCTGGCAGTAAAAAGAGCCTGGAGGAGTGCATGCACAGGAAGGAGGAATTTAACAGTCATGTGCACCATAAGAGTATTATTAAGCTTGTGAGAATGGTTACTTTGATAAATATTGTGGGAATAACGGATGAGTATCTTAAGGAATTGTACGCCCTCAGGGAAATGCCCTTCTGGGAGTATTATTTCAATAGAATTCTTCCCAAGGAGAAAGACTCTTTGTACGCATCTTCAATACTTCCACTCTTCAAGGCATTTATCATTGTGCACTCCATACAGATATACGTTGGAAGAAAGGCACATTCAAATGAATTTGCAGAAATACAGAATGAATCTGCCGTATACCATGGGGTAATTGAAAGGGAGAAGGATCTTATTAATACATTCATACAGGCAGACCCAGACCTACTCTTCCACTCATTTGCAGGTCTCCAGAAGAAGATTCTTGACTTTGACAATAAAAGGATCTACTTCTACAAGAAGATCCGGGGAGACATTCAGATGCGCACGACTGTCCCACTCATGGTCCAAAGGGGTGCTGTATTCGAGGATACTTTCCATCAATTGATGCGCCTCACAGGTGAGCAAGTCAGAAATGCCAAATTCAACATAAAATTCGTAGGAGAAGAAGGTGTTGATGCAGGCGGCCTCACGAGGGAGTGGTACTCTGAGCTGAGCAAGGAAATGTTCAATCCAAACTATGCCCTTTTCACGCCCATTGGGTCTTCGTACCAGCCGAACCACATCAGCCACATAAACCCAGAGCACCTGGTGTACTTCAAGTTCATTGGGAGAATCATTGGGAAAGCGGTTTACGACGAAATGACAGTTGACTGCCACTTCACCAGAGCATTCTACAAGAGAGTTCTGAGAATACCCGTGGATCTGAGTGATGTAGAGGCCCTAGACCCGGAGTTCCACCGGTCTCTGGTTTGGATCCTGGAGAACGACATTGAAAATGTCTTGGAGATGACTTTCTCCATGGAGCAGGACAGATTTGGCATCACAGAAGTGATTGACTTGAAGGAAAATGGAAGGAATATTCCTTTGACTAATGCGAATAAGAGGGAGTACGTTGAGCTTGTATGCGGGTTTAAACTGGTTCGTGTCATAGAGAGACAGCTCTCTGCATTTGCTGAAGGGTTCTTTGAAATTCTTGATATAAACCTGCTGAAGATGTTTAATGAAAAGGAGGTTGAGCTGCTGATCAGTGGTCTCCCAGAGATTGACGTGGATGACTGGCGCAATAACACAGTATACTTCGGGTACACCTCAGAGTCACAAGTGATCCGGTGGTACTGGAGGGCAGTCCGTAATTTCAGCATGGAAGAGCGTGCAAAGCTTCTGCAGTTTGCCACAGGAACATCAAAGCTGCCTCTTGAAGGGTTTGCAGGACTAAGGTGCCCAAACGGAAACCAAAAGTTCCAAATCCATAAGGCATCTGGCGGTTCCACTAGGCTCCCAACGGCACACACTTGCTTCAACCAATTAGACATCCCGGAATATGATTCGTACGAACAGCTTGTCAAATCCCTTCTGTTCTCCCTTGAGGAATGTTCAAGTGGATTTGGCTTTGCATAAATAAATAATACATATTACTTGCTGACTTATAATTCACATGCCTGCAGAACAGACATAAGATAGTCCTAGGCATATTCTTGTTGGAAATTTCTTTGAGGATAATTTTGGATTTTTGGTTTGGACTATTTTGGGAGCATAAATTCATGTTCTTCCTTATGGCTCACTATACTTCTGTCTCTTTGACTGCTGGTTGTGAGTGTGCATAAACGGTCTCTTTGTAATTTGCAAATTTATTTTTATGCTTTTGGTTCTTGTGGTATCCAGCCAGTTCCCAATGAGCGAGCAGTCAATGAATGACTTGCTTGTTTTTCTTATAATGTATCTGCGGACTGGGCATAACAACAGGCTTAAAATAGTTAATAAGCTGTCAATCTTGTTTGATTCTGATGTGAATTTGGAAGAAGAGCTTACTGATAAAATATTACGCGGTTTTAATGGCGACCCAGAGACAGATCAGTGCAGGGACCTAGGGTATGCCCTGCTGCTGGTTCAGAAGGAGAAAAGGGACAGAAGTAAAATACTCTTTTTTTCCTCGGGAAGTACGTCCTTAAACTTCATAAAATGCGCATTTACAGCAAAAAAGCAGAATATTCATGTGGACTGCGTCATTCCGCATGATGGATTTGCGTCCCAGATATCTGACGTGCTAAATAGGCCTGCCTTCAGTATCTCTTCAAATGAGTCTCTTTTTGAGTACCTCATGGGAATGCTCTCAATGGACTTTGGGCGGATCTCAAAGAAGAATCTTTCCAGATTCTGCATATGCCACCATAAAGAGATACAAACAGGATACTTATGCCCGATCTGCTTGGGGCTTTATTGTAAATTCGTTCCCCTATGCAAGCACTGCAAGACAAGATTTGTTTTCTAATCGAGAAACCCATATCCAAAACCTTTGGGCTACTCTGAAAATAGCCTGATTCTTACAGCGCACTACGCTTACTACTGCCATATTTTGGTTATATTCTGGCTGTATTCAGCAGATATTTCCTGTATTTTTATCTTTAAAATAAAACTGTTCATTTTCATTGAAAAACTACACTTTTTTTTCCTGTATGATGATCAGAGAATATTCGAAAAAAGTGACATTTTCAAAGAACCATGCGATCACAGGCACCAGGCGCAAACAAGATGCAGCCCATGGAAGTGAAGTAAATTTGAATATAACAAGATAGAATTCAAATATTCCAGATGTCATAGTATGCAGCTTTCAACAACAAAACTATCTATTTCATCAGCGCCAAATGATAGAAATCAACAGACCTATACAGTATATACTAAATAAGAATACTTCAAATATCCAGGCAGTGTCACACTATATTGAAATATCTTAAAGAGATTAAATAATTTAAACTTTACGAAAAACTTCATATAAATATATTTAAAAAGAAATTTATCATTTATAAAGCACAGTAAGAAGAATATTTTCATGAAAGAAATGCATAAGATAAGGATCTGCTTAATATAATAAACTACAAGAATACAAGATATAAGAGAAGATACTCTGAAAAATATGAAGGAAAACATGGAAGTGAAGGCAATTCCACAACTGACAAAAAGGTTCCCAATGCGGGAGAAATGCAAGGTCGGCTTGTTCCCATTTAAATCTTGCTATATCTGCGGAAGAGGAATGTTATCACAAACAGAAGGTGTTTCAGATGTCAAAAAGGCATTCAAAGGATTTAAGTGGATTGAAGGAAGACAATTCATGCTGCTTACAAAGGAGTCAAATGAGAGTGCGTACATATATGCAGATGAGCATCTTCCAACAGAGCACTGCACGTGCGTTATACCAGGCCACATATTTACACCAATTGGCACCAAATTCAACCTGGAAAGATCATTCACCCCACAGAGCGAGAACTACAGAAATAGTATGTATATGCACCCAGTCTTCCCAGTCTTTTCCCCGTACCTCATATGCCTTGATAGAATTATATCCGGGAAAGACACCAGAACCACGTGCATGATAAAGAACATCCCGAATAAGCTGAATATACGGCAATTAATTGAAGTGCTTACATCAATATGCTACAATGCCTTTGACTTCGTCTATTTAAGGATGGACTTCAAAAGCAACTGCAACAATGGATATGCCTTCATTAACTTCCGGGGCGCAAAATACATCCCAATCTTCCTGGATGCAATTCAGGGCAGAAAGTGGAAAAACTTCAAAAGTGAGAAGAAAGGGGATATAGCATATGCCAGGATACAGGGCCTGCATATGCTGCAAAGCAGGTTCCGAAGAAGTGATATCTTAGCAGCAGACAAGGAATACTGGCCAGTCATATTCAACAAACAGGGCGATGAAATACTGGCATCTGAGTGGAAGCTGCATTGACCATCAAAATATGCTATTTATTTGCACTTTACACAGCTCTACATTTCATTAATAATTTCTTTGATCTTTCTAAGAGTTCCAGCTGGTCTGTTAAAATAAAACCAGTCTCCATGCAGGCGTGTTTATCATAGAACCATAACCCGAATATTTCTAGCTCCTTCTTTTCCTGGATCTTTACAATAATAAACCTGTCATATATCTCTATATCGTATATCGTGTGATCTATTGCCAAGTATAAGTCCTGTGGCTTCTTCCGGTTAAGCACAAGAATTCCCGTCGATGGAATTGCCTTTCTCTTGTATAAATGGATGGCTCCTTCAATCTCTGCAGGAACCCACTTGTCTTCGTATTTAAGAACCACCACATTGACAGATGTCAGGAGCAAGTGACTGTAGTGCGCGTCCTTTCCTTTAAGCATTCTATTGGTTACTTCATTCGTCTGCGGCCTTTGTGTCTGCATGCTTCTAGTTTTAATTGGAATTTTTTTATTTGTTATGGCGCAGATTCAAGTTCTAAGGAAAATACATATTTCAGATATAAAGGATGGAGTGATCTATGAGGATGTGCTCTTTACAGCAGGAAGGGATCGGGTTATTCGGGTTTCATCCGTGCCAGAACTTATTTCTCTCACTGAATCTGAAGACCTTGGGGCTGCAGTAAATTCAATGTGCTTCCACAAAGGCACTTTATATGCGGGACTGCAGACAGGCGAGATAGTGAAGTACGCTGTGACAGTGGACCAAGCAAAAACAAATGAATCTGAAAAAAATGAAGTGAATGTGACCATGAATATTCTTAGCCGGGAAAAGGTGCACACAGATAATGTGTGCTCTCTTAGTGCCTTTGAAGAAGGTGTTTTAAGCACGTCCTGGGACAGCACTCTGGGAATTCTCAGAGAAAATCACGCAGCAGAAATCATCCGAATAGAAAGTGTCGCGTGGACAGCAAAAAAGGTCCCAAATCAAGACAGGATACTCGCAGGATGCATAGATGGGTCAGTCATAACCCTGAAAAAGGTCGACCAAAAATACACCCAAGCAAAGGGAATTCGCCTGCACGCCACATGCATTCGTGACATGATAATGGAAGAGAACAAATATATATCCGTCTCCAACACGGGCGTAGTCATAGTAGCAGACCTAGCAGGAAGAGTCCTTCATAAAGTAGACCTAAATAATACAAGTTTCCGAATAAACCCATACACAGCACAGAAAGAGACAGGATACATTGTGGCATCAGACGAAGGGATGGTCTACATCCTGAACAATAAGCTGGAGAGTCTCTTTAGCATAGCAGTGCCCACACTTTCTTGCTGGAGTGCAGTCTCAAAGGACGGAAGAATATTCGCACTCGGGGCAGATGGAAGGGTCTACGTCTTCGGGGAGACACAAACAAGTCAGTCATACGAGTGCCAGAAGGAACTTGAAGAACTCCAAAGTGAAATAACCAAAGACAAGACAGAAGCACAAAACCCCACAGAGCAACAAGGAAATTCACCGCAGTATAAAGTGGTAGATGACAAAGTGTACGAATTAAAGGATGGAGAGTGGGAACTATTTGGGAGCACAGTGGAAAAGAAGAAAAAAGACCATACAATCACAATTACGTTAGGAAATGCAAATTATTCACTATCCTTTGATAAAACAGACAAGTACGAGGAGGTTGCCTTGGGTTTCGTAAAGGAAAATAATCTTGGGACAGAATACATCCCAGAGATAGTAGAATTCTTGGACAAGAACTTCTCCGGGAAGAAAAAGAGGGATATTTCAAAGTACTTCGTATACGACACGATTAACCTGGAGGCAGTCACAAAAAGAATTGAAGCACTCCCAGATAGTCACAGAGTGATTGAATTCCTGCAGGATGAATCGACTAAGAACCACGAAAAAGAGGCAGAAGTAGAAGTAATCCTGGGGGAGTGGCTGGAAAAGGACCTGGAAAGTGTTGCTGTCTTGGATATTTACAAATACTTAATTGCACAGGGCGTAGATTTCAACTTGTCCTTCTTGAAGCACATTAACCCACTCACCTGCAAGAAGACTGCCCTTGCATTCTCCCTTATAGCCACAAATGTACTAGCAGTGCGGCCAGAGTGTAAATCATTTGTAGACCCATCTATGTCAAAGATAATTGACAAGCAATTAGTGGGCGCAAAAACACTGCAGAACTACAAGAATAACAGAAGAGTGTAAGGATTAGGTTATCTCTTGTGGTATTTTAGTCATAGCCAGAAGTATATAATTAGTCATGTATACTTTTATATCCTGATATACGGAAATAAAGCATACACTCAATAAATAACCTGATTTATTTTATACTTACAGATTATTTGTGAGTATATGTATATAACCCGAACACAATAAATAACCTATTTTAATAGATTATAGCCAGGATATAGCCCAAATATAGCTCAAATAACTATTTATAGCCAGAATTTAACGGTAAATACACTCTCTTATAACCATTTATAGCCAAAACATAACGATAAATACACTCACTTAAAACGACAAAACCTCGAAATATAACGGTAAATACACTCACTTACTTACAACCAGAATATAACCAAAACATAACGGTAAATACACTTACTTACAACCAGAATATAGCCAAAACATAACGGCAAATACACTTACAACCAAATAACCCCGATATAACCCAAAAACTTCCACCAAAATACACTCAAAACACTCCCACCAGAGTACACCAAAATATACCCAAATACTCCCAATAATAAATTCTCTTCCCTAGACACCCCCTGCACTAACTGCCCTTTCATCTCTTGATTTATATAAAATTTTTGCAGACCACCCACATGAAGTCCATAAAAATACTTGCCCCCAAGGCAATTATTCTACTCCTCAGAATATTCCATGCAAAAGCATCCAGTGGGGAATTAACAAGATCTAACAGTCAAATACCCAGGCCCAGCGCACCAATAACCAGAAATAACAGTTTTCTAACAGCAAATAATGCAGCCCGTGTGCCACAGCCATTTGATTTTAACGATCTAAATGCACGCCTTCTGGAACTCAGCAATGGCAGAGGAAGAGAATCAATAATCCGCAGGAGCAGCATAAGATCAAATACTTCCTCCAGAAAGTCATCAATTTTCACATCCTACCATCCAGCAGTAGGCGAAACAGACACAACCCTGCAGAAATCCATTAAAACACTAAGATCAAATTGCGCCTTCTTAAAGATCTTTCAAACAGAAGAGATCAACAGTATATTCAATAACTGGGAGCAAATCCACATAAATTATCTAAATCAAATAAGCCAAAGCACAGAGCCAATTGTCCGACTAATTACCGTACTAGAAAGAAATACAGACATAAAAACAATAAAACTACAAAGTTCTTCACCAGAGACAAATAAATTCATAGAAAAAATAAAGAGCCTAGTGAAAGACAATGCACTAACACAAGAAGATGAAATAGACTTTAAATGGCACATATCTCGTGTAGTAGATGGGGGCAAAGAGATAGTCAATATTATCTTCTCAAATGAAACCACAAGATTCAACAAACTAATACAGTACATCTGCAAGGAAAGGGATGAAATCTATAAGGGAATGTACTTCAAGAATAATATGGATAAAAAAGAGACCATTGAAATAATAATTCAATTACTGAAGGTATTAGTGAGTATTGAAGCGAATATGCATAATAATCTAGTAGAGATGGATAAAAAAACAAGAAAAAAAATAGCCCTACTTGGGATAGATTTAGATAAGGATATCTTTGAGATGTCAGCTGACCCGGATAGTCTAGTTAGTGGGATAGAGAGAATATATGACTTACTTACACCAGGGGTAGTTGTCAAGAAATTAACAGAAAAAATGGCAGAAAATATAAAGGACTCTTTAATACGGATAAAGGATGCAGACCCACATGATATCCATCCTATCTGCAAGATAATTATAAGTTCAGTCTGTAAGAGCATGATAAATGATTTTATTGCAGAATCAGCAGGCTCCAAAGGCTTATTTTTCTTTGGGTGTGAAATTAAGTTCACATACACAGCAATAAAGTCTGGTCTATGGATATACGAGAAACTTCATAGTCTGAATAAAACCCGTGATATACCAGAAGAAACAAGCAGAATCACTTGCTGCAGAAAGAGTAGAATTAAAGCAAAAAAACTCTTCCCTATGCCACTACCCAGTGATATGGAAGAGGCACAAGAAATATTCAGGAGATCTATCCTAATGGAAATTGAGAATACAACGAAAAGTCAAGAAGAACATGATAATAATCACTTCTTGTGCATTGAGAATATAGAGTGCTTCAGGGACAGATTTGAAAATAACTTAAGTCATGCACTATTACTGAGTGAAGGATTCAGAAGGTTTAATAATAAAATACCACAAGGTATCCATAGACTAAGCACAAAATATGTTCTAATGATGCCCAGAGACAACAGAAAGGAGCACAGTGCATTATTCTACAGGGCACTCACACTCATGCCCATGGAGAAGATCTTAATAGAAGAAAACCTTAGATTCTTAAGTCACTATGCCCTGCAAGTAGTAACAAATGGGTCAATTGAGCAAAATGCATTCAAGAGATTCATGCTAAACCCAGAAAGGGCAGACCTAATAGAGCCATGATATATTCACGTCTAGTAGTATTTAGTCAGTCTAGTCTATCTAGTATACAGGGGATATTAATAGTAGAAATATTTAGTATTGTTGGTCTATCTAGTTACTAGAAATATTTAGTTTAGTTAGTATATCTAGTATACGAGATTTGTGTCTTTTGAATTTTAGTCTATCTAGTATACAAGAAATATTACTAGTATAAATATTTAGTAAATTTAGTCTAGTTAGTATACAGGATTTGCTTCTACTAGAAATATTTTATTTTGCTACTAGAAATATTTTCTCTAGTTAGTCTATCTAGTATACAGAGAACACTGCTACTAGAAATATTTTCTCTAGTTAGTATACTAGAAATATTAATAGTAGAAATACTAGTAAAGTTAGTCTAATTATATCTTGATAAACCAAACAATAAACAAAACAACTTTATTTCATTCACATTTCACTTGTTTCATGTACAATAGTGCACTTTGTACAATTTCACACTAACAGGATTTCACTATATTCATGCAAACTCGTTCACTTCAATCACACCATCATGAATTTCACTACGTTCCCTCCGTATACACTTCACCACGTATAGACTTCACTACTATGCCTTCTTGTGTCCCTTGTGCATGCCCTTCATTAAGAGTGGTGATGCAACCATGGAGTACACTCCATCCACAATCTTCTCCCTTCTGTTTTGTCTTAAGAGTCCTTCCCTTTGGAACTTCTCTAAGTCTCCTTTGTACTTAGCATACTGACTGGTTGAAATAGACAGTCTATTCAGTAGATTCACAAAGCACTTTACTTCAAAGTCACTTATCTCCAAGGAAGCACCTTGTGCTCTCCTCAATAATTTCACTGCGCACTTAAGTCCTTCCATCTGTACTTTCCCCCAGACCTTACACCTTAAGCAACTAACACACCCCATTAAGTAAGATATACTACTGCACTTCTGAATTGTCTCATCAGATACATTATACATACTATATACATATCTCCTATTAGGAAGGGAATTCCTTAAGGAAATAACTGTCTTCCTGGCATATTCTGACTCAGCTAGTCTAAATATATCTGGGAGTACAACAGGAATTAAAGATATAAGGATATCCATTGTTCTCCTTAAGTCCCTTATATATTCCTGATTTAATTTCTCTGACATTAATTTATAATTCATATAGAGTCTTCTATTGACTGGATCTGCATTATAGAATGCACAGACATGGACAGAGACAGAAGAATGAATACCACCTACTAATAATGTCAGTAATTTATCACTACCAGATATCTTATGTATATATTCCCAGATGGGTGACCCATTATATCCTGTATACCTCTCTAGTACTGTATTCAAATCCACTTCTATTTGGGTCTTAGTACCTACTGTCTCTGTCATTTTAATTTTCTCACCAATTTCTGCCCTAAAGTCACTTAGTCCTGAATTCTCACTAGAATCCACCCTACTACTTATATCACATGGTACACCGCACTCTTTCAATTGTCTTTTTATGATTTCTGGGCACCCAGTTTCAATCACTACTTCAACCCTAGAGAAGTCACCTACTGTACATAATATACCTAGATATTTACGTATATCCAGGTTATTATACATTTCCATCTGGGCCATAACCCTGCCTAACCAAAATATCCCAAAATATACAGAAATAACCAGAGTACATTGAAATATTCTCATCCACAAAAAAACAAAATATTCATTTATTTCAGGAGCAATAGGAAAAGACCTTCCATTAATACGATCAAAAACAAAAAGTACATCTTCCTTTTCTTCACCAGAATTTCATGTTCATTTAAAATTAGAAAGCACTTTAATGAGCGCCCTAAGAATAAACAGAATGAAACTGTCAAATAAATTGCAGATACCTTGGATATAATAATATTACATATATAAGATATAAGTCTAATCAGAATAACTGTCACATATTTATATCCTACAAATGCAATTATATCTGTGATATTAATATTAGCATAAAAGAAGAAACTAGCAGACTTAATTACAGCACTCTCTAATAGTCCCATTAGAAATGCTTTTGTAGTAATATTACCCAAGGCAGTTGGAGTAAAGGTGTTATTTAGTTCCATCTCACAGGATATACATAATATATATGATATTATGGCCATAAGTGGTATATACATATCTGGCTGACTAATTAGTACGCCTGTTATGTCTCTGTCTGTGGTGTATGACCATTGCTCTGTTGTATACGGGTATATTATCATGGCTAATTTATGGCATATATAAGAATTATCTATTTGAAAGTATCTCTTGATTATTTCAAATTTACTGAATGAGACTGCCCTATTTATATATGTACTACCCAAGGAGATTGCCTGTTTCTGCATGTCCATTTGGAATTCCATTTATTTTTTTGTTGAAATTTAAATTTAATTCACTCCTGTAGAATGTCCTGACTAACTTCCTGAAGGGATGGAAATTATTGGCTTCTTGCTGGGATATTTCCATGAAGGAATCTGTTAGGAAGGAATTATTTCTGGATGACCCGAATATTCTTATGAATTTATGCAATTTTAATGGGAATGGTTGTGAGAGTGTAAGGGTGATTTGGGTTCTTGTTGTAGTTAGTCTTATCTCTGGGGATAATTCTGAGATGTATCCTACATGAGAGGTTCTCTTGCCGTGTGCTGGTGCATTAGGGTAGACCATTTTTGGAAAAATATTATTCAGATTTATGCTATTATTAGTGTATATTAGTGGGGAAGAGGGTTATTAGTGTGTATTAGTGTATATTAGTAGTGATTTGGTAGTGATTTAGTGGTTATCTAGTGTATATTTGGGTAATTCTGGTTATGGATATAACCCGAACCCGAATCCACTTTACCAAGACTTTTTACACCTTTACTTGAAAATGACAAGACTATTTCCACTTTATTGTGGGATGAACAAGACTATTTACACTCTTACAGAACTTATAACACTTTATTGTGGGATGAACAAGACTTAATCCACTCTGACAAGACTTATGGCAGGGTGACAGAACTTATGATACTTTGTGAGGACTTAATCCACTTAGTGTGCAGAAGAGCTTATTACGTACGTAATGTTAAGACTTAATCCACATTACCACAATTTATTCCCAAAGTAACAAGACTTATGACACATATTACAAAACTTAATCCACAATTACAAAACTTAATCCATATTACCACAATTTATTCCACTTCACTATAATTTATTCCCAAAGTAACAAGACTTAATCCACTCTTATAAAACTTATGACACAAATTAATTATATCCCATATAAACAATATTATACTATGACACTAATTAAATCTAATTAAATCTAATTATTCAGGTTATAATCGGGTTATAATCGGGTTATAACATGAAGAGCACTAAGAACAACACAGAATTCGCTAGAAATAACAAAATAATAACAGGATTATATATAAAACAGCAGGTTAAGCGGATTGTCTTAAATGAACACATTAGTGAGCCAGAAATACTTGACCTAGTGAAGGTTAAATTCTTATGGCCATTCCTTAAGATATATTTGACCAAGAATATGCACAAATATGATGTACTAAATCTATTGGATGCCTTCTGGGAGTAATTGATAGGTGCTTATATCTGGGCAGTATATATTCTGGTTACTAGACTATTTCTGAATGAAGATCTGGCTATCTCGGGTTATACCGGGTTATATCGGGCTATGCCGGGTTATCTCGGGTTATATCGGGTTATCTTTTTATTTTAGTCTATTTTACAACGTAAATGCATCTTATGTAGCACCCTTATACTATCCACATACTAAAGAGGTGCAGGAATTCTTGGAGTGCGTATATGCTAAGGGAGCATATTCTGGGGATGAAGGAGACAGGTTAGAGAACATATTTAATGCAAGCACAATTGAAATAGACCTAGTTAGTCTGCCTGGGGAAATAAAATTCAGTTTGTTACCCTTTCGGAACTGGCAAAAAATTTGCATAACCGGATCAAAACATGAAAAAACGGTAAATATTTTGGATTTAACAACAAATGACCTGATTATGAAGAAATTAGAAAGTATCCTTGTGAATTTAGAAAGAAATATGAATATTCTGGAGATAGAACTAAAAAACATGCATATGTCCTATATTCCATTGTCCTTAGAGAATATTCCATCTTTATCTGCACTTAAATTCCATAATATTTCTTACGCATGGAATGCAGATCTGTCAAAACCCGGTATAACCAAAACCCGAACCAGATCCATAAATATATTTACAGCGATCAGGTACATTCAACCCCTGCAGTACCTCTCCTTTCACAGCTGCAATATTGCCGTATATGATGACACCTCGGGTTATGCCGGGTTAAATCGGGCTATATCAGGTTATTTCGGGTTATTTAGGGTTATCTCGGGTTATACAGGGTTACAACCAGATAATCTGAAGACAGCAAAATTCACAGATACAGATATACATTTCATTAATGAATTCTTGTGGTACTATAATATAACGGAAAGAAATAACAAAATTCACCTTATAATTAATAATCCCACAAGATACAATAAAAATGCATTCCTGGACCTAGAGGAAGTATATACATCCGTAGATGAATTATCCCTGTATAACTTTAACATGCTGTTTGTTAATTCAGGTTATCTTGGGGTATATCAGGCTATTTCAGGTTCTGGGTTAAATCGAGTTTTTAAAGCCTTCAGGCTAATAAATTCTGATGAAATTGAAGAGATACACACAGATTCCTATGAAGAAATAAATGGCACAATGGCATTTTGGAGTGAAATCCTGGAGAGTGCCAATGAAGTAGAAATAAGCATATATTCCTTACCTGCCATAAAGGATATTATGCATACTACTATGCCTAAGCTAATAATAGTTGATTTATCACAGCAGACCCGGGTGCAAATTATTTCTGAAAGTATTTCCATGGTGTATATGGAATTATCCGTTAATTTACCTGAAAGTACGTTATTTTTAATTTTTGAAAATAATTTTATTAACGGTTTTATTAATAGATGCACTTCTATATCGATATATATACAAGAATATTACGGTAATATATCTGGCATATTTAAGGTTATCATGGGTATATATACAGGAGAACTAATTACTGTGCAATTCATGGAAGAGTCATTTGTATACATGGAATATATACGGGATATTCCTGATATTCAAATTATCCTTAGAAATTTGCAGTCAGATTATTTTCAGGTTAAATCAGGTTATCTTGGGTTAAATCGGGTTATGCCTAGTCTAACTGTATCTGAGAATTCAATTAAGATAGGTTTTAGTAAGGAATTAGACAAGGAAGAGGGCGATGAAGGGGCAGTAGGGGAAGAAGAAGGGGATGATGAATTCTTCACAGATGAAGCAGAGAGTAATTATGTGTGATATAACGGGGTATATAGTAGTGTATAGTATATACTGTAATAAAAGGGTTTTAGTCTATTTGTATATTGTTAAATGTCGTTATTTTTTATGTTTTTTAATGTTTTTTTGGGTTATATAATAATTTAAATATTTTTTATTTTAAAGCCAAGTTATACTGTGCATGGATATAATAATTTCGGGTTATTTGTGGATTAAGTCTTGTACTAAGTGTCATATGTTATGTTAAAGTGGATTAAGTTCTGCAATTGTGGCATAAGTTGTATAAAAGTGGATTAAGTCTTGCCACTTAGGCCATAAGTCCTGTAAGAGTGTATTAAGTCCTGACAAAGTAAAAATAGTCCTGAATAACCCAAGGTATAATTAGTCACAAATACAACAGGGGCTGACTAATTATAACAGCCCGTATATAAATCATATAGTATATAAAATAACTTTAAACATCTGTATTTATTGTATGCACAGTATATACTATGCAAGGTTTATGGCACCTAGTACAAAACTATTTCCATAATGACAAGACTATTTCCATATTTTCAAGACTTAATCCATAATTACAAGACTATTTCCATATTTTCAAGAATTAATCCACATCTTCAAGACTTAATCCACTTCACCAAGACTTAATCCATATTTTCAAGACTATTTCCATCTAGTACACAACTTAATCCACTTCACCAAGACTTAATCCACGTTTTCATGACTTAATCCACTTTGTCATAACTTATGACACCTAGTACACAACTTAATCCATATCTTCAAGAATTAATCCATTTCACCAAGACTTAATCCACTCCACCATAACTTATGATACCTACTATAGATAGACCTACTTCCCTAATATGGTATCAATTGTCTCTGATAGTACGCCCAGTATATCTTGTGCCTCCTTCCTGTAATTATTCCCATCCTGTGCCTTCTGTATATTTATGCACATAGTCTCCTGATCAATATCCCCACGGATCTTTTCATCCAGGATCATGCGCCTGACTCGGTCCTCAATCACATCCACCCCAAAGCCCAATACTTCTGCTATGTGGCCTATGCTTATATTAGAATATGGCTCAATTATCTTCAGAATATTCGCATCAATCAAGGAATTACAAAGGGCCCTAAGGTGCTCCATCAGGAACCCATCAGAACCCAATAGATTAGACCCAGAATCAACTATCTTCTGACAACCTTGAAGATCTCTGTTTACAACGCACGTACTAATCCTACAAAGCATATCTACAACAGGATCCTTATCTTCAAATACACTACCCTTATTAACAATTATACTATTAATCTCACCTGACCTACCATCCATCACCTTAACAAGTAATAAATATCTATAACAAATTAGTCCCATACTGTAATCCCGTGATAAAATAAATCCATCCATTGCCTCTACTAAGTATCCTGCACTAATCCCATATTCCCCTTCATCTGCTGCATATACACCAGATAATAAGTCTATTTTAGCCTGCATATAAGAAGGACAGTAGACTAAGGTGGCAGTAGACTTAGAGAGTGTTAAGGCTGACTTAGCCCTAGATATATTATGTAATGCATAATATACTTTACTCTCTAGATAGAATAACTTAACTAATCCTATCTTATCATCTGCTCTTTTAAGTAATTTAACTGTCTGTTGTATTAAGTCTAATGCTGCTGTATATTCCCTTAATTGTAATAATCCTTCTATCTTTCTGATATCAAAGTCTATCTTAAGGAGGGTCCTTTTATTATTTTGTGCCCAGTCTATTAGTCTGTTGTATATTCTTATTCTTTCCTTTGGGTTTATTTGTTGCTTCTCCAGGGCATCTAAAGATGACTTTAGTAAGATGGCAATTGAAGGCTTAGAAAGATTCTTTGTGTTTGATGCTGTGTCTATCAGGAGATCTGTTCTATTTGTGTCTCCTTGTGAGATTGACTTGGATAATTCAGTTGAGAATATCTCTAGGGCATGAGTGCTTGTTAGTTTGTCTTCTAGTGCTGCTATGTCCATATAAATAAAAAAAGAAGAATATTTATATTATACTCGGATATATAGTAAATATATGTGGATATTAGAGAAGAGTATATAGTGAAGTGTAAGGATATAGGGAAGGGTGTAAGGGGGGGGTATTGTATTTATATTTTATGAAGTGGGCGTAAGGGGGGAGTATTGTATATTTATATTTTATATTATATAGTTCTAAGGGGGTGCCATTGGAGAGTCTATTATTTCACTATATATTAGTCTGTAGGGAGGTAGTATTATGTAGTAATCTAATTATATTTATTTGTATAATAATTTGGGTTAATTCTTGTTGACTGTAGGATATACTAGGATATATTATATGCAGTATGACTAATTAGTCATAGATATACTCGGGTTATTCGTAATAGTGTAATATTGTTTATAACAGTGTAATGATAGTGTAATATTGGGTATAAAATCAAAATAGCCGTTATATAACCACTTTAAGATAGTAAAATCAAAATATAACCTTATAAACCCGTTATATAGCCACATTTAAGATAGTAATAGTATATATCCGTTATAAATTATAATAAATTATAACCCGAATATAATCAAAACCTTCGTTATATCCGTTATAAATTATAATAAAATATAATCAAAACATCCGTTATCTCCCATTCCCCACTATATCTATATCACTTCCTTCTGACTATGCTCGCCAGGAAGAATCCTTTCGTCTCTGTCTCCTGCCCGCACCTTACGACATCCCCGGAGAATGCGTATCCGGGCACACCCCTTCCAGGCCACTCTGGCAGGGCTCTTTCCACCATGAACCCAGGGTGTGCCTTAAGTACCTCATCTACCACGGCTTCATTCTCTTCCTCGTATATTGAGCAAGTGGAATATACCACTCTCTTTACATCAGGGTAACCCAGTGCCATACTCAGTGCCTTAACCTGAAATGCACAAAGACCCTTCAGTCTCTCCATCTCCTTCTCTTCACCCGGGTGCATGCCAGACCCACTGCATGATGGATCCACTAGAATATATTCTACACCAGGTAATGTCCCATGTGATATCCCCAGGAAGTCCCCATGTATTGTCACAATATTCTCAGCCCCTGACTTCTCAACCATCTCCCTTAGTATGGTATATCTGTCTATATCCTTTTCTATGGCATATACTGTACTACTGGGTGATATCATGGCTAAATGTGTGGTTTTATTACCTGGTGCAGCACAGGCATCTAATACTACAGTATTACTGGGTGGATTTAATACATAAGCAGGCATACAACTGGATAGATCCTGTATAAAGAATAATCCCTGTTGAAAACTGACTAATTTACTCCAATTTACTCTCTCTAATGACTTATATACGTGTGGTATACAGGTTACTTCTGTAGATAATGATGATATTACAGTTTCTGTTGCTTTTAGTGTATTTATACGTATATACTGTGGTGTAGTGTCTTTTGGTGTATTTCTTTCTATTATTCCTAGTGAATTATAAGTATCCTTTACTTGTGATATTAATTTCTTGTTGAATTGTGTTGATTCCCTCTTATTCCCGTATAGTATCTCATAGCATATTACTACTGCATGCCATTTACTTCTGATTTCTTGTGGGAGTGCATTAACTACCCTTAAGAGAGTGTCATATTTCCTGAGGATACTGCTTAATACTGCCATGTACTTCTTTGGCATTTCTGTTTTGTAGCATGCTGTCTTAATTCCTGTTCTTTTCTCTTTTATGTCACGAAGCATTCTGCTGCATCTCTCGTAGAACTTTTTTGTTTCCATGAAAAAATTTAATTGGCACCGTATATACTATGGTATATGGGTATATAGTATAGTGGGATATTTAGAGGGATATTTAGTGGGATGTAAGGGGGGAGTATTGGAAGTTTAAAATTTAATATAGTTGTAAGGGGGGACCATTGGAGATATTTATATTTTATGTGAGATATTTAGTAAGTTCTAAGGGGGGGGGCATTGGAGAAATATTTGTACTATATATGGTTATTATATGGGTATATTCGGGTTATATTGGGTATATGACTATTATATACAGTTCGGGTTTTATCAGTTTATAAGTATTTTTATATAAGTTTACACTGATATATACTAGTTTATCAAATTATAACGGTTTTTACACTATTTTATACGTTTTTATCAGATTATACACTATTATACACTAATATATCCCTTCCTAACCCGAAATATACTAAATATATCCTAAACATATACCAAATACTCCTCCCTTACACATTATCACCCTATTATCACTCTATTATTATTATCATATTATTATTTATAACCCGTATCTTTTTAATTTTACCATTATTATAATATATTATCGTGTGTATGCTTTTATTTCTTTCAATTTATTTGTGATAAAATATGCCTGGCTGCATCTTCTGTTATATTTTCAACCAGAACTGCTTTTATTTTGGATTTATGTCCTGCTATTATGGATATTTGTACCTTTGGTACTTTGAATATCTCATGAACTGATTCAATTACCTCTTTATTAGCCTTATTTTCAACTGCCATGGAATTAAGTGACATATATAATGTATTATTAGTCCATTCCACAGAGAATATCTTACACTTAGTCTTTACCTCACAGTCTATTACTATACCACGTGCTGTCACTCGCATGGATATTAAATTTATTCTGGTTATATGGATATTATTGTATATTAGTGTATATATGTGGGAATATGGGTATTAGAAGTAGATTGTGGTAGATTAGTGTATTGTATGGTAGAAATACGGTTATTAGTGATTTATATGGTAGAAATATGGTGTATTGTATGGTATTAGTGGTAAACTTGGTTATATATGTAGTAGATTAGTGTTTTATTAGTAGTATATACAGATACTAGTGTATATTAGTGCATATTGGTAGATTATGGTGTATATTAGTAGTATATTAGTGTATTATATACGTATATTAGTGGTATAATAGTATTATCCTGCTAGAAAGAAGTATACACATATAACACATATACACTAGACTAATATCCACTAATATACACATATACATATATATACACATATACCTAGACTAGACTAGACTAATATACACATATATTAGTCACATATTCCTACTAATACTCACTAAATACTGCTAATATACATACATATATACGTATATACACTAGACTAATACTTACTAAATACCACTAATATATATACACATATACACTAGACTAATATCCACTAATATACGTATATCCACTAATATATATACACTAGACCACTCCTACTACCTTCTTCTCATGCATATTCATGTGTATGGCTAGTCTCCTTTTATCTATGAATGATTTCTTACATATATTGCATGTATGCATTTGCTTGACTGGTTCTGCTGTTATATTTGGTTTTGTCTCTGTGGACCATCCTTTTAGTTTCATTTTACTGCCACCCACTGTAGTTATGACTATATTACTTGGTATATACTTCCTGACTGTGATACCTTTTAATTGTTCAACTGCTTCTGATTGCATTTGTATGACAGCAGATCCTTCTGTTGGTTTCTGTCCTTCTGTCCTTCTCTTCTCTTCTAGTTCACTTGGTTCTTTCATTAAAAAGTTTTTGAATACCCGGGAATATACGTGTATTATTGGGTATATTAGTGGTATTTAGTGAGTATATACGTATATTAGTGTATATTAGTCTAGTGTATATATTAGTGAATATATTAGTGGTATTTAGTGAGTATATACGTATATTAGTGTATATTAGTCTAGTGTATATATTAGTGAATATATTAGTGTGTATTTAGTGGGTATATACGTGTATTAGTGAATATATTGTGGGTTATTAATGGATATATACGTATACACCTTACTAATGATAGGTTTTAGCCATTTATAATGATTTATAACATATTTTAACCAACTAACAACCATTTATAACTCACTAACAACCATTTATAACGTATTTTAAACCATATCTATCACCAATATACTACTAATACCCGCATATAACAGCTTTTAATCTACTAATAACCATTTTAACCATTTATAACGTATTTAACAGTATATATCTACTACCACACCTGAATATCTAATACCTACTAATTCTAGTTTACTCCCCCAGTCTGGAACAGTCTTCTGCTGAATATATTCATGCCAAATTCGTATATGACCATCTCTGTACCAATATACAGCTTACTCCCATTCTCCCCGAATGCCATACCTGATATGTGCTTGTCCCCTGTGGTACCAGTCACAGTGATACTCTGTCTCTTGCTGAAATCACGTACATCCACTACAGTAAAGTGTGATACGTGCTCAGTGAATACTAATAAGTCCATGGCACTATCAGGACAGAACTTGACATTCCTGCATGCCCCTTTCACTAAGGGTCCTTGTACTGACCTAATTGTCTCTATCTTATCCTTCATATTCCTTATATCATATACACAAACATACCCATCCTGCGTACTGGCAGCCAGATATGTATCAGATGGACTCCATGATACTTGGAATGAAGCATCATTCATGGTCTTAACCTTACTAATAAGGGGATACTTCTCTCTTCCTATGGAATATATGGATATCTCATTGGAGTCACCTACTGTAGCCAGTATCTTACCATTATCACTTACAGCACAGTTATTAACAGGTGCATCATGTGAGATAATTGAGCACCTACGCATGGTATCTATGGAATATTCCTTGATTGTCTCATCATTATTGCATACAAGTACTCTTGTATCACCATAATTACAGAATATCTCTAGACCATTATTTATTGATCCCCCAGTGGATACTTTCTTATCTGTGCCTGTCTGCATATTCTTAATGTACAACTGACTCCTTTGACCACCTGCTGCTATTATATTATTATTATAACACACAGCAGTAGGATTAAACTGCATATTCCTGGTGACAGAATGTATCTTCTGTGACTTAGTATGTAATATATTGATTGAATTACCATATACATATAATATCTCATTCTGATCATTTGTACTAGATATCATATCCCTTAGTTGCCAGTGATGTATACTCGTCTTTACTTGATATTTCCTATATTCCTCACACACAATACCCTCACACTCACGTAATAATGTCATAAACAAAATAATATATACAATATATATTGTATATATATTAGTGGGGATATACGTATATATTTTATATATATTAGTGGGATATAGTAGGGTAGTAAGGGATTATAGAAGGGTAGTAAGTGATTAGTGTGTATTAGTGGGAATATATGGATATTGGTATATATTAGTGGGAATCTACAATTATATTCAGTTATTAGTGAGTTATTAGCGTATATTAGTGAGAATATGTTATTATTAGTGTATATATACGTATATTAGTGTAATATATATGGGCATTGGTGTATATTAGTGGGTTATTAGTAGGAATATGTTATTATTAGTGTATATTAGCTTATATATGCGTATATTAGTGGGCATTGGTGTATTCCATACTAATATATACATATATAACCCTAATAGTGCTAATTTGAAGGTATTTAAATTTATGACTTTCTTGTTTATGGTTTTCTCTTGAGTGATGCCTTTGAATATTTATAGATTTAAAAATTAATTTTCTTAAATACTTGATTTATTTTAAAAAATAAAGTTACTGTTTTCAGGGATATCATGATTATATCTGGGTTTTGTTGTGACAAGACTATTTCCACATTTTCAGAACTTATGCCACATTTTCAGAACTTATTACACACTTTCAGGACTTAATACACATAGTACAAGACTATTTCCACTCTTACAGGACTTATTACACATAGTATAAGACTATTTCCACTTTTTCAAGACTTAATCCATTTTTTCAGGACTTATTACGAAGTTTCAAGACTATTTCCACTCTTACAGGACTTATGGCACATAGTGCAAGACTATTTCCACTCAGACAAAACTTAATCCACATAGTACAAAACTTAATCCACATAGTACAAAACTTAATCCACTTCACCGGGTATAATTAGTCACAAATACAACAGCCCATATATCCCCGTATATATACCCTAATTATTTTCTTTTGTTTATGCTGGCAGCAATTAAAAAGGAAATTGGCACAGAAGTAACACAAGACACCATGGAGACCTTCTTTAAGGATCTATTCCCAATTGGTAACCCATCAAAGATAGTAGATATCCTTATGAAATCATTATCAGATAAGTCACCAGAAGGATTATACGAATTAATCCTATCCTGCAAGAATAGTAAGATATACTTTGCCAAGTGGATATACAAGTGCATATTAATAACAAATGAAGAGAGTAGACTAAATACAACAGAAATTGAGAGTAGTAGACTAAATACAACAGAGGATACTAATAATATACTAGGCAGTAGACTAAGTACAACAGAGGATACTAGTGAAACAAATAATACACTAAATACAACAGAGGATAGTACTAGTAGACTAAATACAATAGATAGCCCCATAGACACACCAAGTACAACAGAGGATACTAATAGACTAAGTATAACAGACCTTAAGAATAGACTAAATATAACAAGAAATAAGGATAGTACACTAACTATAACAGAGGATACACTAAATAATAATAATACAACAGAGAGTGAGGGTAGTAGACTAAATACAACAGAGGATACACTAAATACAACAGGAACTAGTACTAATGAAACAATTAGTAGACCAAACACACCAAATACAACAGAAACTAGTAGTAATACACTAAATACACCAGAGAACACACTAAATACAACAGAAAACACTACTAATAACCCTAATATACACAATAACCCTAATATACACAATAACCCACTAAATACTACTAACATATCTGCCTACCTATCAGATATGACAGCCATCTCATCACAACCATCTGATATTTCACTTCCCTCACATTCATCTGATATTTCACTTCCCTGTGAGGATGCATTCATTAATTTCTGTCTCTCTTCTCATGCCTTCCTTAAGTCATGGCGTGTTTTAAGACTGGCCACCCTGTGACTTTGTCGCACCCTAAAACAATAACATATTTATGGCAATTACACTCTCATGGATATGTCAATAGAGGTAACCCCTTTCATATTCCTGTTGAATATGCTTAGTGCCTTAACTATGCCAATTATATTCATAAGATACACAGCACATGAAAGAATCACTATAAAGCCAGTTAGACTGGATATATTAGATACAATTAATATATCAGTTACAGTTATGCTTACATCCCTGTATACAATGTGGTCATTAGGCTGCTTAATAGGCAGTTACAGTGGGGTATACAGAATATTCATGTACCCCATGGGACCATCGTATAATAATCTGTTAGTAATGGAGATATTAATAGATATATTTATGAAGGGTATTAGTCTATTATCATTGAGTGTGATATCTTTGCAAATGAAATGCACAGAAGTATTAAGACCCTGGGGTATATGCTGTGGTATAATTAGTATAATACAAGGGATATGCATGTGCTGCATGATGGTTATATTTAAGGGTACATATGGTTGGGTTATATTGTATATGCTTAGTAGTATATTATCATGTGGTATAATTATATTCAGTGTATTAACGGGTATAATTATACGGGGATATGTTGGACGTGATAATGTGTCTAATTATATGTATAATAATATTAGTATATGGAGTATGCGTATATGCCATATGATATTAGTAGGGAGTATATTGGATCTGATGTATAAGATGGGGATGATATTGATGGAGGTGAATTTATTACGGAAATATCAGGTTCTGATTGATTTATTATCACTAGGGAAGGCAGTTTCTGTGTTAGTGGCAGTTATATCTGCGTATTCTGCCAGGATACCAAAGGGGAAGGCATATGCTGGGTAGATAGATAGGTAGATAATGGGATATATGGGTAATATTTGGGTTTTTAACGGTTATATTTGATTTTTATGTTGTTAAAAGTTTTTAAATTCAGGTTTTTAATGGGTTTTATATTGTTAATAGTAGATTTATATGGTAAAAAGTAGATTTTATACGGTTATATTTTGTTATTTCAGATATTTATACGGTTATATTCAGGCTCAAATGGGTTCAAATGAATTCGGGTTATATTCGGGTTTACATTGTTTTATCTGGTTAAAAGTGGTTTTTAATAGTTTTTTGACATATTTCACACTATTTCACACTGTCATATACATCTACTGACTAAATTGCACTATAATTAGTCTATAAATCAAATAATCTCACGTAATCCCAATATAATCAAATAATCTCACACTAGTTAGTCTATCAATCAAATAATCCTATAGTAATCTCAATATAATTTGTCATAATCAAATAATTCCACAGTAATTAGTCTATTAATCATACAATCCCACTACAATTAGTCTATCTACAATTAGTCTCCCAATATATACTATGCACTTGCTTAATTAAATATTATGTCACATAAATTGAATTAATTTCATAAATAAATTAACTATGGTACGTGTTATGCATGAGAATAATGCACTAGATGCATTTATATCTGAATTAGGGGGTACATACGCAGGAAACAGAATATTCATTGGGAATAATTCATTGGCTGCATTTAAGTTTATTATTTCCATGGAGGATTTCTCCTACAGAAGATTTGGTAAAAGTGTCTTTGAATTCTACGGCATAGAAAGACCTTCTGATAGGACAAGTAGAAGCAAATACCTGGATATGCTATCTGGATATATTGAAGTACACACAGAAGACTTACAAGATAGTTTTAAGTCAGCAGATATAATATGCCAAAGTGCCCTTCATTTTAACTGCAAGTTTGTCTGGCCCGGGTGGGGACATGCCTCAGAGGACCCAGACCTACCCAGGGCATGCACTAAGCATAACCTAATATTCATAGGCCCAGATACATCTGCTATGGAATTATTAGGCAGTAAGATATCTGCAAATAAAGTAGCAGATACTGCAGGTATCATGGCTATCCCATGGATAGATATAGTGCACATGGATAAATTGCAGGATTTCTGCGAAAGTGCAGGGTACCCCATCATGGTTAAGTCACCAGAGGGCGGAGGTGGTAAAGGCATAAGAATTGCAAATACACAACAAGAAGTACAGACAGCCATAAAGACAGTACAAGATGAAACTGGCACTAAGGAAGTATTCCTGACTAAATACTTAAGGAATATAAAGCACATTGAACTGCAAATAATAGCAGATAAATATGGCACTGTAGAAGTACTTTCCACTAGAGACTGTACTCTGCAAAGAAGAAACCAGAAGCTCATAGAAGAAGGACCTGCCTTACTAGACAAAAAAAAAGAAGAAGAAATAATTCACAAGGCAAAGAGACTAATAGAAATAGCAAAGTACGAAAATGCATGTACAGTAGAATTCGTATACGACTTGGATGGTGACCAGCTATTCTTCCTGGAGTGTAATCCTAGACTGCAAGTGGAACATACAGTGACAGAATTACTGATAGACAGTAATATATGTGCTGTGCAATGGCTTATATCTTGCGGTGTATCTGTGACTAAGCTTAAAGAGTGCAGTATAATTAAGGAATACACTGGGGACAAGCATGTGGTTGGGGCCAGAATAATTGCAGAGTCAGCAGAGTGTATGTTTATGCCTAGTACTGGGTCTTTGTCTGTTGTATCTTCATTGCCTGCTGGGACTGTAGGATATTTCTCTGTTGATACTGGGTACATAACACCATATAATGACTCACAATTTGGTCATGTATTCGGGATAGGAAGTAGCCGTGAGGAAGCTGTATATGCATTGGACCTGGCCTTGAAGTCTGTTAAAATAACTGGGGAAGTGAAGAATTTAAACCACTTCTTAAGGGATTTAATAAGCACGGATGAATTCCATGAGAACAAGCATACTACAAGGACTGCAGAGAGATTCCTGCAGGAGTGGGTTAAATTATCCGTTGTAGACCCTTTCTTCATTCTTGCCTTCTGTGCTATTTCCGTGCACCGTAAGGAACTGCCTAATATGTCTATGGTATTTCAGGTGGGAGGTGTGCATGTGTCTGCTGATGTATGCAGGATGGATAGTTCTGTATATGGGATAGTTATAAATTCAGGAATATCTGTGATGGAGATACTTTCCTTATGTGATGATAAGTATAGGATTAAGGGCAGGCAGGGAGAGATACACGTAGTATACTTCTCTGAGGCAAAGATGTACACAGAGATACATACATCACAGAAGACAGTCAGATTCATGGGAGGTGCATGTGGGAATGAAGTGCGGGCTACAGTGCCTGGCAGGGTAGTACGCATACTGAAGGAAGGAAGTGTAAAGAAAGATGAAGATTATTTGGAGATTGAGAGCATGAAGAATCTCATACGGATAAAGGCCCCTAAGAGTGGATCTATCTCTTACTCCGTGCAGGTGGGTGAGGTAGTTGAAGTGGGTGATACTCTGGGGAGTATAATTGGGGATGCAGGTGAAGATGAAGTGATTAATTACACGGAAAGAATTACCTTCAGGAATACATCTAAGGACTATACACTGAATATATTCAAAGGATACAGAGTACCAGAAGGACTGCTTCTCTATGATGAGGAGACTATGGCATCTGCACTGCAGGAATTCAGTGCGTATGAAGGTGCAGATGCACCTGCTGCTAATAAGTACATACTGGAGTGCATGGATGTATTACAAGAGAGCAAGAATATAATGAGATTTAAAGAACCTTTGAATATGCTGAAGGAGAGACTGCTTAGGCACGGGGTCAGGCAGGGATCAATTAGTATCCTGCAGAAGATACACAGACTGCATTGTAAGATAGAAGAAGAGATAGTCAGTAGATTAAAGGAATTCAAGGGATTGAAGGGATTGAAGAAAATGAAGGAAGGTAGACAAGAAGAGGGTAGTTTGAGAGATCCTTTGATGGAAGATCAAAAAGATACACTAAGCAAAGATACACTAGAAGGTGATGGTCTAAAGGGTGTCACACTAAAAGACACACCAAAGGATACCACACTAAGCAAAGACCAACAGGAACTGAAAGACAACACACTAAAGGATGAGCAAGAACTGAAGGATGACACACTAAACAAAGATACTCTAAACAAAGACTCTCTAGAAGACACCAAAAATCAAGACACTCTAGAAGACGGTACAAACCAAGATACACTAAACAAAGACAGTGCACTAAGCCAAGACACTCTAAACAAAGACACTCTAAACAAAGATACTCTAGAAGGCGAAGGACAAGACAGTACACTAAAGGATGTCACAATCCAAGAATTCCCAAATATTTCTCTCTCCCCAAATACACTCTCTGATGACAATTTATTAGTGGGGGCCTTTTATGCGGATGAACCGGAAAGGACAGAATTATTGAGGGCCTGGGGGAAGAGAGTATTTGAAGGGAGTGACCTAGAAGTATCACACGTTGAAATTAGTCCAGAATTAGGGTTAGTCACTAAGATATCTGTGAGAGTAGATGGCACTACTAGAATATTTTACTTATTAGAGGCCTTGCATGAAAATATTCCGGATATAAATGAAGCACCAGAAGGGAATATGAGTATTATTTCCTGCTTAAAGGAAGATACTCCTGATTTCACAGTTATTTTCATTAGTGAGGCAGGTGCCTCATATTTATCGCATAGAAATGGTCTTACTGCATGGGATATTGACATATTCCACATGGAAATGGACAGACTGGAATTGCCTTGTGAGATAAAAATGCACTGTAAGAGGCCTGATTATATACTGGGTAGTAGGAAAGTACTGATATATAAGCTGACTGATAGAATAGTCGCATATTCTGGTGTATCTGGGGAAGTGATTAAATCTGGTCTCTCTCCTGTGATAAATGAAGTATTATTTGGGTATGCCTTGACAGGCGCAAATATGCCACTTATATGGTATGTTCATGTGACTGACACAGTGGAATATTCTGATGCCATGATGGTGTACTTTAAAGAAGGCTTACTGACTGAATATGTGCACATGTCTGGGTATAAGTGCATCTGGAAGATAGAAGGAAAATTCCTTAAGGAGGGACAATTTCACGTGCAGTTAAATAATGAGAAGGGCTTCCCAGAAGTGTATATGGAAATAATGGGGGCACAAATATTCTACAGAATAGGTGCATACACTGTGCAGTCTAGTAGATATACGGATGTATCTGTGGATGAATTTCTGCCTGAATATTACAGCCAGGAGATGCTGCAGGCATCACGTACTAAGGCTAGATCACTTGGTACTATATGCATATACGATGCAGCCTTGTTATTGAGCATTTTCATGAAAGATATTTCTGGTGATGTGAAAGTGACACGGATTGAGAACAAGAAGGAGGCAGCCATATTTGGGTGGAGATTTACAAGTGATGGGTTTGACTTTATCTTCCTAGGGAATGATATAACTGTGAAAAATGGGGCATTCTCAATCGATGAAGGAAATTACTTCTCAGAATGTGCTCGTCTGGCGGGTGTCCATAAAATACCTTTTGTTTATGTCTCTAGTAATTCTGGCGCAAAAATAGAAGTACTTGAAGTGATAAAGAGTCTTATAAAGTATGATAATACTTTGGACGTAGTGTATATGGAGAAGGATAAATATGAGGCACTCAAGGACAAGGAAATAGTTGAAGTCTTGGAGAGAGAGATCAATGGAAGGAATGTCTTTGAAATAACTGAAATTATGGGAAATTATGGAATGGGAGTGGAGAACCTGTCGTACTCAGCACAAATAGCCAAGGATATGGCAAGACTGTATAAATCTGTCCCTACAATGACTTATGTCACGGGGCGTGCAGTGGGAATTGGTGCATACTTAGCAAGCATTGGGGGCAGAACAATCCAGAAGATAGATGCACCCATTATCCTCACAGGATATAATGCGCTTAATAGTCTATTACAGAAGGAAATATATAAAAATAACCTGGAAATAGGCGGTCCTTCAATTTTAGCCAAGAATGGGGTAGTGCACAAGAAAGTGGACTCTGATGCGTCTGGGATTTATCAGGTCCTAAGGTGGCTGATGTACCTGAGAACTGGGAAAGTGCAGAGTGAACAGTCACAGACTGAACAAGTACAGACTGAAGAATGTGAGAAAATGCAGAGTGAACAAGTACACAGTGAACAATCACAGACTGAACAAGTACACACTGAAGAATCTGAACAAGTGCAGAGTAAACCCAAAACCAGTGAATCTGAAAACTCACAGACTGAAAAATTGCAAAGTGAAGAACAGACTGACCTGCAAGTAGAGTCATTCACAGCAGAAGAAGTAGTTGATTACATCTCGGATATAAATGGGTTTACAGAATATCTGGAGGACTGGGCCCCTAATGTGCGCATAGGCAGGAGTGTAGTAGGGAATATTCCATGTGGAATTATATTCCCCAGGACGGGAAGTGTGCACAGGTCACTCCCTGCCCCGGAGGCAGTTAATTCTGGGTTTGTGCCAAGTTCTGTTGTGCAGACCCTTTGGACAGAGAATGTGCTTCTTTCAGAGTCTGCAAAGAAGATTGCGCACGCCATTCAGAGCTTCAGCCTGGAGTCTCTTCCGATTATAATCCTTCTTAATTGGAAGGGGTTCTCTGCTGGTCATTTAGACATGTTTAATGGCGTACTCCAAAATGGCTCTGAAATAGTTAGGAGCATGGAAGACTCTGACTCAAAAATATTCACATATTTACCACCGAAGGCAGAGCTAAGGGGAGGGTCTTGGGTTGTTTTTGACAAGAAAATAGGAAACAAAATTAAATCAGCAGCACACCCTACAGCTAAAGGGAGTGTCATACATCCAGATGGATTATCCAAAATAAAATGCAAGCAAGAAGAGCTTGCTGCTATACTGGAAGAGTCGCAGATTCCATTCTCTAAAATCGATGCATCAAAGCTTGCACAAAGATTCTGTGATCTGCACGACTCTTCCAAGAGGATGATTAAAATGCATGTGATTGATGAGATAATCAACGTGTCCGAATTGCGTGCTGCAATAATTGAATACTTCATGGAATAAATATTTGTTCGTTAAATTCGGGTTATATCGGGGTATATTGGGTTATATTGTATATAATACTGTATATAGGAGTGGTTTATGTCTGGTTTGTGAATATATAAGGGTGTTGTGAATATAACCGTATATAGGTGTGTTTTGTGAATATAATAGGCATAACTGAGTATTTTGTGAATATATAAGTATTTTGTGAATATAACTGTATATACCCCCAATACCTTAATACCCTCAAATTCCTGGCAGCAAAATCCAAAATACTTCAAATACACTGGGATACACCCAGAATGCACAAGATACAACTAAAATAACTCGAATTGAATAGCCCAATTATCATGCAGCCTTGAATATACGTACACTTCAATTTATTTTGGTTACTTCTCCCACATGCAGTCAAAGTCATGCAGGGAACTCTTCATTGTCAGCCCGAATAACTGCACCCTCTTTCTTTCTGGGAGAAGTGTCTTATTTCCTTGGATTATCGTAGGACTCTCAATTGGGGCCCACTCTATTTTCCCAAGTGGCCTCTCTGCACACCTTTCTAAGTGCCTCAGATTAAACATGCTGCAAATAAAAAGAAGAAGATTTAATGCAAATTTTTATGGTTATGAAGCACATAAAGAGCATATTCGGGATTGAACATGTGGAAGTATCTGGGAACTTATACTGCAACAAAACACTGAAAGTGTCAGATGCCAGCATAAACATCGTAAATGAAAAGAATCTGCAAGTAATTTCAGGAGACGTAGTCTTTGACTTCCTGTGCTCAGACATCTCATATATTGACTTCTACAAGACAGATAGCAAGGAGACTTCCGTGTACTTCTTTGTCAAAGGGGAGAAATGGTCTTTTGTCTTCCGGAAGAATCTGCCCAGGACGATAGTGCAGTTCTACGGGAAGGTACTGAATATTCAGCCACAAATCAATGGCTGGGAGATATTATACGCAAATGACTCTGTCTGCTTGAAGGGCTACAACCAAAAGATAGAGCAGTACGAAGTACTTCACAGCTCTGTCAGCATACGACTACTCAAGATAGAAAGCAGCATTGTACTACGGGTATACAAGGAGTACGATATAATCAGGAAGGGAGACCTGCTGCAAAGCTACTCAGATTTCTATGTGGACCAGGAGACACACAGTTTCTCGTGGAGTGTAAGTACAGCAGGCAGTGAGATGGAGGTGTACAGGATAATATTCAGCTCACTCCCATCTTTGTTCTCATTCATCTCTTCCTTTGTGAATGCAACGACAAAAGATGAAGTAGAGTACCTGGAGAAGATGGAGATTGATAATTACATGAATGACACAAGCAGTGCAGAAGAAGAAAGCGAGACAGAAGAAGAGAGCGAGTCATCTGACACTAAGATCATCCTGGAAAGAAAGAAGAAAAACAAAGAAAAGCAGAAATACAAGCAGACATCAGGAAATATATTTGGGGGACGGGATAAAGAAAGAAACAGAGCCCTGGCTGTCACAGAAGAGAATACATTTGTCTCAAGGGGCTCTGCCATAGGGATATTCAAAAATGAGGAGGAAGATATTAGCTACAAGGGAACCATCCATGCTATCCTTAGGAAGGGCGAGAATATAACACCTGATAAGATGGCTGTGGCTAAGGACAGCAATGCCTTGATTGTCTCTGACTTGAACAAAAAGGAAATGATGTACAAGATTGACCTGAACACAGAGAAGGTGGCAGAAGTATGGGACACAAAGGACGAACTAAAAGACTTCTTCTCGTCTGCCAAGGATGAAAAGGGAGCCCCCTTGAGTAATGAGTTTGTTGGGGTCTCAAAGAATAGACTCTTTAAAATTGACCCAAGAGCACCCTCCCTGATCGAAGGAAAGTCGTACAGCACGAATACTAAGTTTACTTCTGGTGACTCCACACGGGATGGGTACTTTGCACTGGGCTCAGAGACTGGTGATATAAGAATGTACGACTCCCTGGATAAAAGAGCAAAGACACTTCTGCCTGGGCTGGGAGATTCTGTGATAGGTGTATTCATATCGCCCAGTGGGAAGTACCTGGTGGGCACGTGCAAGTCGTACCTTATGCTGATTGTCACTGAGGCAGCAGGAACAAGCGGCTTCAAAAAGAGCCTGGGCCAGAATAAGCCCGTGCCAAAGAAGCTTATTGTAAGGCCAGAGCACCTGCACTACTTCAATGGGGAAGTAAACTTCACTAATGCCAGTATAAGTACAGATAAAAATGAAAAGTACGTTATTGTCAGTACAGGAGAGTGGATACTTGTATGGGACATGGAAAAGGTCCTAAAGGGGCATGTATTCAACTACCAAATTAAAAAGAATGATCATAAGGTTGTCTCAAATAGCTTCATCCCAGGGGACAGTAATAAGATTGTCGTGGCTATGGATGATGAAATGGCAATGATCAATCGCCTCTCCTTGAAGAAGCCCAGAAACCCAAATAAATAAATGCACATTTTAGTACACAAAGCATCCAGACCATTGCATCCACTGCATGCGGCGTGTCCAAGAGGGCATATACCACCTAAAGCATATAGAATATGATGGAGCAGGGTTTTATTCGTATTTTTGTGAATTTATACGGCACTATTTCTTGCTGTAATTATGATGATCCGGTATACTATAGTCTTTTTTAAAAAATTCCGGTTATATCAATTGTTTTACTGGATTTCTCTATAAAGAAGCCTGTTTACAGCTGAGTTTTCTCTTAAATATAAATATTACACTTTATTTTTCTTTCAGCATGAAATTTATTTGCTGTCGTCTATAGTACAAGTTTGTTACGGTATGAATTTAAATAATTTTAATAAACCCTATATGAAAGGATTTTTACATATATTTTATAAACCATATATTAAGACAGCTGATTATACTGCAGTATAAAGCCTGCAGAACCACATATTCCTGTATATTAACCTATAAGCAAGCAGAACCCCTTATTTCCCATGGGCCAATAGATACAGTCTTGTAAAGAAAGTTACTAGTTATTAAATTATTGACTAGAGAAGGGGTTTTACATTCCTAGAACATGGGAAAACACCCTGTTTTCTTTGTTTTAATGAACTTCCTCAAATATGACACTAATCCATTATATTTCTTTATACTTTTTCTGTCATCCTTTGAGCAAAAAAGAGTCTTATTTTCTTTTAAAACACTTAGACTCTTTTCAAAATACTCTGCAGGTCCCGATATTCCTTCTTCAAAGACAAGTGGCTTTGGATAATTATCAAAGAGTATAAAGTCGTAAACTATCTTGATAGATTCTAATGAGAACCCACCAACACCCGAGCTTACATGGATAAACCAAAGAAGATATACATAGTTTAAATTGTAGTCTTTCGTAGATTCTTTGAGAATGGATTGAATTTCTACTAGTCTATCCACTCTCTCCTTAGATACAATATGTTCAAATAGATGCGTTCGGGTTATACAATATACTCCTGAATATTCCATCCTTGTATTATTCGCAGTTGCTTTAATATAGTTGCATATGGCTTTTAATGCTGCAGGCGCTGGAAGATTTGCTAGAGTAGTGTATGTATACACTTTTGCTATATTTGCCCAAATAGCATCTTCTTTTGGGATATTCTCTGATGGCTTAAATCCAAGCTTTGGATAGAATTTCTGCCAGCTTGCATGAAGGGGGAAGTGTTTTAGCATCGTATATCTTGTGCTAGGGTCATTGAGCGGAACACTTCCTAAAATGTTTGCAGTAAAACGTGTTAAAGGGTTTGCTGGGAGTACCTCCTTATCTATTGTACTGTCTATAAAACTATTTATAATAAGGCCTTTAATCTCATTGGAAACAAGCTTTTCTAATAAGAATATTTTATATATGCCTTCAGATCCCTCCTGTATAACTGGATATAAGACTTTCTTAAGTTTCTTTGAAAAGTCTGCTTTGTTAAAAAATAAAGCATCTAATTCTGTACTAACGTAATGATCTGCGATGTACCCTACATAGCAGTCTACATCACTGTAAGTGTTTTTTACCTCTTCACACTTTTCTTTAACTTTTGCAGAGCTATTTCCAAAAGATCGAAAAAGACTAAGAGTAGCATGCCCTTGGCTTATATCCAAAGAGATTCCATTCTTTTCCCCATCAAAATTGTAAGTAATAACAATTTGAGCTAAAATATCTGCCTTTCCGCTTGACCTCTTTCCAAGTGTCATTTGGTTGCACTTTACTTCCACATTCTTATTCAGTGACAAAGACCTAATAATCGATTCTATCTTATCTGCAATATAAACTTCCTGCTTATAATTTAATTTTCCTGCTTTATCTGCTGATTCTATATATTCAACTAGTTCTAATGTTTCTGCTTTTTGTCCTGTTATTTCTGCTATAGCAAGAAGTATATTTCCAACCCCCGAGATAAGTTCGTTTTTTGCCTTTTTGTAGTCAATCCTGTCATTCTTTAAGCACGCAACAACTCTGCACCATTTCTTATGCATTTCAAAGCTTGTTGCCTCTTTTGGCTTAGAATACTTTTCAAAGAAGTCTCTTAGCTCTTTGCTTACTCCCTCTCCCATGTGGCTTGTTTGGTACTCTCCGGTGTTTTGGTTGTATGCCAGGCAGCAGAACAGTCCAAGCAGAGCTGTTTCTACACAGTCACTGTAGTATAATGCATGGCTTTTCTCAAAGCCCAACTTGTCTAGTTTGCAACGTGGCACTCTAGTATACCGCGGCAGCTGACTATCATTGTAGAAGGGAAAATTGGCATTTTCATTTATAGCCTGAACAAGGCCATAGAATGATTCAATGTATTTTTTGTTTTCGCTAAGTGTATCTTTTGCTAGAAAGAGCTCATCGAATATTCTGCCCTTTTTACCCTTCTTCTTAGTCTGCTTTGGGTTCTCCTTTTCAGCTACTTGATCAACCAGCAGTTCATGCACTGCATTCACAAAACTCACATAATTCTCTGCTGTATCAATGAACTCATATATGTACGTCTGTATAAGGAAGGCTGCATTGTTCAGAAACCTTCCACTCTCAAACTCTTCTTTCGTGGCTGGCATTGCAAACTCACCTCCTCTCTTTAGCAGTGGATTGTCTCTGCACTGCATATAGAACTTGATAATTCCAGCTGCCTCACTTTGGTAGATGCTCTCACTGTGCTCATTAGTAACTGGATCTATACCTGCAGTATGCATTTCTACATCTACAAACACTTTCTCTTTGCATGTTTTACTTTTTATGACAAGCCTCTTTTTTTCTCCCGCATGGTCTACATTTATTTTAATGTCAACGCCCTCTGAAAGAAGAAGAAGTGCTGCAAGAATATATTTAGCATCCTTCTTAATGTTTTCTGCTCTTAGGAAATTTGTAAGTGCATTTGGCCTGCCTGCCTCAATGGAAAGGTCTCCGTCTATTGAGGGAAACATCTTTATCAGCTGCGCGTGATATATACTAAGATACTTGCTGTCTGGAGTCTTTGTATCCAAGTCTTTGTATACTCTGTCATTCACTGGTGTTCTTGTAAATTTGTATTCTTGTCTGCCCGTGCTGGATATTCCTTCCTTGCTCAGTTCATAGTCTGTATCTATTTCAGAAGAATAAAATCGCTTGTTGTACATGTATCCGCTTCTATTTCCAATATATCCACGCAGCAGATTCAACGGGCCTTTCGGGTTAATAACCACATCCTGCTTCTCGCCAACTAGAGTCTCACTCACTGTCTTTATGTCTTTCATATTGATTCTTGCAAGAATACTTTGCATTATCACTAGGCTTAGAAGTAGTCTGCTGATCATTCTTTGTAAATCGAAAAAAGATTTCTTGCCTTTCATCACTCTTAGCATCCGTTATTTCTATTTATAAATAAATCACTTTATCTGCTTTCCTATAGGTCACTTGCATATATAATAAGCCAATACACCGAGGCTGCTTTGTGTTTTAACTGGTCTAGTGATTTAATTGACTTATCCTGTATGCATACTAAAATACCCAGTGGCCATCTTTATTCTATTCTTCTGTGCAGTAAGCTGAAAAATAGAAAACACTCTGGCAAGCATTTTTATAAAAACAAATTGAACTACCCAGTACAGACCTTATTTAATAAGTTCTTTATGTATTTATTGTCTGATTTAAATTACTCTGTATAATGTTCTCAAAAGAGAAGAGCATTTTAGCCTGGAAATAGTAGTATAGAATAAATAAAGCTGAAAAGTAGTGATTTTATTACAAAAAGCATCTAATACGTGCCTGTAACAGATAATAAATGCACTTTCTGACTGCATGCGCTGCACTTTCTTAATTACATAGTTAACAGGATCTGCTATTATGGTGTATTTTTATAGCAGATTAGTTATTATAAAAATACACATAAATACATCATATAGCACAAGAAAATGATATATCAAAGTGCCTTCTAATATGCATCTATTTTATTCTGGCTGTGCATGTTTATACATCTGTATATCTTTCCTTTCTGTTATTTTTATTTCTTTAAATTTGCAAAGCCTTCACAGGAAATGCACAATATGTACATATTAGAATATTATCCATAAAACAATCCCAAGTAATTTCGCATAAATATTTACATAAATAAAAGTCGGGCGGCAAGAAACCGGGAAAATTCCCGGGCAAAATCCACTTTACCCTTTGTGGCTAATTGGTTTTTAAAAGTCTATTTATACAAAAATGTCCAGTATAAAAATTTAAAATGGAAGAGACGTTATTCATACTGACAATAATGACGGTAATAACAGCAATTTCGTATGCACACATGCAAAAATGCATAGGAGAAGATAAGCCACTCAGGTATGCACCCAAAAAACAAAAGGCTTCTTTGTTTTCATACCCAGCACCTTTACAAATGTATACATAAGCAACCCATAACCTAAATAGAAATAAACCAGAATATTCAAGGCGTCTAAATATAACAAGAAGCATAAAAATGCATTTGTCTTTTAATTAAATTATAGAAAGCCACTTCACATGTCATTCATGCAATGGAGCAGCTAATAGAAGCACTTTGCACTAGTTCGTATCTTATTTCCTAATAACCAAAATATTATACGGGTGTATTTCATCCATTTTATTTCTCTTCTTTACAAGCAAACAATCCCCTATGAAAATACTCAAATTATTGCAAATTAAAGACAAAAATACTCCCTTTTTAGAACATATAAGCTTAAACAGATATACGTATATCTATATAATCTGGGAATAATGAAGATACTTAGTGCACATTCACAGGCATTTCTGAAGGAAATTTCAAAAAGTAACTTGCAGGTGCATGGATTATATATTCGTAATTAAAATAATTTTAAGAGATGCGTAGAGCCACCATGGCAGGCGTGCCAGCCAGAAATTCAATTTCAGGAGAAGCCAGTCGATTAACACTTAGTGAAGACCCAAGAAAGAGACAAAGAAACCCAAGAGACAAAGGACACCAGGAAGAAAATATAAATGCAATCACAAACTTCCTTGCGTCAACAGAATATGACAGGCCCTTTTCTTATTCCCTTCTAAGCAACCCATCCTTAAAGGACTTTCAGTCTATTTTCAGACACATTCAGTCATTCATTGACCCAACCATAGAATTCACCAAGAAATTTGAAGAGGAGGTGCCTTTCTTCTTACGAGCAATCAAGTACCCATACACATCAGAGATTAATAGAAGCCAGCTGATTGCAATTACGCCGCACACATGGCCAGTTCTTCTGTCTATGCTTGGGTGGCTTGTGAAAATAGTCAATAGCACGTACGAGCTGATGAATATTCCATCGATTGAGGAAGAGTCAAAGAGCATTTTCTACGAGTTTTTGTATAAGGAGTATGCAAACTATATGGAGGGCAGAGACAGCAATGATTTGGAGGAGGCAGTAGAGAGGGAGATAGCTCTAAAGAATAAAGAAAGAATAGGAATAGCAGAAGAGAAGAAAGAGTATCTGAGAAGACTCAAGGGGGAAATAAAGAATGAAAGCACGCAGGATCTGGAGGATGCAAAGGAGAAGCAGAGGCAGGCCCAAATTGACTTGGAGAAGATCATTAGTCTAAGGAAGACGCAGGAGGTAAAGAACAAAAACTACAAAAAATCACATGAGGAAGTGCTCCGGGCGTACAGAAAGCTAAAAGACGAGTCAGCACAGCTTCTGCAAAGAAAGCACGAGCTAGAAGAGGAGATAAAGATGCAGCCAATCAAGCCAGAAGATGTGCAAGAGATGACATACGAGCGAGATCAGCTAATAAAGTCGCTGGAGGAGATAAAGAGATCGAAGACAATTCTGATCCGGGAGATAGACATCAAAAATCAAATGATAAAAACCCAGGTGGAAGAGTTTGAGAGTATTCTGGCAGACATTAAAAAGATTCGGACAGGCATGGATATATCAATTGAAATTAAAAGAACAAAGACAGCAACAGATCTCCTAGAGTACGAGGAATATTCTGTTGAGGGGAATATTCTAATGCACGAAGGTGCAGCAAAGGAAAGGCTTGAGAGGCTTCAGCACGAGATTGAGAAGATAGAAGCAGATGCAGAGCAAGAAAAGGAAAGAAATATTCTCTTAACAGAAACACACAGTGCTCTTTCAGATGAAATAGAGCAGAAAGAAGAAAGAGTGAAAGTTCATGCGCAGGTCTACATAGAAAAGAAAGAGGCAACAGAAGAGGAATATAAAATGACAGTGGGCCGGGTAGACAAAGCAGAAACTGAATTGTTAAAGATACAGACAGAAGGGGACAACGGGCTCTTCCAAAGCGAGCAGGTCCTGGAGAGAATAAAAATCAGGAAGGGAAGGGTTTTAAGTAAAATTGCTGTAGAAGAGGCAGAAACACAAAAAATAACGGCAATTGTGGCAGCAAACATTCAAAGCCTGAAGGAAAGAGTGGAAGAAGCAAAAACCACACTGGAGCTACCGTGATGGTCACAAAATAAATGCATATTTACGACAGAGGTTACTTTTTATTAACTCTACCAGCACGGAAGTGGAGAATGTCTCCATCTACTACGGGGTAGTCTCTTCCCTTCATTCGGCACAGGCCCTTGGCCTTAAGCTCCTGCTCACTTCCGTGCTCTATTATGTCATTGTACGTCATTACATCTACCGCAACAAAGCCTGTTCTAAAGTCTGTATGAATGACTGCTCCTGCATCTGGTGCTAGAGTGCCTTCTCTAATGGTCCAGCAGCGCACTTCTTCAGGGCCGCATGTGAAGAACGTGCTAAGATCAAGGGTCTTATATCCTGCTGTGATGGCTTTGTCCAGGTACTCGGTAGACTCCTCTATTGGAATGCTTGCACACACTAGAATGCAAGGTGCATCCGGGTCTGTCTCCATCAGGTGCTTCTTCAGCTTCACTGCCAAAGAAGTGGGCTTTTTCTGTCTGTACTTATCTGCGCTTATGTTAGCCAGATAGACCACATTCTTTGCAGTTATTAGGTTCAACGGCTTGAGCATCTTTATCTCGTCAGAGGTAAAGTCAATGAACCGGGCATCCTTTCCTGCCTCCAGACCAGAAACCAGCTTCTCCAGACCCTCCATGTATATCTTGAAGTACTTATCGGAGGGCTTTGACCTAAGCTCCTTTTTCGCCATTTCAAGCCTTTTCTTTGCGTCTGTTAAGTCCTTCAGGCGGAGCTCCTCTCTAATCACCATGCAGTCTCTGACAGGATCAACTACGTCATCTACGTGCGCAATGGAATCGTCATTAAAGCACCTTACAACGTGAAAGATTCCATCCACCTGTCTAATGTTCTCTAGGAAACTATTTCCCATACCAAGCCCTTCTGAGGCGCCCTTTACTAGCCCAGCAATGTCAAACACTGTGAGGTAGGCAGGGGTTGTTTTCTTTGGCTTGAATATTTTGCATAGGTCATCAAACCTCTTATCCTTTATGCACACCTTTGCCTCGGATGGGTCAATTGTGCAGAAGGCGTAGTTGGATGCTGGCACCTGGAGGCCTGTCATGGAATTAAAGAGAGAAGACTTTCCTACATTTGGAAGCCCTACAATTCCCATGGTAAGGTTATGCGTGTTTGTTCTTCCAAATTTTACAACTGGCTTTTGCGCTGCTTCTTTTTTCTTTTGTGCGTTCATTTCTGCAACTTATTCTACAAATTTTTTATATTTTTATGCTTCTACCGCAGGCTGCCGAAAGACTTTTGCAAACTCTGACTAAGTACAGCAGCATGATAGGCCAGGAAAAGCTTGTTTTGCCAGATCTGGAGATTGCCGAGAGAAAGGGCCACTGCCAGGAGCTGATAGAAGAGATTGACAAAGAGCTATCAATTGAGCCACTGAGTCTTCTCAAGCAAATAGAGGAGATTTTGGAAGATATTCACAAAAAGTGTGTCAGCACCGAAACTGCAGAAGAAGAGAGCATTCTCCCGGAGCAAACAACAATTCTTATTCAGTCCCAGTCCAAGAAGAGGTTTGTTCTGTCAAAGAATATTCCTCGGCCCCAAATAAACTTTAAAAGCAGGAAAGACACGTACGCAATGAAGTCTGAAGGGTTTTGTTTTTCAAAGCAAGCGAAAAGCGCAGAGAGCACATCAGCAGCAAGAGATAGTGCGCAGCAGAGGGAGGGAGGCCTGCCAGGTGCAAAGGAAATGGAAGTGCAATCAGATGTCTTAAAGCAGGCGTACAATGCATTAAAGAATGTTGACTCTGCTGCAGACATAACCCCGATTATTTACTACATAAAAACAGAAGAGGAGTGCGAAATGGCAAACTCGCATATTATGCAAGAGAAGATCATTGGGGTCGACATAAAGACACATAAATTTAGAAGCTACAGCGGATTCACTTGCTACATCCAGGTGGCAACTCTTGAAAGCGTATACATATTTGACATGATAGAGCTAAGAAACCACTCCAAGCTGCTTACCTTCTGGAGTGAGCCGTCAATTGTCAAAGTATTCTATAAAGCGTCAGAGAAGATTGCCTGGCTAAGAAAGGACCTGCAGTACACAGTGGTCTCTTACATTGATCTGCTAAGCCTGCATGGATACCCAGAAGAGCCTATCAGAAATCTAGGCAGGGCAGTATTCTATTCAACAGGAAGGCAGGTCAGAAAGAAGTTGCAGCTCATGGACTGGAGGTACAAGCCGGTTTCAGACGAAATGTATACAGATCTGACAGAACAAGTTGGATACCTTCTACTTGCAGCAGCAGGCATGATCAGCAGGTGCACAGAGAAGGAGTTTGTGTCCGGATATAAATATGGAGTGGAGGCAGTCCAGGAGCCTCTTACACCAGAAGAGTTTCTGCTTGCTAAGGGGATAGAGCCAACAGAGTCGCTTGTAAAAATAGTTATGCTCAGGGACTTCATAGCAAAACAAGAAGATGAAAGTCCACAGTTCCTCATGACAGACAGACAGCTGGTTAGATTTATAAAAGAGCAGCCCTCCTCACCAGAGCAAATATTCTCTCTCTTCAAGAAAATCAGCCCTCTTTTTAAGGCAAATATGAACAACTTCGTAAATCTGCTGCACTCAAAGCACAAGTCATCTTCATTTAACATGACAGCCTTGAAAGATAGATCGTAAATAAACACTCCTGCCTTTCAAAATCTATCTTATAGAAATCTAAGAGAACCCTTCTTTTAGCCACCTTGAAACACACAGGCACATCTATATTTCCTTTATTTTAACTGCATGCTTGCATGTCTTTGTTTGCATCTTATTATTTTTCTGATTCTGCAGCACACATGCATGGCCTGAATAACCCGATATAACCCGAATATCATGGCACTGCGTGATAGAAGCTTCTGCCCCAAGAAGTGCACAAAACTCAAGTACCGGAAATCCAGACATAAGTACTACACATAGTAACTAAACGCCAGCATAGCCTGATATAACACGAATATAACCCGAATTAGGTATAGGATAATCATATGCTGCTATCTACCAAATATTTTCATTTTTTGTTTGGATTATATCTTAGCTACATGTGTAATATCTTGGTTTTCACGTATAGTATTTCTAATTATTTTTTTAATTTGTTTATGCATGTGGAAAAGGCCTCTCAGATTCAAAAACTAAAAAACACTTGCCCATGGGTGATTTATTATGCAATTGCAACTGTAAATTTTGCTGCATCTGTGTATTCTGATTGCTGCAGCTGCACTCCATTCGGCATACTCTCAAATCCTTTAGTGATTTTTACTATTATTACAATGTTTGTGTTCTTTTCTGTGTACATTCAATCCCCTCCCTCTGTGATAGCACACACAAGGCCAGTGAGCAACATAATTCTAGTCAGATTTCTTATGCTTATAGTTCTTTGTAATGCAATTGTGCTAGGATCTATCATATACATGTGTCTAGCTGGGAAGTACTACACCATGCTGTTTTTTTCGTGCTTGTTGATTCAAATTGGCATATACTCTGAGTACATTCTAAAGATAGTTTCAGCCCGGGTGTCAAGGCTTCCAGTGGAGAACTACATTCTGTCCATATCAATAGAGATGGAAATGGATGAGCGAGACATGACATTCTATGACTTTCATCTTCTCTTCTACGCTGCAAACTTTCTTTTCATCTTTTTCACCTCTGTGATTGTGTTCTTCTGCGTGCACCCAGTTAGCATGACATACACATCCTTTTTCATTAAGAATCTGTACTGTTTGGTTACTTACTACTGCGGGCTGTACACATTTATGTCTGCCTGCGTGGTCACCTTCTATTTGAAGATTAATTCAGGCTCACAAAGCTTCTATCGCTTGATAACAAAGCTAGTTGTGAAAAATATCGGTGTCATAGTGTTTATGGCAGTTATAAATCCGGTATCTGCAGTGTGCGAGTTTTTCGTAAAAATACTTTCCATAAGCACCATGCTAGAGAGCCTTTTAAGTGATATAGGAAATAGATTCTTCAAGAACATAATATTTTATAGAAAGATAGGAATATCCTCCATAGTAGCAATGTCCACTCTTCTGGAGAAGGAACCGCATGAGGTTGTTGCGTTTATTAAAGAAATAGAAGGGAACAGTGACTATCCGTATATAAGCTCATTTAGCACTACACACAGTGGGCAAACAACAGAAAAACTATCCACATCTATTATTTTTTTTGTTCTGCTGCCGCTTTTAATAGCTACTGCCTTTACCACACAATATGCAGATGGCTTTGAAGGATATATTAAGATGCTTATATCACTAGGATGGGTTACGTATGCCACTGCATGTGTCTGGTACATATATTCTGAGTCTCTGTACTATGCAGCTTTGCTTTCAAATATTCAAGGGAGCCCACAAGGAAAGAAGTGGATAAATGCATATCTGAATACGCTATAACTAAAGATAAAGCAGCAAGCTACCACATTTTCAGGATCCAGAATAAAAGCAGTAAGTTCAAGATAAAGAAATACAGTATGGATTTTCACTCTACAAGAACAAAGACTTAATGTAAAGAAAAAGAGTATGGTGCTGACTGCACTTTAAAGATACAATAAATACGCATTTCTATACAGAATTATTGCACTATTCAGGCAATGCTTTGTAATGCGCAGTTGAGTGGCTTTTCTGTGTGATTGTGTAGTCTGCATAATTGCTAGTGGACAGCAAATTTAGACAGAAAGCCCTGTAGTAACGCATTTAAACTATTCTTTTATTATTTTTATATGAAGGGAAGACTATCTTGGCTTGACATCAGAGCGGGGGTAAATGAGCTTGAGAAGATCAATGGATGCCACATAAAAACAGTGTACAGCACAAGCAAAAAGGCAATTCTTATTAAATTCAGCAACAAAGACCAGCTGCTGATAGACCCACCAAGTAAGTTCCATTTGACACACAAGAGCTATGAGAAGGTCAATTTGACCCCACTTGCACTTTATTTGCGCCGGGAAATAAGCAACTATCGGGTTGAGAAGATTACGCAGTTAGGGTTTGACAGGGTGGCTGTTATAAAGATACGGTCTGGAAAGGGGTGCAGACTGCTTATTGTGGAGATGTATGCGAATGGAAATATAATCCTGACAGATGAAGAACTGAACATTATAAATCTGCTGAGGCCAGTTGAGCACTTGGGAATAGTAAAGGAGGGAGTGTATCCCGTGAATCAGCCAGAGCTTACGTTAGACATAGATAGGTTTTGCTATGTGAAAGGAGACACGTTAAAGAAAAAGATCTCTAACTTTCTGTCGCTTTCAGGGCGTGTGGTAGATGATGTAATTGCAGATATGTCTGTTGTGTTCAGGGAAAAGCTAGGGATGGATACTCCTCTGCAGCTGGCACTCATAGAGAAAGAGATAGAAAATAAGTCCACTGAATTCATAGAGGTATTTAACCACTTCTTTACAGAAGTCTTTAATAAGCTGACAAGTGTTGGGGACTACGGTGTGGTGTACTATGATGGAGAGAAGCCAACTATGTTTTCGCCGTGGAAAGAGAAGTATCCCAATCCCGGGCAGAAAATACAAGAGTTTGAAGGGTTTGGGGCTGCCATGGATGCAGTGTTTAATGTGCAGGAGATAACAGAGACAGCCTCCCAAAAGAAGCAGAGGAAAATAAGAGAGGCACAGGAAAGGGATCTGCATAAGAAGATTGAAGAAATGACAATTCTGAAGGACAAGGCAGAGCTTCTTTCAGAAAATCAGACAGAGGTAAAGAATGTCATTTCAGTGATTGAGGCAGCAAATGCAGCAAGCCTCTCTGAAAAGGAGTTTGAGAGATTCAGAGAAACAGAAAAAGATACGAACCCGACTGCGCAGATCATCAAAAAGGTCAACTTTGGGAATAAAACAGTCGATCTGACACTGGACAAAAAAGCAGTCTCCATTGACTATACAAAGTCAATATTCGAGCAGATTAACATGCTCTACCAAAAGGCAAAGAAAATAGAAGAAAAGCTTAAGAAAACAAGAAAGGCTTTGGATGAGAGCAAGCATAAAGAAGTTGAGATAGCAAGTAAGGTCGAGAAAATTGAAAAGATTGAGAGAAATCCCTTCTGGTTTGAGAAGTTCAGATGGTTTATCACAAAAGACTCAGACCTCATTATAGCAGGAAGAGACTCAAAGCAGAATGAAATTCTAGTTAAAAAGTATCTGCTGGATACAGACTATTACTTCCACGCAGATATCAGGGGAGGGTCAAGTGTAATCGTTGGGGAGCATGCAACGGATCACACAAAAGAGATTGCAGCCTCAATGGCCATGCACCTCTCCAAGGCATGGGAGAATAATCTTATCACAGAGGTGTATTGCGTGCGGGGTGATCAGGTCAGTAAAACAGCGCCTGCAGGTGAGTACTTAACACACGGAAGCTTCATGATCACAGGCAAGAAAGAGTTCTACCATCCAACCAGGCTAGAGTACGGGTTTTCGCTGATATACAAGATAGAAGACGAAGAGATAACTATATCTGATGACAACAGAAAGGTAACAGGTTTTACAGCTGATCCCCAGGAGGAGGAGGCAGTTGAGTATGCAATTCCTGTTGTGGGCCCGTATAAATATCTTGCTGGAAAGAAGTGCAGACTTCTTCCTGGATCTTCCAAGAAGGGCATGGTCATAAAAGAGCTCCTTGCAATTGCTGAGCTGGAGAGACCTTCCTTCCGGAAATACATCAAAAACATCACAGATAAAGAGATGGAGCTAACAGTCATAGGGAACTCAAAGCTTTCCCATGCAGAGGTTGTAAAGAGAGGAGACAAGTCACTATTTGCTCGCAAAGTGAAAACAAAGAAAAACAAAAACAAGCCAGTAGACAGCGACTAACTTATAATAAAGCCCTAGCATAATATAACGATAAGCTATTTACTTGAAAACATAATATCTGAATAACCCGAATTTGTATTTTGGCTTCTTCACTGCCATGCTTGCTTTCAGCTGCTTTTCCTTGCACGCAGTCAGCCTGCAGACTACTCTCGAACAAAGGGAATGAAGGACTCGCCAACGTATGGCACTAGAACTTCAGGAACAATCAGGCCTCCTTCTGTTTGATAGTTCTCTACCAGACAGCAAAGAGTTCTTTGGATAGCACAGAGGGTTCCATTCAGCATGTGAACAAACTGTTTCTCTTCAGTGCTTTCGTTTGGCCGGTATCGCACATTCAGATCTCTGCTCTGGTAGTCTGTGCAGTTAGAGCATGAAACTAGCTCTCTATATCTCTGGGAGGCAGGGAAGAGAGCCTCCAGATCATACTTGATTGCAGCTGCATTATTTAAAGCACCAGACACAATTGACACAACTCTGTAGGAAAGTCCCAGCGAGTCATAGAATGCCTTTGATCTGTCAACCATCTTATTGAACTCATTTTCACTTTCCTCTGGGGATGTAATCAAAAACTGCTCGATCTTTTCAAACTGATGGACTCGGAATATTCCTCTGTTGTCTTTTCCGTGCGCACCTGCCTCCTTTCTGAAGCACGTTGAGTACCCGCAGTACTTGATTGGGAGCTCTGACTCCTTCAGCCACTCTCCTTCATGCTGGGCAGAGAGAGGCTGCTCAGAGGTTGCTATTAGATAGAGGTCGTTGGTTCCATCTATTTTGTACAGCTGGTCGTCAAAGTCGCTTAGCTGTGATGTTTTCTTCATGGACTCTCTACTCATCATAAAAGGCGTCTGTATCAGAGTATAGTCGCTTTTACGCAGGAAGTCCATTGCATACCGAATAAGACTCTGTGTAAGCACCACACCAGCTCCTCTTAAAAAGTATCCTCTGTGCCCTGCTATTTTTGTGCCTCTTTCTGTGTCCACAACCCCCAGCTTATCAAGCACTTGGTCGTACGAAAGAAGTTCCTTTGGCCAGAACTCTTTGTCTCTTTTCTCAGTCTGCGTGATAACTGGGTTGTTGTCCTCGTCATCATGAATGAAGACACTCTTGTCCAGAATGTTTCCTATTTCTCTGGCCACATTGTTTGTTTCCTCTTCTTTTATGTTTAGCTCCACTGCGCATGCTGCCTTCTTCCCCTTCACCTCTGCTATCTTTGCCAAAAGTTCCTCTTTGTTTTTCTTCTCTTCTGGAGTTTCTTCTTTTTTGACCTTGAAGTACTTCATTGTTTCTCGCGTGAGGTTATTCATTTCTTTATTCAGCTGCTCCATAGTATATCTTATTTTTATTCTTTCTTCTATCATATCTACCACTTTTGCAGCCCTTTCTGTTCCTCGGAATCTGTTGGACTCACTCTCCATGACCAATTTCCGTGTGTCTTTATTTCTGAGCAGGCTTAAGTCAATCATAAAAAATTTAAAATATGCTGTAATTTATAGCTAGTACTCACTGCTGACTGCTTTTGAAATATCTAGTCTATAATTCTCTAAGAGAGATGGGTGCTATATACTGCATAATGTGGCTAATCTTCTAAATAAATTAGTAACCTTGTGGTGCATAAAATATATGAGTGTGCTGTCTGCCTATGGATGTATCTGTGTAAAGTAAATTTACAGAAGTCCCTCATTATTCTGTGCTGCATATTATTTAAACTTGTATGGCTGCTGTCTATACGCAATTTCAGCTAGATATACAGGCTTATTGTGATTATAGATATATAGCTGCAATAAAACTAGCAAACATATAGATGCTTGCATGCTTAAATAGAAAGTATTCTTTATTTTATACAGTGCTCTGTGCTTTCTGCTCCATGTATGAACAGCCAGCAGAAATAATACCTTTTTGAATAATTTCCAAAGGAATGTGTCTTCGTGTGAACTTTGGCTCAGGGTCCCTGAAGTTGCACAGATACTCGATTCTGAATGTGACTACAGTGGTCTGCGACTTTGTTTCATAATCCTGTATGCCGATGCGCTTCTTGCTGTCGAGCTCCTTTCTCTTCAATATATTTATTATCTTCTCCTTGATCTCATCCAGCTTCTCAATGGATATTTCATCCTTTATTATAAACACCACTAGCTCTGTCTGTATATCACTTCTCCGTATGTTAAAGATTGACTCTTTTATCAGCTCTTTGTTTGGAATGTAGCACACAGTGCCTCCCTTCGAGGTGAATGTGCTATACATAAGGTCTATTCTGAGAACAGTGAATTCATTATCCTTCAGAAGTACTTTATCCCCAACATCAAAGGCATGCTCGTGCAGCAAAAAGATGAAGTTATTAAAGACATCCTTAATAATGTCAGCGAACAGCCATCCTGAACTCATAAGCAGAGGCACAAAACCAGCAAGAGTCTTCACTGGGTCATACCCAATAAAGGGCGTACTGATCATAAGAGTAAGAATAAGGGCAATTACCTGCAGAATATTGTCCAGGGCCCCAAGTATCTTGTCTCTGTCATACAGGGTTCTTTTCAAGTCTATTTTCTCGCCGTACACTGAAGTTGCCATATCCAAAAGGCTTTTTCCAGTGATGACAGAATTTCCATTGATTTCCTTTACATACTCATGCTCTTCCAAGTATTTCCAAATATCCATCCACTGCGTATTAAAGGCCTCTCTTATATTGTCAATTGTGATGTGCAGATTCAGCCGCGGGTCTGATGCGCCTTGGGACGAATTTGAAGCATCTTCTGAGATCTCTCCTGGAGACACTCTTGATAAAATCTCATACACAATCTCCTCGCACTGCACTTTTGACTTTATCTTGAAGTCTGGAAAGTGCACCAAAAAGGTGTTTGTAATCTCAATGCCTTCCAGCATCTCTGATCCTAGATCACTTCCTCCTCTTACATTTATTGCCTGTGAGTACTGGGCAAGCCTTCTGAGTATTGATGTCTTCAGATTGACGTCCCCAATTCTTCCAGAGAATACGTTATTTCCGCAGTACGCAACAGCAAGCTTTAGGCAAAACTTCTCCAGAATGAAAAACATAAGCAAAAAGGATGCACACACAGAGTATCCGCCCAGCCTTCCATACCCACGCACTTCCATTTTAGTCAAAGAGTACTCCTCCATGAATATGTTACAGTAAATGACTGCAGAGATACTCACGCCAAGCAGCGCAATAATCTGTTTTATATCATCAATGATGAACAGAATGATCTTCCCATCGCTGCTTATCTTGTGATTGATAATGTCGCAGATCATTGCATATATGAACACAACCCGATTCGCGATCAGATATATCACAACATAACTCAAAAACACAGCACACAGAAACAGCCCAAGCTTGAAGTTAATCTGAGAGGCTGTTATTCCACTGTACTTAGAAATTGGCTTAAAAATATTTGGCACATGGGATTTCTCTATAAGAAGAACTGCACATGGCCATACCATAATTGCAAAGCACCCAACTATAAGATACGAGAGAGTGGCTAGATAGAAGTAGAAACCAGACATACTTGTCTCAATGTACGCAAGGATGTTAAAAAAAGAAAATTGCTCTTTGCTATCAAGATCGTCCAAAACCTTTCTTTTGTTGCGCTTGCTCCTTTCCTTCTTCAGTTTGTTTTCTTCTTTCACTGCCTCAAGTATTTCTTCCCCATGGGTTATTTGATGCGTTGAGTCGTCATCACTTTTCTCAGAGTCTTCATCTATCTTTGTGTCTCGCCCCTGTGCAGGCTTTGTCACCAGCTTCTTTAACTGCTGACCTGGCTTTTCCAGAATATTAGAAACATCTTTGTTCTCATCTTCCTTGCTATCCATAAAGGGGCAGCCTGATACTATTTTTATATTGCCATGGGAAAAAATAATGCTTTCAATTGGACATTTCTCTTTTTTCAATTGGTTATTTCTCTCCAAATAGACGAATAGCATGCTTCAATTCTACACATCACCAATTACGTCTGTGTCTTGTCAGCCAGTGGATATCTTTCTTTTTCTTTTTGACTTCATGCACCTACACTCTCTTTTAAAATAGTTAGTTTACGGCTTCTCTCAGATACCCTTCATAGGGCGGGCTGCAAGAATTTCTATCGGAACATGCCACTTCAGAGTTAGTGCATAGAAACATAACGGAGGCGCATAAAATTTTTACAAGTTAGTTTTATGCCAGAAGAAAAAAAGACATTTGCAGAGTACACGCTTGACACCTCGCTTGTTGAGGCACTTGCTAAAAAGGGAATTACCCAGCCAACAGAGATACAGAAGCTCATGCTCACCAATCTAGTCAACAGGCAGAGTATCTTGGCAATATCAAACACAGGAACAGGGAAAACACTAGCATATTTGCTGCCTATTATGCACACTTTGTTGCAGGACGACAAATACTTCTATGCTATGGTTATTCTTCCAACAAGAGAGTTATCACAGCAGGTGCATGCCGTTCTCGCGGATATTGGGGCAGAGATAGGTCTTCGTACTAGCCTGCTTATAGGAGCAACGGATCTGCTTAGCCAAGGGAAAAGTCTGGCAGCCAGGCCGCATATTGTCATTGGTACTCCAGGAAGAATTAACCACCACCTGCGGAACACCAAAGGAATATCTGTCTCCTCGTTCAAATATCTTGTGTTAGATGAATGCGACAGGCTTTTAGACAACGACTTTGATGGGGACATAAACAACATACTGGAGATGATATCCCCAAAGTACACATTCCTTTTCAGTGCCACCTTAACAAAACGTGTTAATGCCTTTAAGGAAAAGAGAATGAATAATCCTTTGCTGTACAACGTGCAGAAAGATGAAGGTATTCCAGAGAACATCTTGCAGCAATACATCTATCTTCCGCAGAAGTATAAGGAGATGTACTTATACAGTATTGTGCACAACCTTGGGTCTAGAAAGTGCATTGTTTTTGTTAAGACGTGCATCACGGCAGAGAGAATAGAAAGAATCCTTCGATTCCTTGGAGAGTCTGTCTGCAGCATCCATGGAAACAAAACTCAGGATATCAGGACTGAAACGATAGAGATGTTTAGGAGAGGAAAGCACTCAATTCTTATATCAACTGACGTAGTAGCTAGAGGAATGGATATGGATGGCATCAAAGTCATTATAAACTATGATATGCCAGATGGCCACAAGGAATACATTCACAGAATTGGGCGCACAGGGCGTGCAGGTGAAGTAGGGAGCTCTATTACACTTGTTACGCAGTATGATGTGGATGATTTTAGAAAGCTAGAGGTCAAGCTGAACAAGAAAATGGATGAATATTCTGTGTCAAGTGAGCTGATATACAGCCTAGTTGATAGTGTTGATCAGGCCAAACGAGAGGCTGCTATGGATATGAAGGAAGAAGGCGTGGGAAAGAAGATCAAAGAGTTTAAAAAGGGAAAACAGGGAACGAAATCTGCAAAGAAGGATCATGGAAGAGACCGAAAGTCAAAATCAAAGTAAGTAGAGAGAGCTAAACGATCTGCATCTCTCACATATTTATAGCATTAGTATTTAAGCGCACAGGAAATAAAGCCAAATATAAACAAGCACACCCTCATAAGCCTTTCTTTTTCTTCTTGTATGCATACATATATGGACAATATATGCAAATTCAACATGTCAATTTATATACAGAAGTATGCATATTTCCGCAGCAGCATGCACTAAGGCATCTAGCCTATCTAGCATACTTTACATAGTGCTTAAGAAAATAAATTCAGAAAATATTTATACAATGGTCTTCTATGTATGCACAGAAGCTCTGCATTATATATTTGCTCTACGTAGAGAGTGATTTTCAAGAAGTAAATTGTTTTTAGCATTTTATGTCAGGGTCTGGCACGTCTGCATTCATTGGACTACTTTTTTAAATATCCAAGGCCCTAATGCGCTCTATAAAGCAGGCTCTTTAGATCTAAAAAACAAGCTCCTCGTCAAATTCTGTTCTCTTATAGCACAAGTTCTATTAAAAAGTACGTGCTAGCCTTGAATAGTTATTTTTTTATAGAAAAATAATTTGTGTATATTTACAAGAGAGACATATGGACAGCTTATATTTATTTTTATATGGGAATATTTTAGCAACAAAACATTTTTATATTTAGTCTAAATAGTCTTTTTATCTTAGATTCCCTTCTATTAAAGAAATTAATAATGCCTTTCCACTTTGCCTTTCCACCTTCTCTACTTTTTAGATCTTTTTTCATTCTTCTAAGAACAGAGTTTGTCTTCTTATAATTATCTGTTATTTGGATAGATCCTAAATCGCTATAATGATCTGTTATCTCCAGTGAATCGTATATACTGTAAATAAGCTCTGGCAAATCTTCTTTTTCTTCACACGCATACGCAAACCACGAATGTCTTAGAATATTTATATCATATGAGCCCATAAACTTGCTTTTCTTCACTAGTTCTACCACTTCATCTGCATACTCTGTCGTATTTTCTATAAATAAACATCTAAATATCTGCTTGGATAGACCCTCAAACTTCAATGGGTTATATGGAGCCATTTCTCCGTATTTAGATGTTATAAATACTATTAGCGCTTTAATAAAGTACTTTGGAGACTTTTTGTTAAGCAGAATCCACTTAAATACCGTGAAACTTCTACTTGTATACACTGTAATCTCCGCATATCTTTCAGGTGGAAGATCTAGATTTGGGTAGCACTCTGTGTATGCATCTATGTACACTAAGCTGGCCAGCATATCCTTGTGCACGCAATTATTATCCAGAGGAGCACTTCCTATTATGTTAGAAGTAAATCGCACAGCTGGGTGTTTTGTTGTTAGCTTCTCATCCATCAATGCTAGTAGAAAACACAGCACCAGATTAAATTTATACTCATTGGCTTCCAACTGCCAATATAATAATATTCTGTCTATATCTTTGAAGCCACCCTTCATTATTTGATTAACCTCCTCAGACATGGCTTTTATAGAAGACATTTTTCTTTCTATACTCTGTATCTTATAGTTAAGATAGTGATTGGCCAAAAAGTCTAAAAATCCGTCCTCTTTGATGAAAAACTTGTTTCTAATATTAATAAGCTGCTCTAGTCTAGCAGTCTCTATAGCACGGCTGTTTGTAATAATACTTGTCCTTGCATGTCCTTTTAACATTTCTATATTAAACTGACTTTCCATCTTGTTTTTTATATATTTCAGGTTAATAGATCCGAAAAGTTCCTTGTTCCCATTTTCAGCGGACTCTCTTTTAAGTTCGGTAAACTGTATACTTAACTGCCTATTTCTGGCCAAAGACTCAAAAGTCTTTCTAATGTAATTTTTTATATTAGTGTCAAACCCATGGCCCAAATTCCTTCCTTTTTCGACACACTCAGTAAGCTCATCAAGCGTATCTATACTCTCCTGATCCTGCCCAACCACTACAGATATCACTTTCATCATGTTCAAAATACCTGTATCAAGCTCATTTCCATTTTTAAGATATACTATTTTACTGCATGGCAGGTCCGACACAACTTTGCTCCAGTGCATGTGCATTTCATACGTCATCTCCTTAAAAGGCTTGCTGTGCTTTCTAAAAAATTCTTTGAAGTCTTTCGATGCACCTTCTATATGGTCTGTTTCATACTTTTTTATTTCTGGGTTATATATAAGAGAGCAAAAAATGCTTAGTATCGCTGTCTCAACACAGTTACTATACTTTTGCATGTAGGTTGGATCAAATTTGTCTAATTTACGTATATAGCTTTTCATTCGAATGTACTTTGGAGGCTGCACATCGTCTGTGAATGGAAAGTCAAGAGAGATCTCCATGATCTTCTGCACGCTTTTTATTATGCCTACTGAGCTTAGGTGTTTATTCGTAGTTGCCGGTATAAAGAATCTCCTAAACATATCTTCATCTAGTTGGGGGTTTTCTGCATTTTCTCTCTGGCTTTCTTGCTGAAGTGCATCGCATAGCATAGCATGTACTGCATTTGTAAATTCCAGCGCGTCCTCTAACTTATCTATAAACTCAAATATGTACGTTTGAATTAAAAATCTTGGTGTGTTTAGAAAAAATCCACGATTAAACTCTTCTAGTGTCTTAGGCTCTTCAAGTATTTTTTTACTTTCCAAAAAAGTCTGCCTTCTGTTTTTTATAAAAAACAATATAATATCTCTAGACTCATTGTGCACAACACTACTATTCTCACCCATCCAGGCATTACTCCCTGGTGTTTTCATTTCAATGTTGAAGTACTCACCTGCGCCATTAAATTTTCTTAGCACAAGCTTTTTTTCCTTTACACTTTTTCCTTTCCCCTCAATTGTCAGAGGTACATCTACATTTTCTGAAAGAAGAAGTAGTGCTGCCAGAATGTAGCTAGCATTCTCTTTTACCCTTTCAGACCGAAGAAACTCAATAAACGAGTCCTGCTTTCCCGACTCAATTGATAACTCCCCGCTTACAGAAGGAAACATAAGAATCAGCCTTCTGTTGTACTCACTAATGTATGACTGATACTTGTTTGTGGCACTCTCTGGTAAATACGACTTGTCATTTTTTGGGGTTCGTGTGAAGTTATATCTTCGTATTTGCCCCACTGTTTTTTTAGTTTTTTCTTGGGGTGCTAGCTTATACTCTGTTTTGATTCCTGCAGAAAAAAACCTCTTGTTATACATAAGTCTAGTCTTGTTATATATGTATCCTCTTAGCAGAGACAGCGGCCCTTCTGGATTTATAGATAAGCTCCCTCGCGCTGCATCTAGTATAACTTCATCCTGAGCCACCATTATCTGTTCAAAGGGAATTCTTCCATATGCCTGATATACTACTAAGAGCAGCCCAAGACATTTGAATCTCATATATGATGGATAGAAAAAATTATTTAAATTCTAACAATTATGGGAAAGCGACACCTATTTATACATATAAATAGTGCTGAGAAGCTCTATGCCAGCCCTCCGCTGTGTCTAAATATGTGCCTCTGCCTGCATTATAGCACCGCACTAACTCTATAAAAATACATGTTTTCTCTGGTTTAATAAGACAGACTTTACTGATGTGTTTTTATAGCCTTTAAATTAAAATATTCATTTCTGTCAGGCAGATGCTGTGAGCGCATTCTGGCCTCACAATTAATTTTTTTCTGCAATTTTCATAGAACATTCTGCATATACAAGCTTCCAAAGGCACAGAGCAGACAGAAACTGCGAGCATAAAAAATATGCAAAATAGACTCTGAACTCCCTTTTGTTTATTCTTTGTATATGCTTTGTTTACCACAGTAAATAGGCATGCATTTGGAAGGGTCTATTTACTGGCCAATATTTTTAAAACATAGCACTCCTTAGCAACCGGTGTGTTTATGTTTCAGAGAAAAAAAGATAAATAGGAAGAGCATTTGCGGATTATCAAATGACGGAACTAGTTTCAATACCTGAAAATGAATTGGAAGCACCTGAAAGATCTTCTAAAATGAAAGGTCTTAGGAAGCGTGTCAGATCAGTAGGACGCAAAGCAAAAGCTGTTTGTAAGGTAACAGCTAACGCGATGCGCTTCCAGCTCAACACAGTTGCATCTATTTTCACCATGTGCTCTGCAAACACTGTGACAGAGGAAATACCAGATGAAGTCATCTATGCTTCGGTCCCCTCTAGGAACAACTCCCGTGTAGATCTGGCAGAACAGCCAGCGGAGACTAGTGCAAGTGAGCCAGCAGAGACGAATGTACCTGTACCAGCAGAGACTGGTGCAAGTGAGCCTGAGCCTGAACCAGCACCTGCAGAGGTGACAGAGGAGCCAGCATGCATTGCACTAGCAGAGCCAGTAACTCACGCTGAGACTGCTCTGGTCCCAGTAGAAGCAGCAAGTGCCCAAGAGCCCGCAGTTCCAGAAGAGACCGCAAAAGAAGAGACACACCTTCCAAAGGCGGCTGCTAAGGACGACATCTCAGTGGTTTTCTGCCTCTCTGAGTTTATCCGCGAAATAGAGGACATCGTGCAAAACACCTCTCTTATGCCATGCGCCTCATACGCCCCGGGCATTATACTCTTTTATCTTAAGCAGAAGAGAAACCATCTGCACGAGCAACTGAAGAACATTGAGCTTGCATTTCATACTACTCCAGATAGTGCTTCCCCTACTGACATGGACCAAGATGTAGTTAAGTTTCTCGTTGCCGAGGCCCTTGAGCCTACAGAGTGCATAAGCCACTGGCTTTCGTCTGATGAGCCACTGCAGGCAGCATACACCGACCTATACAAGACGATTATAAAGACTTTGTTTGAGGAGAACAAGCAGGGAACAAGAACAGAAAGAACAATTGTCTTCTACTGCCAAGCCCTAAAGTACATCAGAACCGTCCTAGACCTTGCATTGCAAGACGTTGAACAGGAGCCTCTAGACCATTTGCCAGTTCCCCATCTGTTCACAGACCTTCTGAGCAATCTTTCCAAGCCAGAGAGCGTGTCTGCTCTTCTGGAGGCTAGAGTGCAGCAGGCTGACGCAGAGTGCAACGAGGATCTAGATAGCGAATACATAGCGACTGACGGGGAGGAAGAGCACAATACCACAGCGGTTCCAGATCCAGCTGCCATGATGGAAACTCTCATGACAAGCCCTCTGTTCCAGAAACAGCGCGAAATGAATATTTTAGAAGGAAACATTGTGGAGGACTTTTCACACACATGCTCTCCAGAGATGCAAAAAGGCATGGACGCAGCACTGTCCTATATCATGCAGGTAGGTGTCCCCACTCCAATTGCAAGATGCCTATCTCCAAAGAACATATAGATATCACTGTGTATCTCTTTAATAAACTACCTTACATACATACATTCTTCAACTTCCAGATATATTCTCTAATTATAGCTCAGCAAATTACATTTAGTGCTTACACAGGCTGAACAATGGTTCTGTTCATATAATAACTCTCTTCTGCCCAGACTTAAAAAACAAGACAGTGCTATAAAAGAAGTCTATTTATTCCTTTGCTAAACTATATACAGCTCTATTTCAGATTTGCATATAGTCTTCTAGTGCATCTCTTACTCTGCCATTTGAATTTACAAAAATGTTTTATTCTCTCTTACTGCAGAGCAATTATATACATATACCTCTTGCAAGCAGTAAACAGTTATCCATACATATTGTATCTAATAGTACGCACTTTAAATAGCGAGAGATCTTCTCCAACCTCGTATAATTACTAGAGCTGAGTTTTCTATGAGATATTAGGCTTAGCCTTTCCATTCAGCATCATCCTTTATTTCTCGCTGTCTATTTATAGACCACTTAGTAATTAATTGCCCATTAGTGCATGATTACTAATAAGAAAAATACAACCCGTAATAGAAATAAAAATTAATTAATAAACAGAATACAGCCCATAATAGAAATATGAGTTAATTAGCAAATAAAATATAGTCAAAAGAAGAAATATGAATAATTAATTAATTTTAATTTTAACAAACAGAGTCTCTCATAGCATATTGGTATACAGCCTAAAGCCACCATATATCTGCATTCATAAGCTGGGAAAAACCTCAAGGAACAAACATATGAATATTGCAGCATTAATAGAGAGTATAGTGCGTCTATGTAGAAAATTGGCTGTAAGAATGTTGATAGACAAAGAGATTAAAAACAAAAGTTAATTGTTTTTAATTAACGCACGTAATTGTGATTGTAAATTGCTTTTTAATTTTCAAAAGCTATTTAACAAACACTTTTCTCTGTAATTTAAGTTAGATATGGATAACAAAACAGAAAGTAGAACCCAAAAGAGTTTATATGGCGAGAGAAACAGAAGATTATGCTTTCATGTAGCAGGAAAGCGCTATGAAGCCAAAGGTGCTAGAAGAAGCTTTGTAGGGCTATCAATACAAGTGCTTTTTGTGCTTTTTGTTTTTACTGTGCAGCAAGCTTATGCAGTACTAACGAGAAGTGATGCAGAGAAACTGCAGCAAATGGTAGTACATGCAGAGGAGGATATAGAGTGGGTTGTCAATCAATATGGCCCGCTAAGTCCATTTGGATTGTATGTATACAATAAGACTGATTATATGCATATACGTAGATTTTTTAATATTGAAATTAATCCATATTATAATATGTCTGGCAAAAATAATAACCAGTTTATAAGAGATCCAACAAAAGACCAGGCTTACATGTTTTATTCAGATGGCGATAAAGTACCTGAAAATAAAATAGAACTCTACACTGCCCTCATAAATATGTTTCCTTCTCCTGATCAAACGATAAGCATTTACCCTGAAGAAGACTGCAAGGACTCGTTTACTCTTTTCTTGAGAAGCAATCCTGTGAAAGAGCATGCACACACAATTCTTGCAGCATTGCTTCTTCGAACAGAGGAGATAGATATACCACTGTCCATTAAGTATGATGAAAACAAGACCCCTCATCTTGTATGGAAAGGCGGAGCCCATGAGACAGAGAACTTCCGACTTAAAATGGTTGCTTCTTTTCGTGAGGTGGAAGGAGATAATTCTAAGGAAACAAAATGTGAAGTTCGTCAAGATAAAACTATATATGTTATCTGGTTTTTCTTGCATATGATTCCAATATTTCAATCTGGTATAAAAGATTCTATGGCTACGGAAGAAAAAGAAGAATTTTGGGAAAATGAGTTTTGTGATAGTAAGAGCTGGCTTATACAATCATACATATATTACTATCTGGAAACTAAAGAAGACGCTGCTTGCTTTAATACGACAGTATACAAGATGCTGGATGAGCATATAAAAAGATGTGAAAGGGGAAATAGAGATGAGCAGAAAATCATTAGTGAGGAGTTCCTTAAGGCATGCTTTATGCAATGCGATTCACTTTCAAATGTACTTGAATACTGGAGGAAAATAGAAGAACTTGAAGGTACTATTGAGGTTCCGAAAAAGAAGAGACTGCTTCCCTTTACAGATTCAGAGCACGCACCTATTAGAACAACAGTAGATGTGCAAATTTGTGATGACACGTATCTAACAACAGATGTTTTCTTAACAGATGTAGAATCGGCATTGCTTGGGCTGTTTTGCTGCTTTGCATACGATCCAGATTGTGTTTTATACAGTGTTAGCCATATGGAAAATGTTTCTAAAAATGTAAAGAATTTCTTTTCTAATATATTATCTTCCTTGCCTATTTATATTTTAAATAGAGAAATTGGAGTAAAAGAAAATTTAAATAGGACCAATCCTTTAGAAAGTATTAAATTGCTTCCAGGAAAGGAGATACCTATGGATGTTCAGAAAGCATGGAAGAATATAGTCAGAGATCTGTGTAGTGCTGATCTGAGATTCAATGAATTGAATGGTGACAAAGTTCTTGCTGGAGGGATTCTTAACGTGTTGACAGCAATTTTACAACTCGCAGGAGAATACAATGAAGTAAACAAAAGAAAAATCGAATCTTTTAAGAAAAAATTATTACCAATGATAATAAGTGGAACTACTAATGATCGGATTGTTGAAGACATACAAGAATACGCAGAAACTCTATTTGCCTCTCTCTCCCGGCAGTGTACTTCATGCAAAGGATTGGTAGGATGGTATGAATATAAATCGGATGAATCAGAAAGAAAAAGAGAAAGAAAGATCTTTATAAGCTTCATATCTTTCGGGATACATATTAATGGAAATGAAATTGATCTATATGGAAGCATGCAAATCTACTATGCATATAAAAACCAGGCACAGCCCATAATAGTGCACTTAATTAATGCAGACATAACACATTTAGAAATTGGAAAGAAGGTTGTAAAGTTGGATAAATCTAAAGCAAAGGCAAGAGAAGAAGTCAAAAACGAGTTAGAAATGCCACTTAAAGAAAATAGTTTCATTCAATACATTCTCTTTGATTACATTGAAAAAATAGAGAGATATACACTGCCTGAGTATGTTGTATTTGTCCCTTATATAATCGAAAATATTAATTCTAGTGATATAAATCCTCCACTTCGCTTCCACTGCATGCAGCCAACTAAACATATTCATGCAGCTATGTTCAGTGTAGTGGACTGCCTGTTAACAGATACTTATATCACACCAAACTATATAAAATCTTCAACTCATCAAGAACTTAATTTAAGCTATATACTAATACGCACTCCAGTGTCTAATATAGAGAATTTGCTATTTTTAATTGTTTGCATAGGCATCAGGAGGGGAAATATCCACGATAATTTGAAAGAAATACGAAAAGCTATACCTAAAGATAGTAATCACGAATTGATAACAATAGAAGCTATGGTAGAAATTGTTTCTATTCTACTCAGATGTAGTGCCGACATTAACCTAGCTAATGTACTGGCTGCATATGCTCAGATATACTGGAGTAGTGACAAAATGTGCATTGCCAAAATAGTTGAAAAACTCTCTAGTCAGAAAAATAGAATATTGAAGTGTCTAGATCGATATATGACTGTCAAACGTAGAAAGCCAGAAAAGAAGGAAAATTATAATGTGCAGAAAATCAATAATGAACCTAAAGCCCGAAGATGCTGTATATTATGATGACTTGAAGGTAATGTGCTAGCTTCTTTAAGTATGGATTGCATAGGTCTCTGTGTATTTCATTCTTAGACAATAAATAATTTCTACTTCATATATATATATTTTTTCTATATTTTTATTTTCGTATTTTTCGTATAGCTTCAAACTTGTTAACATCTGTATAGATGTGGAGAGGTTTTTTAAATAAAATTGGCAAAGAACAGGGAAAATCGAAAAAAGCACTAAGTTTGAAGACCCTTTAACCAGAGGAGATGGGTTGATATGGTTATACTGATACACAGGAGAGGTCACGCGCGCACAAGAAAGATCGAATCCAGCCCAAGTCACACGGATATATGTATATCTTGCATAAAGGGGGTGCCCTAGTATTGCATTCACTTTTTAATCTATTTGGCAGCTTTGAGCCTAACTATTTGTTTGTTTATCACCTAGTGCGTATAATTAGGTTCTATTTGTGATGTGCAGAAAAAATGCTTGCAAAGAAAGACCACTCGAAAGCTCAGAAGAAAAGCACGTCCATTGCAGGGCGTATGAAAAGATTTTTCCTTGGCGCATTCAAAAGCAAAGCAAAGGTTTCTAATGCCGCAGAGAGCCCTTTGCCCTGTGAAGAGACACTTCGCAAGGGAGGGCTGGTTGAGACATCTTCTCTCTGCACAGGCACGCTCGCCATGCAGGCCACGCAAGAGACAGACATAGCCCAAAGCACAAAAAAGAAGCAGAAGATCACAAAGAGTTCTCTAGAAAGTGCGGTAGACAGGCCTGTATACCCAGGAACATATGGTCTGGATGAGAGGTCTGCGCCTGCAGAGCAGCCTGCACACATAGAGAGCTCATCTGCACAGAGCACAGCTTTAGAGCGCGAGCTGCCTCTAGAGCCTTCTGCTGATGCAAACTCTCCTGCTAATGCTTCTAATGCTGCAAACTCTCTACTAGTGGAAGAGCCGGACACACAGGCAGAGAAGGAGCACGCAGAGCTGCACGCGCTTGTGTTCTTTATGCGAGAGATCGAGAAGATTGCACAGGACACAGAGGCAATGGGCGATGTTGCGTATCTTCCTGTAATCCTCTTCTTCACTCTCTCCCAAAAGGGTTTCTCCCTCACAGACGACCTTCTACTCTCCAGCGAGAAGTTCCACAGCATAAGCCAGGGCCATCCAGAGCACCGCGCTCTAATGGACGAAACAGCTGCAAACTGCCTTGTGTCTGAGGCCCTGGCACCTCTTGAGACCATGGCAGAGCGCCTGGCTCTCTGCAGGCCTGCTCTTCTGGCATACGTCTCGCTGTGCAACAGTGTGCATGCAAGCGTGTTTGTAGAGAACAAAAAGCACACAATGTCAGAAACTGCAATAGGCTTTGTTTGCGAGGTACTAAAGTACATTAAGTACGTCATCGCTGCAGAGCTGCTCCGGATAGACCTCTCTTCTGAGGACACGCCTTCTAAGAGCCTAGCCCCATACGCACACAGTGAAGCGTACTGCGACAGCGCCTTGGAGGACTCCAGCGAGCAGTCGGAGGAGGTCTGCCCAGAAAGACAGGCAGCGCCCAAAGAAGAGCCGCTCTCTCTTCCAGGACAGGACGAGTCCTCTTTTGAGTCGCGCAGCCTTTCTTCTGGAGACGAGCTGGCAGACAACGTGCTCTTCAAAAGACAGAAAGAGAAGTACCAGAGCCAGGCCACTCAAGTGGAGCAAGCAGGCGTGCACAGCAAGTAGACGGTGGCCACAAAGACAGCGAGTACATGCACATCTGTCTCTTACTCTGTCCGTGCACCTACAGACACACTTCAGAAATAAACTGTGCATATACTTCTTCTTTTTCTTTGCAGCTCTTTCAGAAGACCTACCAGACTGAATAGCCTGCAGCAGTATAAGATATTCTGCCACACGCTGCAGCCAGGCACACCATTTAACTATGCTTCTTCTTTCTATACATAGGATATTCCTTTTATGCAGTACGCAAACATACACATGTGGTCTCCAATGCCAGTGAGCAAAGTAGCAATCTGCAGCATGGTAGTGTGCGATACAGCACGGGCCGCAGTGACACAGCGCCTTTTTGCGTCCCTGGGAATAGGCGGGCTAAAAACAGTCTCTTTTTATTATTTTTGTGCATAAATACGCGCGAAATATTTTATTTATAGCATCAGAGAACCTGAAGATCAGCAAAGACCAGAAAAGCGCGAGAGCGAAGGCGAGCACCAGAACAACATCATGGGGAAGGCAGGACACAGAAGAAAGAACAGCTGAGCGCTAGGACCACACAAGAAATGAAGAAAAGAAAGAATAACCTGCATACACACTTCCCCATGAACCTCCTACCATCAGCCCGATCACACAGAAATATCATGTCCAGCAGAAGCCGCCAGGGCACATGCAGTCCGCATACGCAGTCCAGAAGCAGAAGGCCGAGATGAAGCGCACGACGAGACCGCACAACCCGAGGCCCACCGCAGTATTGCATAGCACGCAGTATGCATAGAAGCATAGCAGAGACATGTGTCATGCCTCATAGAACATAGAAAGCGAATATTTTTGTGCGAGTAGAGAGGGAAACTAGAGAGCGGTCCGAGAACAGACAGATCAAGATCGTATTGCATGCGTGCGTTAGAGAGAAGGATAGTGAAAGTCCATGCTTGCGTTTGACATCTACTTTGCAATAAGCAGTATGCCCCCTAGCAGCTGCGCCTGTCCCTGTAGAGGTACATCTAGCCGCTCTGTACTGCACAAGTCCACCATAGATCCGCGGGGATCTCTCTTTTACTGTGTAATTGCCGGGCACACTCTGCTGCAGCACTCGGGAGACAGCAGCCGAGAAAAGATGGCCTGGGCGTCTGTATGCCTTCTTTTCTCTGGAGATGGCCTCTGTCCTGCTCGATTGACAGAGCCCGTCTGCTTGGAGAGAAGGTGATTGCTATAGGCGTCACTGCCTGGCATGACAGCAGAGTCCCAGCCATGCGCTCCTGCCCAGCCCACCAAAAGATGTGCAGTGTTTCTGTGCTGCGTGTCTGAACAGCTGCAGGCCGCGCAGACACCGTGGCGCAGCGGAGGTTCTACACACGGACTTGTGAGCACCTGCTGCCCCGGGCTGCGCACAGCACAGAATGTCTGCATATTGAATGGTCTGTGGTGTGGGCGTGCTGCTGTGTCCGTCTGAGTGCTTCTTTAGTGTGTGCATGTCCGTCACAAATAAATTTGGTATACCAATGCTTTTCTTTATTTACACATAGCTCTGCATAGACTTCTATTATGACAGTGGGCTGGTGCACTGCCTCTCAAAATATGCTGCACTATAAAACTGCAGAATAGTGCTTTATTGCTGCTGCTATTACTGTGGCTGTGGCCTGGTATAAAAAATAGATTAATATAAACAGTTTATGCCATGTGTATGGAAGTGGCCTGATTTTTTAATATATTGCGCACTATATTAATTTATATACGATGTAACTAAAAAACTATTAATGGGAATTTTCCTATTTATATGGCTTTAAATCATATCGTCTTGGGTGTATAAATAGTTTCAGAGAACTTGCAGCCCCTAGATCAAAGACAGACTGTTATTTAATTGTAGAACAGAGTATGAAAGGCCCGGCACATGCCAACGCCTTACAGTAAAAGAAACCCGCACGAGCACTGCATCACAATATTATAACCCGAAAGCTGCTGCACGCTAAGGCAACTCTTTTAATAACCACTCTTCCTCTTTTAGACAACTATTGCCTAGTACGTGGGATGGTTTTCCTTTTACATCTGTATTTAACAAATTTTCATTATGAAAAGTAGATATATGAATCGAGTTATAGAAGAGAACAGCGATAATGCATTGAGATATTTAGATAGCTACAAGAGCGAGCTCTCAAGGAAAAAGGCTTGCAATGCAGGAAAGTGCAGAAAGCAAGAGCACAGCGAAGAAAAAGGTGCTAGAAGAAGCTTTGTAGGGCTACTAATAAAAATCCTTTTTGTGCTTGCCCTTCTCGCTGAGCAGCAAGTCTGCGCAATGCTAACAAGAAGTGACGCAGAGAGGGTGCATCAAATGGTAGTAAATCCAGGGGAAATAGTCAAAAAGGTGGCCAATATACATGGCCCGCTAAGCCCATTGATGATGTATCTATGCAACAAAAGAAATGATATTCACAAACTGCGATTCTATTCAAGCTATATATACCCAGGCTATATAGTCTCAAGCAAGGGATATGGCAATAAATACAGAAGAAACCCAGATAAAGATAGTGCGCGGCATAAAGACTTAGAGTTAGGTAAAATGGATCACGCAAAATTCTTTTATATTCTAATGCATATGTTTCCTTCTCCTGATGGAGAGTTAAGCATTGATCCAGCAAGATACTCCATCAATTCATTTACAAAATTCCTGAACAGTGAAAATATAAAGAAGCATGCCCATACACTTCTTGCAACGCTTCTGCTAAGGACGGAAGGAATAGAAGTGCCGCTGAAGCTTAATAGATCTAATAAAAAAGTTTCGACCGTTACACTAAGAAAAGTATGTATAGATGACAAAGAAATGGCGCAGGAAATGGGATGCATTGAGTTAAATCTATATAATCTGCATTATACAAAACAAAACCATACCACTAATCAATTAGAGTATTTTGACCAGGCTCACATCTTGGATGATATTATTTGCTATATTACTAGAACATGCGCGGACTCACAAGTTAATGCCTATAGAAAGGATATAGAGGGGGATTTAAAAAAAGAGTTCTGGGACAAATATTTTATTTCAAGCCCGAATTGGCTTATACAATCGTACATACACCACTATCTGCAAACCAAAGAAGAAGCTGCGCGCTTTAATAGGACTGTATACAAGATGGTGTCTGATCATATGATAGAGTGTAAAAAAGACAATCAGCACAGTCAAAAGCAAACCGCAGAGAGGTTCTTTAGAAGATGCTTTGTATCTAAATATAATATTCATAAAGCGGCCAAATATTGGGAAATGCTAAAGGAATTAGAAGATCTCACTATATGCCCCGAAAAGGCCAGATTATTGCCTCCTGATGATTTTCTAAGGCTTTTCTTTAAAGAAGAAGCTACAATACATATCCATAATAATGCGTATTTAGAAACAAATGTGTTTTTAACTGATGTTGAGTCTACATTGTTGGGAATGTTCTGCTGCTTTGCATATGAGCCAGAAAGCGATACCTACAGTCTTGACCATATACCCAATGCCCCGCAGGAGGCAAAGGATTTCTTTTTTCAGCTGTCATGCAGTATTAAAAAACCTTTCGATGAGTCATCCAAAGTGCAAGAAGATTTAAATAAGAGTGAATTAAATAGCAGAAACTTAAATGGAAAATATCTAAGCAAGAAAATGCTTAGTAGTATTCATATGGCTTGATAGAAAATACTACAAATGGCCACTCTTAGCTAGTTAAAGTTAGATATTTATTGAATTGCACAGCATCTATCGTATCCACTAGGCACTACAAGATACAAAACACCTCTGAATCCCAGAGGCATTCATACAGCTAGGCTTCTCTGAATGCATAGACAGAAATGCCATTCTCAAATATCCTTCATCCTGAATTCATAGTATATGCACATAATTGCTGAACAGCATATATTTTTGCTATATACACACACATAGCCCATACATGTCTTTTCTATGTGCATCTTGCATCATAGCTGTATAAGACATCTTTGGGCACATTTGCATTTTTCTTAATGGGCTTTTCTCTTTTCATTATAGAAGACATTAAAGTCTCTTCAGACACAAAAGACAAACTAAACATATTTCTTAGTACTGAATGAAAAATTACAAGCTGATGCTTTGGGCAGCATGCACCGTGTGTAGATTGAATACCAAAGCAACTACAGAGAAGATGAAAAGAATGCCTGTGAAAATGGTGGTAGCCGAGACAGGAAGAGAGCCTGTGCTTCTGAGCTTCTTTTTGTAGAACGCAGACACTTCATACTCAACCAAGGACACCAGAGCAATTAAAGCAGGGAACACATTGGAAGCCGTGATGAGCGCACTTTCTGGGCAGACATACTTTGCAGCAAAGAAAAACGCGTGGGCAAACAGCATGAACGGATACTCAGCAGTAGAAGTGAGAATATTTGTGATGATAAGAGACAGCCATGGGTTGCCGAGAAGCACGCCAGGAATGATCAGAATCAGAGAAAACAGAATGGACACAACTGTGTTCTCAACAGTCCTGAGTTTTCCTTTGTTTTTTCCTTCGCTGTCGTTCCAGGCAACAAAAGTAACTAGAGCAGAAGACAGAACGCAGAGAAGATTCAAAAACCCAGCAATGTCTTTGGAGTGCAGCCTGGATAGAAGGTGGTAGTTGTACAGCATTGCCACAGACAGCACAGAAATAGAAACTATTAACTTGGCAAAATACACAGCAGTTTTATACAAAGATATTTCCTGTCTGTTCAAGAACTGCTCGTCTACCATGACTTGTTTCTGATTAGCTGTCTCTACAATATCAGCTGTATCAGTAGTAATTACATAGACTGGTAAGTGCATCATTTATGTTTATTCTCGCACAGACCTAATATATACACATATATGTATGCTTAAGGACTAATTTAATTATAAAAGGTCTATTTTCATTTAATAAAACTATAGCCTAAGCATTAAAGAATATTAATATACTCATATTTCATATAAAATAGATTGCTTTTTACTTTAATTGAGTCTTTCTTAAATATTTGCAGTGCATAAAAATTTCTATTTGTTGATTTTATTGTCTGCACATACTACAAAAACAGTGCAGAAAGCATACTTAAATTCACATGTTATTCCGTATAGAAGATTAGATACAAAAAGTGTATATTTTTGTTATGTACACTTTATACTGTATCTCTACAATTGCCTGGGTATACTAGACTGCTTTAGGGTTGCATTCGTGCTGCTATTCAATTTTTTTGTATATTCTATGTGCTAGTTTTCATATTCTTTCATGGTTATGTATCTATGTTCTGGTATATTGTTTTATAAATTCATTTGGAACCATCTGTGCACTATGCATAACATGGTGTTAGAGCAGGTAGTAAGAATATTGCTATAAACACCTGTCTTTATAATAAATTCTTGTATAAACACCAAATATTCGATATGGCTATATAGCTACTTTATACGATCGGGTCTTATCCCAAATCAACTTTTGACTGAAATATATACTTGTCTATTTGTGCGACTCTCTATATGCGAGGGAAGCAGATATGTGATGTTTTTCTATTTTCCTATCCTCTCTGAAAAATTTAGAAGAATCCAAGCCTTCACTACTATTGGTGGCTCTGAAGAGATTTTATTTATATATTACAGAAAAGACACCAAAGAAAGTAAAAAATCTAATTTTCAGGATTTAAGTGCAACCAGTACGAAATAAACAAATGATATTTATTCTATAATGTCAATCTTCACTTTTTTGTTACTGTTTTTATCCAAAGATGCCTCCTTGGTCTCTGGAGTATCGCATGGGGCACTAGGCACTTCCTCAACCAGATCATCAAAATGACTTTCTCCTTCTATAATAGTGCCTTTTCTTGGGTGAATTATTAGGTCTAGAATAGACAGAATGCGGGAGGCCTCTTCTGCAGTGCTTTCAATAGAGAGGGTCTGTGAGAGAATAATAATGTAGTTTGACAGAAAAAGATGGATACCCTTTGTGTTGAAAGGTATGACTATCTCGTAGAGGCTTTTCCATGCTAACTCTATCAGCTCTGTATATTTCGCACTCTCAAGCATGTCCAACAAATCAAGTAAAACTTTCTCTGTCGCGCTAGACTCACTGTTCATTGCTGGGGGAAAATAGAGTTAGCTAAATTTTTCAACAAAAGAAAAGTGCTTTGCTGCAACAATATAGACTCTAGCCATATGTGAGTGCATGGAAAGCGAGTGTTACAAAGGAATGTGTGGTGTAAGAGATAAAATAGTTTCCTAAGCAAAGGGCGCCAAAAGAAGAAGCATATAAAACATAATTATATTTGCCTTGTGTTTTTATCGTCTAATAAATAGAGGAGAAATACTTACAGCATAGGCAGTATTAAAATATTTATGCAATTATAAATTTCATATAAAAATACACTTCTAAGAATGAGTTTATACAAAACATAATTAATTTCATTGAAAGCGAATTTAAAGTATATTATATAGGTTAACTTACTGTATAGCTAGAACAAATATACACATAAATGCTATTTATTAAAGTCGCTTGCTATTCATGGATTCAAGATGTATTCAGTAAGCTCTGCAGCGGTGCATCAAAAGACCCATAATTATTCCACTTTGAAAATGCAGAGTCTAGTATTTTAGAGAAGAGCACTGCTGGCTATAGATTGTTATATACAGAAATGCTTTAAAATAATAGTGCAAAAATTCATATCTGCGGGCTCTATTATAATTTCATGAAGAACTCAATGAGATAGTTATTTACTTTGGCTGAGAAGACATACTGCTGTTTTGAGGAGTCTCTTTTCTGAACCTCTAGCAATATTTCGGTCACTGCATCAGGCGAATCAATAAAGATTTCTGCATTGGATGCTCCCACTAGAAGATCCATTACAGAAACATCTGCACAGTATTCATTAGACATATCCATATCTAGAGAGGTTTGCTTTATCGGAGGGCTGGACTCTTCAGCCGGCGATTGGGCTGTTTCTCCAACAAGTGGGTTCAAAATAACAATTTCATATGATGCTGCCTGCACTCTGCACAGAGTAAGCTTAATGAATGTTTTCTTTTCGATTTTCTTTAGTCCCACTGAGTACATAAATTCATTTGGCAGAGACAAAGACAGCTCTCTGGTGTAGTGTATCTGCTCAAAGTCCACCGATATGTGGAATGGACCAGACCAGTCAGCAATTTGTAGTAATTTTATTTTATACAGGCTGTTTCCCTTGTACTCCATTCTATTCCCATTTATGCTAAGGGTGGGCTGGTCAGAGAGTGAGTATGCAAGCGCTTTATCTGGAATGACAGAGACAATGAGATAGTTTCCTTGTACTTTTTCAACTATCTGAAATGGAGGGACAACAGAAAAAAGCTCACTTTTGAGAATGACTTCCTCAGTGTTATTAATTACATTCGAAATGCAATAATGTTCTGGACATTCTATGCTCTTTAAAAACTCCAAATAATCAAATCTAATGATCTGAGCTGTGCATGGGATATAGTACGGTCTATTCCCACTAATATATTCATAGCCAGCGCAGGTCTGCTCTTCAATATACGGGATAGAAAGAGGGGTGGGGCTTTCGGGCTGTATCCCGTTGAGGGAGGTGGCCTCTTCTATTTCAGGCGCAAGTTCCTTGCCATCAGAGGTGCTGGCTTCATAAGCTGGCATTTCCTGCGAGGACAGAGTCCTTTCCTTCTGCGGTGCAGGCAGCTTTAGCTCAGTGTAGAGAGACACTTTTACCCCGTCAAATACCCCTTCCACCCAAACAGTCTCTCCATTGTACAAATAGGCTCTAGAAGGCTTTTTGGATGCCTTTAGACACTCAGAATGCAGCAAACCTGGTGTGCATTTGGCCGGAGAATATTCCATACAAACAAATAAAAGGTTTAATTTAACGAAGTTATTATTCGAAAAGTTTTCTTAAAAAAATATTATGTTGCAAGTGGATAATACATCGCTGCACAAAGAAACAGTAGAAAGAAAATTGGATGAAATTAACGGCGGAGAGCAGCCAGAAATAAGTGCATCTTCCCACCAAACAAACATAGAGAACAGCATGCATGCTGGAGTGCATGCTATGCGCGGGAGTATACACCCCAGAGAAGCTCTTGAAATGGAGGTAGCGGATACGAAAAAGAGCAGTGTGAGTTTTACATTTAAGAATATATCGTATAAAAATATAATAAAAGATGTCTCGCAGTCGTTCAAGAGCGGACAAATGACTGCTATCCTTGGCCCATCTGGAGCAGGGAAAACAACCTACTTGAAAATAATCTCAGGAAGAAAGCAAAAAACCATGGGAAAGATAGTTCTAAATGGACAGGAGATCAAGCAGAAGGAGCTAAGAAAGAGAGTTGCATATGTCCATCAAGAGGATCACTTGTATCCAATGCTCACAGCAAAAGAGATGCTGTCATACACAATTAGGCTAAAGACACCGGGAGAGGAAAACCAGGATGAGCTTGCAGAGAAATTACTAGCGGAGGTAGAAATGGCGCACGTGGGCGATACATTAATTGGGGATCCATTAGAGGGTGTGGCAGGCCTTTCGGGCGGAGAAAGAAAAAGACTGTCTGTCGCGCAGGAGCTGGTCTCTAGGCCAGAGATAATATTTCTAGATGAACCAACAAGTGGACTGGACTCGTACACATCAGAGTCACTGATTATTCATCTTAAAAATCTTGCACGTTCAGGAATGCTGATTGTAATGACAATCCACCAGCCATCATCAGATATTTTCCATATGTTTGACAATATCATAATGATGAAGAATGGGCAGATTGCATACTCTGGCTCTCCAAAAGACTGTGTGCAGTCTTTGGGTGCGTTTGGGTTGCCTTGTCCAAAGTACACAAACCCAGCAGATCATCTATTTAGAATAATCAATCAGCTGCCACCCCAGCAAGAGAAGTCCGAAAAGCTGGAGGAGGAGGGAGTTGACTCATTGGAGAATATGAGCAAAAAATTCACGCTTAGTTCATTCCTATACGAGACAAAAGTTCTTCTATCAAGAACAGTTCTGTGCAGCATCCGGAACAAGAAGTATCTTTTTGCTAAGCTAGGGCATGCTCTTTTTGTTTCTCTTATTACAGGCATGTTTCTTTACGACATACCTAGCAAGCAGGCATACCAAATAGAGACAAATGTGGTTGGGTGCTACAGAACTATCACAATGGCCACATTTGGAACATTTTCATACGGGGCTATTTCGATTCTATTCTCAGATAGAAAGATACTCATAAAAGAGTATGGATCAAACTACTATACGTTTATGCCTTACTTTATCTCAAAGGTGTTGGTAGATTTTATGATCACATGCATGCATCCTTTCATTGGAACGCCAATTATATTCTATCTTTCTGGCATTGGGTCTGTTGCCCATCTGTTTGGGTGTCTCTTGCTTGGAGCAACAGCGCACTCGCTGGGTGTGCTCATGGCATCTTTAGTGGACACATCTGAAATAGCGCTTGCAATCTTCCCTGCAATGTCGTATTTTATAAACATGCTTACGGGAACAGACGTAGATCCAGAGAGCATTATATCAGGGCTGTCGCATCTGCAGTACATATCTCCACCAAGACATGCATATAACATAATGATAAAGCTGCACTACGCAGGAAGAACTGATCTGTCCGACAGAATCAATGGGCTAGTTAATGAGTTTGTTTCTATATATACATCAATGACCATTTTATTTATAACATATATTATTTTGATCATTGCCGCAGGATATTGCCTAAAAAGAAAGATAATGAAGCTGGCCCAGGGGTAGACACATATGGCCCGAATAAAAATTCCATGTGCTACGACTGCACGAATAAACGGCAGTGTCGAATTTCAGAGTGTAAAACTGCAAAATGAGTCACATAAAAATTTGCAAAGAATGGTAGTACAGGAGGTACGAAATGAAACATTCCAGACGGAAGAGAGAGAGAAGAAAAGAAAAAGAGTAAAAGCAAAAAGAACTCGTCAAGAGGACAGAGTTGTAGTAGAGCCCGCTTTTGCACCAAAAAACGTGCGCATTTCAGAATACATTTCAAACAGTACAAACGTAAATCACAAGATATACAGAGACATTCTTATAAATAGAAGAAATGGAGAAAGAGTCACTGTACTTAACCAGTTGAAATAGACATAAAATAGAGCTTGGTTTACAATTATATTATTATTTTTATTCTTTACACATATACACATAATTTATCCTATTCTAAATAACACACTTCAAAGCTACATAAAGATGTCTTTTCTTGAAGAGCTGTTCACATCTATATTAACTACTTCTATTTATTAAAACACACCCCTATTTATATATCCAGATTAGTTAGCAGATGTATTACACGCATATTTTGTATCGTGTAATTAATTCAGCTAAACATGCAACAAACAATCTTATAATAGACACAGTCAAAGACAGATTAATGAGCTTAAGACAGAGTACAGAAGAAAACGCAGAATTCTACTGCACAGAAAGCTAAGCATGCATTCAATCTAGCCACTTACGAAGAAGCAGCATATTCTGTATGTGCAGCAAGCAGTTTTGAAAGTCACTCATGCAGTATGTAAAGCACCAGAGTTCTCTGCAGAAATAGATGCCTATAGGATGATTCTCCCTGCTACCTTCCAAAAGAATGGTTTTTCTATGCCAAGTATAACCGAAAATAATTTTTTATAATATTCAAGCATGGAAGGACTAGTGGAGTCTATTAAGAATATTTCAATTAAAAAGAAGCAGCTGAGCATTATATTTATAGGGCACGTGGATGCAGGAAAATCCACGACAGGAGGACAAATATTATACCTAGCAGGAAAGATCGATAAGAGAACGCTCGAGAAGTATGAAAAAGAATCAAAAGAGAAAAATCGAGAGAGTTGGTATCTTTCATGGGCACTGGACAGTAACCCAGAAGAAAGAGACAAGGGGAAAACAACTGAGCTGGGCCAGGCATACTTTGAAACAGAGAAGTCTATTGTGCAGATACTTGATGCGCCAGGACACAAAATGTATGTGCCCAATATGATATTGGGGGTCAACCAGGCTGACATTGCTGTGCTTGTCATATCTGCAAGACAGAATGAGTTTGAGGCTGGGTTTGAGAAAGGAGGGCAGACAAGAGAGCACATCTACTTGGCGAAGGCCTCAGGTCTGTCCAAAATATGCGTATTAGTTAACAAAATGGACGACCCAACAGTGTGCTGGTCAGAAGAAAGATACAACCACATTCTAAAATCAACAAAGAAGCTTCTTCACACACTTTTTGGGAAGAACGAGGTGGTTTACATGCCAATCAGCGGCTTCTTAGGGCTTAATATAAAGGAAAATAATCTGAAAGATGTTGCCCCGTGGTACGCAGGCCCATCTTTCTTTGAGTATATTGACTCAGTAGATATTCCCAGAAAAAACACCGATCTATTGTATGCTCCTGTTTCAGATACTTCAAAAGAAATGGGCGGATACTTTATAACTGTAAGAGTGGAGAGAGGAGTACTTGAGAAAACACAGCTTAAATTGCACCCAGGCGCCAAAAAGATTAATATAATATCAATAGCAATAGACGAGGAGGAAGTGGAGAGAGTTCACTCCGGAGAAACAGCCCGACTAAAAATAAAGGAGAGCGACGAAGTCTTCCCAGGAGATGTAATAACAGCAACCGAGTACACCGAAACAAAAGACTCAAATTACTTCATGGCTGCAATAAGCATCTTAGATGCAAAGTCTCTAATAACAAAGGGATACATGGCAGTGATGCACATGGGGGCAAGAGAGGTGCCTGTCACAATTGGAGAGCTGTACAAAAAGGAGGAAGAGAAGATTCTCAAAGTGAAGTTTGCAAAAACCGGAGACAAGCTAATGGCAGAGGTGATTGTTAACTCGCCCATTCCACTTGAAGTTTATTCTCCAGAAAAAAGAACAGGAATATTCACTCTTAGAGATGAAACAAGAACTGTTGGGTTTGGAAGAGTGCTGAAAATTAAAGAAAAAAAGTAAAATTTTAAGCTAAACAATAGTATGTCACTGCACGACCAAGAGAGGAGCTCTGCTAGAGTAGACGAGCAATCGCATGCAAAGAGCAGTTCAAAGAAAGACATTCTGTCAGTTCAGGAGAGAGTTAAACTATTAGAGGATCAGATAAAACAAAAGAACGATGAGTATCTAAAATTAACAGATGTAATTGAAAAGCTGAAGATCATAAACACCCTTCTCTACAAAGAAGTATGCAAAGAATACAATACACTAAGTATTCCTGTAGAAGACGAATAAATATCCAATTTTGTGTTATTTCTATATGAGCCATGGTGCATGGCAGCAGGATCTCCTCACAGAGCAGCATATTTATACAATACACTGCGTGCTGTGTGGATTATTACACTGCCTAGATGTTTACACGCCTGCAGCAGATTTAAAATAAAATGGTTACAGTAGAGACTTAATAAGTGCGTATTAGTATTCAGTATTTATTTAATAACCCTTTTTCCTGCATAGCTAACCCGAAGATACAAGAGACATCTACTCAATAGATGCACCTAGTATGGAATAAATCTACTGTAGCAGCAAACAAATTCCCTTCTATATTCTGAGTAGTATTATTATTTCAATAATATTGCAGGTAGAAGCATACTGTGAGATAAAATATAGTAAAAAGGGGGTTAAACTAAAGTTCTAGTATAAAAAGCAATATATACAGACTATATTATTCTAGAAATATTGTATGCATAATAGATTGCTTAATGAAAATAACTTTTGTTATGTCTTTCTTGAGTAATATGTCTTCCCTCCTGCAGATTAAGAACTACTTCATGTAGGCACAGAAGTGTAAGATCAAAGAGAGATGGAAGAGTGCAATGCACTTTTGGCAATAGATTCATTTTATTATAGCCCAATTAATTATACGAGCAAAGGTAGCTAAAATGAATCTGCAGCAGTCTTCTGCATTTACGATGAATTAATTATAAAAATATTATAAGCCATGACAGAAGCAAGAGAGGGAATAAATGCATTTGCAAAAGAACTATATGCCCGATGCCTGTACGACCCTTTAGAAATGCTGTTTAAAATAAACCTTGCACAAGAGATTGAGAATATGCATTTCAAAAGCAGAAGCATGCGAGCCATAAACTTATTTGCCATGAAAGAGTACTTCCAGACATATGCCACGCTTCTGTGCCCTGATTTTAAGCAGACGCCTATTCCGCCCCTTGAGTACAACTACTGCAGCTGCTGCCCTACTGACCAAGTATTTCTGCGCAATTACTCTGTATATATTCTTTCTGAAATAAAAGGCACAAAAGAGGCAGGAGTCAAACTTGGCTCGGTTTTCTACCCAGATAGTGTAATAGAAAAGGCTCTTGCTTCATCAGGAGAGTGTCCCCCTGTATGTAAAGCCCGGCTTAGAGACCCATTTCTACTATACCTACTTATGATTACAAAGAAAGCACATCTCTCTCCGGAAAGGTACAAAAAAACGCTTCTCTATCTGTTGAAGAGGGTTCCGTATTTCTGGGACATATACAAGCTTCTTGCAGAGACAGTGACCATCTCCAACTGCGAGGAGGTTCTTAAGTCGATTGTAGACCCGGGAATGGAAAGGCTCTTTCTGCTGTACATTGGGTGCAAAAAGTCAATTCTCCACCCAGATCTGAAAAGACTCCTGGCTGAGTATAGTGAAAACCGCAGCGCATTTTCGGCGTATGAGGAATCTCTTCTGGCTGCTGTTTTGGGACACTACAAGAAAACTGCACAGGCCCTGGAGGCAATCGAGCGGGTTGTAGACGAATCAGTTGGATGGTGCAACTTTGACCAGTTTTCAAACATCTTGTACTCTTTAAAAGATACAGAGCGCCTGGCCAGCCTTCTATTCCGGGTTTTTGACAGATTCGGAAACCTGCCTGTATACCATTATGTTTCAGGGAATCTACTGGCCTTGAAAGGAGACCATGTAGGAAGTATTGAAGAGTTCCAGCAGATACTGCACGATGAGTGCCTTGGGGAGTTTGACATTGCATACATTTTTGTTGCACAGGAGTACTTCCACTTGAAGGACACGTGTTCTGCAATTAAGGCGTGCAACCTTGCGCTAAAGAAGAACTACAATGATTACCGGGTGTGGCTTTGCATGGCACAGATATACTTTTCTATCGAAATGCATGAGTATGCTCTGCACTTTTACAGAAAGTGTGCGGAATTGTCGCCAAGCACATGCATTGTGTATGAAGGGCTGGGCCAGTGCTTTGATAAGCTAGGCCGTGTGGAGGAGGCACTTCGGTGCTACAGAAAATGTGTGGATCAGGGGAGCACCCAGGCGCTGTGTCTTCTAGGTGACTTATTCTTCCGGCAAGGAAGTGGCGAGTTTAAGACATATTATGAGAAGTATCTGGCGCAGGCGCTGAATGAGATCGATGGTGTGTCTGAAGCAAGCATAAAAACAGCAGAGCGTGTGATTGATGCGCTTGAGGAGACAGCCGGCTCTAATGCTGTTCTGCAGTGGCGAGAGGGCCTGGCATTACTAAAGCATCACTTGGGAACATGAGCATACATCAATCTATAATAAGAAAGCGTAATAATAAATCTATATGAATATAAAGAAGATTCAATTGGCATTGAAGGCATAATTTCTACAGGAAGCATCTATTTTATTCTACTGTCTCTATATCAGCACCTTTTAACCATGTATATACTGCACTTTATTTAGTTTAGCTATGAAATATCCTCAGTGAAAAATTAAAGAATAGAAGCTAAATAGCATACATATGAAGATGTATAAAGAAAAGTGGAGAAGGAATCTTGTTTGCTAAAGAACCAGCAAAGAAAGAAAAATGCCCCAAATAAAGAACTAGTAAGAGCATCAAGGCTACACACGATGTTCTTGTGCAAAGACAATATTTTCAGTATACTAGAAAGTGCGTAAATATAATTAATTTCTGAATATAGAAATATATTGAGGGAGCATTACTTCTACTAGCCGAAATATCTTTTTGCTTCCAGAAAGCACTCAAAAAAACTTAATATCATGCAGGCAATTGCAGTAAGCTAATGTATAAGAGAAAGTAAACTAATTCTTTATTATGCAGAGGCACTTAAAAGATTCATTCGTCTTTTCATAAACGGGTTTGTTCTGTCCTTTCGGCCCTCTACAGAGCGAGCTCTAACAATTCTCTGGTGAACAGCGCAGGAGATGCAGTACTCCAGCTTGTAGTAGAACTTAGGAACCTCAAAGTCCTCGTACACGGAGGCTAGCTTAATATCATCAAAGGATGCATTATCTATCACATTCTTGATGTGGAATCTCTTAATTGCCTTGTCCTTTGGGCAGGATCTGTAGCAGTTCTCACATCTTATGCTTCTGCAGTGCCCTCTGTTCATCTTGGATCTTCCGTTGTTTCTTCTTTTTTTAGTCATGCTGGGGCATATAAAAAAATAATTTAAGTCACTTCAAGGGAAACTTAAAAAAGACAGAAGTAACCATTGCAGAGAGGAAGACAGCAACAAGAATGATTGGCCCGTGGTTATCGTCGTATGGGCCAGGGTCCTTTTCTTTAATTTTATTACCCCTCCACATGTACAGGTACAAAGCATAGATGGAAAAGATAACAGAAACTATAATAAAGCACACACCAGAGAGGGCTGCGTGGGTGTCCCCCAAGCCCATTAATGCGGCTCCAATTCCACCAATAAAGATGGCGAAATGCAACCAAGATAGGAAAGTTCTTTCGTTTGCAAAAAAGACCTTTGGCTCAACTCTTACAGGAACAGTAACAGGCTTAGAAGATGGTACAGATGGCACAGCAGGCTCTCCAGGCCTTCTGAGGGCACTTGGTTGGAAAAAGTCTCTTTCGGGTGTTTCTTCCGTGTTCATTGTTTGTCTGTTTACATTTGTGTTTTTTGTATGTATCTGTTGCATGTTTTGTGTTTGAGGCTGTTGCGTGTTTTGAGAGCGCATACCGCAATTAAGACCACTGCATTCGCAGCCCATTTGAGAAGTTTCAGAGCACTGATTTGTCTCACTTGCTTCATAGGAAACACCGGGTGGCCTCTCTGCTTCTTCTCTTAAATATTCATTATGAGAGGCACTTGTACTGCTATTTTGTGCAACTTCATTGGGCTGTCTGCTGCTGTTTAGGTAGCAATTAGTAAGAAGAGCTGTGGTGCTATTTGACCCACTTGAGCTTTCACTGCTGTAATTTCTTCCCTCATCTGAAGTATAGCTGCTCTGGTTAGACCTGTTTATTATGGAGTGTAGTAAATTCGATATCTCGCTATTTATCTTCTCTAGTTTTATATTTTGCGTAGGCTCGTGGGTTATTTGAAAGTCTTGCTTGAAGGACATGGAGATCTGATTGTACCAATATGGAATGGAGGGTACACTAGAGTAGTGCACAGAGCACCCATGAAGGTATTTTGAAAACTTATCGACTGGCATGATTAGGCTGCTGTTCATCAGTGCAAGCACCCAGTCCTCTTCATTGCCTTCCTCCAGCTTTATTTCCAAAATGGCATATGGAAAGTACTTCCCTACATCCCCACTCCACATAGCTAGGTCTGTGTCCAGAGATATTCTGATTGAAGAATCCTCAGGGAATTGGAATGCAGTTCTTCTGTAAACCGTTTTCACCACAGGCTTTAAAGAAAGGTCTCTAATCAAAGAAAGAACTTCTTGATATAGGATTAACGATTCATCATTTAGACTGGTATTTATGGTTTTAATTTCTTCCCATATATCTATGCCTTTTGCCAACTTTGGGATAAGTTTGGTGTGCACAAGAAACCTTTTCTTTGTACTTTTTTCTCCTGTCCAGCCATCTTCATGGGTCTTTAGCTCTACGTATGATATAATTGACGACTCTCCATAGCTTCTAATTCTGAGCGACTTTGCGCCTTGGTCTCTTTTGATTCTTCTATCATATAGGTGGAATGAGTTTGTGTCAAAATAGACGCTTGAAATATAGGAAGAGATCTTGCCGCTGCCATCATCTCCAAAGATGTATACAGGTAGGTGGGGTATGATCAGCCCGCACAGCGTCTCAATGTTATTTAAATCAACCCAGTACTTTTTGGTCCTTCTAACAAAGCATGTGTTTATATTTGAAACAGCCTGAAGTCCTTTCATTTCAATTAAAGCATGCCCCATATGGTAAAAGGCACTTTCCAGAGTGGCTACCTTTAAATACTCAAGAAGAGAGGTTTTTTCCTCCTGCGCAATGGAAAGTGCTTCTATGTGTTGAACTATCTGACGGGTGTCATCTGCATGCTTGAGAACTGCACCACACAGATCATTATACGCCTCTGTGCGCTCTGTAGTAAGCCTTCTAAGGCTCTTTATTTCCTGGTTCAGCAAGGCAATTCTCACAGTGCTTTTAAATATAAAGTTGTTCAGGGCTTCTTCAAGGGAGAGTCCCACGAAATCGTTAGGCATATGGATATGGAAGTGTGTGCTTTTATGTTCTTTTTGTAACACAGTTTCAGTATGTTTGATGGCTTTTCGTTTGAATAGGCCTTAAGTAGCGTATTTGGACGCTAAAACGTATCAGAATAAACAAGCTGAAAGCAATGTCATGGAGTGAAAACAGATGAAGCACAAGATCCCAAGTATTACAACTAGAATATTATAATGCAGAGATGCTTAAAAGAAGTACAGTGCCAACAATTAGTAAAAATATAATGGTTCAGTTATTTCCCCTAGGAGTACTATTTAGTGTGCAGACCATTGGAGATAAAAGTGCTAGTTGCAGCTCTTTTATTCTAAGAACAGTTAAGCAGACGGACATGTGCATTTTAGCATGCTAGCTAGAATTAAAATTATTTAAACAACTCTAGTTATAAAGATGCAAAATAATATGGCTTTCTTAGAAAAGTAGCCTAATGCTAATAAGACAGGAGTAGATACATATTTGCATATATTATTGCCATTTAGCCTCTATCTGGTGCAATTATCATATGCACCAAAATTCTCTTACAAAAGACTTTCTGAATTTTTATACTGTGCATACTTGGGTTTATATAGGTAATGAGTATGAATCCAAAATAAAATACCCAAAATTAACATACTCTTGCCGATAAATAATTGGCTAAACTATAGCCCTACTGGTTAAGTGTTTCTTTTGATGGTATTATTAATAATCTATTTATTGTTTTATGTGAATTCTCTATTTCTACCATGCTGCCAGAGGCTTGGGAGACTTTTAACTACTCTGTGCTGTTAATCAGCAGGAGCCCGAATATCTTAATTATTTCCATTCTTTGAGTGTTCTTCCAAATGCGCTGTATAGTCCTTGTGCTCGGGTGGATTCTCCAGGATTCACAAATGTTATTGCTGTTGATGTCTTACCAAATCTTCCTCCTCGCCCAATTCTATGAAGATATTCCTCTGCTGTATGCGGTGCATCATAGTTTACAACCAAGTTCACATGAACTGCATCTATTCCTCTTGCGCATACATCTGTGCTCACAAGTATCCTGCTTTTCCCGCTAAAGAAGTCACTCAGTCTCTTATTTCTTTCAGCCTGAGGAAGCGCACCATGCACAACTACAGCTGGAAATTCATGTCTCTGCAGATTACGCCCGACCTCCTCAACTGTTTCTTTCTTGTTTGCAAACACAACTGCCTGCGAGATAGACACAGCCCCAAAGACATCACACATTCTATTAAACCTATCCTTACCTGCTGGAATATAATACTGCGATATTCTTTCCAGAGCCAGCTCCTGCTGCGGCACAAGAATAGCTTTCGCATCTGGCGCGTATTCCTGGAAGAATGGCTGGACTTCATCAGGGAGTGTTGCGCTCACAAATACAAACTGCGGCTTGGCTGCTTTTAATCTCTCACATATCCCTTGCACCGGCAGAGAGAATCCACTTTCCACTATCCGGTCTGCCTCATCTACAACAATTCCATGAACAGTGGAAAAGGCCTGTTTTAGCTCTCGAATAAGATGCAGAACACGCCCTGCTGTTCCAAACAAAATATTGCACTTGCGCACTTCCTTGATATCCTCTGCGATACTTCCCTCCTGCCCCACAGCACAATATCCCTTGATGCTTGTAAACTGCGCCAACCCCTGGAACACACCGAATGTTTGCAGAGCTAGATCTCGTGTTGGGGAAAGAATAATCGCCTCAATGGAATGTGTCTGACCTGGCTTTGCCTCACCCACACCCTTTCCGCAGAGTGCTCCAATATTATGGCTGCCGCAGTTGCTCTGATATGTATTCTTACTCTGATTAATGATCTTCTGAAGCATTCCTATTATAAAGGCAGCTGTTTTTCCAGTGCCATTCCGCGACTGCAGAATAATATTCGCACCTGATGCAATTATTTTTATTGCATCCTGCTGTATCTTTGACGGCTGACTGAATCCGTATGCAAATGCTCCTTTGAGAATTTCATCTGCAAGGCCGAGCTCTTCAAAGGCAGAGAATATTTTCATGAAAAAATTTAGTCATGCAGGATATGCAGCAAGACAAGAAACATAGCATACACAGCATAAAAATACCTGGGTATTTAAAATATAGGCATCTGGTTGGTCTGGCTCTTCCTCAGTGCATGTCTATATTATTGCGCATTATGTCTGTGACAGATTCAGTGATTGCTTTTAATGAAGCAAAAAGAGTAACCAGCACATTAGAAGGAATCATTGATACTGTATCGCAAATTACTAAAATGAAAGTGCAGGAAATACATTATAGAAGAATAGAGTGCATATTTGGTCAAGTGTATATATACACACCCAGCTATATACATGGCACAAGATGTCTTATAATGAGCAAGAGCACTGCGACCAATAGAGCCAGCAAGCAAGAATCTTCTGAGAAGCACGCAGATGGCAAGGACAAAAGTGGAAAAAATAAACAAAGAAAAAAACCTGAAGAAGAGACAAATAAGGAGGTGGATGTGTACAAGAATAGTGACTTGCTTGATAGAACAAAAAATGAGAAAAATAACGAATTATTACATGAGGCTCGTAGTAAAAAGATCTATAGATACAATGAAGGGAATATAAATGAAAAGATGGCAATGGAGTGGATCAGCAAGAATATTTCTGATATAGACAAACTCAGTGAGACTGAAATTCAAAGAGAAATAGACCAAAGGCTGTGTGAAGAACTAACTATATATATAGATATAAAGGATAGTAAAAACAGGGATTTACTAGACACACAGGCCTGTGGTAGCGATTTGTCTGCAGTGGATGGTGACCCAACTCTATATCCCTCAAAGAACAAAAAAGCTAAAATATCACAGGATATTGTAGATGCTGACCAATCCGACAGTGGTAAGGATAATAAAACTGAGGGTCCGGACAAAACCATAGACAGTGACATAAATAAGCCATCTAGTGCGCTGCCAATCCAGAGTAGCACCTTGGAAGATGTGAGCAACGGAAATTCAATTCTTGCTCGCATTAAAAAAAGAGAGGCGGATAGAAGAGAAAAGTTTATTCTAATGGAAAAGGAGAAAGAGAAAGAGATCATTAAAGCTCTGCATTCAATCTTTACTCTTGCGATTTCTTCCGACAAGAAATCCTTCTCTTTGGACTTCCTCTCGCGTACTCTTTCCTTCTCTTCAGCCCTCCAGCTCTCTGATGTTCTTTCCCATCCCCTCTCCACAAACCTTATACATACCAAGCGTACTGTTGACAAGACTTATCTTATTTTAAATATTTCTCTGTATCACACATGCAACTTGTAATCAGCCCATACAACAGTCATCATGAAAGACATATTCGCCAGAACAGTTAGTGCATGAAAGACCTCATGGTAGCCAAAAATCAGGGGCCATGGGTTAGGCCTTTTTACTCCATATATTATGCCTCCTAATATATACAATATGCCTCCTGTGGCGCACAGCACAGCTATAGCTATATCTGACACAGCCTTATACGGTATAAATATAGGAATGGAAATTCCATGCAGAATATAGTACATAACATTAAAGGCCCGTGGGGCATGGAAAAAGAAGACCTTGAGTATTCCTAAAACAGCCATAGCATATGATATATACAGCAAGGTTGCATATGACAGAGACTCATTGTCGCTGAATAGGTCTGGATATAGGGCTGAAATTGATGCTACAATGCATGTCTGCGTGCCTGATATAAGAAGGAATATTGAGGAGTGGTCTAGCTTCTGGAAGAGCCTTTCAGCTGTCCGGTTGGTCCATGGGTGCATATGATATGTGCTGCTTACCCCATAAAGAAGAAGCTGGGATAGGAAGTATATAGTAAGATAGATTTTGTTTAAGCGGAGAAAGATCATGAAGAGAAAGAATATGCAAATTGTGCTGTAAAAGGCCATTCTGTGAATGCGGCCCCTCCAGTACGGTTTGATCTCAAAGTCAGAATAGTGCTCTTCTTCTTTTGTACCCTTCATGAAAACACAGAAAAATATTACATATATAATCAAGCCGCCAATACTACTCAGTGCAGAGAAGAAAACTAATGCATTGGATTACTGCGAGCTTTATTTTAATGAAGGCTAGTTGACTGATTGCACATATACTCAGTATGCTGGTTGCCCATTTTGAAAGTCTTACTAAGTAATTAAGTCACCTGACTTACGTTGTGCATACACATAATTAACAACTGTTTCTTTTGAGACAAACATATTTTTGATAAAAGATAGAAATAAACCCTACATAGTGTACTTTGCTATCAGTTTGATTAATATAAAGGGTTTTCTTGTATGCCATAGAGTGAAGAAGAACAGAATCCATCCCTCTACCTAATATGCACTAGACCCTTATTCTTTACTGAAGCAGAGACTCAGTTTAATGGAATGCCCCTTTTCATTAAGTGCTTTCTAAGATATTTCTGTTTTTATTAACACACTATACAGAAACTGCTAACCATCTAATATATGCTGATGCAGTATATAACTAAGACAGAGCTCTTTAAGTTTATATTTTCCAGAACAAGCTCATGTGCTTAAGGCGAAAAAGCCTAAAATTCAGCATACGTGCAACAGCCTGCATGCCTTAGCATAGAAAGCACTACTTCAAGTTGGCTGCTTTATCAAAGCCCAAATATGCCTATTGCCTAGCAGATCCATATGTATTTTAGTTTTCAGAAAGCCCTATAAATAGTACACTCAGACTCTGTACTGTATAAAGTATTAGCACACCTGAGCACCTAGGAAATAGAAAGTGTAGATGTAAGAATGGTGCATACCCATAATAAAATGAACAGAGGCAGAGATATTTGTAATGTGAAGAAGGGAAAAATTTAAAGGTGTAAATGGAGGGAGACTTGCACGTATATTCCAAGAGAGAATTGGAAGCAGACGATGATGAAGGGTTTATACGAGTATGCCAGCTATTCGGGCTAAGTGTTCCTGCAGACAGCCTAAATGACAGAGTGCTTGTGCATTTACTCGATGCATGTTCATCAATATGTGTAGAAAGGGGTCTTCAAGTGCCATGCAGCACTGAAAACAAAAGAAAAAGAGAAGAAAAAGAGAAAGAAAGGGAACTCGCAAAAGAACAGCTAGCCTCAAAAGAGAAAGAAAGGGATGCCCTAAGAAAAGCTGCCGCCAATATGGAAGAAGATTTAGCCAGGTCTCAAGTGTGCTGGGAGGTAATAGAAGTGGCGCGCGCAGTTGGTATAAGTGTGATGCGAGTAAGCGGTGGGAAATGCCTTGAAGGCAACCGTGAGTGGGGTGTGGATCTGCACAGCTATTTCCTTCCGTTTGTGAATATGTCTGTAGATGCAGTGAATTTTGTGTACGGCCAGGTGTGTGTGCAAGGAGAATGCGAGGTTCAGAGTGTAGGCAGGCTCATGGCATATGTACAGAAGTGCATTGAGCTGCGAAATGTATATCTAAGGTACCGAACATCAGAGCATGACTTGGACTACAGAATAACTTTGTTCTTGCTAGAACAAAAAAAGGAGAGTATTGAAGGCCTATGCAGCGTGGTAGAGAAGGAAAGAAAGGATGTGATAAAGAGCATATTCTACTTATGCTCAAAAGGAATTGCAGGATATACAAGGGAAACAGATGAAGCAATGCTTTTGTAATAAAAATTAATGAGTGTTTTATGAATAATATGTGCTAACTTGCTAGAGCTGCATAACTTTCCAATAGTAGACTATTTCTTGAACAGAGTTATGTCTCTAGTAAACTTGGCTATTTATTAATTTTTTTGGTCTATATTGGTCTGGCTTAATTAAACCACTGAAATGCAGGTTTTCTATTTCTATAGAAATGCAATGAGATTCAGTTGATTCTATGAGGATGTAAACCAAATACAACTACTCTGTCATACCCGAACCTAAATATAAATATAACATGGAGTTATCATCTCTAGTGTGCCTTATTATACAGCGATTTCAGACTGTATTAATATTCCATTTCTATTTTCTGTATTTATTCCAACTATTTCCATATAATAATTCTTTCTTTACTCTTTCTATTGGCTACTGTTCTTTTTTGTCTTTTTCTTATTCGTATTATAAATTTACAAATAGTAACCCTTTTAGCAATGTGACGGGTTTTCAAGTAGAATATATTCTAAATAAGAATGAAAACAAAATAAATTCAACAATATTGGTTTTATAATATGCGGACTAAACCATAATTACCGGTAATCTGACAAATAAAAGAGATTATGACATATTCATTTATTGTGATGACTCTCGGATAGCATCTACAATTCTCTCTGCAGATAAATCTGATGTGGCAGAGTTGCAGATGGCCACAAAGAAAGGAAACTCTTTTTCTACACCATTCCCTTTTATAAAGGCAAGAAGGTCCTTTATTGTGGAATATCCCTGGAGCTTTTGACCATTCATCTCTTCCTTCTCAATTCGTCCAATAGAAATGCCTTTCTCAGATGCCAATTTAGAATATTTGTAGTTTCTTCCGGAAGAGCATGTTACAATAAGGTCTGCCACCCCGCAGGACTCAAAGAAAACCCGCGGAATTGTTTCATCATTTTCAGACAAGTTATCTGGGCTCTTGACGAATTTCCTGCAGAATCTAACCATCTCAAGGAGACCATTTCTAATAACTGCAGCAATAGTATTTACACCTTGCTGCTGCCCTGCTACAATGCCACACCCAACAGCCACTACATTCTTCAGAGCTCCGCACACCTCAACAGCTCCGTGGTCCTTTACTGCAGCCACTCTGAAGTGCTTTGAGTTAAAAACGTCCACAACAGTTTTCTTTATGCTTTCATTTTCATATCCCAGTGTGCACTCGCTGAAAAGGCCATTTGCAACATCGCCAGCAATGTTGGCCCCCATCAAAGTGCAGACCTCCACACCCAGCATCCTTTTAATGCGGGCTGAAATTAGCTCCATCTTTTTCTCCTCAAAGAACAAGCCTTTTGCCAGAGTAACAGCGATGCACTCCTTTTTCACTACCGCACCTTTATCTGAAATAATAGACCCTAGGATCCCATCAAGAAACTCGTGCGGAACTGCAAAGACAAGAATATCTGCGTCTTTTACAGCATCAGACATCTTAGAGGTAGCTGTCACTCCCTCAGGCAATACAATTTCAGGAAGATATTTTGAGTTAATTCGTGTGCTGTTTATGGATTCAGACAAATCCACTCCATTTACAACCTCAGGATAGACCCATAAGAAAGTCTTTCCAGAAATAGACCTATTTTTAAAATTATCCTGAATGACTTTTGCAATGGTTGTTCCCCAGCTGCCTCCTCCTATGACCGAAACCTGTAGCATTGGCGAAAATAAACAAATTGAAATTTATCTAAAATTTTGCAGACTTCATTATAAGATGACGGAGTATCTCAGCAGAATGATTGGACCGCGCTATAATCTATATACACCATTCTATTATAGTAATAGAATGAAGTCCCCTAGAGTATTTATGAAGAAGGCATTTATTTTAGTGTTTAATGTATTGTTTATTACAATATGTTTAAATATAGCATATGATAAACTCATAGTGGGAGAAAAAACCGTGAGGTATGCAGTGGTGAGGTCATTTCCGCTTAGAACATATAGCAGAATACAAGGTTGGATGTGTCAAATATATCTGCCGTGGCCTATTAACATAGCTGTTTTAAAGGTATTCTGCAGCACCCTTGGGATTACTTTGCAGGATGCAGAAAGAGAGAACCTTTCAGAATATTCGTCTGTAAATGATCTATTCACGCGGAAGCTAAAGGCCTCTGCAAGACAAATAGAGGAAGGCTTGGTTTCTCCGGTGGATGGGACAGTCGTGTGCTGCGACGATGCAAGGGCAAGTCTTCGGTATCCAATTAAAGGAGTGAACTATCGTATTGAGGACCTTCTGGGAGATGAGGATGTGTGGAGTAAGATAGGCAAGGATAGTATGCTGAAGCACATTGTAATATATTTGGCCCCGCATAACTACCATAGAATACACAGCTTCACAGAGTTTGTTGTTAGGGATGTGATGCACATTCCATCTCTCCTTTTTTCAATTGGCAAGAAGTCAATGGAGTACTTTCCTGGGCTGCTGGCAAAAAATGAAAGAGTTGTATTTTCTGGCGAGTATGAGTATGGGTACTGCGGCATGGTGGCAGTGGGAAGTGTGGGCGTAGGAAGTATCAGCACAACCATTGCAAATATAAAAACAAATAGAGTGAGTGGGCCATTTTCCAAGACCAAGAAGGAGTTTTCTGGGAGAAAATTGTATAAAAAGGGAGAGGAAATAGGCCACTTCAACTTAGGATCAACAGTTGTGATGGTTTTTGAGTGGCCCAAGAGCTTTCCAGATTACAAAATAGAAGGCTCTGTGCAGATGGGACAAACCCTCATGCTAGAGCCATTAAAAGACGAACAGTTCTGGAGCTAAAGAAAAGGGATGCAGAGTGTAAATGAACCATGGCTTGGATATTCCAACAATAGAAATACAGTTTACATTGCAGATTCCCCAAACTGCACTAATATATTTATTTTGGGCTCTTTCCATCCATCAGTAGAATATAAGAAAATATATAGCTACGTTTATTTGTATAAAAAGAAATATAGAAGATAGGTCTTAGGCTCTTCTCAACGCATTTAGTATAGAAATATGGCTACCATGAATATATGTGTGAATAATTAGAATAATTCGCACAGTCTAATGAAAGGCTGTTTATTCATAGAAAGTGTAACCATTTGTGCCTCTACAATATAATATTTATGAGACAGTTAACCAAGTCACAGAAAACAGCTTTGAAAGCATTTTAGTGAAGAGCGCTTCTCGCTCTGAAGTTTAGATTATTTACGCATTGCGTTTGAGCCTTTATATAAGAGTTTTGCATAGCACTACTGTTCCATGGAGGAGCAGTTTGCATATGAATTTATGGCTTGAGAAAAGAGAAATTATCAAGACCTTGAATAATAAATAAATGATGGCTGAAATAATAAAGAGCGTAATTGCAGCACAAAACAATTAGAGACAAAAATATTCCAAAATAATTATTAGAAAAATATGGATGTATTGAAAACCTTTGGCATTCGAATAACCTAAGCAAGAATTTTAATAATATCCTATCACCTCTTTCTTAATTAGACTCTATAGACCTTTAAAAAGACCCGCAGTTCTCTTAATATTTTGTTTATTGTTTGTCATAATATGAGTGAAATATACATTCCATTTTTCACAATAGTCACAACGTACTTGTCTTACTTTATAGTGATTGTTTTGGGGCATGCTCGGGACTTCATTGGGCAGATGCTCTTCCCGAAGCTCTACAAGCACATGTTTCCTAGCAATGGGCGGCCGCCATTGTTTACAGCCTCAGGAAGCTTCTACACAAGGCGTCTTTATGGCAGGCTGAGTGATTGCTGGAACAGGCCCATCACAGGAATACCAGGAAGAAATGTGAAGGTTCTTTTGCGCGCCCGAGACAAGGAGGGCAACATGTATTTGACAGGAGAGTCAAAGGAGTGTCTTAATTTAGCATCGTATAATTATCTGGGATACGCAGGTAAGTATAACAAAGAGGCAAAGCAGGCCCTCATTGACTACCCAGTGGCATATTGTGGGCCTGTAAAGTTTCTTCCAGAGTGCCAGTTAGTCAGACAGTTAGAGAAGGAAATAGCAGCATTCCTGTATAAGGAGGATGCCATAGTGTTCCCCATGGGCTTTGCAACAAATGCATGCACCATTCCATACTTAGTAAATAAGGACGACCTGATAATTGCAGACTCCCTGAACCACTCAAGTATCTTTTTTGGGACTCGGATCAGCCCGTGCAAAGTGGAGAGATTCAAGCATAATGATATAGATATGCTAGAAAAAATCCTTAGAAAGGCCATCATTGAGGGACAGGACAGGACACACCGGCCAATTGGGCGGATTCTTGTGATAGTGGAGGGAATCTACTCCATGGAAGGAGAGTGTGTGAAATTAAAGGAAATATTGGCCTTGAAAAAAAAGTATCCATTCTACCTGTTCATTGACGAGGCGCACTCAATTGGTGCTATGGGGAAGACAGGAAGGGGGGTCTGCGAGTATCTGGATGTGGACTTTAATGAGATTGATCTTCTAATGGGAACATTTACAAAGAGCTTTGGAGCAGCAGGGGGCTACATTGCAGCAAACCAGAAGATTGTAAACCTGCTCAGGAAGCGGTCTGAGCTGGTGAACCGAGGAGAGCAAATGCCTCCTGTTGTGGCCACGCAGATCCTTGAGTGTCTGAAGAGAATGCAGACAGAGGAAGGAGTACAGGAAATACAGACCCTAGCAAAGAACTCACGGTACTTTAGGAAGGCACTGCATCGCATGGGGTTTATTGTGATTGGGGAGAAGGATTCTCCTGTAGTGCCACTGATGCTTTACAATCCAGGAAAAATTGCAGAGTTCTCTAGAATGTGCTTGAAGGAAAATATTGCGGTTGTTGTAGTAGGGTACCCTGCGACACCCGTGATCAGCAGCAGAGTAAGGTTCTGTCTTTCAGTGGCGCACAAAAAGGAAGACTTGGACAAGGCACTTGATGTCATTGATAAAATAGGCGACATGCTGAACTTAAAAATGGCAAAAAAACAAGTATGCTAGAATAAAGAGAATAATACATATAATATTATTATATTTATAGAAACATCTTTCAATGTGTAGCCAAGAAGTATAAAGTGCAAGTTTATATTGGTACTTAATATGCGAACTGTAATGCACAGACAAGGCGGCAAACAGTATGGTAAGTATGTAGTGTGTGTCTTTGTACACTCTACTTTACAAAAACTTTTCTGGTTTTCGTTATCTACCGGTAGACCCGAAGTGGCTGCTCAAAAATTTTTTCATAATGACGCTCCCAATAGAAGACAGAAAGAATGAAATACAGAACTTAATTCGGGAGAATCAGGTGCTTGTTCTGTCAAGTGAAACGGGAACAGGAAAGACAACACAGGTCCCAAAGTACATATATGAAATGTACAACGAGTCTGTGGTCTGCTCCCAGCCCAGAAGAATTGCAGCGATTAGCATTGCTAAGAGAGTCTCAGAGGAAATGAAGCAGACTCTTGGCAAGTTAGTGGGGTATTCTGTTCGATTTGAAGAGTGCCTTTCAGAGCATACAAAAATAAGGTATGTTACGGACGGAACTTTAATAAGAGATTTCATTAATGATGCAAGCATATCCCAGTACAAAGCTATCATAATAGATGAGGTGCACGAAAGAACAATTAATATAGACCTGCTGCTGGGGCTAGTCAAAGATGCAATTGCAATCAGAAGTGACTTAAAGGTGGTTATAATGAGTGCTACGCTTTCAACAAATAAATTCACAGAATACTTCCCAGGAGCAGCCACGCTTCACATTACCAGCAGGTCCTTCCCAATTGAAGTAAGATATCTGCCGGCTGAAAAGGATGAGTATGTTGAAAAAGCAGTTGAAATTGCAATGAAAATAAACGAAACAGAGAAGGAAGGGGATATCCTGGTGTTTCTAACAGGAGAGGATGAGATTGAAACGTGCTGCCGAGAAGTGTTCTACCAACAGAATGCACTAAACAGAAAGAATCCAGCGCAGAAACAAAAGCTGCTTCCCTTGCCGCTATACTCTTCGCTTCCGATGCATGCACAGAACATGATATTCAACAAGACAAAGGAAAGGAAGGTCATTTTTGCAACAAACATAGCAGAGACTTCAATTACAATAGAGAGCGTGGTGTATGTGATAGACTCAGGATACTCAAAACAGAAGATCTATGATTCAAAAATTCAATCAGAAATGCTCCTGAAGCTGCCCATTTCTAAGTCAAGTGCTGACCAAAGAAAGGGAAGAGCTGGGCGAGTTAGAGCCGGAATATGCTACAGGCTCTATGCACAGGAGATGTACGATGAAATGGAGCAGTTTACAATTCCAGAAATTCTCAGAGGAGAGCTGTCTTCTTTGGTTTTAAAAATGGCAAGGCTGCACATAAAGAATCTAGTGACTTTTGACTTTATAGAGCCACCTCTTCCAGAGTCTGTTATTGTTGCTCTGAATCAACTTTACTTCCTTGCAGCCATTGATGAAAAAGGAAACATCACAGAAGAGGGCCGGCTTATGGTGGAGTTTCCGCTAGAGCCGCGAGATGCAAAAAGTCTGCTGGAATCAGTGCGGTACAATGTAGAGGATGAGTTAGTCACTTTGTCCTCAATCTCAGGCAATTTAATATTTGACAAAAAGAAGTTTGATCTGGCAATTCCAAATAGCGACCATCTTTCGCTCTATTTGATCCTGAAGGACTACGAAGGAAGCAATGACAGAAGAGGATTCTGCTATGCACACGGGCTAAATGAAAAGAATCTGGAGAATGCAATTAAATCCAAACGGCAAATTCGAAAGATTTTGGACAACATAAAGCCACACATCACCATAAATCCAGACATAAACCAATTCACAGTTCAGGAAAGAGTGGAGTTTGCGATTCTAGGTGGCTACTTATTGCAAACAGCATATGCCACCAGGGAGAGAATGGCATTCGTTGCAGGAACTGGAACTAAAGTGCAAATTAGACGACTTGAGCCTCCAAAAAAAGCTATGCGCGGAAGAAGAATCCAGGATAGTATAGACCAAAAATGGACTATATATAAAGAGCTCACAAAAATGGATGGAAAGTATGTTATACGCATGGTAAGTGATATAAGTCATGGCATTGCAGAAAAGCTCTTTAAAAAGCACTCTGTGAGGCTAAATGCAATTCAGTTTTCATCTGACACTGCAATAGAAGCAAGCCGAAGGAGATAATACATGATGATAATAAATAGAAACACCAAATGCTGTGCCATAAAGCAATTACACATGCTTTATTCTTAATATTCTATATCCTGTTTGGTAAGAAGGTTTGGCACACCGTCGTATATGGGATATGCCATGTGGCACTCTGCACACCTTAAAGTTCCCTCCTCTAACTTAGCACATAGCAAGGCAGTGAATAAGTTAGTGATCGCTTTTTTGTCATCTATAAGCTCAAATGAGTTCTTTTCAAAGGATTTTTCAAAGAAGTCTATGTCGTAGTTGAAATATTCCCGGGCTGGATCCTCTGCTGCAAGACATTCTTTTGCAGCATTCAGAATGTATGGCAGTATAAACTCATTGGTCGACAGATTCATCATGCAGATAACTTGCAGCTGTGCCTGGAGGAATGCAAAATCTTTGCTTTCTGGCTGTCTTATAGACCATTTTATTGTGCAGCCATCTGGCACTAAATAATTCGCATGTGTGCAGGAGGGCTTCTTGCAGCGCAGCAATAAAACGGAAAAAATTTTCATGTGGAAAAGTTGTGTCAATACTTATAAATGGAAGACTTTGAAAGAAAACATGTGCACCAGTTCTACCAGGATTCATCAAAAGAGTTTTCAGCCACAAGATACAAGCCGTGGCCAAAAATAGAATACTTTTATCAGAAGTACGTAAAAGAGACGGATATTATACTTGATGCAGGGAGCGGAAATGGAAGAAACACGCTATTCCCAGAAAGAACCGTCTCCTTGGACTTTTCGGATGGGCTGCTAAGAATAGCGCAAGAAAAACACAATGGAATGGCATACATTCGAGCTGATTTAGGAGATGACCTAGGCATTGTGCCTGGTGTGTTTGATATTTGCATCTCTGTAGCAGTGATTCACCACTTATCTAGCGAGGAAAGAAGATATAAGGCTGTTCAGTCAATGGTAAACTCCTTGCGAATTGGAGGACACGCGTTGATATATGTCTGGAGTGAGTCTCCAGAAAGTAAGCCATCAAAGTTTATTAGCATTCCAAACTTGGAAGATGCAAGCCTTGATAAAATCAGCGGGCTGTCAGGCAATGATGTATTTGTAGGATGGAAAAGCAAAAACACTCTAAACCGATACTACCATCTCTTTAAAATGAATGAATTAGAGAACCTTCTGAGCACACTGCCTGTAGAGATACTTGAGTCCGGAAAAGACCATGGAAACTACTATGCAGTCATTAAACGAGTTATTTAGTAATCTGTGCTCTAACTGCTAGAACCTTGACACAGCTAAAGAGCTTGCAATAGCTTCTTTGCTATTTGAGTGCTCCTTCTATTAAAGTATGCCAGCTGTTATTCAAGTGGCTTAGCCTCACCTTTGTATAGGATATTTTCATGATTGAATTAATGCTTTAAGCTGATTTATAGACTTCTTTTCCTTCTGGGTGAATACTGTTCCACAAGATATTAATATTGCAGCTTTAAATTTACTGGGCTAGAGACTCACTCACATACCAGCTTTACTTCTAAAATTACTTATAAATATGCAGCTGAGTTCTATAATCGAGAAAGAATTTTTAGAAATAAGAGGGCACGCGCCAGTATACTGCTTCGTAAGTACATTAATAAAAGCTGCTCCTTGTTTACATAATAATAAGTGCTTTTAGCATTCTCCAGTGGTATACTTGTCTATTAATTAGCACATTTTAATTTACGCTCTATATTTTCATGCTCTTTCCAGAGATAAACATACTCGTAAATAAGGCAAAGCACGCATCCTCTATATACAAGCAAGCAAGTGCAGCACAGGCAGCTGCGCTTCAAGTGTTCTCTGAGTCAACTGTCTTTAGTAATACAGCATACTCTGCAGATCCATTGATGATTTCCATACTAAAGCACTGTAATCTACACCTGCTGACCTTAAAGAGCATGCACAAAATGGCATGCACTGTTTCTAGAGAGCTAGATGCTGCGGTAAAGATAGCAGAAAACTATGTAGCAAAAACATCTGAGGATATGAAAAACACCGAGAATAAACTCGATAATAAGATGAAATCCATCTACACAGCAGCAGAAACAAGGAAAAGCGCCTTCTCTACAGAAAAGTATGACATATGGAAGGCCGAAATAGAGCTAAAGGAGGCAATTTTCTCATACATTAAAGAAGAAACCTCTTTTCATTCCCTTAAGAATGCCACCATAAACAAAAGCAGAGAGGTATACAACGAGCTACTTAAATCGTACTATAAATCGCTTCAAGACTTCACTTCTTCTTCAGAAGCAATTTCAAACAATTTCCTAAATGAAGTATCCCAGGACCCCTTCCTTAAGCCTGCCCTTTTGCCAGATGAATTCTTGGAAATATCTGCAGAGAAAACAAATGCACAGGATGTCTTAAAAGGGAGTATTCCTCAGAATATTGGAGAGAAACAAAGCCTCACCCAGGACGAACAAACAAGATATAATGAGCTGCATACGCAAATAATGCATAGTACATATAACCATAGAAGTAATTTTGCACCTGCAGTTCATAGCTGTGGCCTGTTTCTAGTTCCAAAGGTGTCGCAGGATGAGATACTTTTCATTATTTGCACTAATACAAACTATTTGCATGGTTTTTCATTCTATTCAAAACTAGAGGAACTCTCTCACTTGCTGCCTGAGGAGAAGGAAGGCTTTGTTCCGTCTCTAAGACATGCCCTAATAAACTTTAATGAGAAACAGATAGAAAAGATACATGCGTATCTGCTGAATAGCATAGGGTGCTTAAAGACAGTCAGCAAAGTCTTCCCAATTTCATTAAAGAATAAAACTGTTTATTTGCAGGGAGATAAAGAGATAGTTATAAAAGAAGAGTCTTTCTTTCCACGCATCATAAAGATTCAAGCCTTTCATTCGCAGCAAATACAAAAGTTCTCATGGTTTCTATCTGATCCTTCAATAAATGCAGAGCGTACCACAGAGGAAGCACCTATAGACCAAGAACAAGAAACAGCATGGTCTCCCATTCCGTACGATAATCCATGGTGATTCTCTCTGGAGTGGCGTAAGTTTGCATGCTTATGACTGAAATAAGCAAATACTTTTTTGTACACTAAGGAAGCTAAGAGATGCATTTATGAGATTATGTATTTTGTGTCTTTAAGAGCACTCATTTTGGCCTCTCAATAACAGAAGTGCTGTAAATATTATGGTAATTTGCTACTTTTAGACAGAGATGCAAAGAGCATAGGAGTGTTCAACTGAAAATACTTTCGATAGTGGCCATTATACATGTAGTTGCAATGAGAATATTAAAAACAATTCGGGTTTTAAAAAATAGAATGCGCAATTTTCTTAAGAGTTAAATAAATAGCCTCTACTATAAAAGATGATATCTTTATTGAGTTACTACATTTGAGCTATAGATTTCCTTTTAACTGCACCATGCCACCAAGAAATATTTCTATTATGCATGTTTTTGAATAATTTGGGTTGTTTGTGGTGTAGAAACCCTTCATTATGGATTCTCTATAATACTTTTGTTTCTATGGAAAATATACCTCTTTATACTATTCATGCTGTATTAGTACAACTAGATGCAGCGAAGCTCAGCTACTCCAGGTAAGCACTATGCCTCTGGGGCAGGAGCACCTGAGTCACCCCCGCTTACTGCGGTGTTCATCATTGCCACCACATCTGAGTATGAAAACAAGGACAGCGCCAGTATATTCATCATGTATGTTGTGAATAACCACACAAACCATTGGCCTCCTGTTAGTATAAACAGAAACTCTACCATTCTTAGAGCGTGAATGATGCCTACAAGGATTGTAAACACATTTTCACCCTGCAAAGTCTGGTTGAATATAGGGAGCAAGCTAAAGAAAACAATTGAAATAGAGAACACAAATGCAAAGAATGTAAAAAATATCTTTGTCTTTGACCATATTATTGTCTTTTGCATGTTATACATGGCATGTGCCCATTCTATTTGAAATATACCCAGGATGAAACACAGTTTTATTCTGCAAATATTTGCGCACCATGGAGGATGATGCACTTATCAAGAAGTATGTAACAGAAAGAAGAAAGGAGCTGCTGCAGACGCATCATATTCTTAGGGAAATAACAGATGAGGCCCTTCTATGCAAGAAAGTGAAGAAGGACAAGATTGTGATGCATTTCTACGATAAGAAGTTTAAAAGGTGCCAGGAGATGAATAAGGCTCTGGAGTCGCTGGCGCCTCAGTACAGCAAAATAGAGTTTTTGTGCGGCGAAGCAGAAAAGTTTCCATATATAACAAATATGCTAGAAATCACACATCTTCCATACCTAGCGACATTTTCTGATGGATACTTTACTGGAGGAATTATTGGATACCAAGACATAGGAGATGACCAGCTGGATTTAAAGTTATTAGAAGGGTTCTTGCAGAACCATTCAGCTATATCTGGGTCACAGGATAGACCAATCGAGTAATACCAAGTATACTATCAAAGAAGTTCAGCAGAGCATGCCTATTGGGACGGTGGAGCAGATAGAAAAGCATTTGCGACAGAACAAAGAGCTAGGAAAAAACAAGAAGGAAACTGAACAAATAAAGTTGTTATTAAAGGAAATCATTAAGGCCAAAGAAAAAAGCATTGAATACAAAAAGTGCTTGCTAGAATTAATGGATATGATTATTATAAACAGAATGAATATGATAGAAGAAATTGGACTAATAGAGGGCTATTATAGGAAGGTAAGTGTTAGTAATAATGTGTCTGAATTAATTGCATACTTTGAAGGGTGCCAAAACGGAAAAAAAGAAAATTAAAACACTATTAATGTTTTTATTTGGATGTACTTGGGATATATTTTGTTGTATTTATAACAGGCTACTAAATGTGATTTTACCGCAGCATGCGATTATTAAACAGTACTCTACGTATGTCAATCGGCGGATTTCTATGGCTGAGTATCACTTATACAATATAGAAGGCTATTACCTGTGGTAATTATAATTCCTGGCGTGCCTGAATGTACACCATAGATTAGCATTCACCAGACCCAGCGCCTTTTTCTGCTTAGACTATTTTGCCCCAGATTATTACATGTACTGTATAATGTTCTAGCTGATATAGGGCGTGCTATTTTTACTGCGCCCTTTAAAGTTACTTTCAAACTAATTTAAGCCACTCTTTGTGGGATATTACTTTCCTACGCATTTGCTTGCTATCTATACAAATGCATCTCTTATAAATCTTATTCCTTCCTTTCTCATTCCTTCCTTCCCTATTCTCTTTATTTCCATGATTCTTGACTTCACTCTTCTTCCATACACCCAGAATAGCTCACCATACAGAATGCTTTGGATGATTGACCCGCATAGCAGTAGGGTGTTTTCTCTTGTTATAATATACTTTACCAGCCATATAGCCATATAAATGGCTCGGTAGAATCCCAAGAGCACTATATACTCGATTGTCAGCACTTCCACTTCTCCTGTCTTATAGAGCAATAAAAGCTGCGGTATAATGGCAATCGACTCAAGAACAATTGAGGACGACCAGAACAATTCTATAATGATTTTATAATGGAAGCCATAGCTTTTGTTAATTAACATACTGATCACCAATGCCATCCCTATCGGCAGTGCTATGTTAAGGTTGTCTAGCTCCCGGTCGTATGTATAGCTGTACTTATAGTTTACTTTATAAATTATCTTTGACTGAAGAAGTACAAATAGCACTTTCATAATAGAGTTGTATACTAATCTGCGGGAATGGAGAAGTACTGGGTATATTACAATGTAAATAATATCTATGTATCTGAATAGATAGACAGACAGATATAATAGCTGGGACTTTAAGGAGATTCCTGAGCAGGATTTGGTTCTATTCATTTTTACAAGCAGAATGAGCATTGCGAGCAGATGAAGCAAATCTGCAAATGTACGCAAGAGAATCTCGCATGTGGAGAGTAAAGTAGGCATAAAAATTAAAAAAAACTTGTATATTTATAGGATAGAAATTATTGTGTGTCCTGGGGGTTTTGACATATTGTATAATAAGTCTTGCCTATTATGCGTATTGAATATAAAATTAATTTTAGTATTGCTTATGATATAATTACTACATATACTTAGAGAGCATGGCATATCAAGGAGGCGGTCATTTCCCAGCACTAAGATATAGCAGGTCAATTAAAATTGCACTGTATTTATTGCGCTGTATTTAATGGATATGGTCTCTGCCATATTTCACCTAAATGAAAATATGTATGCCATTACAAAATATTACATAAATAGTATACATGCCTATAATTTATTGCACATTGCTTCATAAATAACTTTCCCTACATGCACATCCTCATAAGACATGCACTAAGCCGATTAACCTGATTTCAGTCTATTTACAGCCCGATAACTTATCGTGCCTTTATTATTTTACAAAGTGGTGTCCTCAAGATATTTGTAATCAAACCGAAAGTTCTCCTTCTTTCGGCTGCTCCACGAGACCTCATAGTCAAAGAAGATGTACGTTCCTTGTTCATACTCCTCTGTAATTATGCTGGGCTCCTCCAGTCTTTGGAACCACGCCATATATTTTGTGTGGTACCGCCATGAATAGTTCTTCAACTCGCGCGCAGCATAGTACTGGCACGGGGTGTTCTGGTGGAAGTAGAAGATAAAAAAGAGCGTGTCCATGTCTAATTTCTGGTAGAACTCAGGGCCGCTCAGGAGAATACTTGCTTTAGTGGGGAAGTGCTCTATTACGTCGCCCCCTTCCTCCCGGTGCATGGCTATGCTGTTGTAGTTAAGGTAGTTGCGCATGCTGTTGATCATCTGGACCGGCATGGCAACCGATATGCTCTCTATCCTCTTTACAATTCTTGCAAATGGGCTCTCTTTCGGCTTCTCGCCCCAGGCATTCTGCCCTGTAGGGCCGCCTGGGACCGCCTTCGGTTTAGCCTCTGCACTTTCAGCAGGCACCTTCTGGCAGTTTTCTAGAATATTTACAAAGTCAACAATTGATGCCTTTCCATCATAATAATCATTTAAGTAGCTGTGCAAGGGCTCCTTTTTTTCCACTGCATACTTCAGTAGGCTCTTCATATATTCTGCAGTGATTTGTGTTTTTTTTGTTTTTATTTCTAGCTCCACATTCTTTAAAACATCGGATATTTTCTCGCTTTCTGTTGCGTTTTTAAAGGCCTCTTCTTTCTCATCCAGTGCACTCGCTACAGCAGCCTCCATCTCAATCATCACCTCAATGCCCTTTCTGTATATTTCAATCTCTTCCTTTATTTTGTCTTCCTTTGGCCCACCTCTCAGCATTTCCTTGAGCATCTGCAGCTTCTTTACCTCTTTCTTTAGCTCCTTCTGAAGCTTACTTCTGTCTTGATACAAGAGCACGGGCGCCTTCGGTATTGGCTTGACCTCGCCCCCTGTCTTGCCATACCCCAGCTTCTTTATTAGACCCATGACTATTTTTCCTGTTTCCTGCACCTTCTTTCCTGTTCTTTCAATTTCAACAAGCTTCTTTCCTGCCATGTAATATTATAAAAACATATAAATATAAATAGTATAATAATCAGATGGAATAGAGAGAGTGCATGGATATATGCAAAGGTTCGTGCAGAATAGAGGACATATGCAAGGACACACAGAATATAACTGGATATGCCATTTGCGCGCACAAAATATAATAGAATCAATTGAAACCTTGAATAGAAAAACACAGGAGATTGATTAAAATAATGTTTGTCAAAATCTTAATGAAAGATAGTACAATAAAGCACTTGGAACAATATACTCAGGACGTTTATAAATCTTGAACTATTAAAATAAAATTTAACTCTGAGCGGCCATCTGTCTATGTATTTGGGTACATTTAAGACATTTTTATATGAAAATTTAAATTTGTAATGGAAGAAGTGCATGCACAGAACAGAGAGCTCAGCAACTGTCTGGACACAAAAATTGCTATTCAAATGGCAGTGGATGGAATGCACATTTCTGTAAAAGGACATGCCTTGAAAGGCATAAAAATACGGCATATTCCCGGCCAGCACAAAAATGTAGAAACTGATGTATTTGAAAGTTTAGAAATTATGGCTTATGACAAGAGAAGCACCCCCATGATACGGTACATAGTCATGACAGCCATTGAAAATGAGCTAAACAAGCTGGAAGAGCCACTAAGGCTATCCGTGCATGTTTCTGTTCTTTCGTCAGGGAGATACGCAGAAGGGGCTGTTCTGGCAGTTAATGCAATACTATCGCACTTGGGTATAAACACTGAATATATAATAGATGGGTCATGCAGCGATGATCTACTAAAGCAGGTAGTTATCAAGAATACACATGGAGAGATAATATATGCAGTAGGCACAGGAGCATTTAATGAATGAGTATTGTTTTAGAAAGCAATTCAGAATTCAATGTCTAGAGAAATATCAAAGAATTTCAAGGAATATTATGAAAACACGGATTATTTTTTGTGTGTTTAGCTCTGGTTCTAGTCAATCTGTCTACCAATCAAACTATCTTTGTCTGTTTATAGGTCTAGTGTGACTAAATATTTCAGAAAATATTATGAAAGTATTATGATTGTTTTAGACATCTCTGTGGAAAATATTAAATCTTATCAGATACTAAGCTTTTATCTTTTTAAATTAGATATATATTTTATACATATTCTCTATAGAAAACATGCATATATAGGGGTGTTCTTATGTGATAGTTCATATTCTATGTGATTTTGGATTATTTGAAGCATATAAGTGTATATAAGCAAAGGAAATGCCTAAAACATATAGAGTGTGCGATATAAAGATTAAAAGAGCCCATCCCCTCCTTCTTCTGTACTTTTCCCAACTAGTTTTTCAGTAAGATATAAATACTCTAGTGCATTCTTGTCTATAAAATATGTGAACAGTATTGTATTTGCAGTGCTTTTGTGGTTTACTTGCTAAGAGAAGCTATGAATAAAAATGCGTCTGCGTGTAGAGTAAAATGACATAATGCACTCTGCTCTCTATCTATCTTATTAGGAATATACATTGATTATTTTGTATTCTCTTAGTGTATGTGCAAACCACGCAGTTTTACTTCTTTACCACATATTATATAGCGCGGTCTAATTATGCATCAGGTAAATTGAATATAATATAATTAAAATAGATTTTTCATTTGAATGGAATATTTTGTAATACTTACGAACAAAGGCCCTGCCGTGTTCCAAAACACGTCTTCCTCGCATGGGAGAGTGATATTTGCAGGTGCTGAATACGCCGTGACTATAGAAAGCATGCCTATCCCAAAGGAAGAGACAAAATATGATGCACACACCCAGTCCATTATATGGTCAGTCATACAGACTATTCAGATCCAGAGATACGGCAAGACTCCAGTGAAAAAAAGAAAGATGGTTCGGGTTATAAAGAAAAATGAGAGAATAGGAGATGGAAAGCTCACAAACAAAAACAAGACTAGCGTCTTTGGAATGATTCTTGGATCAGGAATTGCAAAAATGCTAAAGAGCTCATTTATAAAACAGAAGGAGTCTTCTGAGTCGAACGAGTTTCCTGAAGGAGAGTTCTCTTCATTCTCGGAGACTGGTAAGAGAGAAAAGCCGCTTGAGCCCTTGCTTGCCTTTGAAAGCAGTGACAAGGGAGAGATGTTCCAGTGTAAATTCAGCATAGTCCTGCACGATGGGGCTCCTATCGCAAACGAGCATACCCAAATACTCTCCAAATTTTCTGAGAAGAAAGTGCTGGGCGCTGCCAGCTCCATCTTAAAAAGCGGGCAGAAGAGCTTTTACACGGGAGAAATGGCATTTATAATGGGCCTGCAGAGAAGTAAAGTATGCATTAAGGAAGTCGGCAACTGGCTCTATAACTCAGACCATAATAAAATATTCACCAATCTGCAGGCTATAATCAGATTACTCAGTGATGCCTTTCTAGGCACTGTTGTTAGATCAATGGCGAAGGAGTATATTGATGTGGATGTGGACGAGTGCATTGATAGCAACGCAGCAGACTTGGCAGCCCTGTATGGAGACACAGAAGCACGGCTGAATGTATTCAGAAAGCTGCAAGAACTATCTGACAAGAAGCTAGCCAATGCCGCCATGGAAACAGTTAGCATTTCTATGCTTGGATACTTTGACAGACTTGCCGCTGTTATATACTCGCCCACGTTCATTACGTATATTGCATCTGTGGAGGAGAATATTGCAATGTATAAGCAGAAGTATAGCTCAGAAGTAATGGCAGCAGAGAGAAAGTTTAATTGCAATCTGTGTCTGCTATTTGTAGATATATATCATAGGCTTATAAAATACAGACTCTACATTACAGAAGCTATAAGTGCGCTTGAAAAGGCATGCGTAGAGGAGCAGAGAAAAAATGCAAAAACTCCTGTAGAGGAGGGCATCAAGGAAATGAGTATTCTTCCAGAGGACTCCGAAATAACAGATGCACAGAACGAGAAAACTTCTATATCAAGCGATGCGGAGATACTATACAGAAAGGAGATTGAGCTTCTATCTGTGCACAATGACAGACTAACTGAGCTGCTTAAGGCAACTGAGCGGTTTAAAAAAATCAAATCTCTTGCAACATCAGGAATTATATTCCCAGACTGTGTGGATGATTTCATTGAGATGTATGAGCTGACCAACGGAATGGTGATTATTACAAAGGAGAACATTGTTCTTGTGAATGGCAAGCATGTAGTTGCAGTTATCTCAAAGAAGGAAGTCTTTGGGTGCATACCTGCGTCGCAGGACACAGAGTATCCTACAATATACATTGATCTTGCGGTGTCTTCCCTATATCCGCCTACGCCCAACTTTGTAACTGACATTGTAGATGATGTTCGCGTCCATTGGATCCGCCTGCACTTTAAGTGGGATGGGAACCAGAAAAGATTTGTAGACGCATGCAAGTGCAGAAATGTGTCTACAATAAAGGGCCTGGAAATGCTTTTACGGGAGAATGTTGTGAGCGTTGAAAAAGAACTCCGCGAGAAAGTTGCAAAGTCTGATGTGAAAAACAGCCATAAAAGAATGCTTGCTATACGAGCACAGAGAGAACTTGTTGCTACATCAGATTTATACGCATATGGGCAGAAAAAGAGAATGTCCGAGAACATGCTGTTTGCTATTAAGGCTTGGGCGGATGCAGCACTGAGTGAATATGCAAATTCTCTCTCGTCTATTTCTGTGACATACTCTAAGAGCAATCTGGCCTTTGACAAACACCTTCGCAGAGAAGTGTCAAACATTATTAGCTACCACACGCATAAGCAGACATTAAACTCCCCAGATAAAAATGAATTTAGTGCAGTTCTAACAGAAGAGTATACGCTGTCTCAGGGAATACCCATATTTGTAGGATATTTGTCATATGTATACAGACTCTTATCGCCTGCAGATATAATGAAGTACTCTGAAATAGGAATGAAAGCACTGCACTCAGTGCATGATATTCGAAACATTGAAATATCAAATGATGAGTTCCTCCAGCTAGCAATTGGGTTTATTGAGGGGATGCATGTTCCTGAATCAATCAACAGAAATGAGTTCCTTCTTTCTTTAGTTATAGTCAGATTCTTTACCATTGCAGCACCGGATATTGGGCTAAAGAACTATCTTGCGCTCTGCAGCTCTTTGTTCCTCTTTAATTCAAAACAGCTAATTGATCTGCCAAAGTGCACAGGGCGGTAAGAAATTCACATAGCATGTTCTACTCTCTCAAATAAACGTCTTTTAGTGACTTTTCTATTATTCTAGTGGCTTTTTTGGCAGTTTTTATGTGTGGGCTGTTTAAGCGCCTAAAAAGAATCTTTCTGTTTTTCCAGATTTCGTGCTGCTCCTGCAAATTGGGAACTTTTACCTTTGCAGAGACAGCCAGCTTTGTTTCTTTGGAAGGCGCACTTTCCATTTTTAGCCCTTTATTTTTATTTTTATTTTTATACCCCAGTTCATTCTTTGGATGAACTCGGACATGATGAGCAAAATTATAGTTATCCCTGTCTGAGCGTGATGATGAAAGATCTCTGATCCATTTATAATTAATCTCTTGTATAACACTTCCTTTGGTATATGCGCTGCATCTATGAATTTTGGATTCTTTTTTGTAGGTTGTCTGTGCATAGAACTTGGAAAACTACAAACTATAGTAGTACAATAAAGCGCTGCTGTTTACAGTTGAGTTTTCTCTGAAATATTAGACATGGTTTTCCTATTCGTCATATAATTTATTTATTAACGCCTATATATAGTTTCCTGAGCTGTATTTTGATTAGAGTGTGTTCCACAACAAACCAATAATAAGCTACTAGATTCTCCGTGTTACACAAATAGTCCATACACGTAGATCACTATACATCGGCCTGTAAACAGAACCCCTCATATCTTATTGGCCACTAGCCAAAGTCCTGGGGAACAATGTCCTTCCATTGTGGACTCAGGGAGGTTTCACGTCCATAGGACAGGGAAAACCAACATTTACCAAGCATAGATTCTTCGGTCTAGTTTTTTCTTGTGCCAGCGGCTATTCATGGCTCTATTGCAGCTATGAATATATGCAGCCTGCCTTGATCTTGCATATAGTCTGTATAATGATGCCCATAGCAATATAATTTTTTTGAATACTTTCATCTCTCTTGGCAATACTTGCATCAGCATAATTCATAAAGATGCTAGCGTGTATTGGTATTCTTTTATAAGACCATATGTTGCCAGGTAGCCTACGTAGAAAAGAAATGTCTTTTATCAAGGCTTCTGCCTAAAATATTTTTCCTGTGTTAATAAAGACATTCTGGCATGTAGTAAAAATATAAATAATAGAAAAGAAGTTTGGACAATGTGTTTATTAGTAGTGCGTGCACTATCATGATACACAAAGCAAGCGTACACCCGGGTATATTGCTATAGTAATAGCACTAAAGGGAGAGATCCTGTCGCTAGCTGTTTGAGCTGTATTAGAACTTTGGTATTCGTATGCATGGCATAAATAGCTCTACTCAACTGCTAGAAGAGAGATGCCCCTCATGGAACTCTGATATCTGTGTGCAAGAGATCTTAAATACTTTGAAAGCAAAATGTATCATCTTTAAGTGGTCTATTTTCTGCACAGAAACCAATCTAAAATATATACAGATCACTATATTGGCGTATATTCTCCTGTTTGCACAATTGGGTACTTCTGTCTGGCTTTGTAACTCACTGGTTTATTTCTGTTTCAAACTGTTTCAAATGGATCTTGTGTTTTTTTCCACTAATCAATCTGTAATCTTTTCCTTATTTTCTATAGAGTTTAAATTCATACTAGACATGCATCTACTGCATTAATAGTGCTTTTATTATAGAGTGTGTGCAATAAAGGGTATGTCTTGCTACATGCAATATCTGATTTTTTTAGCTTTCAGTAGAAACAAGTTATTTATTTCTTTGTCATTAATAAAATTAAATCTAAGATGCATACTATACTAGATGCCAATATAACTTATTAACTCTGTATGCTTACTCTAACAGATGCTTAAAGTTATTATCCATTCAACTGTATCTACATATGCGCATGCTTTATACATTTATCCCGTACCCTCCATCTCTAATCTACCTCTTCTGTACAATGTCTTCATTCTCCTGTCTATGTCTTCTTATTATCCTTTCTTCTACATCTTTGCAAAAATAAACTCTACAATATTCGCACCACCACTTACTGTTCAGAAGGGTTTGTTTCTTCTAAAAAAAAGATAAAGACACACGAAAATCAGAAAACTGCACTTTTTGAAGAACCACTCTCAGCAAACACTCAGCGCAATGTAGAAAGCTGAACAAACTCCGCATCACACGCCAGCCACATAAAGAACAAAAAAGCTCTGCCCAGACATGAAAACCTATGCGCACACCAGCACAGAACTATACACACATACCACACATGATATACATACACGTATGTACATACTATACACATACTACACATATGCAATATGTATGCTGATAGAGACACATCAGAAGTAGACAAGAATGTATTTCTCAAGCATGCCATGCAAGTGCCAAGACACCAGCTGTCTACCTCACCTACCCATCTGCACACACCTCCCTACATCAGCAGGTCTTCCCCCAGTGCCTGCTGCACATGTCTTGTACACACTCTCCCACTATATTAATTTTTCGTCATATGGCCCTCTGAGGTGCGTAATTTGCACATAGGCGGGCTATACACCGCAATTAAGTAAACAAACAGCAGAACACATTCTAGAGCGCACTTAGAAGGGCCCAATGCACATATTTCCCAATTTGATCATTTTCTGCGGGTATTTAAGGAGCGCGCACTCTGCATTTCAGAACACCAGGAGAGCTGCATCTGTCTCACGGCGCAGTGCAGAGAAGGGGGCTGGCTAGGAGGTGGCAGGAGCAAGCCGGCACTAACCCTGCCGGTGGGTCGTCCACTATTATCATTCCCTTCGGGGTAGCCTATAAGGCCATATGGAGTAGCTTGGATGCCAACTTTGTCATTAGGAAATTCCGCGCATGTTCTTTTTACCTTGATGCTTGTACATTTAATATTTAGAGCCGCTGCGTTGTCTAAGCCGAAGTGGCACTGAACTATGCGTGCACTGGACTTCCCTGCTCCTGTCCTCAGCACCGACTGGCCCTCTCCTCTGCGCGGCGCGCGCGATGGCCTGCCGTGCTGTCTGCAGCGCTCCGGCAAACAGCAGCATGCGCGGGCCGCTGGGTTCTCAGGCCAGTCGCAAGACGCCGCTCTCCCTGCATATGCAGCAGCTAACCACTGCATGTGTATGCAGCGAGCGAAGATGTGCTGTGTGCAGGCAGTACATGGCGCCCGTACATGGCCGGTACACACTATTATTAATAAACAGCCGCTCCGGATATGCCTGCTGTCTTGCTGTACTGTGTCCGCCCTTTGTGTGCTCAACTAATATTCCTTGTCCGCAAGCCTCGAATGGCTTTTTATCTTAAGCTCTTTTACTGTGCTGCCAGTGTAAATATCAGTGGTGTATGCCACATAACAATAGTTCTAAACATAGCAAGAGTTTATATATTGGGAGTAAGAAGTGTATAAATATATGCAGACAAGATTAATTTTAAATGTGTGGACACATGTGCTATTACTTGGGGTTTATTCCAATTGAGTAAGTCTGAAGCGCTCTAATTCATCTGTCTATTGAAAGTATTCTAAAGTGCCATAATATATTTATAAATTCAAATTATATAAGAGAAATTCTCTCAACAGAGGAAGTATAGTAGTATAGAAAAAGTAGCGTAATAGAGATAAAATGTTCTGTAAAGATAAGCTTTTATTGGATCCACGAAATGTCTTTCTAGCTAAATAAGTATGCATAAAACCGGGCTATTGCATGGAGCGATGAAATTCATATGTTACAGATGAGAAAGAGCTTTAAACTTTTTTCTGAATAATAAGTATAAACTTATTAAGCTCATTGACATCATTTTCATTTCTGCACAGGTGGTCCTTTAGATCATTGAGGGTTTTAAGAACCTGCTCACGTATATCATCTAGAAGAACAAATGGGGCAGAATCTTTTGAAATGTGCTTGGAGTTGCGAATAAAGTCGTAGTTTTCCTTAATCAGCTGTACATTTGGATTCTCTTCCGCACAAAGATATACAGTCCAGATAAAGTGTAAAATGTGTGTTACCTCATCTACCTGTGCAGGATATGCATCCGCGATGAACTTATCAATGATATTAGAAAGCTTCATATCTCCATTTCTGAATATATATTGGCAAATTCTTCTATTCAGTTTGTTAGCTGTTAATGGATAGCAACTTGTCACAAATTCATCTTTCATGCATGTGTATCTAAAGGACATGATCCACACCATAAAAACAGCATCATTGTACAGCGTATAGTTAATAAAGTAGCTGGAAAATGAGAAGCACGCAAGTTGCCTGTATCTATTCTCTGAAAATTGCAGCCTTGGGTACGCGCCTACCTTGCCATCTTTATTATGCAGATCTGCGAAGACAATTGGGGCAAGCATATCCATCTGGACAATTATCCTATCTAGCTCAGTGCTTCCTATTATGTTGGAAGTAAACCGAACAAGGGGGTGCTCTAGGAATAGCTCCTGATCCATGCTGTATATGATAGAACAGGCAACTAAATCCTGCTTGTAGTTATAATCGCTAATTTTCTTCATTAGCAGCAGTCTATTGATGTCTGTGAAGTTGTTCTCAATGGTTTTGCATACCTGAGACCTCATAAACTCATTGCTATTCTCAGGCGTGTCAATCTTTCTTGCCTCATAGTCAACATACATAGTAAGTAGATTTTCAATAAATGTCTCTCTATCTCTAGAAGTATTTGCTATTCTATTCATTCTTTCTAGTCGGTCATCATGAACTTTCATAACAGTAGGTTCCATCTTAATAGCACTATGAGTATCAGTTATAGTTAAGACTATTGTATTCTTAACATTGGTGTGCTCAAATACCACAGTAATCTCGCCAACTAAGTCATATACATTCCCAGGAAATTCAGCACATTGGAGATCAGAAAAATTAACTTGTATATTTTCTGTTTTGGATAGACGTTTAAATACTTCTTCTGTGTAGTCTTTAATATTTTCACTCAATGTATTGGTTAGATATCCACCTCCGTCATATAGGTCCCACATGGCGGCTACTATTTTGTCTTTTTCGTCTTCAGGTGCATTTACTATTTCAGCAATGACCATGAGCATATTCAGAATACCAGGATATAGCTCGTTTCTATCTCTGCGATATAGAATATTTAGGTTTTTTATATCTGCAACAACTGCACACCATTTCTCCTGGAACTCAATTTTTGTAGTGAAAAATGGCTGTTTGTCTATAGAGAAGAAATCTTTAAGCTCATCAGAGACATTCCCCATGTGATCTGTTTTATGTAGGAAATCAGATGGATCGTATGTCAAGCAGCAGAAAAGAGAAAGAATTGAGCACTCCACGCAGTTACTATAGCTTTCCAAGCTGTTTTTGGAAAAGCTAGTTAACTCTCGGTTGTAAAAAGGAACAGATGTATATGCAGGAAGCTGTGTGTTGTCTGCAAATGGAAAAGCCCGATACGTATTTAGAATATCTTGAGTGTCCTTCATTAAAACTGCACAGTCTATTTCTGCTTCAACGCTAGCAGGCTTAAACAGTCTGTCATATACCGAGTTGCCTTTGATTGGTGCTTCTGTCTTTGGTGCATATTTTTCTGTCATACTATGCACAGTCTGGATAAACTCCGTTGCGCGTTTTGCACTGTCTATAAATCCAAATATATACGTCTGGATAAGAAACTTAAGGCTGTCTAGGAAAATTCCTGTAGCAACTTCATCTTGTGAGCATCTGTCCACAAGCATGTTAAGTACTTCACAATTGGTTGCATTGGCCTCGAAGAAGCTAATAATTTGATTAGCTGTTCTTTGCCTGGTCAGTACTTCCTTCTTCAAATTACTGTCAAACCATGGGATTCTCATAGACACTTTAAAGTATATTTCATCTTTTTCGTCTTTTTCATAGACCTCTAGTACAGAATTATTGACTTTGATGGGAATATTCACCCCCTCTGAGAAAAGCAGCAGCATGGCCAGAATCTGCAAAGAGTGCTTCTCTGTTGTCTTTGCCCGCAAGAACTGAACAAAAGACTGGTTTCCTCGTGCCTCAATGGTTATGTCACCAGTGTGTGATGGAAACAGATCAATCAGATGGGTGTGATACTTTTCTAAGTACATATCTGTTCCATTCTTTTTTAGTACCTTATACACTTTATCCTGTTTTTTATCTCGAGTATATAGAGACTTATCAAAGGTGTCAGGAGGGTGCTTTGGGTCTTCGCCTGCATTATAATATGTGTCAATCTGTGGGGCAAAGAATCTTTTGTTGTGCATGAGCTCCATCTTATGGTAGATGTATCCGCGCAGAAAGTTAAGAGGGCCTTCTGGGTTTATCTTCACTTGTGATAAATCCGTTGTAATTTCAAATTGTAAAGTTGACTGTATTTCGCTTAGCGATATATCTGCTCTAGATATATTAATCAGTAGAGTACTGATTAAGGCAAGTGCCTTGATCCAAATAACGGAAAAGCTCATTTTTTGTAATAAAATAAATCATTTTTTAATATATAGTAATAGATAACTGTAGGGGCACCTATAGGATGGCTTTTATTCGTTATTTATGTATGCGCACATCAATAGTTTTCACTGAATAGTATCCAATATAACCCGATGCATATTAAATTTTCAATGATAATTGGTGGAATGCCGAGTTAGCTATCGCTCATTGATCTAATAATGATCTTTCAAAGATAAATTATAAAAAGCTTGTAGCAGTTCAAATAAAGAATCTATCAGGCTATATTTTAGAAATGCATATTAGTACCAGCCTCTACCACTCTTATAGAAAAAGATATCCCTATACACAGTTTCCACTTTAAAAAAATAATAGTGTTTGCACAGGGAATTTAAAAGCATATTGTGTAGCATAAGTAGCATTTTTATAATAGAAAGCCTCTCTATCTCAGCAAAACACTAGCTGCACCATCAGAAAAGAATATCTTTATTCCCTGCATGCACTTGATTTTTATGTGCCGACTTAAAACATAATTCACAGTAGAAGAATATTTCTATATTATATACATATATATGGCCAATGCGTGTTTATTTATAACTACTGTCAAACCTTTTCCAAATTTCCTTTATCTGAACGTTTATGTCTCCAAGCGTCTGCATCATTTTCATATAATCCTCATGACTGCTTTCGCGTGACTCTTTCTGCCTATAGTTTACATACTCCACAATGCGTTTGTGTGGAATATTCAGCGCTTTAGAAACGATTTTAAGATTCTTCTTAGTTAACTTAATGTCGTGCCTATAAAAATATGCATCCAGCTGCTCAATCTGGCCTGAAGACAACTCTGAGTTTCTTCCTCTTGCTCTTCCTTGCATTTCTTCCATTATTCTTCTATATGGAATAATAATATGCCTTTAATTCGTATAAAGGGTTATATTAAAAAACTAACTAAAGCATCTAATTTTTAATAATCTAGCATATTAGGTCCGTCGATTCGCTGGTCCACCAAAGTGACATAAATGAAACGTCTTTGTCATACTTCTACCTTCTGTCTTTAAATTCGCGCAGAGACACAGACTCCTGTCTTCAGGCTGCCCACTCAGAAAGCGATTTTCCCATTCGGGAAGGCCGAATGTTCCCAAATGGGCATATTGAAATTTCAATGCAGTACAGGCCTTCTTCTCTAAGAGCTTAAGCAGATCTCTCTTTTTAACTTACTTAATGCTCACTCGGATAAAGCTCTTCACATTGTCGTAGTTCTCAACGCCCACTACCAGCACCCTCTTGTCTCGGTACGACCTGTGCTCAACGTTGTTGTTTTCGCAATATGACTCAACAAGCAGAAAGTCCTTGTAGTTCAAAAAATTGCTGAAGATGTAGGACTCCCACGCGTGTATCCGGTTCATTCTCTTCTCCCACAGACGGATCTGCTCAAGCACATTTTCGTTTATCTTGTGCATGCTATTCTGGTTTAGATAGACTCGAATCTGTCCTGCTGTTATTCCGTATGTAAGAGCCTGCCTGATGCTGTCTTCGTTTATCATGGCCACAATCATATTTGGAAACTCCCTGATCTTTATGCTGAACAGAGAGATAATAAACACGTCAAGAGGTCTGTTGCTATATATGTACAGCCGGAAGTTGCTTTCAAGAGTAAGGAACTTTTCCCCTCCCTCCTCGTCATCAAAGAGCAGAGAAAACGTAGATGAGAACCGAACAAGCCCGCGCTCAAACGTAATCAACCCCAGCGACTCAAATAAATCCAGCATTTTTGACCTGTATGAGACATCTATTGCATACATTCTTTTTGGGTCTTTAACCAGGAACTCGCACATAACAAGAACTTCTTCCTGCCGCGTGGCCAGGTCCTCTTGTATATGCGCAAGAACAAGCGTCCACATCTGGTTTTTCCTTCCTGTCAGCAAAAAGTTAAACCCTTTGTGGGTCAGGCCATCCTTGCTGACTATGCCAGTGTTCAGCATAAGCCTTCTAACTGTTTTGTTTGCATTGGGCTTGCTGGATATGGTCTTATAAAGGACAGTGCTATAGATATCGCTAGAGTCTGCGCTACTCCTCACCACGCTTTTTCCCTCCATGCCTACCCGCACAAGCACTCTCTCATCCATAGGCCTGGTGCATGCCTGGAGCACTCTGCTGCGTATCTTATCGCTTAGCACATAGTACTCCTTCTCAACCGTTAGTATTCCTAGCAGCAGCAGCTTGTGCACGCTTTCCTGCTCAACCCTTCGCACCGATATATTACTGGACATGAGTGAAAAAAGTGCTCTTTTCTCGCTTTCATCAAGTAGCTTAAATATAGCTAGAATGACATCTGACCTGTGCATCTTCTCTTCCTCCAGCTCTTTTATTTGCGCCAAGAATCTGCTGACCGGGCACTCCCCCATTGAGTAAATTATTTTCACTTTCTTAAATGCCAAAAACAGTCACTTTATTTTTCTAAAAAATATTTACGTATATATATTTTCGCAAATGTATAATAGTGTGCTAGCTTAAAAAAGCATAAAACGGCACTAGCACTTCTTCCTTCGTTGTGTGAGCATCGGGAATCAATTCATGCGTGTGTGTTTCTGTTCTCAAAGGGCCTGCTTTAAGGCAGTTTCTGAGAGGAGTAATCAAGAGGGACCGCGCGAGAGTGGAAAACACTGCAGCGTTACTCTGGCAGAAGATCAGTCCGCGCATGTACCGTAGGACAATGAATACTCAGAAGAGTGCTTTTTGCTGCCTGCAGCTAACGCCTGCCTAGCACACAGAGGGAGAAGGCGTAGGACTGCGTGTGTTAGATCTGAGTGCAGCTGTTCCTAGCATAGCCTGCATTCTACTGTGTGCTGTTCAGGCTGAGATTCTTTGGCAGCGTATTTTTCATAGATAATATTGGACAGAGTAAAGAAAAGGACGCACTTGAGTTTGCAGATGTATATAGCACAGTTGGTTTAGACTGTGTGGGCTGGATGCTTCTAATCCTTAAACACATTAGACTCTACTTATATAGCAATAGCTTGTTTATTACTGAATACCAACGCATGTTTGATGGGAAAGACTGGGCACAAGAGCACAGCTTAAGATTGGCGCCTATTTTTGGCTGCCATTTTACTGAAGGGCCATTCTGTGTCTGTGAGTATTTGGTTCATGAACACTTCTGTTCTTTCTAGTCTATGAAAATATCTATAGACTGGGCAAATGCACATACATACAGAAACCATGTGAAAGCAGTTTTCTTAATAGACCAATAAATAATTCGCACGCATATACACTATATCACAGATATAGATGAAAATAAGATGCTGCATTGCCTCCATAGGGCGTATTGCCAAAATAACTCCAAAATAAGACTATTTATTTTAAACCCATCCTATCTAGCTATAATTATTACATATAAAAGATAGCAATTTACTTCTGCTTGTTGTTTCATTGACTATAATATTATGCTCTAACAATTTCTTATCCAGGCCTGCAATTGTTGAAAAGTGCTCTTTAAACTTTAAGCTATTCCTTTGGTCCTCCAAAGTGCTCTTTTCCTCTGTCTCTCCTTCCCTTTTCCTGCACAGCATAAATGCAATGCTCTCTTTGTTTGTCCCGTATGAGGTAAAGAAGTTCTCAAAAACGTTCTTGGACTCTTCTATCTGCTTTTCCTCACTGATGTTCACCACAAACACCACCAGATTGCAGTTTTGCGTATAAAACTTCCAAAAATTAATATGATTCTGGTCTTCTGATATGGCATATATCTCAGTGGAGTACCCCTTTCCTCTAACCGTGAACTGTTCGTACATATTAACTGCTTGTTCTGTCTTATCTTTTCGAAGTATTTTTATTATATCTCTCTTGCCTGAGTCCTTTGGCCCTATAAATACTGCACTTCTTTTCTCTCGGTTTAAGCACTTTGAAATCGCGGATCCCATTAAAATTAAAAAAGTAAAATAATTTATATTATTAAGGTTGTAGGTAGGCCCTGCATAGAATTAGATATCTTTATCCATATTAAAACCACTTTTTACACAAAAATATATAATTTTCTTTATTTATTTGAAAGTCTCTGATAGGCACATTGCGAAGGCGTAAACCATGTATTCAGAACTGCAGAAGCCGATAGGCGTGTGTGCCAAACTGCACTTCATGCTGCGCTGAATTGATATGGATGTAAAGCAGATAAAGCAGCAGAACGAGAATTATATGCTAGTTTTTTAAAAAATGCAGTACTGAAATATATGCATAACATGCAGTGCGCTATTGAAAAATGCACAGAGAAGAGACCAGATAGAACTATTTATTGGCCTTGATATTACAAGTGTAGTACATATGCACTAAAGCCAAAAATAACTTTTTTCTTAGAAGGCTCTATTTTCTGTCTTTATTCAGCATCTACTGAGAACTTAAACCGTATGATCTGTTGCTGTGTCCTAGTAGAGCTATTATATTAAGTGACTAGGTCCCATATATGGGCTGCGCTCTGAATATATAACTAGATATAAATGCTTTGGCATTTATAAATACAGTCTGAATAGAGCTTTTTCTATTGCTATAGCCTAAGCTATTCCTAATAACTGCATATTGATATTTAATCAGGAAGTATGCAAATTGCAGCACATGCCATGCTTCAATGCGTGCTCTAGATATAACAGGTGCTACTATTCATGAAAACAGATATCTTATCTCTAGACGCACATTTTTCTATCATGCCATATGGATCTGACTATTATGTTTACCTCAATCACTTTAGTATCAGTATTTAGAGGTGTAGTGTGTTGAATAGTAAAAAATAGATGCGAAGGGCGCATGCATTTAGGTATGTACTAGGCATGTACCCGTTGTTTCATTCTTGGTTTAAATTTATTTTTTTGCATTTTCATTTGTTATGCTACTAAGTAGAGAGTATTTAATAAGTTCAATTAGAACAATACAGCCTACTTACGATTCACTGAGCTGCGTTATTGAATATATCCTTTTGTTCATCAACAGTTTAGACTGCATCACTGACATCATTATAAAAGAAGCTAAAAACAGCAATGCCTGCACAAACTTATTTATACTGTACCTGCTGAATGAGCTGCTTGTGAAGCTCAATGCAACAGAAGAGTCGCGAAAAGCGCATGCAAGCAACATAAAGACAGTAAAGAATACGCTGAAGGAAATACTAAAGATAGGACAGAAGAAGATTGACATTATAAAGGCGAACAGCACGGAGGCACTAAAAAACACTGCAGTGACGCTCAGCAAGAAATTCAAGGAGATTGAAGAGCTGATTCATTCAAAACAAGAAAGCACAAAAGCAGGAAAAGTAGAGTCAAAGGAGAAGAAGAAAAGAGAGACGACAAAAACAGCAGAGAAGGTAGAGGAGAAGAAGGAAGAGATCGATGAAACATACTTGGATATAGAATATCTGGAAAGTTTATGCAGAAAGAAAGATGTTAAGGGTGTGATAAAATACATTAAAGAGTTGAAGAAAACCATGTAAATTATGCTGGGTATATAGAAAGTACTATACACTGATTGGCACACTAATAAATTTTAGAAATCAAGTAATAGGATTATTGGATTAGAAGTAATCTCTACTAGCTCTGCTTGCAGCAGCTTATGATGAAAAAAGCTGCAAGAAATTCTACACCCCAGTGCTCTGCCTTTGCACGCCTAGCTCTTTGAAATTTTCTTATGTTTTACAAGTCACTCAGATAAAGTACATGTGTTGCTGGTTTATAGAAGCATGCAGTATGTGCTGCCAATAGACTAATATTCAACAGAATTGTGTGCATCTTCAATTTGATTTTTTGGCGCACTTGTTCTTAAGTGCCTTTGCAAGAAATCTTCTAATGAAATATAATATATGTGCTTATTTCCATCTAGACTTTGCCTAAATAAAAGAAACCAAGAGATACACGCAGCGCGGTCTGTGACCACGAACAGTCCGTACATGTAGAAAGCCTGAGCATTTATTGCATCTCTTTTTATCCATGCATAATAAAACCCATATTGTATATTAGGTATGTTATAGCGCATATACCATAAGCCAATTAATAAGTTTCTTAGAGTATACGCATGCAGACCATTTTGCCTGCAAGACAAATATTCTTTGAATTTTTCAATGCTAACAAAAGTGTTTTGCCCAAATGCCCAAGCTATTAGTGAATACACTTATATTTATACCTTACTTATAAATACTTCTTTGATCTGTTTACTGAAAGCATATCAATAACTAATTAAATATTCTAGCAATAGATGGATACACATACTCTACCATAGACTTCAAGCCAAAAGCCCAGCAGCTAGTAGGAAATTTTAAATAATGCATAATAATGCATAAGTGCCTATTGCTGGATAGAAAATTAGTAGTATTTATTTTGAGCCAAATAGTGCACACTATGCCAGACTGCCCATCACATACGCACGAAATATTTACTTGTCTCTTCAGGTTATTTTTTTCAGGGTTATTTCCAAAAATACACTTTATTTTGTCTTTTTTCTCAAATGTGTTTATTCAGACTGAAGTATTTTACTGGATAGAGCTGAGTATTTTTTAAAATCTCACACTAGCATTCTAGTTGTATACTAATTTAAGACCACTATACAACCTTTTCTAATACTCTATCTAGCATTGGCTGCCATTTGGAACTCTTTTAGCTTGTTCTTTAGTATGCCTAGGCCTTTTTTAAGTATACTCTTTGGGCTGTTTGCTATTGCTTCTATCTCAAAGAAAAACGAGTCTGGCTCTGCCCGCACTTTTATCTCATTTGGATAGTTCTTCTCTATGTCCATGTTTACTAGCAGCCTATCCTCATCTATCACAGGCTTTCCATTTTCAATGGTAAATCCATCTCTAAAGTACTTTTGTATTTCCACCGCTTTCGAGGTATCTTTCATCTCAAGCTTTTTGATCGATCGGTAATAGCAAACAGATGTTGGCATCCATTTGGCATGCTCTCTTCCGGTTCCAACAACTGCAAGCATCTTGCACTCTATGCGCTTTCCAGGGGCTAGCCTAGTTATGATTACGTTTTGCTTTAGTGTTGCTTTTGTGTTTGAGACTATTTTTATGTCATTGGAGCGAACTGTTAGCACTTTGTCTGTGGTGTTTTCCACATTCAGCTCCATTCTAATTGAGTTTTCGTCTGTTAGCTCAGCCAGAGGGTCAAGAACTTCCGATCTTACAATATTCTTTAGGGTTGAAGAATCTGCTAGGATTGGAATCAGTCCTAGTCTATGGGAGAGGATTTCATCAGCCATGACAGTTTCGTTTTCTCGTATGTATACCCAATGCACCGCAATGGAAGGTGTGTCTGAGATAATGGTTCGCCGCAATGCATTTAGCACAGATGCCTCTATTTGATTGACTCGGAATGAAAGTGTGTCTGGCCCGTCTGCAACTTTTCGCACTTCTATTCTGGCTAAATACTCATCCATAAAAAAATTCAATAGAAGGTGAAAATATAACAGGCTGTTTAGTGGATGGCCCCAAATAGGCTGCAAAGACTGCTGCTCACAGCTGACGGCCTCAATCCATTACTAGGCCATAGGGCTTTAGGCATTCCGCTCCATTTTGTAGACTGCGCATGTATTGGCTCTAGCAGCATACATGTGCAGCACTACTTCTGCAAAATAATTCTAGACTGAACATCACATCAGATATTTAGGTTATACGGCATCCCGCAGCTATCAAATTTATTAATTAGAAAGAATCTGTCTTTACAGATAAGAATAGCCATTATTTATAAGTATTTTGTTTGATGGCAGACGCACTTTCATTATTTCTTGAGGAGTATGGTCAGAACCTCTCTGCAGTACTCTAGCACATCTCTTTCTATATATCCCCTTCCTCCGTAGTATATGCCCTTTCCTTCGCTGTGGAACACAAGAACACTTCCATCTACTATAAATACAATGACCCGATTACTCAGCCTCAGAACAGGCCCTCTTGCAAAGTTCACATGCTTAATGACAAATGTAGACTGGTCAAGAAGCCTGCCCTCTATGGCTGGAGACTTTTTGAATAGGCCATGCACGAAGTGCCCCACTAGCAGTATTTTTTTATCAAGCTTGCTGTCTGCTGCTTCAGCTGTGTACTTCTCTTTTGTGATTATCTTCTGCGTTCCATACACCTTATGCTCAAAGTACTCAAATTCGTAGTTTGGCACTCTTCTTCTTACAAGATTCACTGCGTCCTTTCTTAGAACCAATGAGGTACAGTCATTGAACAGAATTCCCACTGTTCCAGAGGTCAGAATATATCCCAGCCCATACTTATCCGTATAGTCCACTGTGTGTATGACAAAGTCATCCTTGCACTCTTGGCTTATTGGAATTTCTGCGCTTCTATACGCATCTAGCAGGGTGAGAATTGTCATGTGCACGGACGACAAAAGCCCCATTTTGATAGGAGGTGCGCGCAGAACCGTGCTTGCAGGATTTGTTCTGCCTATTGTGTTTCCTGTTTTTGTGAGGCCACCGTGCCTCTCTGGCATAGTAGACGAAGCGCCTAGAGGAGGGGCACTTTGAGCTGCAGCTGGATGCGACTCAAGAGATATCTGTTTTGGGCTTTTTGCAGGCGGCTCTTCCGACCTGTGCTCGCTTGAAAATGGAATCTTCGCCTTTCCTGCGGAGTTGTTTGCGCCTGCGCAGATGAAGTCTGAGGTGTATATCTGCTCTAGCGTGTATCTCTTCCGCGGATCTAGCTCCAGCAGGCCCGAAATCAGCTCTTTTGCCTCTTTGGATATCTTGCAGTCTTCTGGGTATGTGTAGCTATTTGTTTTTATTGACTTGTATATCTCCTTCACATTGCTTTTCTGAAATGGCGGCTTTCCAACTATCATGGTGTACACCACCACGCCAACAGACCAAATGTCAACCTCAAAGGAGTGCCCGCCCTCAGACCCAAACAGCACCTCAGGTGCTATGTAGTTGGGCGTTCCACATATTGTTTTCTTTCTTTCCTCTCTGTCAATCACAGCAGCCAACCCAAAGTCGCCTACTTTTATGTTGAATCCGTCATCTAGAAATAAATTGGCAAGCTTCATGTCTCTATGCACCACCGAGCACTCCCGATGCAAATAGTCTAGAGCTGAAATAATCTGGAGAAGAAATATTCTTACATATTTTTCCTCTATTAACTTATTTCTTTTCAGAAGGTCCATCATGCTTTTATTGCGGCATATTTCCATAATCAGAAATACAAAATCTTTATCTTCAAAATATGTGAAGAGCTTCACTATGTTCTTGTGGTTCACAGACAAGTGAATTTTTATCTCTGAAAGCAACTTCTGCTTGTTCTTTGCCCGCACCAGCTCTGATTTCTTAATTATTTTGGCTGCAAAATCCAAGTGCGTCTTCAAATTGCGCACTGAAAAGCACTGGGCAAAGCCCCCACGCCCTATCATTGCAGTTATCTCAAAGGACTCATCTGTATCTCTATCGTGGATTATGCTTCCAATTGGAAGAAACGGAGGGTTCTTCATAGGATAAAAATAATAATAAAATATTTATGACTTTACCCAAGGTATCCAGCCATCGCATACACAGCTGATTGAGGCGTATAGGCACGCATGCCTTCTCTATATTCTCTACTGCCTGCAAAAACAAGCATATTTGCCTCTTCATCAATAAGACTATCCTTTGAGACAGAGCAGTTCTGCATAGGTCTCTAAACAGAAATGCAGGATACATAATGAATTCATTACAGCCAAAGCCTTCCAAATAGAGACATTTGAATAGAAATTGGCTGTGCTATATGATGTATGCGAATTATTCATAGACTAGCCTAATAAGCGCCATACATATACAATAAAGCCAAGAATATTTTCATTCTTTATAAATGTCTCTATTTTACGAACTACTCTACTAAGAAGAAAGCAATATAATCCGAAATAAGCTACAACATATGGAGGTATCTCTGCTATAAGACTAGCAAATACCTATTTAATGTAATTAATTTTCCTGCAAATATGAATTCATAAAGCTAGCTATTTATTAGAGCATGTGCTATGTATGTACTTGGCTTGCACCGAATTGTCTTGCCTGCTTTCTCTAACAATATAGAGATCTAGTTTATATAGATTCCAAAGCATAAGCGAAGGGGAAAATCTTAAACAAGCATACTGTACATTAGCAGAGAAATATTTATAGCAAACATTCTCTTATGTACTATAAACAGTTAGAGCTTTATCACGCTAGTTAGATGCCTTCTTTCTGAGACAACAATTCTTACTAGCTAACTTACTTTTATTCGATTTAAATTGGTTTCTCAGTCTTATAAGCTTTCTCTGATAATCCACTTTGGTTTTCTTCCTTGTTTTCCATCTCTTGATTACTTATTTAGAACCAAGTTCAATTTTCTTCTTTCTGAATAAAATCCTTATTAGCTGCTGTGTTATTGCTTCAGTGAGGAATTCGTCTTGGATCCCTGCTTTTTTGGCCAGCTTTCAGAAGCGCATTCTGCCTATTATCGGTTTCTTTATCCACTTCATCTAAAGGAACTTTGGCCTCATTTCCTTCTGGTCTTATAGGATTCTCGTCCTTTTTAGGAACTTCCTCTGTGCCTTTCACTGGAGTATCTTTCTGATTTATAGCATTTGGCTCGTTAGCTTTATCTTCTTCTGGCTTAGACTCTTCAGATTCTTCTTTCTTTTCAGATTCTTTTTTCTCTGCAGATTCTTTTTTATTCTCACTCTTAGGGGGTATAGTCACATCTGCATCGCTTTGGCCATTTTTGTCGATATTGTTATTGGTTCTCTTAGAATCGTTTTCAGTATCCACTGTATTATAGACGTTCTCAAGTTCTGCAGTACTTTCAGCGCCTATAGTTTCACTATTTTCAGGCACTTCCCCTACATTTTCTTGGTTTCCTGAATTCACAGCGTTATTCACTGTATTTGTTCCTGTCGCAGAACTGAAATACGGAATCACACATGACTTAAATGAAAACACAAAAACACCTGTGAGAAATATTAAGGAACCTACTAAAATACTTTTTTTAAATCCGCTGCTTATACTTTCTATCTTCATTACTACTTGCAAAAACTTTTAAATATATAGATAAGATATTTAATATTTAATTCCTAGTAGGATATTAGAGCCCTAGGTATAGCATCGCTATGTTTTTTGGTACAGCTTGGCACTTTGCAAGCTGGATTTACCTGTGCTTTAAGGTTCTATGTGAAAGCTCCTTAACTGCCTATAGCTATTCTTCTAGGTAGAAGATATTAGAGGGGTAGGCAGCTTAATTAAAGCGAGGATACTAGTAGAAGGTTGTATTAAGGACGAAGCAGCTAGAATTTTCCTCTATTTCTAGCCTTTATAGCTAAAATAATTTCTAAATGATGCACCTATAAAATACAATAGTTGAAATCCTCTGTATAGTATGTATTTTATATAGTCAAGTCATCTAGAAGAAGAAAATAATCCTTGTAAAACACTAGCTCATCACTGAAACTTTTCTAGGTCCTTCATTCACCTGCAAATATAATCTGAACTCAGATCTATTTACACAATATTCGGGCTATATAAACCAGGATATTGCACTACTTCTTCAGAATTCACACAATGTGATTTCTATAACAAGGCTGTTTACACTTTGAAATTCTTGCATGTCTACAAAGAAAGATGTAATTCTGTGAAAGAGACAAAACCTAGCCTGAATTTACTGCAAAAAAACAAGCTATAAATATGTTTACTACAATAATAAAACCCTATTGCTTAGTATTTGGACTATATTTGGATTCTATCTGCAGGCAATGACAATAGGCACCAGTGTACTTCAAACATGCCTAAATATGTCCTTGAATTTCCTCTTTTTCTTACTCTTTAAAAACTGCATGAAATTCGCAATAAAATTACTAGCAAAAACCCTTATGCCAGGAACTAAAAATTCAATGTATAATAATCCACACTGCAAGAAACAATATGGCATATAAGCATTTCTCTATATATTCTGCCTTAGTTGAGTGCCCAGTGCTATGCCATTCTGAACCATTCACTCTTCTCCTTTGCATGCGAGTGATCACTTTTATTTATATACGCAGCACTTATTGGTGCTTTTATATTGCAGAGTTATGCTTAGAAGGTCCTTTGCACTGCTCTAAGGAGAAAGCTTTCAACAAGGAGATGAATGAACAGTTGACGTGCATTTTGAAGTATAGTGGGTCTTTTTAGAACAGTCTAATATAATTTTCTAAAATTTAATGCACCATTCATCTGCTTCTTGCTTTCACTTTTTTAAGGAGTACTTTCTGCACTTCCAAAATTCAGCTTTTTTATTATATTCTCTAGAACTTATTAATGGATACTTAACCAAACATGGGAAGCTAAAGCGTATACAGAACTATATTAAGATATGCACTGCATCTGCATGTATGAAGTAAGGTTTAGCTTGCAGATAGAATTTTTGTGCACTTTAATTTTGACATTTTCTCCTAGATTTTTCAATAAATATCTTTTTAAAAAACACTCAATTTTGAAATCACAATATGCATATCTACAAAAAACCAATCAAAATCATTAATAAATGATATTTAATTTAAATATTACTATAAATACGCATAGAAATTCAATAGCACCAAGCTCTTCTATGACTAAAAACAATTACTATAAGAAAAATCTACTATATATTCTGTTTATTATCTCTAGCATGCATCTACTTCTAATCGCCTGTGTTCCATGGCATAAAAAGCTTTTTTCTTTGTCAAAATCCACCGAATCTGATCCTAGCTCAGGTTATGATAGGCATGCTACTCCTAATGTTTTTAATGAAGTAAATGAAAGCAATACACGACTTCCTATTGAAATCCCTGACCAAAACATTCATATGCATGATAATCCTATATATGAAGAAATAGACCCAATTAATAATTCTTTTGTTGGGTTCTCTTGTGAAACTCTCAATGAAGATAATATTTATGAGGAAATAGATGAAAACAATAGGAAAGCTCCTACCCCACCACCTCGCAGAAATGCCAATATGGATAATACTTCTAATATTTATGAAGAAATAGATGAAAATAGAACTCATCGCATAGCTAAGAAAAATAACGACCCAAAGAGAGATCCAGAGCTAATTAAAGAGCTAGAATCTAGTAAAATGTTTAAAAAGGCAGAAAAAAAGAATCCAGTTCCTACATAGTATTCAAATAATTAACTAGAATACATATGGGTTACTAGCCCACAATGAGACCGTCTTTGTTTATAAATAAAGTACACCTCTTAAAGAAATTCTTTTAATTGCGCTTGCCAAAAACTATTTGGCATACAACATTGCATACCAGTATTATATCTTCTACATTTATTTATTATGCGTAGTGTGCTTAAGAGAAAGATTTTTCTATAAATATCTTCTCTTGCTAGTGACTATATATATGTAGCAATTTTAAATAATTTTTTCCTTTAATTTTCTTCTTAGTTAGCAACAAAACACATAATTAAATCAGAATATACACATTTATAAAAACAAATAAAAAACATTAATAATGATATTTAATTTAAATATTACTATAAATACGTGTAAGAATTCAATAGCACCAAGCTCTTATATGGCTAAAAACAATTTCTCTAAGAAAAATCTACTATACATTCTGTTTATTGTGTCTAGCATGCATTCATTTCAAATTGCATGTACTCCATGGCATAAAAAGTTTTTTTCTTTGTTAAAACCCACCAAATATAAACCCAGCTCGGGTTCCGGAATGCAGGTAAATAATGATTCTGAAAAAGTAAATACAAACAGTAATTCTCCTACTCCACCTCCCCACATAGAGCTCAATACAAACAGTAATCCTTCTGCTCTAGTTCCTCAAAAAGATCTCAATGCAAACAGTAATCTTGAGGTTTCCAAGGAATCTTCTATTCAAACCCCACAAGACCCTTCTTTAAAAGATAGTTCTGTGTTTCTTAAAAAAATGGATGAAATATTGGAGCCTCTTTTTAATATTTCTAAAGAAAAAAACACAAAAGAAACCCCCACTTTAACCTTCCGCAAAAAGTTCAATACAAAAGAACCCCCTACTCCAACCCCCCGCAAAAAGTTCAATACAAAAGAAACCCCTATTCCAATCCCCCGCAAAGATCTCGATGCAGACGGTAATCCTCCTACTCCAGTTCCTCAAAAAGATGACGATGCAGACGGTAATCCTTCTACTCCAGTTCCTCAAAAAGATCTCAATGCAGACGGTAAGGCTACGATTTTAAAAGAAATATCTGATTTATTCGATGCTTGTTGTGCAGATTTTGATTTAAACACAGAAGAAACTCCTACTACAACCCCCCATAAAGATCTCGATGCAAACAATAATTTTGAGGTTTCTAACAAATCCTCTACTCAAGCCCCACAAGACCCTTCTTTAAGAGATAGTTCTGAGATTCTTAAAGAAAAAAAGCCAAATAAAAATCCTCCTACTCGAATCCCCCGTAGAAAGTTCAATACAGAAAAAACCCCTACTCCAATTCCCCGCAAAGATCTCGATGCAAACAGTAATTTTGAGGTTTCCAAGAAATCCTCTATTCAAGCCCCACAAGATTCTTCTTTAAAGGATAGTTCTAAAAAAGTAAATCAAAAAGCTAAAGCTCCTGCCCCACCCCGCCCAAAAAATCTTGATATAGATAATCCTTCTGTTATTTCTAATAACTCTTCTACTCCACTCTCCCACAATCTACCTAATAAACCTCCTATCCCACCCCGCCCAAAGAATCTTAATAGAGATAATACTTCTGTTATTTCTAAAAAGTAGATGAAAATAAAGCTCGTCTTCCAGTCAAGAAAATAGGCAATCCAAAAATATCCAGAGTTAATTAAAGAGCTAGAATCTAATACGCTGTTTAAAAAGGCAAATGAAAAGAACAAAATCACTGCACAGCATTCAAACAATTACTAGAATATAAATGCATTGCTAACTCATAATGAGACAGTCTTTGTTTATAATAAAGTACACCTCTTAAAGAGATTCTTTTACTTACGCCTGCTAAATAATTTTTAGCCTAAACCTGCATACTGCTTTATATCTTCTACATTTATTTATTATACGCAGTGAATAAGTGGTTATTTATATACACTTTCCTTAGAAAAATCTTCCCAATTCCACTTTAATTCTTCTATATTTATCCACTGCTTCTGTATATTTACTCTCTCTTCTCTTTCTCATGCCCTGCGCACACCAAAAGAGTACCCTTACTGACTGGATGTTCCCGCAGGTGCACCAGGTACTTTCCAACTAAATACACTGTTATAATACTAACAGGCACTAAATACATTCCAAATACATCTCCATATGAGTCAGCCATATTTTTATTTTAATACAAATATTTTAATACGTGTGCAATACGCCTTCATTAATTATCGCATTAACTGTAAAACTCTATTTCTTATATACAAATTGCTCCGGTAACTGTTTATTTATTTGTGCTTAATAAGTCATTTATCTCTTTTATTAACTGCCTTTTACTGTCAGTTGTAATCATAACTGACCCTCCTGTTGTGCTAAATAGTCTCTCCACTTCTTCTGGTTTTGTGGCTGCAGGCAGGCACTCTGCGCAAAGTGCATACGAATGCTTTGGGTGCTGCTTGGTTTCTACTTTATATTCGATCTTTAGCTGAATCAGTGCTTTAAGGAGCTGCTGCAGTGTGACTGGCTTTGAGTTACTGGAGAATGGCACCTTTCTTCCTTGTGACCGTTTTATTCCTCTGTTAAAGTATATGGGATAGATTCTTACTTCTACCATTATAAAAAGTAAATTTTTCTGGTGCTTTATAGTAGGCTTAGGTATATGTGGTGAAGAATGGTCATGCAGGTCAGGGAAGAACTGTGTCTTCTTTGTAAAATACTTGATTTCTATGGAGCTATCTGTATGCTCATAAATGACAAGTTATATCTGGTTACATTAGTGATGTAACTTTAACAGGCATTATACTCTGACTATACGCCTGACTGCTAAGTTCATTTTCCATTGAAATTCTGTTTGTTAGATTCTTATAGTCCACGTATTTAATGCCATTATCTGCAGCTGTCTTATGGGTGACTTGAAATTTTTCTCCATTTATTTCCTATATGGTTCTTCTTGTGTGCACTATGGACAGTCTGAGATTTCTCTAAAATGGCAGAAACATGACAATTATGGATGCAAAATCTCTCTTAGAAAAATTCTTATCTGCTTGATTGACAGTGAAACGGGCATTATATAGGATATACCTGCATATGGATGTGTGAGCTAGTATAATCTGTGGTAGCCTGCTTTAAAAGGATCTATTGTACTGTGGGATTATTCTTTGAAATGTGCCCATATTGTATTAAGTTATCTACTAAGATACACTGCATATTTAATTCAGCCCATACAATAATATGTATACTGTTGGATATATGGTTATAGTGTAGGCCTCAAATTCTACTGAATAATTTGTGCTAAAATTCTATTTGTTAGGTTTTTTGCAGTGTTTTACAATAGCAATTTATAAGAATGGAAAAGCACACTCTCATGGAACTCAATGGAATATTCAAAAAAACTATACAGGAACCGCTTTCCTATGGTACTGCAGGGTACAGAACTGACAGTGCCGCCATTAAAGATATTGCAACCAGAGCATATCTATTCTGTGCTGTTAGGTCTGCACAAACAAACAAGCCAATAGGAATGATTTTCACTGCCTCCCATAACCCAGCTGCAGATAATGGAATTAAATACGTGGACTATAATGGAAATATGGTTGATTCTGAGTGCGAGGAACTAAGCAACAAAATAGTGAATGGTTCAGATGATGTGGTGGCAGAAGAGATCTCCAAGATAATGGGAGTTAGAAGCACTGTTGTCATTTCCCGGGATACACGTGAGTCTGGACCCGAAATGATTAATCTCTGTGAGAAGGCAGCCCAGGCCCTTGGCCCTGAGCATATGCTGGTGGATATGGGTGTTTTGACTACCCCGCAAATACACTTTTTAGTGAGAGAGATGTCAATGCAGAATGCAAGAAATGAGCACATTAATGAAAAGAGCCTATTTTCTGACCACCTAAATGAAATGCTCACCGCATATTACAAAAGAATAGAAAGCTTCTCATCTATTGCAAAAAGAATATTTGGTGAAAAAGAAAAGGAAACAGTTGTACTAGACAGCTCAAATGGTGTAGGGAAAGTCATTTTTCCAAAGATCCAAGAAAGAATGTCTTCTATATGCAACTTGAATCTACTGAAAAATTCTAAGGAGTTAAATGAAGAGTGCGGCTCTGACTATATTAAGAGCACAGGTGCTCTGCCTGCAGGAGTGTCTTCTTCTAGAGTGAACAACAGGATTGAAATTGCAACAGAAGAAGGTGTTATTCAGGGTGATTTGAGAATGTGTGCGTTTGATGGAGACGCAGACAGGATAGTATTTCTAAAGCCATCCTCTGGCCGGCTTCTTGATGGAGACAGGCTTTCTGTTCTATTTTCTTCCTTTTTAAACCACCTGCTTGCTGTTGCGAATATAAATGAAAAAATCACAACAGTAATAACAGAGTACACAAATGGAGCTGCTGCAAATGAGCTAAAGACAAAAGGGGGTGTGAAGGTGGCTGGCACGGGAGTTAAGAATATGCAGAAGGAGACTGGAAAGGGCATTACTGTGTGGTTTGAAAGTAATGGCCATGGCACCATATCATTCGCAGAGGATGTAATAAAGATGCTCAAGAGTACGCTGGGATATGAACAGACCGAGTCTCTTCTAGACCTATCTGCTGCAGATCTGTCTAACACAGTGGACGAACTGCTTATAAAGCCATTGAAGAATCTTTCATGCAAAGAAGCAAGGAACACATCGCCATATAATGAGCTGTTTATGCGGCTGAGCCAGCAGGAGGCACTACTGCTACTCTATGCAATGGCTGTCCTCTGCGATCCTTTCATAGGAGATGCAGTTGTTAATATGGTGGTGAGTGAGTGCATATTCTATAGCAAATTTATACTGCCAGATGTTTTGCTGGAGGTATACCAGGATATGCCAAATATCCTGACATCCGTCCAAGGAAACCGAGAAAGACTGAATGAACTTGTGGTGCAGGGCCTAAAAGACAAGTACCTTCCAATTAGAATTCATCTGAGGGCATCAGGCACTGAGGACATAATAAGAATATATGCAGAAGGGGAGGATGAAGACAGACTAAAAACAGTGGTTGATGAGATAAAAGAAGTGCTAAACGAGCTATAAGATGCTCTGTAAAGATGTATTTGTGTATGGAATAAAATTGTATACAGACCAGGCTGTATGCAGGAAAGGATTTTAAGCAGAACTTGAATATACATTCTGTGCTGCACAAAAAATAAAGACTGCATACGTTATATATAATTTTATAGTAGATATTAGAAAACACTTCATATATACGAATACTGTGAAAACTATTGCTTTAAAGAATTTTATAGTATTTAGAAGAAGTTTACTAGAAAGGTCTGTATACTACAGAATTAGAAGAATTATTACGCCCAACCTTACAGGAAAGAATGAAGGTCTGCTGCAGGTAATGCGTATTGTCTAATTTCTTCATACAGCCTAGTATACTTAGAATATAAATAAAGTCATTTTTGCATTGAAAAAGTCTGTTTTTATGACTGTATTAAAGGGCTTCCTTCTCTGTTGCATGCATTAATTTCCTGGCAGAATAATTTAACCTCTCTAAGCACTATAACTCATTCTGCGAATTGCTATGAAATAGTATGTATTACTGGGATTTAGAAGTATTTGAATTATCTGTACCTATACAGGCATTGTTTTGTGCTGAAAGCACCATCTGTCTTTTTCTTTGTTTTCTATTAGTGAACACCCTTTATATAAATAATAAAAATAAAAGGTATTCATTCAGTAGCATAAGCAAGCTGAAAGCTTTTATTTTTCTATTTTAACTATTCCCAAGAAAACATCCAGAAATGAAATATAAGCTGCATGATACTGGCATACATTAATCCAGCAAGGCATAAAGGACTTTAAGACAAAATTGATTCTAAATAAATGAAACTTTAAGTGCTAAGAGTATCAAAATATTGGTGCATGCTTTGCACATTACAATTAGCTCTATTAACATGTCTATATTCTTTTAGAAAAGCACACCAGAAATTTAAGATACTGGTATACATGGTGCACAGTATAAGAAATGCCAGGATGTAAAAAATATCCTGCTGTGATATATCTAGAATGTACCTTTAAGCGTATTCTATGCCTATGAGTTTTTTCATTTGCACTCCCCTAGAGACACTATATGTTCTAATATACATAGCCCTAGCATCTAAAAACAGTGCATAAGAATAGGAGTGCATAACCAAGCATCAATTTCTCCACTTATTTTGCACTTTTAATTGCAGCGTATTTGGACTTCTTAATAATTACTGTTGGTGCATACCACAAAGACCTAATAACATTATAATTTACTTCAATATTTTGGTTATTATTAAATAAGTCTTTTTACTCTTTCTTTGCCAGTGCCTTGCTAAATTTACATGATAAACACTAGACCAAGCAGATCCTATTAAAGAATCTCTTTTCTATGTCTTTTATCACAATATGCAAAGAAGGCAATTTACAATGCACTGTATGCAAAGTCACATGAATATTTTTAATAATTTTCAGTTTGGCTGCCAACCATAACTAACTCACTTAAATACTGCAACAGCGCACTGCAAGCCATAAATTAAGCTGTTACATCCAGGCTGCTATATTTTGTAGCACTATAAGCAGAGAAAGCCATGAGAAATACCATTATACCTCCAATAGTACCACACAAAACCCAGAAATACTCTAGGTACAACTATACTGTACTTCACAGATGCCTTCAGTGCTAGTAGCAATAACGCAATCCCATGGTTTTCAAATATGATAATGATGCAATCCCACTGTAATAGTTGAAAAGTTTTCATATATTTTATTTACTAATGAATAGCACAGAAGACTATGCTAGAGTACTTCTTACAAAATCTCTTACGTCCTTAGTCTATGTGCCCATTGAAGAAATACATAACGAAGTGGTTAAAGTAGCAGAGAAAATAACAAACCATCCGAGTTTAGAACTATTTCCTAATGAATTTATTTCCTTGATCTCTTTACTAAATCAGAGACCAAGCTATTTTCTGATCATCTCTATTTTCCAAATACTTTCAGCCATAAAACTAACCAATGAGCAAATTTCTGTGCTTTTAACGTGCTACCATAGACAGATGCCAACGGAAGGAGAGTATTCACTAATTAACTGGTCTTTTTTAGAGACACCAATTTCCATAAAAAGAAACTTTATACGGCTTATAGGGAATATAGTGCTAAACCACAAAATACCAAAGGGAGAACCAGCCGAGGGAATATGCACGTCATTTGATGTAGTGCAGATTCTGTTTTTCCTGTTTGATGATGAGAATAAGCTGGTGCGCTTGAAAAGCTATAAGTACGCATGCAAAATAATAAGAAGAGAGAAAAACACGTGGAGTCCTGAAGAAAAAAAGAAGTACAGGCGGCTTGTGAGAAACTTTGGAAAAGAAGGCATAAAGGTATTGAAAAACGAGCACAAAGCAAAAAAGCAGATGAAAGAGTATGTCAAAATTAAAAAACTTGTAGTTGAATCTTTTGTAAAGATCAAAATACGTCTGGGGAGGAGTATGAGAAAGGGCAACTCTACAATTAGAATATCTATATCCCAGAATAGGCAAGTAAAGAAGAAGCAAAATACCAAGAAGGAGCTAAAAGTCATCCGGAAGAACACGGTAATATACATACAGAAAGAAGAGAAAGTCGTTCTAGAGGTTTTAAATCAGGATGAAGTAATAGGAAAAATACGGATTAGCTAAGGCTATTATAAAATAAATATATTTTCAGGTGCATACGCTGTTGCATTCTACACAATGAGTGCTAGGCTTTTATTTCCACATGATTGACATCTCACAAAAAAGAATATCTCTTGGTACTTCAAATAACCCGAATGTCATTTTATTTATCTAGTAGTGTTCCTAAAGAATTCCATCTACTATACAAATTATTTATTATTTAAACCAGTCCTACTATTCAGTGCCTTTTTTTATGTAGAGCTGCAAAATGCTAAGAGTACCCTACTAAAAGAAAGCAGTGCAGGGCACGAAGAATGAAAATATTTAAGAAAGTGCACACTTCAATTATTTGTACTATGCTTAGTATGCAATCCTATTTGCTACTCTAAGCTAGAGTATAGCCAGAACCCAAATGTATATGAATAAACCCATAGAAATGCGGAGAACTGCAGGTCACTGAGTCTGCAAGTACATAAGAATACATGAAACAATTTATTTTTATCTTCTCTTCCTTATGTTGAGTTTTTTAAACTCGAATTCCAGCCTCGTCTTTCTCTCCTGAATGATCGACGAGTTATTAATGGGCTGCTCCTTTAGCTGCAGCAACTCCTCAAGCGGTTTTTTTGCTTTATTTATATTTAAGCCTCTGTACTTTTTGTAATAAATATTCTCTTTCTGGATCTTCTCCAAGGTAGTCTTTGACTTTTCTTTAATAATCTTTTTAATCTCTTTACTCTCTAGTAATTCTTTCAAAGCAGTGCTTCCATCTTTTATTCTGTCGTCTGGCTCAAGTCTTCTTCCTATTCTGTTCAATATTGTGCTGTCCATAAAGACCCCCTTAATTTCTTTTAAAATCCCCTTATGCACGGATAAATCAATCGGATAGAAAGGAATATTCTAAAGAAATATCCAGAATAGACAAAAAGTGAAAGCAATGAAAATTCTCAGAAAAATAAACCTGCATGAATCTACTTTCAGAACAAAAGCACCAGAGTTCTCTCTGCTAGAATATTAAGCCATACACACACTTTGAAAATAAATAGTGAGTATGTGCTTTAGAGAAGGAAATTCTCATTCTATCACTAGAAGATACTTATACACGCACAAGACCAAAGGCGCGCTTGATTAAAGGCGTGCACACAACCACTTCAGTATATTCTATTACGTGTATACTAATCTGCTATATTAACCCATGGATATTTTCTAAGTATTAGAACAGTTTTTTCTGCAATGCTACAATATACTGCACCACACAATCATTTATCAGATAATTCGGGCGTAGTCTACTCATTCGCTTTCCTTGAAGACTCCTTTATATAGACATATTTAAAGTAAACTAATCCAGTATGCACCATTGTGAAGATGCAATGAATGTATCTGCCCACAAAGACAATTCACATTTATATAAGAAGTACAATATGGCACCTATTCTTCCATAATATGAGGTAAATACAAAAATAACAAGACAATGCCAAAATTCATATACCTTTATATAAAGTATAGTAGTACTATTAGTTTGTCACATATTGAGTATTATATGCTTTATTGCATGCTATGATGATTTCAATTATTTCTATAAATTATAAATAAAATGATAGGAGAAGACCAGATTAATATTATATAATTTATCAATTTGGTTATCTCTTATATGTATATCTTGAAAAATCTTAAAAAAAATTATGAAGACAACAAAGATAACAGGAGCACTTTTATTTCTAATAGGTTTTATGTATATAAGTGCTAGCTTAAATAGAGCGCCTGCATTAGATATAGCAGACTCTGATGATAGTACTCCAACTCATGCTCTTCCAGAGATGGAAAGCGACAGCAGTGAGTCAAACATAGAATGCAAAGGAAGGTTACGAGACAAAGGGAAGTTTTTCCAATTTGAAAAGAAGACACAAAGTAGCACTAAAATAAGTAATGAAGAGGGTAGGTCAGCTAGCTCTACTTATTTTTTTGACAGAGCACTAGAAGAAAATAGTTACATTCTTGAGATGATGAAGATAGATAGGGTGGTTAATAAAAGGCTTGATGAGATGAAAAAATCAAGGAAGGATTTTAAGGAGACTGATAAAAGTCCTGCCCAAGAAAGCGATGACTCTCAAACACGCGTTGTGAAAAGACATAAAATAAGAAAAGAAGAAAAATGTGAAGAACAATCCAGTGTTTACAGAGTTACTAATAAAATTGTCACAGACAGCGTAAGTGTTCTTGAACAAGATTCCTCAATAGGTGCTGCAAAAGATGAAGAAGAGCGTAGTAGCCCAGAGAAAGAAACTACCATAGAGCCAGCTATAGAAAAGAAAGAAGTCTTGCAGGAGGTTAGTCAGAGTGAGACTGAGTACGAGGAAGATTTAGATACTTCTAACGAGGACTCTGAGTCTGACAGTAAAGAAGAAGAGTTTCAGGAAAAAGGCATTGACGTGGAAGGGTTAGAGCCCATCCCACCAAGAAGACCTGCTCAGACAAAAGAGGGGAAAGTAGCCTCTGTGATACCAGATGAAAGAAAGTCTTGCTTTAAAATGTTCGAAAAGTACAAAAGTAACTTACCATATGCCATATTTGGTGTTATACACAAAGACTTGTTCACATTAAAAGTGACAGAGGAAGAGACAAATAATATTAAGAAAGACATTTTATCAGAAGCGATGTACCTAAATATGGATAAAGGTTTAGAAATCTCAGATGATATAACAGCAGAAAATATACATATTGATAGTAGTTATAATCTGAATTTGAAAGAAATCCTTCTATGTGGCAACCACAATGCGTATACAGATGTGCTGAAGAAGATATATGGGAACCTGCTTAATAAAATCTGCAGGATACTCGATGCAATGGGCTTAAGTGAGAATGTATCAGATATAGTTCAATCTGTGCTCTCTGATAATCTTTCCATGAATCTAATGATAAACACAGAAGTACTAGAGTACATGTGCCACTACAGTATAAAAGACACAAAAGAGTACTCTCTGTACTATAAATATCTGCCCAAGGTAAATATATTCAGCACGAAGCTTAACAAACTTAAATACAAAGAGTGCTGTGCCATAGCAACAGAATACATTAATGCAATGAATACAGGAGAGATGTATATAGAATCCCGCAAATCCAAGAAATTAAGCCAGATAAAAGTGGATCCGTGGGATGTACTCTTGAATTCTATAAATATACTGGAGAGAATTATAAAAACATTCAAAGACCAAGAGAGTGGCACAGAAGAAATGGGCTTATTCTCAATCATACACTACTACATACGCTATGCAAATGTGGTTGGCTTTAAAAAGAAGGACCAAAATGTCAAGGTATTCAAGAACTTCTTAAGGCTTGCTGTGACTATAATGCACTGTAATAGCCCAACCCTAAAGAGTATATACTACAGAGAGTTATCGAAACTGCTTAGTATAATTAACTTGGACGTAGTGCCTTTATCCTCCCTGAACTCTGCAGTAGAAGGCACAGCCCCAAGCTCTCCAGTAGGAAAAAACCTTGTGTGGAGTGCAAGTATGCTAGGAAGAGATGAAATTTCATTGGATGGCATAACATACGAAGAATTGAAAAAGAAGAAAGACACAATTCAGGTTGTTATATCTGGGCTTATGACCAATTTCATTATACAGTTTACTAGAGAGATGTACACCGTATACATGCCAGATCTGTGCAACCTCACTGTAAACAGCCTGAAAGACTATAGGGACCAGATTTCGCGATTTATGCCAATCTGTGGGGAGCCGCTTCGAATGAAAATGGAGTTACTCACAAGTTACGCTTCTAAAATATCCAAGTCATGCTGGGACACAGAGATGACAAAAATCTTTAATGGCCTTGCAAGAGAGAAGAACGTCAATGTGTCACAAAATACCTTCTATCAGAGCGAACTTGAATACTGTCTCTTCATGGCAGCCTACTACAAAGGACACCACAGAAGCCTTCAAAAATGCTTCAAAAGAACGATAAATGAGTTGGCAGTACACCTGCAGAATGTCTATATTCTTTCCTTCTGCATGAACTTTAATCTGCCGTCTATTAGCAAGGACATTGCAGACTTGAGTGCTCCTGATGTAAGCCACCCTCAAAATACTTTAGCAGCTTCTATATCTATGCAGGGCGACAATGCGCTAGAGTGCAGTGCACAGAAGGATGCACCGCAGACAGATAATTCAGAGTGCTCAAACACAGAGGAGTTAACTAGTAGCAAGGCAGACCAGGAATCAGCCACAGAGAGTGAAGTATCACTTCAGGAGACCCAGCCAAATAGTACTCTAGAAAATATATCCAACATGAAAGCCAAGAAGACCAAAAAGGATGTTATAAATACCATTGTAATCAATAACTACCTCACAGCATTCTGCCTCCACTTGGCTACCTGCCCAGAGTGCCATAAAGGCATAAGTTTATTGTCCACGAATAAGAATAGCATAGATTATAAAGTTGCCGAGCGCATAGGCAATATATCGTATTCTTATTTATCCACAAATAATATTGCTACAATGTACTCTAGCAACCTAAAGCTTTCAAAATCAAAATACAGCAGGAATGCTACTCAGAAAGTCTTACAGAGGATTAATATAAAGTGCCCTGCTAAGATGTCTAAGAAAAAGAAAAACTAAGAAAGCAGTGCAGAAATATGCAAGAATAACTATTCAAGCTAAAGAAGAATTAAGATATTCTTAGTCCCATAATAAATGTAATTTATTATAAAGATTCACTATATTCAGCCATTGCAGCACACTCTACCTGCACGGCATCACCAAATTAATTTTCATTAATATTTTATTTTCATTGCCCTGCTGCATGGCAGTAGACACACACAGAGAATTTCTTAAGAAGTTGCAGTGCTACGATGTGTCTGCAGGTGCCTTCGGAAGGCCCGGTGTCCAGACAATAATGTGTCGATATGGCCGAGTGGTCTAAGGCGATTGATTAGAAATCAATTGGGCTTGCCCGCGCAGGTTCGAATCCTGCTGTCGACGATTTTTTCTTCCTTCTCCTGCAAATCCCCCAGATCCGGGCTGCTTGCCATTTGTATTTGTGTCAGTGTGGCCGAGTGGTTAAGGCGGTTGACTTGAAATCAGTTGGGCGTGCCCGCACAGGTTCGAATCCTGTCGCTGACGATTTTTTACCACCTTAAACTACAGGTCAGTGAACCCTGTTCCCTTGCTTTTCCACTCGTGTCGATATGGCCGAGTGGTTAAGGCGGTTGATTCGAAATCAACTGGGCGTGCCCGCGCAGGTTCGAATCCTGCTGTCGACGCTTTTTGCCCGCATGTACACTACTTAACATTATAAATCTATTTATTTCCATGTGCACTCTCCGTGCACTTCCATGTCCTCTTAAGCTGCGCAAATTTTCACGGCACTCGCCCGTCCCAAAAACAAACCATAACCCGAAGGACTGCAAAAATACTCCTGCATAAACTTAGTCTGGCTACAGTCACTGCTTCTTGATGGCTTCTTCCATTCTCTTCAGCCTTTCTGAATACTCCTGGTCCTCCCGTCTCTTTCTTCTGATATATTCTGCTGACTCCAATTTGGCTTTGCTTCTTGCATCTTTCACTTTTCTCTTCTGGCCGCCCTTACCTCCTCGCACCAGGCCATCACTTCTCTTCAGAGCTGGCTCTCTCTCTTCAAACTCCTTTGTCTCCACCTGCTTCCTTGGGGCTCTCTCTATTTTCGCACCAAGAACCTTCACTAAGTACTCTTTGTCACTGTCTATGACTGTATCCTGCAATCTCTCCTTCAACTCCTCCATGAACTCCCCTGCTACAAATAGTCCATCCCCTCTTCTTTTCATGTAAATATCCACTAGCCCAGATACTGCATCATCCACAAGACCATCATACCCACAGATCTTGCACATCACTAATACCCCGTATATCACACGGAAGGCCTTAACCGCATCTGCATCACTTCCCTTAAGTGCCCCAAATAATATACTTTTGCACTTCGCATAACTCAGCCTACTACTCATTCTGCAGTAAAATTTAGTAAATTTTCGTAAAATATATCACTGTGGTAGTATCTTTATTCAGTTATGTCTATGCCCTTTGCCTTCCTTCTACAGTGCATGCACTGACAATCTGCACGCCCATTTTCATTCTATCAAATAGGGCCACACACCTGTCTGCCATTCCTTCAGTTGGCAGCTCAATATAAACTGTTCCCTTGAAGTCCTCCCTATTCTGCTTATCCGTCACCATAATAAGAAGATCATACTGTACATTGTTGGATATAAGTATCTCCCGGATCTCGCCCTTGACTGTGTCAACAGGAACATTTGTAAGTCTAACTGTGGTGGGTGTAAATTGGAACATAGGCGTGTATATGTTGTCTTCCTTTTTCTCCTTTACCTCCACCTTTCTCTCTGGACACATTGCTGGTAGGTGGTCTTCCTTTTTACAAATACTGCAGAGAACATCCTCTACTTTGTTCTTGCTTTCTTTTTTGTAGTGGAATCTGTCATTATGCAGGGGCAGCCTTTGTGCCCTTTCCTCTGCCTGTGTCATTTTCATTTCCTTTCTTCTTTCAATTGCAGCCCAATTTGGAGCGTATGTGAATATTTCCATTTAAATTTTTTATGCTCGCTGGTGCCCATATGAATGTTCCTACGCTTTAATAATTATTTGCCATAGTCCTTTAACAAGGAGACAGAGCCTGGGGACTTGCCTAGGGCTATCTTTTCTGTTACTTTGAATGTTGAGTCTACAAATACAAAACAGAAGTACGGCTTAACCCAGACATTTGATGTGCTGTGTCTTGGCCCAACATATATGGAAGGAGGGATATTCAGGTGTGTGCTTGCATGCCGAGTGCTTTGTGTTTGAGAAGGCTTAACTTTAAAGACAGCAAGTGTTTTTATCTTCTCAAGCTCCTCTGTGCTAAGCAGTGATCTTATGTTTTTAAGCTCTTCATCCTCTGCTATTTCGCACATGTTTATCTCTGGGCAGTGCATTCCTGGTATTTTCCAGTCTCCTGGCATGTTGCGGGCATCCTGCAAGTCTGTGTGGGCATCTTCACTTGGACCTGTGTGAATGAAGCAGCACCTCTTTCCATACGTGCACTCTCCTGTTGTGGTGTATGTCTTGCACAGCTCTGTCTTGTATCTGGGGTGCCTTTCTATGTCTCTTAGCTCGTTTAGAGAGTGCGCAAACTGGCACTTGTCTCCGTACGTGCAGAAGTTGCTATTCTCAAAGCTTTTGCAAATCTCGGTTTTATAGAGTGAGATTTTTTTCTTGGAGATAATCTTTTTGGGACGTCTTCTTTCCTTTAGGCTTGCACTTTGCATCTCTTCATAATCACATGGGTTGACCTGGATATTCACGAGCTCCTTCTTCTCCATGAACCCTAGATTAATTTATTTCGCTTTATCCTATATGTCTTATTTTAATTTAAGCCTTTCTCAGTGTAATTACAATTAATTTACTTTATGACTCTGGAATGAAAGAAGAACAAACAAACACGGGCCCATATCATGTATACGGCATATTAAGTGCGCGCATTGATGCTTTTTTATTTTCGCACCATGACTTTCAGAAAAACCAGAAATTCATTAAAGAATGCATTAAACAAAGAAATACTTCTGTAAAGTATCTGGGGAAATACGCATTTATCAGAGTGTGCCATGCGCAGGAGGCTGTGTCTTCTGTGTTCTCGTTTCTATCTGCTATATCCGCAGGTGTGTCTCTTATATACATCCTAAGAATGATTAAGAGACAAGCCACCAAGGCATACCCGCATCCTGCGCATCTCCAGTATCTAGCTACCTTGAAATATACATTCTGTGTGCATGTTGCTACATGGATATTCAGTGGGATATTCCATATACGTGACACGTATAGCACACAGTGCATGGATTACTTTGGGGCCATTGCGAGTATATCTTCTACTCTTGTTCTCTCTGGAAATAAGCTATCCATATACCCAGTGGCTATTCGGCGTATTTTAATGCTTTTTGGGACTGTGCATGTGCTGTATATGCACTTTGTAGAGTTTAACTTTTTGTACAACTCCATTGTGTGCGGGGTTCTGTTTGGGTGCAATTTTGCCCTTTGGAGTGTGTGGCATAAAAGGACATCTGCCCACTCATACAGCAAGATATTAAAACTAAGCATGCTTGGCATCCTAGTCAGTGCAGCCTTCCAAGTGATTGACTTTGGGCCTGTGTACTTTCTGCTGGACTCGCACGCTCTGTGGCATATCCTGGGATGTCTCTTCAGCACATCCCTATATGTATTTCTTATTGTAGACGCTGAGAGCATGTGTTCTAGCAAGCTACACAAGATTAAGCAATCTTCTGGATTACTAGGCACTAATGACCGTATAAATGCAAGACAGGCAGATACTATATAATATATGTACATTCATACCCGTAGTAGACAGTGCAGAGTACAGTAAGAGAAAATAAGCTAGAAAGAGTGCAATGAAAATAGCCCGAATAGTTAGAATAATTGAGGAGCAGAACAGCATATGTTTAATAATAATGCACTACTCAGTGTATTAAGCACTGTGGAGCATAGATTTTAGTAGAGTGGAATAATTTCATCTCTTCACTATTAACGCCTAGTAGAGTACTATTTTCTATGTATATGAGTGTAATGAAGTCTCATACAGTGAAATGTTTTCTAGCTAGAAAGGCTATTTGTCTAAGAAATAATAGGTTTATTGTGGTATTTAGGAAATTGCTTACAGATGACTTATGCGAACTAACTACACACTATGCAGTGATCTACTCTTTTTTGCACTGTATATAGCCTGAGTGCATATGTAAAGTTGGTGAGAAATTGAAGTAGGGTTGCCATCCTTGGTGGTTTATAATATTGGTGCACTATAATTTGCAGATGTCTATACTATGCGGTGCTTGTCTTTCCATACAAGTGCCATGAATGCACTGCTGCATAGTTTGGCCCATTGTAAATATTATATAAATGACATAGTATTTCAAATCACATCTTCTGTTTAAATAACACTTGGAGTTAATATGCCTCTGCATTGTAGAAATGTCTTTGATGCAATCACTATTCAATATGCATGTATTCTCTCTTTGTTTTAATTAGACTTTTTCATTGATCCTTGTGCTCGTGTGTACATAAACAAAAGGACTAATTGATTAATCATAGCTCTTCTTGCATTCTTGTGGTATTATTCTAGTTATTTTGTGCCTGTGGTGGGTGCTAATATTCTACGATAAATAGAATGGCTTATGACTCATGGAGTAATTCTCTTCTCAAAATACAAATCATCTGTCTTTATGTTGACATGACACACATTAATTATCTAGTATGCATAAATGCATTTCACCACAGAGTAAACTACAATATTGGTGCTCTGCAAACACTGTAAATACAGCCTGATAAGTTACAGCATGCAGACGCATATCTATTTGCTTCTGTGTGAGAGAAAGCACACCTGTGTGAATTTAATTATTCTTTAGTCAATCCTCTAATGATGGGTAAGTAGCTAGCTTATAAGATGCATCTGGCGTAATACATGAATATCCATTGCCATACCAATGCGTTCCAGTGTGTTTAAGGTACTTAGAAGTAGAATATGCTTGTAAGAAGTATTTTTATTATATAGCCATAAATGCCCTGTTCTGCATGCGTATATTGCTTTGTGGCTTAAACAGGCTAAGGCATGTTATTATACATATGGAGCACTGCATTGTACAATATGCAAGTGAGTTATGAAAATTTGAATTTACTAACTCAAGACACGCCTGTCATATGAAAGGATGCTCACATAGACACACTCATTGAATGTAGAAACATGCATGCACAAAGTCCTCTATTAAACCTTCTTTCTATAAAAGCCATTCTCTTTCTTTCTCACTCATTGTCCCTATGCAGAACCACTTTCGCACTTTTGTTGTCTATAAAGTATCTAACACATTTCTTAGCTATTGCCTGCAACCATTCTACCCACAGGTGGAATAGGATACTGCCTCAGGATATTTAAATTAACATATGCACATGCCAATAAAGCCATGCACTTCTCTTAAATATTATTTCTGTCTTATGGTGTAGCGTGCTCTTATTTCTACTAGTCCAGTGCCCATAATGATTTTATATATAAAGCCCTTACGAAGTACTGTTTTGCGTGTTTATCCTGCTAATTCAGTGTATGGAAAGGCATGCCCCTTGGGCGAATGAAATCCAGAATATATTGCAATTCTTCATATGCAGAACTAGGCCTGCCTAAGACACGCATAAATTATATTTAATTAAGGTATATTATTATTAAAGAAAAATAGACCCCACTAATTGCTAATGGACCCGTAATTTGATGAAAAAGGATCAAAGACCGTGTTCCTTGGAGAACTAAAAATGACCTTATTTGACTTTATTGCGCAATATAAAGATATAAATAGGTCAAAAACATGAGAAAACCAATGAGATACCTTCCTATAATTACTCTACTCAGCAAGACAGTCTCTTGCTTAGCCCAAGGCCAAGGCAAGGTGAATGTAGTGACTATTCAGGGTGCACAGGATCTCCCAAACCCATCTGCAGTCTGTGAAAGACTTGGTATGCAGCCTTTTATCCTCAGAGCTGAAGACATGAACATGGTTCTGTCATCAATGAGAGCATCAGGCGTTGCCAGAGCACACATTGCAGGATGGAATGATGAGAAGATCAACATGGTAATCGGCACTGCTGCTGGTGATGTAACCCCAATGGATTACAGCAACAAGACAAACAGTGTTCTTTGCCTGAAGACTGGAGTCACTCCATGCCCAGCACCGGCTCCATGCCCAGCACCTGCCCCAGTGTGCCCAGCACCCTCTCCAGCTCCAGCTCCAGTGTGCCCAAAACCATGCCCAGCACCTGCACCAGTATGCCCAGCACCCTGCCCAGTACGTGAGAACGAGTGCTGCAAAGCACCAAATGTTGAAATCAAGGACAACAGAGGATGCCCAATTGCATGCTGCAAACCAACCAAATGTGAAGTAAAGAGAAGACTAACACCATGCGACTCCCCCTGTGTAAGAAACTACCCACACAAGAAGGTCTACGTTATTGATGAGATGACCCTTTTCTGCGGACCTTTCATAAGAATCGTTGAGACCAAATGCAAGCCATTCTCAAGAGACACAATCTGGACATTCTCCAAGGCATTCCCAATCAGCACAGGTCTTTTAAGAATCCCAACAATTCTTAGAACTCCATCTGTTTTACACAAGGCCCTTTGCGAGGCAAGAGCTAAATTCAGCGTGTGCGGATGTGTCTGTCTCTTCATTGACCACTTCAATAACATATACATTGCTGTAGGCGACGACTTCTACCTAGTCATCCCCAACAAGCCATGCATGCCATTCCCATGGATGCCAAGAAGACCTTTCCCAGGCCCAGTGTTCCCACCAATGCCATTCCCCCCAATGCCATGTGGACCAATGCAATGCCCACCAATGCCACTGTACAGAGATTGCTCACCATGCGCAAAGCCAGTGAAGTGCGGAACAGACCCATGCGAGAAACCATGTGCACCAATGTTCACATTCTGCAAGGTATCATGCGAGCACATGTTCCAGGTAAGAAGAAGAGGTCTCTACGCAGTCGTTTTCTCTAGAAATCTTGGTCTCTACTAGATCATACCAGTTGTAATAAAGTGAATAGTCTTTTATCTTCCTTTCTTTCTATTGTCACTAAACTTCAGCTCTTTTTATTGAAGCCTTGGCTTGCGCCTATCAAATCTACTGTGTACTTTTCTTGCATATTGCCTGCTGCGGGCTGGCTATACATTATATATTCATGTTTCTTGGCCTGCCATGCTTTTTTCTATACACTTTGGTCTGCGGGCTTATAAAAGTTGGTATTTTCTATGTATTCCTCCTATTGTTGTTCAAAAACTTTAGACTGTATAGTGCTTTATGCCTGTCAATCGACTTATTTAGAGGCTTCATTATGGCGTGGTATTAAAGAAGACGCGTGAAATATGCATCTCCATTTTTATATGTCTTTGCATTACTCTAAAAATATAAAGTCTACAAATACATACACATATATAGTTTTATTGGAAGGATTGCAAATAGAAAATAGTAGAATGCAGAAAAGGCTGCAATAAACCCACACAATAAAACAACTATGCATGAAACAAATATACAGGATCTTATGATGGCTACAGCGGGAAATCGATTGAATATGTAGAAAAATAGCTGTAACACCAGTTTATTATATACTTCAACCTACAATGAAAGTTGCATAGTATATTGCTTTAATAAAAGTATGCGGGTGTTAAAGTGCACACATATATCTGCATACCACATAGCATACTCCATTGCATGTCAAGCAGGCCATGCTTGTAATACCAGAGAGAAAGACTTTCTTATTAAAGAATATTTTAGTATTTCTATTGCTGTGTTTGGAAAAACATGAAAAACAAAAGAATTACAGTAGTAAGCAATAGACTCCCGCTGCATGCCAAAAAAGAAGGGGGCGTGTACACATACACAAAAACCTCGGGTGGGCTGGTAACTGGACTTAGCGGTGCACAGGAGTCGCTAAACTTTATGTGGGTTGGGTCACTGGAGGGTGTGGACCCTGAGGATCAGGAAATGGTCAAAAAGGAGTGCATTGAAAAATACAACTACTATCCTATTTTCATAGAAGAGACTCTATATGACAAGTACTACAACAATCTGTGCAACGGCGTTCTCTGGCCTCTTCTGCACTCCTTCTCAGACCTTGCATCCTTTAGCATTGAAGACTACATTGCATACAAAAAGGTAAATATGCAGTTTGCAGAAGAAATACTCAAGACAGCCCAGGAGGGAGACATAGTTTGGGTGCACGACTACCACTTAATGCTTCTGCCTGAGTTTATTCGCAAAGGCTTCTCAAAAAGCATAAAAATAGGATACTTTTTGCATATTCCGTTTCCAAGCTACAGCATTCTAAAAGGATTTCCAATTCTGTTTCCCTTGATAAAGGGTATCCTGGGATCAGACTTGGCGGCATTTCACACCTTTGAATATCTGGCCAATTTCAAGAAGGCGTCAGAGGTGTGCGAGACCGCGGCCTCCTCGGAAACGACCATAGAGATAGACGGGAGATCTGTTAAGCTTGAAGCTCTTCCTATAGGAATAGACCCCGTGGCATTCCAAAAGGAGTCCCAGAAGAAGGAAACAATTGAAAGAGCAAAAGAAATAAAAAAGCGCTTAGGAAACAAAAAAATCGTTCTGGGAATTGACAGAGTAGACTACATAAAGGGCATACCTCACAGAATACAAGCATTCAAAAAGATGCTTGTTGAAAACAAAGAGCTCTCTGACAAAGTTGTATTTTGCCAGGTCGGTGTTCCCAGCAGAACTGACGTCAAGGTATATGCAGCCCTTTCAGATGTTTTGTGCCGCCTGAGCGGATCTGTCAACTCATCTGGGCCAATTGAAGATACTTCAATATACTTCATAAACAACTCAATCTCATTTACTGAGCTATGCGCACTCTACAGCGCATCAGATGTCTGTGCGATTTCCTCGCTAAGAGATGGAATGAATCTGGTTGCGCTGGAGTTTATTGCGTGCACCACTAATGGGGTGCTTGTTATGAGTGAATACGCAGGCGCAGCTGGCATGCTAACAGGATCTGTGTACTCCAACCCATGGGATATAAAAAAGCTAGCAGGCGCATACAAAACATCTCTGGATATGCCGGATGATGAAAAAGCGCAGCGAAAGGAAGAGATGCAGAAAGTTGTTTTCAAATTTACAGCAGAGCACTGGGCTAAACGGTTCATATCAATTCTATCAGAGTCTTTAGAGTGATACAGCCAAAAAAGCGTGCTTTCGCGAGACATTCAAATAAAGTAAATGCATTCACTCTTTTTATTATCATTATTAGACAGATTAAGTAGCTATTATATGAAACAGATGCTTACATGCTTGCTCTTAAGGGTGTTAGTAGATGTGTTGTACTACTTCTGCAAATTCAGAATCCAAAAACTCTGCTGAGTATTTTATAGCATGGGTTCCTTATTGGCTGTTTAATCATAGTAAGCTCTTCTATTTTGTTTGCAGCTCATCCATGTGTTCGCTATACATGCATTCTAGCACAAGAGATTATGTATTTTGGTGTGTGCTTAAATTGCATGTTAAAAGAAGCTTCTAACCTAATGTAAGCCCAAAATAGAGCTGCTTTTAAGCGCACACCCAGGAACTCTACTAATTTCTCTACCTTTTGCTATGCTAACTGGATCTTCACATCTGTGCCTAACTTGAACAAATGCATGTATAAAGAAGAAGCATAAAGCTACTTTTGTCTACAAATAAATATTACTTGCTGGTTGAATTACGCTATTTAGTAGTAGTGTAGTTTATGGGTTCATCTAGAATCTAGCAGAGTGGAGTCTTCTGAAATGCACTGTACATCTTCAGAGAAATCGCATCTGCTGTGCTGCTCATTCAGCCTGGCCTCTTTTATCTTTTGTTTTCCTGGATTTTCATTTTCATTTATTGTGCAGTTTATTTTATTTTCAATGAAAGGATTGGTTATTCTAGTCATGCTAGGTGCTATTTATGGGTTTATTGAGCAGTACAAGCCAAACTCGCCTATAATTATCATAAAAGAATTGAAAAAGTCAACTGTGACTTTATCCGATGCCAAGGTGTATCTTAGAAAAAATGACTCCTCCAAGTGGATGGAGCCAAAGGAGTTTTACAGCATGGATGAAGATGCCAGCTCTACTATGTCAGATGAGCACTACAGAGACATTCGGGTGGAAATGGCTGTCTTTGAGTCTCCGTCAAAAGACTGGAAGGCATTAACAAAAGTAGGAGTGGATGTGTACACTTCTAAAAACACACAGCATGGATCAAAAGTAAACTTTTTATGGACATCTACACACGAGAACTACCATATGTTTTTATTCAGAGTGTACATTGACCCTAATCCGAATGTTGAAATCGGAATAGATGTAGTGACATATGAAGGGCGCCCTGAGGATCCCAGCATATATTCGCACACAGACTCTCAGATAAAGAACAAAGAGAAGAGAATAGCTGAGTGTATAAATGTATCAAAAGAAATATTAGACCTGCAGGAGATAGACAAAACAGACGAACAGCAGTACAAAAAACTGTCTGGTGAAATATTCAAGATCATACTGCTGGCAGTCTTCTTAAAGATAGGTGTGTTTATCGGCTCATTTTTATTTATCAACAAAAAGATACAACAGTTCTACATTGATAAAAAGATTGTTGTGAAGAGTTAAATAAAGAATTGTGTTTAAAGCCACCCAGTATTAATGTTTTCTGTTTACTGAGCAGGTCTTGTGTGCATTTTTCATGACACTAATCCCAGAAAGTTTTATTTATTGGATTTACGGTGTCTATTCGTGTAAAAAGATTTATGGTGTGCGTGTCTTTATATGCAAAATTGCAAACTAGACAACCAGATGGATGCACCCAAAGAACAGTGGTTTAGTAGATACTTTCAGTTTGATGCATTTGCTCTCCGTCTTTTTGGACAGTTTTCTGTAAAGATAGACATTTCCGATATGCACACCGATACATTTGAATCTCGAACAAGCAAACAAACAATTTGATTATGAAGCTTTGTATATTAAAAACATGTTTAAACAGCTTCTTTTGACATGGGATGATTATAGGTGTTTTTATAGGCACACCATAGATTTTCCAATTTATGAGCTTCTAATAATAGAATTAAAATAAAATGAGAAAGAAGAAGTTTCAGTATACAAGAACAAACACTTAGGATAATATAAACATGCCTTCACTAACACAATAGCATAAAGACACTGCACAAGCAATTTAAATAATAAGAAAAGAGCATAGCAAGAATAGATGTGCGCCCACTGTATGATCATTGCTTCTACTTTTCTATACTACCTTCAGTGAATGCTGCTTTTTATGCTATATTGCAACAGCAGATAATCCATAGGCTATACTAAAGACTTATGCCCCATAAATATCCTAAAATACTAAATTTATGGTATAAAAATATAATTGCTCTTTTTGGGCTATTTTCCAAAAAATATGCTGTTTTTAGTTAATCTGCTACAGCGAATAGTTACGTATGCTATTGGCTATTCTAAGAACATATCTGATATAAATTCAAAAAGCTTGTTTAATATCAGAATTCTCTTCTCCTCTATTTATCATTTCCAAGTATCAACAGATAGCATTCTCAACTTGTGTTTTAACTTCCTTAGCTCTCTAGATCTCTTTCAAATTGCATTCATATAATTCATTGCTCTGTCTGTCTGTTTTTTATCTTTTCTGTGTTGTATCTCATTATCAATAAGTTTTCTGTGCTTAGATTTTGTTGGGTCCATAGCTTATATGGTTCTTTCATTTTTACATGTTTCTGTATTTTCCTGTGCTTCTTCTAAAAATTAACCCGAATCACTTAATATTAGTACACAGTGAAGAGTTTAGAGATGAAAGGAAAAAAATAGATTAATTATAATTTAGTAAAATAAATTCAACATGTAAGTACTTAAACAATTGAAGTTTAAATAAATGGCAAAGTTTTCCACATGTGCATTCAAAGAGAATATACTTATTTTTTTTATTGAGTACTATCCTAGTTATGCATCATCATAGGATGCAAAAGAAATGACCTCCATCAGAATATAAATGTATAATCTAGCACAAACACTAAGAGTTAATGCACAAACAATATAGTAAGAATAGAAATAGTTGTAAATAGACAGTTTATTGCTATGTGCAATCAAATTGCAGGACATGGAAATAAGCTTTCATTTGTGAATGACACAGTTAGCCCGATTGTCTTATACATGGCAGCTGCTTTTGCTTGGATGCTGTCTGTAGATTCCTTCTCTATGCTAGGATCCTTAGGGTTTAATATAAGGTTGGCTAAAATAGGATGAGAGGTCTGTGCTGATGAGAGAATGGGGGCGTGTGAAAACTCGTCTTTATAGGTTAAGAACAAGGAAGACTTATCAATGGAGAGGAAGGATGTTTTAAGAGCTTTGTCTACGCCGATTCTAAAAACCCGCTCAGCAACTTTGCCGGGAGAGTATACATATTCTGAAAGTGTAAGCTTAGAAATCCATTCACTATCTATGTCTCCTAGAATTGAAAGCTTGCACTGCGAGTCAATTCCAATCTCCTGCAGCTTTGCTTCGCTAGGATTGAGTATTTCTGCATCAATGGAAAGCGAGAGAGAGCCACCAACTATACAAATGCTGTCAATAGACAAGAGTTTGGATACATGTGCAAACGCCAGATTAGTGAATCCCGGCTCATCTATTAGAACCAGATGCCGAACATATAAGAATGGTGTTTCAGTGTAGATTTTTAGATCAGAGATGCCGTTGTTCTTCAGCACATGCGTTTTGGCAGATTTAAAGAAGGTGTAGCACAGCAAATCCTGAACCTGCTGGCTACTGCAGTTCTCAACAGTTGCCATGGAGAGGAAGTTGTCGCCTGCAGTGTTTTCAGCTTGGTCTTGATCGCATGTCCATCCTGACATTTCAAACCCACTAAATATAAGATGGTTTAGATCTGGAAGTAAGCTAACAACAAGATTATCGAGTGAAATATCTGTATTGTCGGCAGAGTAAGAAGTCTCGTTGAATGCTAGCTGGTTTGGCTTCATCAGTTGGATTCCTCCCAAAACAACACTTGTAATAGACATGTTTGACAAAACCACTACATGCTTCTCTTTGTCAAATGACGAGAAAATAGAGGTCAAGCAAGCAAGAACATCATATATACTTTCGTCTGGGGAGGAGTTGATTCCACCTCCAACCACTTCAAAGCCTACCAGGTTTTTAAACATGCGCCAGTTGTATGCATTGGAGAGGTCGCCATCCGAGTATTTATCCAGAAGAACTGTGAGCGAAACAACTCGAGAGGCGCACTCACTTAGCAACTCATCAGACAAGGTTTCTGGGATGGAGGTAAATATGTGTGGATTGTGCTTTAAAAGAAAGTCTACGATTCTTTCATTTTCGCTAGCGCATACTTTATCTGAGCAGTTTACATTCTTTTGTATATCCTTCTCTGCCAGGCTTGAAAGTGACCATATGTGAAGGTTTGAGCTAGAAACACATTGGGTGTTGTTTACTAGATTAAGCTTGCCACTAGAAGAGTCATTCTGTTCAGTATTGTTCTCAGATGCATCTATAGCAGGAGGGCTGTTCTTTTTAGTAGAAGAGCTAGGGCTCTCCAAAGAAGATTTTTTTACTTCAGCATCCCCATCAATAGGCTTATTATCAACTAAGTCACCGTCCACAGCACTATTTACTTGTTTCTCTTCAGCTTCATTTTTCAAGTTGGCTGGAGTGTCTTCTAACTGGTTTATACTTTCATTGGGTGTTACTGGATCAGGTTCAGTGATTTCGTCAGTTGTTACTGGATCAGGCTCAGACTCGCTTATACTGTCATCGGATGTTACTGGATCAGACTCAGACTCGCTTATACTATCATCAGATGTTGCTGGATCAGACTCAGACTCGCTTATACTGTCATCAGATGTTACTAGATCAGAATCAGTAAAATAGTCAGATGTTGCTGAATCAGAATCAGTAGTTTCATCAGATGTTACTGGATCAGAATCGGTAGTTTCACCAGATGTTACTAGATCAGAATCAGTGAATTCATCGGATGTTACTGGATCAGACTCAGTAGTTTCGTTAGATGTTACGGGATCAGACTCAGTAGTTTCACCAGATGTTACTGGATCAGAATCAGTGAATTCATCGGTTGTTACTGGATCAGAATCAGTAGTTTCGTTAGATGTTACTGGTTTAGACTCAGACTGGCTTATACTTTCATTAGGTAGCAGTGGATCAGGCTGAGTGGTTTCGTTAGATGTTACTGGTTTAGACTCAGGCTGGTTTATACTTTCGTTAGACAGCAGTGGATCAGTTTGAGTAGTTTCGTTAGACAGCAGTGGATCAGTTTGAGTAGTTTCGTTAGGCAGCAGTGGTTCAGGCTGAGTGAATTCGTCAGTTGTTACTGGCTTAGACTCAGACTGGTTTATACTTTCATTGGGTGTTACTGGATCAGGTTCAGTGATTTCGTCAGTTGTTACTGGATCAGGCTCAGACTCGCTTATACTGTCATCGGATGTTACTGGATCAGACTCAGACTCGCTTATACTATCATCAGATGTTGCTGGATCAGACTCAGACTCGCTTATACTGTCATCAGATGTTACTAGATCAGAATCAGTAAAATAGTCAGATGTTGCTGAATCAGAATCAGTAGTTTCATCAGATGTTACTGGATCAGAATCGGTAGTTTCACCAGATGTTACTAGATCAGAATCAGTGAATTCATCGGATGTTACTGGATCAGACTCAGTAGTTTCGTTAGATGTTACGGGATCAGACTCAGTAGTTTCACCAGATGTTACTGGATCAGAATCAGTGAATTCATCGGTTGTTACTGGATCAGAATCAGTAGTTTCGTTAGATGTTACTGGTTTAGACTCAGACTGGCTTATACTTTCATTAGGTAGCAGTGGATCAGGCTGAGTGGTTTCGTTAGATGTTACTGGTTTAGACTCAGGCTGGTTTATACTTTCGTTAGACAGCAGTGGATCAGTTTGAGTAGTTTCGTTAGACAGCAGTGGATCAGTTTGAGTAGTTTCGTTAGGCAGCAGTGGTTCAGGCTGAGTGAATTCGTCAGTTGTTACTGGCTTAGACTCAGACTGGTTTATACTTTCATTGGGTGTTACTGGATCAGGTTCAGTGATTTCGTCAGTTGTTACTGGATCAGGCTCAGACTCGCTTATACTGTCATCG